CGCAAGACTGCTTCGGAAATGAGGAAGTTACTAGTAACAGAATACCTTGCAAAAGAATTGAAATAGAGTTATGGTTTTGGGCAATTAAAGATAGTTGTGGTTCTTGTATGTTGCATTTCTTTTCAATGTGGTTGATCATTGATGAAGTTTTATTGAATTACTCTGTAATAAGTCCAGAAAGAGTTAAACTTCTTGAGCACTGCACTTCCTCTCACTGCGCTTGACCATTATATGAAGTTGCATTGAATTCTAAACATTATTTTTTATTTGTTTGGGTTGTCAGACCAAACAAATAATGGTATCGAAATTTCAGACTCTAATGCTGTTAATTGCAAATGCCGAAAGTAGTCCGCTTTTTTGTAGCGGTTACTTCCCTTTATATGTACACTAAGGCCGAAAAATTCAGGGGAGATCACTGCGTAAAGATGGTCAAATGACAGCGCATTAATTTTCAAGCAAAATAATTCAAGAATGGTCGAAGATTTCTAATATTGTTTTATTCTTTATAGATATACATGCTTATAGTAAGCTCCGTGATTATTTACATCTGTGATAAAACAACAGTTAGCGTCGTTACAAACCTTAATTTAGAATAATATGGTTTTCTTCAGGCCATCAGCATATAAATTCACCGTGGCCGATGGGTTTGCGCGCTCGCTTAGGAAGCGAGAGGTCTGGAGTTCAAATCCCACTTAAGGCAACTCATTTTTTTTTCAAACTGTTTAAGTCAAATTAACATTAGATTGAATATCAGTGTTGCAAGTAGTCTTATAGCCAATTTACTAAAATTAAAACGCTGGAAAGCATTGGTGGCTCTATACAATCAAAGGGCTGCAGCTCTATGGTATTTTCTGATCTTTGCAATCTAAATCATACTGACTATCTGTATGTACTTTCCTGTATAAGTTTTTTTATATACTATAATTCATCTTACGCAGCGACAGCGTTTTGATTTTCTTCTATAACAGTTTGAGATTTACATATAGAATTTTGCATGAAAAAAAAATAGAATTGCCTCGACTAGGATTTGAACCATAGGCCTCTCACACCCTCAACGAGACCGCTAACCTCTGCACCACGGCGAAGTTATACATATGAACCTTGAATAAAAACGAATACATTATGTTATTCTAAATTGAGAATTTCCATTTCGTGTTTGTAATCCTTATTAATTTCGAGGTATTTTGTTCACGATAAACGTGTTGTTTAACACTGATGAAAATAATTTATCGGAAATCTTCTCGCCAAAACAGTCCGACATGTATATATTCCACTACTCGACAGTCAGATTTATTTGTGTACTACGCTCTGGAGTATTCGGTAATCGGCATAGCTAAAAATAGCATTTTCATTGATTAAAATGATATTCATGATAATCCGAAGCTTTACGGAAATAGCCGAACATTTTTCATTGGGTAAAAAAGATATTCATCCGCGAAATTTGTGATTGTAACCTCATATTTCTATTGACTAATCTAAACTTTTAATGCACTGTAATTCGTTAAATGCCTACATTAAAAATTATTCTTTCTTTTAAATTGCTGGTTTTTAAGCAGTTTTGAGTGAGAACTACTTTGCGTTGTTAGAACTGTTAGGAAATTTTGTGTTAGACTGTGGATGTTAGCTATGTATTTATCTGATCTTGCGATCAGAAAATACAAAAACAAATTGGTTTATAATCTCAACCTGCCCCTTTCTCACATTCTGAGACCCAAACAAATTCAGCGCCTTCTGTGCTTTGATTAAGTTATGCACTGGACAAGGAAAAGGAACAAAGGGCAATAACTCTACAAATACTGAAGATGAAGTTATGTATATTGTACACTGCACTTCCTCTCATTGTGCGAAGTTGTATTGAATTCCAACTACAAATTTTCAAGTTATGCACTGGACAAAAAAGTAACAAAGGACAATATCTGTAATTTGTCCAAATAGAGTTATGGTTCTTGTGCATTGCACTTCATCTCACTGCGCTTGACCATTGTATGAAGTTTCTATGAATTCCAACCATTAATTTTCAAGTTATGCACTGGACAATAAAAAGTAACAAAGGGCAAAAACTCTTAAATGAGTCAAGAAAGAGTTATGAATTCTGTGCACTGCGCTTTCTCTCAATATATTTGACCATTGTATGAAATTGTATTGAATTCCAACTAGCAGTTTTCAAGTTATGCTCTGGACAAGAACAAGAGCGATCAGTGATCACAGGTGTCGCCCCATGATGGCCAATTTCATGTTGGGACAAGTTTTGTGACAGACAGACAGACAGACGGACAGTGCACAACAAGACTTGGTACTGATCATTCCTGTAAAGTTTGGATAAAATTGCACCAGTAGTTTATGATAAGTAGTCCGGACAAGCTTTTGGGGAGATAATTCTTGCAATATTAGTGCTAGAGTTATGAACCTTGTCACATAAGATGTGGATGATGATAAGGTACATATATTTGAAGTATGAAGTTGATCCCTTATGAAATAAAGAAGTTACAGTAAAAAATATTATTTTTTTAAGGAAAATTCTAAGTTAAAGGGGAGATTAATCTGAAAATATTGGTGCTAGAGTTATGACCCTTGTCATATAAGACGTGGATGATGATAAGGTACATATATTTGAAGAATGAAGTTGATCCCTTAAGAAATAAAGAAGTAACGGTAAAAAATAGCTTTTTTTTCAGGAAAATTCTAAGTTCAAGAGGAGATAAACCTTAAAATATTGGTGCTAGAGTTATGAACCTTGTCACATTATGACATAAGATGTGGTTGATGATGAGGAACATATATTTGAAGTTTGATGTTGATACCTTAAGAAATGACAAAGTTATTGTGAAAAATATTTTACTGCACCAAAACTTTAATCTGAACGCCACCGCCGGGGCGAGTAGGACAGCTCTTCATATAATTGGTATAGTCAAGCTAAAAAGCAATGGAAATGTAACATAGGACAATAACTCTGTTATTAGTCAAGATGGAGTTATGGTTCAAGTGCACTGCACTTCCTCCCAATGTCCTTGATCATTGTATGAAGTTGTATTGATTTCCAACCATTAGTCTTCAAGTCATGCTCAGGACAAAAAAGCAATGGAAAAGTAACAAAGGGCAATAACTCTGTAATTACTTTAGATAGAGTTATTGTGCTTGACCATTGTATGAAGTTGTTTTGAATTCCAACCAGTTGTTTTCAAGTTATGCTCCGGACAAGGAAAAGTAACAAAGGGCAATAACTCTGCAATTAGTCAAGATGGAGTTATGGTTCTTGTGCACTGCACTTCCTCTCAATGTGCTTGACCATTGTATGAAGTTGTATTGAATTCCAACCATAAGTCTTCAAGTTATGCTCCGGACAAGGAAAATTCAACGGACTGCTGGACCGACCAACAAACCGACCACCAAGTGACTCCTATATACCCCACAAACTTCGTTTCGGGTGTATAAATATGTATCTGCTGGTTTTGAGCCCAAAAAGGAAGTTCAGTGACTATAAAACTTTTGACACCACAAATTGTCTGTTCGCTTGTTCAAGGACAATAAAACAGTTAGCTGGGCTATAAAATGGAGTTAAATAAGAATCCCTAAAGAAAGCCCAACGCGGCAAAATTGAAACTGTTGCAGGCTCGGTTTGATTGAGTCTGTTCATGGATGGTATTGTCAAGTGCAAACTACCGTCCACGCCCTCTAGCACCGGCTTAATCAGAATTCGACATTTAACATAAACTGGTAAAATTTAGAATTTTGTATCATCCGCAGATGTGTTCATATGGCGGTAATCATGGAACCTTCAATGTGACACGTTAGTGCCATTCCATGAAAAGCGGCATATGGTCCCCAAGTAAAACAAGAAACATGGCAATGCTATGAAACCAGGTTTTCAATTATCACCATTGTAGATAAATATGTTGTATTTGAAATACAAAGACAAGCAACAAACAATGTAACTATGTGCAATGTAAAACATGAATAATGTAGGAGGAATTGCGCACAGAAGAAGTGTTCACTATATATATTCTGTATAAGGAAAAAAACAAAGGGCCATAATTAGGTAAAAAATTATCCAATCACAAAAACCCCGACAATATGTGCCAGGGCACTTGATGACAAAGCTTCTGTGAAAGTTTGAACAAAATCCGTCGAGAAATGTAGGAAGAGTTCAGCACAGGAGAATTTGTTCAATTCTGTATAAGGGAAAAAAATCCGTTGAGAAATGTAGGAGGAGTTGCGCACAGAAGAAATTGTTCACTATATATTCTATATAAGGAAAAAAAACAAAGGGCCATAATTAGGTCAAATATTATCCAATCACAAAACCCTGACAATATGCACCAGGGCACTTGATGACAAAGCTTCTGTGAAAGTTTGGTCAAAATCCGTTGAGAAATGTAGGAGAAGTTGCGCACTGTAGAAATTGTTCACTATATATTCTGTATAAGGAAAAAATATACAAAGGGCCATAATTAGGTCAAATATTATCTAATCGCAAAACCCCGACAATATGCGCCAGGGCACTTGATGACAAAGCTTCTGTGAAAGTTTGGTCAAAATCCGTTGAGAAATGTAGGAGGAGTTGCGCACAGAAGAAATTGTATACGCCCGCCCGCCCGCCGACATACCTCAATCTAATAACCAGTTTTTTCCTTCGGAAAACCTGGTTAAAATGCGTGTGCCCTAAACGAGAAAACAATGGGCGTAACTAAATAAAATAGAATTTTGAAAGGGGATCTGAGGTTATGAAGCCTGCATATCATAGATATAACGTCAAAAGACAAGTTTATAAAGCAGGCCTCATTTCAACAGTATTCAAGTGAGGAGTACTGGAACCACCCGACAAGAAAGATGCCTAATAGATAGAACTAAAATACAACAAGCACAACAATAATGTCGTGCTATAAATACAAATACATGTCTATGTTAGAATTTATCTGTACTCAGCTACAAAATCAGTAATTTAAGTAATCATTTTAATTTCTACATACTCTTTGCTCAAACAATAAAACAAATTTCAAGAGGAAATTGTACACATTTTATTAACATGTAATGGTGTTACAACTTCTTAAACAATAAATTATTTGCATTTCTTTAAAGACAAATCATAAGCAAGTCTTAATAAAAAATCTCTATTCTATGTTTTCGTATTAATTCAGCCTTTACCTTCAAACAATGCAGTAACAGGTTAACAAATAGCACAAGACGTAACTTAACAGAACTTTATTAATATCTCAGTTTTCACAATTAAATGCATCGAGCTAAATCTAAAAAACAAAACATTTTTTACATGAAAGAAGTGTAAACAACAAGCACAACTTTCAACTTCAAATTTTAAACTCTTCGGGATAATTTACGAGCAAAACGTTGTTGGACTTGCTGAAATGGGTAAACCTATTTAAAAGAACTAGTAATTATACAACATGAAAATAAACAACTAGAATTTATATATTGTGTGCCGTTAATCCTCGACACGGTATCATACATTAAACATGATGTTTGAAAAAAGGTGGATATATTAAAAATATTTCTTGTAATTTTCACCATTGTAAAAAGATAAATGCATACATAAATCAAAGAATGGACTGGGGAGCAAGGGACTTATCAAACTTTGTTTTGAGGATTACTGGGAAACAAAACGGAGGAAGCAAATAGTCTAGGTCGGTGAAAAGGAAAGACAAATTTTCTAAACCTGGACAATTTCTGCTGAAGAACGAAAACAGTTACAGACGTATTACACAGGCTCCGACACAAAGTATGCATCCAATGTCAACCGAACATACCCGTGGATGCTGGTTTAAATCGTGTACAAAAGCTTATGGACAAACCTTTGAGGAGTTTATCAAATTGTTGAATTTATTGACAAAGGAACTTGGGGAAAGAGATGATCCTAAAGCGATCATATAGTATTTGGTGTACGGGCACACAGTATTAGAGAAAAACTGATCAATAAACTCCAGAAAGATGTATTTTGTATTGCACTCAAGTCAGACATAGGTAATGAGTTAAAGTGGCCAAGCCCAATCCACCCAATCAGATGCAGTCAAGAAATCCTCCACAGCAGCATTTAAACCACAAAATAGAAAAACAGACAGCAACAAACATAGCACTAGTCATACGACGGGTAAATAGTGCCAGTGTATGTCACTGCGAGACCTACCAGTTTAAACGTAAATGTTGAACCAAAGCTGTAAAATGTTTAATCATTTTGCAGAAGTACGTAGAAAAGAAAACAGAGTTAAGAAAGCAGAAATGAAAATGCGGCAAAATATTTAAAACCAATAGATCTTGATGGTACCCTTCCCATTGATGATGCAATGTATGCTTTGTACAGTTGAATTGGAACAACAGCCCGACTAATCAAGCATTTTCCGAGGCTGGTCTGTCCGACAGGCAGACCGTGACACATAAATAATTTTCCTATGCAACTCATTTCTAAAATTGAGATTTTGTGGTGTCCAAAAGTTTTTAAAACTGTTCCATATTAGCCAGTAAAATACATTGTTGTTACACAAGTGTAGCAAAAGTCATAAAATTATGCAACGTTGTATGCCATGCATTTTGTTTTATATAAATTAACAAGTTATAATTACAATTTTGGGCAAAAAAGTAGGAAAAATTAAGAAACAGCAAGAGCTCAAACACGATGAAGTACTGAATTATTTCAATGCTATATACTACTCCGACAATATCCATCAACAAACAATGGTCCATATTGGTTCATTTAAAGGTATGCGAGTTAAGGTCAGGACAAGAAACAAATTAGAAATCCTATGTTATGTTGAAGAAAATAACGATTATAAGCAACGCATTTCTATATCTATATTTCCATACCTCCTTTAATCTTCGAGTTATGATAAGGAAAAATTTCAAATGGCAAAACACAATAAAAAAATTAACTATTCTTACAAATCGCAATTCTGCTCAATAAGATCTTCTCAGTTTATAGATATGAAGTTACAACTTGACACCCCCTTATTCATATAGTCTTTGAGTTAGTCTCCAAAACTTGATTGCCGTGTATACAGATGGTCTGACGGACAAGATGATTCCATAATAGCCCCTCACAACTTGAGTATACAAGAAATTCCTGGTTCATTTATATATTAACAAAAATGTACTTATATTCATCCACGCACACTCAACAATCATATCAACCTAACAAAGTTGCATAACAATGCATATTTGGTTATAATAGTCACTTGGTGTCAAATTAAATGGTTATTTTCTAATCAATACAATTAAGACATTAATCACAACATGGCTACTCCGCATAATTCATATTTATTAATTAATTCATGCCAACAGTCCAGCTCTCGTCAGACTCATCAGATGCATACTCCTCCAGCAACGCTGCAGTTGATTTTGGAATCTGAACTTCATAACTCGATTCAGTCTCAAACCCATCATCCCCTTCTGTACTGCTGTCATCCATCTCGTCACAGTCAGTAGCTGGTTCCCATGTGTTATCAGAGCTACTATCAGAACTGTCCCGCCAAGAATTGGGAAAGTCTCGACTACTTGTATTATTAAGTGTTCCTCTTACTGGACTGGCATTGTTATTTGTGTTACGTGTTGAACAGAGAGACTCTGTGTGATGTCTCTGTGCCCTAGATGAACGTTGTCTATGGCTACTTCTTTTTGTTGTGTCTTCTTGCTTTGGTGTACTTGACTTGATATTTTCATCTGACAGATTTTGCCTTGAGTTTGTCAATGCTGTTTCTCGTTTAACCGTAGAAGCTGTAGGAATTGGGGATATATTTGCACTATGTACTACGGTAGCAGTCGGTATAGTAGCACATGATGATTCGTTACCAAGATGTCCCGAATAATTGATCAATGATAAATCTATCTTAACGTTTAAACTTTGTCCATTATTGTCATTTGACTGACTATCCCATCTATTAACACTTGCTCTATTTCTCCTCAAATGATGTGTTGGTTCTCTCCATGATTGACGACTACGTGGCGGAGAGCTTCTAGAACGATGCAGATTTGTTTGTGTATTAAGATGCTGTGTAGCACTGGCTTTCATTTTCTTACAGTTATCCACTGTATTATGGTCGTTATCATAAACTCTTCTTTTAAACCCATACCTACTATATGACAAGTTATTTGATACTGTTTCTGATAGTGTGTTTGGTTCTCTTGATAAGTGAGGGTGACTTTTCTGATCATTATTATTACGTGATGAATCTCCACTTACTCTTTCCTTATTTTCTTCACACTCATTATTACCATTATGTTTCCTTTTACGGCCAGAATGTTTTTTGTTAGTACTCACAGGTTGACTCACACTGGTAGGACTGTTTGAACCAGTTATAAAACCACTGTCCACAGTTGAACTAGGATCTGTGCTTTCATTGTTAATAATATGATGATCGCCCTCACTATTGTTTATGTTCCCAGCACAATCTATATCTGTATGTCTTTCACTGCGTCTAATACGTTTAGTTAAATATTTCAATGAGTCAGATTCTTCAGAATCTGTTGATTCAGTTGCAGAAGATATCAATATTTGGTTGCTTCCTGCAGAGCCACCTGATGAATTAAGTTTTTGATGTTGTTGTATGGCCAACGGACTTTGGGTACTATCTGGTTCGCATCTAGAAACATGCCCTTCTTCTATAAAATCAGTATCATCATGATGTTGACCATCTTCAACATTGTCAGATTCATTGTGTTCTTCTTTGAGTTGTAAAATATCATCAGCACTTGTTTCCGAGCAATGATCAGTATTTTCAATATCCTCATGACTCTCCTCATGTTCATAATCTAAACTTCTATCAACATAGCTGGTTTCACCAATGTTTTCTTCCTTATTGTCATTTTGCGAATAGTTTACATTTCTAACGTCATCTATATCTGAATCTGGAGAATCACTAGAACTCAGTAAACTACTTGCACTACTTCCTGACTTATCATGATTAGGACTATCTCTGTTGCGCGAGGAGCAGTACTCCTCATCTGAACTTAAATGACTAGCTTCTGATTTTGAACTCTGATCCCTGACTGTAGAGGCTATTGAAGATACAGAATGTGCCGGACTTGAAACTGTAAAAGATGTACCATGCTCACTATTGTTATCATTTCTACACGAATCAGGAGACCTCGGAACAGAGCTGCATGGGGATTTTGTGTTATTATCTGAAGATGTGAAACCTCTTTCACTGGGATCTCGACTAGGCTGGTCATTTGAAGCTTGTGATGTAGATAAGGAGTCATGAACAGAATCGTCATGGCCTGGTGATCTCATAGGACTGAAGGCAACAGATGATGTAGATGGAATACTTGAAAAACTTCCTGTTGTGTCCGAGGGAGAATCAGGGGGTTGAGAGAGTATAACATGCTCTGATATATACTGGTTGTTATAGTTATGATTTTCATTTCTAAATGGAGTATATCTTTCATAAAAAGGTGAGCGTGCAGTATTCGGTGAATGGATATCTGCAGTATAATTGGTGTCTGTATCTGATATCCAATTCAAATCACTAACATCAGAACCAGCCGTAACAGCAGGCTGATTTTCTGCGGTCAAGTTACTCCCCTGACTATCATTTGCATAAGAATATGTGTTATTCATATTATTTTCTTCATCAGTAACATAATATGCATCTGTGTCAGTATTAGAATTATCTCTATTTTGTTGACTTTCAAAGCTGTACTCATTTTGATAATCATTAACGTTACTGGTGTTTGCAGGATTTGCTGCAGAATTAGCTGGAGCAGCATTATTGTTATCATTGTTACTGTTGTTAACAATCGCATCAAGCTCTGCAGCTGATGGGATTCTCACTTCATCATTCAAATTATTCTGATCTTGTACAAGCCTTGAATTGAGTACTGCTCTCATTTGGTTACGAACACGCTCGAGTCTTGAAGAAAGTTCAAACAGACTATTTACCACCGTTCTCTCCACCTGTTCAACTACATCAGAACCTTCAGAGTGTCCTGCAGTGTTGTTATTACCCTGATTTGCATCATTGCTCGCTGTATTGTCAGCGTTATCCCCTATGTCTCCGGAAATATTGGATGCTGCACTATCGAACCAGGAATCCCTAAATGAGTCCCTACTGAGATCATCAGACATAAAATCAGTAACATCACTTTCACTACTATCTGAGCTGGCAGAGCTGAAAATATGAGTCCTATCGTTAAGTTGTTGTCGCAACTCCACAAGCTGATCATTCAGTGACTGTGACAGGTTGTTTAGTTCATGCAGCTTCACCTTCAGTTGCTCAATCATTCTATTCTTCTCTGTAAATAAATATCATATATAAATTAGAACTAACAGTATCAAATGATAAAAAGGTATTATCATTTTCTTTTGCTGCAGATGTGTTTTTAAATTAAATGACAATTAGTTAAATAAACAACAATGCCAACAATTTATTACAGCTAAAGACTAATTCATTAGGCAAAACATCCACTTAAAAAATTCTTGTACCAATGAATTCTATTGAAGATATTCTTAGAATATAAATAGATGAAACTCAGAACAAATGACTGGAAATTGTCATAAAACTAGGTTTTCTGCCAGAAATTGACTCAATAACCTCTACACTAAGCCACTAGGCAATTTATGACACTAGGTCTGTGTAAGGTTTAGTTGAAAAAATTTCGTAAGTGTTAAGAAGATTTTTTTCTCTATAGATACATGTAACAATTTTATGAAACAAGAGTACAATGACTGCCCTGATGTCGCTCACCTGGCTTAAGACCACAATAAGTATGGGATACTGATACTTGTACTTACTACAGTCTTTTTAATATAGTTTTAATGTCATAAATCAAACCACTAGGTCTAATGGTTTTTCTCAAGATTTTTTTTATGATTTTATCTTTATGCAAGTTTATGTAAAATTCATCGAAATCCCCTATCCGGCCTTCCACACCATCCTACAATACACCTCAATCCCACAATACAGAGTCTTTTTTATCACAAGGCCCGGATTTGAATAATCCTGTTTGACAACTATTTGATGATGCATCATACTAACTATCAAAACTGACAAAATGACTTTTTTATCAGTGCCAAGGCAATCAAAGTTCTGCCATAAACATATTTTATGTTTGTTTATTTTGACAAACTTTGAGCACGCAACATTCAAGGCAAGTTTTAACATATTTGAATCATAAGTCTAAGAGATGCTGATGTTTAAAAAAATGCAAATACAATATATACACTGTACAGTAGACACAGGATGACCACAAAAGCTTACTTCTGAGTGCTATGTGTTTTGGTGACTAAGCTATAAATTCTTACCATCAATGTGAGCTTTAAGGGCAGCAACACAGTTATGAGATGGTCTGTCACTGAGAGGGATCATCAGTCCACATTCACCCTCGCACACCATCTCTCTATGCTCACACTCCTCATTCTCATGTTTATCAAGATGCATGCGTAGAATTCTGATACCACATTTTGAAAACCGACATGTCTTCATCTCATAGCTACAATTCTTGATGTGTCGCTCAAAATGTTCCAGCATTATCTTCTCTATGCAACCATTGTCCCTGTACTCACATATCATCAAAAGCCTGTAAATACATTAAGAAATCCTAGGCTAACATTTAAAACTTAGTACATGTACTCTCATGTTCATTACAGTAATTTGCATGTAAAGAAATGTTTCATTGCATTAATTAATATTTCTAACATACTAGAAAAACTAAAATAATTTTCTATGCAATCAGCATGAAATTGGCACAGAAATGACAAACTTTAACATGCATCAGCCATCATCTTAAATATTATTTTAAGTCTAAAGGGATATATGCCTCAAAAGTGGGGTATAAAAAATCACTAAGAATAAATAAAATTGTTTTGTTTGCTTGGTTTAAAGTCACACAAACACCATAAAAGTAATATAGTGATTTGAAACCTTTAGTGCCTCTCTGCAATATTACAGGAACATACTGGCATCTAAATTAGAACACTCTTACTTTCTGTGGATAGATTCCTCACATTAAAAAAAAATCTTTGTATTTTTACCTGTTAAGCATATTTTGCACCAATGGCAGGACCGGTTTGAGATCCTGCTTGCGTGTGCGTTTCCTGCATGTTGGACAGGTGTGACGGTTTGAGAGCCAACGCTCGATGCAACTCTGACAAAACACATGTCGACATGGGCACTCTACAGCCTTGTCTAATACACACTGACATATACAACAGACAAGATCAGGGTCTGGGGGAGGATCAAACTTCTCAATATCGTAACGTGACATTGTTGTTGATGCACTTGATCATCCTGAAAATGAAAATATTTGCAGTATTAGTCCAGTATTGATTGGGAAAATAATTTTTTTACAAAGATCTGTGCATCTTAAGTTTAAAGGTTGACTACCTGTCGTATAACCCAGGGCATTTTTTCCTTCTATAACAGGGGCCGATATAAGGCCCCTTCACAATTCAAAATTGCACTTTTTTTTCACAAAGCGGCAGAAAAAAATTCACAATTTCAAGAGAGATTTCACAAAATATTGGGAAATACATTGTTTACCTTCCGGCAAAACTTGATTTACGCCAATTGCAATAGCACAGAAATAGTTTAATCAAGTTAAATGGTTTTGCACATGTTAACTGGGTTAATGTACAGACTTGAAGCAGATTTTACACAGGTCAGAAATTATAATTCACAAAATGAACAGACCCAGGCCCCTTCACAATTATGACAAAAAATGCCCTATTAAACCGACAGATAGTTGTACATAAAATATGAATAATTAATATTTGACAAATGAAAAATAAACAATAATTGTTGTTGTTATAAGTCTTCAGTTGCATTTTTATCTGATAAATAAATAAATTCATGCAGATTGTGTTCACAACTAAGCTTAATTATCCATTGATCAGTCTCATTTTACTTGATTTTTCTAAAAACACATTGATCACCGTCATTTGTTTTGAAAACAAAAATAATTTTGGTTGAGTTGGTCCCAATGGAACTGTGTCACAAGTCATGCTATCTTAATATTTAAACTATTTGAGTTGTGACATTAAATTTTGAATTTATAAACATATATATAAACGGTAAACTTCAAAAGCCATGTGAATGCCAATTATTAATAATAAACAGTGTCCAGTTGTTAAGTATATGTTAATTCATGTTTGTATATTAATTACTGTGCCTTGCATAAGGGGTCAGTTGAAGTGTCAATTTGCTTATCAGTGATTCGTGTTTTGTTGTTGTTTTTTCCCGCGAAGGATCTGACATTTTGGCCCAAAACATTGGTCCGGGACTGAACGAACTGTCATTGACAGCCATAAGCTTTTGCCGGCCCTCAAATTACTTACAAGCAAAATCCTATAAAATAAATAATATCCTATACTTAAACAATATCTCAGAATCTAGCTCCATTGCATAAGTCAATTATTAGGCATCACTGAATGACTCAGAACGGTGCAAAATTATTTTGTTCTACTGAATCTGCAGAGTAACTGTAACCTATATGATTCTGTAGATTTATGAGAAAGTGGAGATAAGTATGTTGAGATATATTCAAAAAACATTCTCCTGGTATATTTATCCAGGGATTTTAAAATGGTTTTCTACTTTCTAATTCTACTAATTTCTAGTTCCTTGGTCTGTGTCTGTTTTACAGTGTTTTATACCACACCCAAAGAAAGTGTTCACTTCTAAACAATTAACATTTGTACCCTAATCAAAGTTACATTCATAATCAATATCATAAGCTGTTGTAAAACACTTTTATTGCGACAAAATGCAAAATAAATGGTCACAATTTTAATTTTTATACCTTTCACTTTTTTCCCATTTCGGCGTAACGTAAGAAAAATTAAAGTGTGCAAAAAAAAGCACTTTAAGGTTGCAGGCGTATAAATTATCTGACAGTAGTTCATGTCAGTAGGCACGTTTTGTGTCAAGGAAAAGACGTGTCAATGTGGGTCGTGCTACTACCACCAAGATCTGCACTCGTGGCGGCTCCACCCGCGATCACTCGCCGGGCTTCTACGCTCACCACGACGGCCCTCCTACTCGTCGCCGCATGGCTCCCTGGGGGCTCGTATTGCGGCGACGGCCCGGTATAGACTCGACGCTTTGAACAGCTTCGGTACGCTTTTGATCGTCTAGTTAGCGCTAGCGACAACACGACAAAGCGCCAAACGGCGCGTTGTCGGACTTTCGTCTTGTCATCCTGTCGCTAGCGACAACACGACAAACCGCCAATCGGCGCACTGTCGTATTGTCGTCCTGTCTCTAGCGCGGCATGCCAAACGGCGCGTTGCCGCGATGTCGCCCTGTCGCCTGGCTTATAAGCCAATCCTTCAATTGGAACCAAGCGACAATGTGACATCGCGACAACACGATGCACGACAACGCACCGTTTGGCGTGTCGCGCTAGAGACAAGACAACAGCGCGACAACGCGCCGTTTGGCGCTTTGTCGTGTTGTTGCTTGCGCCAACGCGACGCACAAAAGCGTACCAAATCAGCCACCATACGAATTTTGTAAATCCCAGCTAGAGTAATTATACGTTTATCCTTGTCACTATATATTCACCTGCTAGAAATATACTTTATCCATAGTCTTTTCCTTGATACAAAACGTGTTAGGATTATACTTTTGGCAGAGTTCTTATATTATATAGTATATATTATACTATTTTGTAATATTTCCTTATAAACTTGTCAAGAACTAAAATCCATTGGGGGTGCTAAATATTTAGGCGAAGGGACCCACTTTGTAACTTTTTTTTACAAAATCGAAAACAATTATAATTAAGTGACCCATCCTCGGGTTGACCATTACCGTTTGACACCCACCAGAAATCTGAACTACCTGATACCAGACACAAGGACTCAGTATCTAACTCTATACATCTTACCTAGAAATATTTATCAGTGGAATGGTCTACCTGTGTTCTTACAAGCTAATTCCAGCTGAGACCTTTTTACTTGGCAGTTGCATCCCTTCTACCAGGCAGTTTTATGTCAGAATTGCTTTCATCTTGTTATCTCAGTCTCGTTGTTTTCTTTTAACTTGCTGTCATCTATTGAATTGCATCTAATCGTATACATTTTTCTTAACAGCTATTCTCAGACAACACATCTGCTTTAATTAGTGTGATCGTTTAATTAACGAATGATATACTTCGTCCTTATATTTGACACTTCATGTACATATCAGAGAAACACTTCGCCCGAAGTCCTTTATTAGATACAAAGAATGTCAGAATATTAGTTATAATTTTGCCAGAGTCCTTATTTGATACAAAACATGAAAGAATCTAACTTATGTTCGAGTCCTTATTTGATACTTCATTTACATGTTAGAGAAATATTTTTACGAGAATACAAAACATGATATAATTATACTTTTGTCAAGGTTCTTATATGGTACAAAATATATAAGATTTATACTTTTGCCAGAGTCATTAATTTTTAAAAAATATTTTAGAGTCTAGAATGTGTTTGGATATGTGAATCTACCGTGAGTTTTTAGCCTTTCGCATTTATTCTTAACCCACTTAAAGTGTTGTTCATATCATCTTTATATACTTCGATTGAATCCAACCAAGTAGTAGTTAAATGGAAAATTGTGTTCAGTGCTAAATGAGTTATTATAATAAGTAAGATTGGCTCTTTCTCTCTTATATTTTTCTCTCTGAAATTGAACGCCTGCCATTACTGAAATAAAAGAAATTTTTGCTATTCTTGTAGACAATATTATTATTTGTTAAATATTCTTATATTCAAAAAAGCTGTCTTTTTTTCATTTCTTTTCGTTTACAGTCATGTTTTAATTCTTGCTGTAAATTAACGAGAATGATTCCTTAACAATCTGAATATCTTTATAAAAAGAAATCGTAGGACGTGTGTTGTAGAAGGTTTGTGAAAACATACAAATCAGCAAATAATGTACATTTTACTTTTAATCTTTCGAATATATCATCTTTGTGGCTTTTAGTACAATATGAGAAAATGCTATATAGTTCAATACAAGTATTTTCAACTAGGTTTGCATGTTTAACTTTTGTAACGTATGTTAAACCCATACCTGTTATGTACATGTCACGGGTCAAATTATTTGTTACCTTAAATATTCATTTTGCCGTGCACTGTTTGTCACATGACCGCGGGAAAATTATACTTAATGCCCGCGCAAGCGTCAACTGTCGTTAGTTTCCGTTCTGCTATTGTATTAAATCAAATTATTTTATGCTTTCCAGTGTTTTATTGTAATATATCAAATGATTATATTCTGATAATCCACTAGTGAAATTTATAAAATATAATTTTCACTGTAGCCGAACTATATCTGAATGCGGATGAAAAGAAAATCATAACTAAATGGAATAACAGGCAGAAATAAATGCCGTCATGCGTAAATTTTGCTTCTTTAGGTAAAGAAAGTCGACATCACCATACATCATGTTAAAAATGTAACAAAATAAGAGAAATTTAACAGAACTAGATCTATATTTCAAAATTGATGACGTGACGTCATGATGTGATGACGTCACAAAGGAGAATGCGCGACATTACGCGGCAAAATCAGTAAAAAAAATACTTAAAATCACTTAAAAAGCATGAAATAAAAAGAAAATTTATTTGTTTTTCATATAAGATTGAAATATATTTCATTCGTGAACACCAGCTATTATATTTTCACTCGTGGCTACGCCACTCGTGAAAATATTGCATCTGGTGTTCACTCAGTGAAATTATATTTCAATCTTGTACATGCAAAACAAACAAATATTCTCTATTGAATCCGTAACGTACGCTTATTAGCAAAACTTCACGGATACGTCCAAGACAATTCAACAATGTTCTATATAAAAAATTAAAAAAAGTTTTACATTGGTTTTTAACATTTTCTTCAAAAATCCCACAAACTATCTTTCTCCAGATCACTTCGTCTTTATTCTGTTACAAGTATAAATTAACCAATTTTCTATTATTATAAATTCTATATTTGTTTATTTGATAAAATTTCTGATAGAAAATATCTTATTATTTATTAAGTTATTTTCATTCTAAATTAAAACGCTGTGGTAAAATTCTTTTCATTTCATTAAATGACTTCAAATAATTCTTAATAAATAAATAAATAATTCAACGCTCAATTGTTGTATTGTATTTTATGTATTTTTTTCAGAATAAACTTGTATTATAATAATTATGTATGTAAGTTTTTAGGCTTTTTCTACATATAAATTTCATTAAAGTTAACGAACCTACGCCAAAAGTTGGTCATTACATTTGTGGCTTTATCCGAAGTTTGCTATTCCGATTGGTCTTGCATATTAAAGCTATCAACAAGTATTTGTTTCAACAAACCACTTTAATATCACAGACACGAGTATCGGACCTGGGAAATATGACTACATTGATAAAAAAAACCTCTGTGTTCATCTTAAATGTGTCAAAAACAAAAACAAACAAAAAATTATAGTATATTTTTCACTTTTTTTTTCTTTTTTTTCCCATACATTTAAGATGAACACAGAGGTTTTTTTTATCAAAGTGGTCATATTTTCTTTCCAGGTGCGATACTGTGCCTGTGTTTAATATATTACTCATTAAAGATGAAACAATCACATTATTTTTTTGTTGTTGCTGTTGTGTTTTATGTCGCACCAACCTGGAACATACGATATAGTACATCCCAGCACCAACACAGAGGTCAAACGGCCACTTTACCGGATGAAGACCACATGTGAGGTGCCCCGTCGTGCATTACCGTATGTCTTGCACCGGAGTAGAACCACCGTCGTTCCGTAAGCTAGCTGCATGGATAGCTTCCATACATGCAAGAATTCAAAGTCCCTGACGGACTGTGACCCACATGGTGATAGGCCATGTAAGTGGTTAAAAGTCAAAGAGATCGGCCACGAACGCCCTGTTAAACAATTAGAAAACCAGTAAGTACGAAATAAAACTTCGTTCTTAAATACATTAACAAGAGCGATCAGTAATCACATGTGTCGCCTCATGATGGCCAATTTCATGTTGGGTCAAATTTTGTGACACTTGACGGACAGACAGACAGACAGTGCACAACTAGACTTGGTACTGATCATTCCTGTAAAGTTTGGATAAAATTGCACCAGTAGTTAATGAGGAGTAGTCCCGACAAGCTTTTGGCGTATCTGGCAACACACAGAAAAAAACACCTTTTTATCAAAGGGCCATAACTGGGCCAAAAATCATTCAACCGGAAAACCAGTGCAATATGCGCAAGGACTTGAGCTACAGATCAATTCTGTAAAGTTTCATTGAAATTGCATTAGTGGTATAAGAGAAGTAGTCCGGACAAACTTTAAAAATAAAAATTATTAAAGGGCCATAACTCTGACAAAAATCATTGAACCGGAAAATGCTGACAATATGCACAACAAGACTTGGTACTGATCATTCCTGTAAAGTTTGGATGAAATTGCACCAGTAGTTAATGAGGAGTAGTCCGGACAAGCTTTTGTGTATCTGGCAACACACAGAAAAAAACACCTTTTTATCAAAGGGCCATAACTTGGCCAAAAATCATTCAACCGGAAAACCCGTGCAATATGCGCAAGGACTTGAGCTATAGATCAATCCTGTAAAGTTTCATTGAAATTGCATTAGTGGTATAAGAGAAGTAGTCCGGACAAACTTTAAAATGAAAAATTATTAAAGGGCCATAACTCTGACAAAAATCATTGAACCGGAAAATGCTGACAATATGCACAACTAGACTTGGTACTGATCATTCCTGTAAAGTTTGGTTGAAATTGCACCAGTAGTTTATGAGGGGTAGTCTGGACAAGTTTTGTGACGGACGGACAGACAGACGGACAGACGACGGAGAAGTGATCCCTATATGTCGCCACTACTCCGTAGAGGCGACACAAAAATGATTATTTTCAAAATTGTTATTGGATAATTGTTGTACGATTATGCTACTGTTTAAGTCCAAAGAATATATATATATACGGACATTCCCTAAAGTGAGAGGGTTATTGGAATAGAAGGAAAGTATAAAACATTTAAGGTAAAATGTAAATATCTTGACTTTCACTTGGACACTAGAAGCATTTATACCTTATTGGACAAGTGGCAAACCAGGAAACGCCAACCAAAAGAGGGCTAAAAAATCCCGGTAAAGTAACTTTTTTGAGGAAATAATAAACACAGCATATATAATAAACATCGTTTCTTTTTATATTGTTTTTTTATTTTATTGTAAATTAACATGTTGTTTGGAGAAAGTTTTAAATCTTTACATAACAAGAGGGCCATGGTAGCCCTATACTGCTCACTTGAGATAAATGGCTGGAAAATATTTGTGTTTTTCCATTGCTATAGAGAGATCTTAAATGTTTATACACACAACAGCAGGAGTTTATCACGTGAAAAGACTAACAACTTGGTTTCTATATTGTTATCTCTATTTATTTCGGGGTCAATAGCCTCCTTAAGTGAATTAGATTAATGAATCAATGATTTAACATGACCTCCCACAGTCCCCTTATGATATATCTTAAAGTCTTCAAATTATACTGCAAACAAAAACTAAACTAACTATTCATGAGGACGAAATAATGCATCAAAGAGTAATATGGTTCTTACTGATTCTTTTTTCAATTTTGTAAAGAACCCAAGGCTTTCTGAAGGGGAAAATATAGCATAATAAGTCAGAAAAGGGGAAAAACCCTGAAATCAAATTCCAACAACTTGTATTGGAATTGACTCAAACATTTTATGAATTTGTCAATTTCAATTCGACTTCACATGCATGGCACATAGCAAAAGGCTATCTATAGTGACAGCTTTCTGTCAATTAAATTTATCAATTACAATGTAGCTGAAAGATGTCAGCTGCTGTTAAGCCATGATTCTAGTGAAGAATATAAACAGGGCATTTTAGGGGAAAATATAGCATTTTAGGGAGAAAATATACCTATTTTGGACAAGGGGAAACAGCCTTTATTCGGCTTTAAAATATAAAAAAAAAATTTACTGCTGAATTGTGTTCAATGCACTTGTCCTCAATAAGATCTATTTGTCTTTAATGTTGATATTGCATATTAACTTAAAAATTATGCTTTATGAAATATGAAAAATTATAAAGGGCAATAACTATAGAATTATCCAAAAGCTAGTTATGGTTCTTGAAAACTGCATTTCTTCTCACTAGAGGGCAGACATCATGCAATCGCAAAAGCTCACCTCTAAGCACTCAGTTTTAAGGTGAGCTAATAAGAAAATGTACTACAATTAGAAATGTAATAATTTTACAAGATAATGATGTATCGTTATAAGAATATAGTATAAAAAATAAAATTATGAGGAAATGCAAGTCTTCCTTAGTTAAAAACAAGTATTTTGAAGTGGCCAGAAATGAGTCATCAAAATATCTGCCAGTTAAGAGCATATATATCAATTTAGAGTGCATTGTTGTAGAACAATCCAAGTTCAAGTGTGCAGGAATATGATCATGAATGACAATGGGCCTGAATGATAAAATTACAAAGCATTTGAGCACTAAACCGTGCGTAATTATACTATAATGCAAGACAAATTAATATCTATTTCCATTCTAACATGCCAATAAAAAAAGAGAAATGATAAAATATGTTGAACTAAAGTGAGTACAGAAGTAATTTTTATGACATCATTTGGTTTATTGACATCATACAAGACTGCCATATGACATGTAAGCATTTGCTTTTTATGCTGTGCATATAGCGTGTAATAGTGCACTTGATCGTCCTTTCTTGCATAGCAGACTGGCGTTTCCGTGAGTTTTACCCATGCCGGAAATTTCATCTGGCATGGGGGGTGCCAGATGAGTCGCGTGCCAAACAACAACGTCATTTTAGCGCACTTTATGGATGAACCGCGTTAAAATGACGTCGTTTTAGAAGAGAAATATGTGCTTAGGATGACGTCATTTCGCCGTTGTTATTTAAGTTGTAAGTTCATACGCTATTGTAAGAAAATAGTTATGGGTGAAATGACTTTAATTTCCATGAACATATATCATATTGAGGTAAACCATTTTAAATATGAAATAATATGGCAGAATATGCAAGAAAAAATATCTAACATATGTTTGCGGTTTGGATCAGAATATCCGTCCCTCGGTAACCCGCCCATGGGCGGTAACTCGGCAAGCCTCGTTACCGCCCAATGGGCGGGTCCCCTCGGGACGGATAAAACCGCAACATATGACAGATATTATTAATCTGTTTTATAGAGGAATAGTGTAAAGCATGTTAAAGCAGAACTTTAATGTTTCAGAAAGAGAATTGTTTGAGAAAAATAATGTTGATGACATTAAAAGGTGGCCTACATGTAGTCTATGTCTACCAGGAACTCCACAAAAAAGAAGTGCATTTCCCCCATTAAAACAAGGGTAAACTTGAATTGCCCTATTCAGGCTAAGATACCTTTGCATGCCACTTTGTCAGTTTGACTTCCACTGCTGGTGGATACTAGTTTTATGAGGATATACACAAAGACAAAGTGTATACACATAGACAATGTGTATACACAAAGACAATGTGTATACACAAAGACAAAGTGCATACACAAAGATAATGTACATACACAGACAATGTGTATATACAAAGACAAAGTGCATACACAAAGACAATGTGTATACACAAAGACAAAGTGCATACACAAAGACAATGTGTATATACAAAGACAAAGTGTATACATAAAGACAATGTGTATACACAAAGACAATGTGTATACACAAAGACAAAGTGCATACACAAAGATAAAGTACATACACAGACAATGTGTATACACAAAGACAAAGTGCATACACAAAGACAATGTGTATACATAAAGACAAAGTGCATACACAAAGACAATGTGTATACACAAAGACAAAGTGCATACATAAAGACAATGTGTATACACAAACTACTCAGTGGAGAAAATTTCAATTTAAACATTTTCTTCAGATAGCCTGAATATGAAAATCATTGAAAACATTTAGCATAAAAATAAAATCAAACTTTAACAATCAAAATCAAGTTTTTTCACATTACAAGTAACAGTGCTGGGATTCAAACCTTCATTAAATTGTAATACTATGTGGCCATTTTGGAAAGCAAAATGTATATTTTTGTCAAATACTTTTTGTCAGATATAAAAACATATTTGTATAAAAATTTGTCTAATTTATCCAGTGTTTTAACCAATTTACAATGCATCATTTTCAGACAGGTTTAAGCAAAAAATGTGGTAAATGATAGAATTTTACATTATAACGTTCCATTTAAAACAGACAGTTGTTAACCAAGAAAAAATATTTTTACAAAGTGAAAAATATAATATGGTATGAACTATGATAGATTTCATTGCCACATGATGTGTAATTTTACCAAACTTGTTGGAAATTTTTTGTTTTTGATCTTTTTTTGATCAGGCACACTCCTAAAGATTAAATTTCAATTTTATTGTTTTCACATGCACTTCGACTGCTACAAATAAATGTACATTGATTCTCACAAATTGCTTCCTTTACTTTACATATTTGTCTGGTTTTTACCTCATTTCAACACGTTTTGATCATATCTCAGCAGTCAGTCCACCTAACTGGCTTTCCTGGATAACTAACCAGTTATAACCAATTTCTCCTTAAGTGAACAACTACTTATCCCACAGGATTTCTAAATTGGTGGTGAGAGCTGGATGACGATTAAACTCTCATCCAAGATCAATTGTCAAAGAGAAATGATCAGTTCGCTTTATTTTTGTGTTTCAGTCGATTTCAACAGAAAAAGTACGGAACAGAAACATAATTTTCTAAAATGGCAGTGTTTGGTACAAGGAGGTTCCTATTCCAAACCTGAATAACTTATTATATTTGGTATGAACTGCTAAAAATATTATACTGTCATGAATTCTACGCTTTTATTGCATCAGTACCGCCTAAATTACGCCAGGTTATAGTCATATCAGACCTGAGGACAGTTTATTCATTTAGTTGATTAAAACTATAATAGTGATTATAACTTGTATCATACAACTTGTGAATGGCAGACATTTTGATAACTTACTTATGGCCTCTAATAGTACAATAAATTGTTCATTTTTCTTTCAGTCAAAATGCTCTAAGAAGAATATTTTGAAATTTTTCATAATAAAAACCATTTTCTAGCTAATATGTTTTAATGATAACATGATTTAGCACTCGTGCTTTTTCCTATACTAATATACACTTTCTCTTTGTTTCAGTTTAATTGTTCAGTTCTGAATAAAAAGTCAGCCTGCTAGCTACATGTATCTTTCTGTGCTGACTCAAATCTTAGTTGACTAAAATATAAAAACTTGAATCAGGCACAGTTCTTTGTACTAATACAAGTACATGTACAAGAAAAAATCAACTTGCAAGAATTACAAAACATTACTTCACAGACATCTATATCATACAGCAAAAATTTACGTACAAAAACAACAAAATATTTGACTAAAATTATCTTTTAACAAAATACTTTATAACAAATCTACCTAAAATTTATAGTCACATGAAAAAATACTTAAATTAAAAAAAAGGAGACAACCAATCAGCTTGTAACAGTCATGAGCCATGTGACTTCCCATGAACACAAAGTTATAGCATAAATCACTGTATCACACAGCCAGTTAAATATTGTTCACATTCGAGATCCTTTCTGCTGTAAAACCTGAAAAAGATAATGACAATAAAATTAGTGACAAAAATGAAGCAGCACATAACATACATAGTACTAATGTATGATGGCATTTCACAAAACACACATCAATAGTAATTAAATGCCATTAAAAGATCTGACGAAAAATGATTCAGCACTTAACATACAAAGCACTAGTTTAAGATGGCATTTGATATGCATGGTGCGCTCTTCAATAGATGTCAATTGTGATTAAAAGCTTTAAAAAAAAACCAGTTCTATTTAGTTCACAAGACAAGTAACATAGGACCCTGTATCATTGGCATACTTAACTATTTTTTGCTATGTCTGCAATGAGTTTAAATAGTGAACTTAACTAAAATTTTGTCTGCAGCAAATAAAGTTATCATAACATTGCATCACCATGTTTTGTTGAACTGGGTAAAAGATGTGTAAGTTTATCATAGGCTTGACCGTACATTGCAAAATATTCGGACTATCTCAATAATAGGACTGGTGTGTGTCGGTATTAATTCTGAGTTTGAGAATATGATAAAATGTAATTGTAATTAAGAGTGATCATTCACAAAGTGAAATCCCAGTTAATTCCTTCAATAGCTTTGGAGTTGTGTTTCGCACAAATGAAAAGGGATCAAAGGGCATAACTCTGCTTACTGCAGTCAGTGTTTGCTGAGAAATTATCTGGCAAAAACTGATATCTGTAAAAGCTGTGTTTCCATTTTTTTCTGTCATGATATACCGTAAAATTCCTAATAAACTCCCTCCCCTAATAAAAGCCCCCCTCCTCCCAGGCTTTTTGATATGGAAAGAAATCTGCTCATCAGTGGTGAACTCTTTAATAAATCCGTAATTTTATTCAAATCCTTCAGAATCCATTTTATTTCATAATAAACACAAAAATGTATCACATGAACTTTAAAATCTTAACATATTTTAATGTTATTACCAACACTTGTTAACACTAAATGTATTTTCAATGATTTTTGGATTTAGGAAAAAATTGTTGTAATAATAGCCCCCCTTTTGGAAAATGTATAGCCCCCGGGGGCATTTAATAGGAATTTTACGGTATAGCATGATAAATTTTTTTTAAATGATGCAATTTAAATATATGTTTGTTTCCCTATAAAGGCCTAATTTTTTTATGATTTTTTCGTTATGTAAAAATCTAACCAACAAATTCAATGAAAACGACTGTCAATGATTTGTGTATACATTCTAAGAAAGTATCCCAACATCCAATGTTTTATAACTTATTGAAATTATTAAACAACCTTTGTAGATAGTTACCCAAAAACTATTTCTGTGAAATAACTAACAGTTTTTCAGAAGTTTTTTCTATATAGTATAAATATAGGATAAAAAGTACAAATACAAACTTTTATTTTATGACATAGTTATTACTAAAATGACCAAACATAAGTTACCTTAGCTCTGTCGGATGGTTCAGCCTCCGGGCCATTTAAGCTATTGGGACATTCTTTTGACACAACACATAAAAACTCTACATGATCCTCGGAACCATAGTTGTACTGTGAACCTATATTGATCAGCTGAAAAACATATTACAATTCTATATTAACATACGCAAAGGAGCATCTTCTTCACAATGCTTCAGTCTCCAGGCATTTGAACAAGTTTGGGAGAGATTCATGCAAAGATTATCACATACTGGGTATCGCATATGGGTGGTGGTGGTTGTGGTTGTTTACCCTCTGGACCATGACAGGAGGCTACATTTATTTTACCAGAGTTCAGCCAATGCATCGTTCCTGGGTAAGCTGTCAATCCATTTAACAGTACTAGTTATCTTTACATTCGCAAGCAACTGAGAGGTACAGTGCGAATGACCATAGAGAGAATTTCATAATCAATCACATTGAAAGTGATCTGAGCCGTCTGAATATCAAATCCAGGTCGCTCAATACACAATCCAATGTTCTACCAATTGAGCTAACCAGTCAGCTTAATATCACCTATAAAATATTACTGCTTTATTAGTATGAACCAATCTCATTAAAATCATATCCTAACTATCGCTTCACTGCCCTACGCTCGTAGCGAAGAGTAATGGAGCGAAAACGATGATCTGATTTTAATGAGATCGAGTATGAACTAACCTGCTCAAACTTCCAACCATCTGACATTGTAGAGACCATTTGTGTCAATTCTTCTTCTGAACACTGTAATACTCTGTATACATTCTTCATGTATGTCTACAATAAAAAATAAATATTATGATAATATACTGATCAATGTAGAATAGATAACTGTTTTCTAGACAATTAAAGATAAGTATCATGAATCCACACTAACCAAAATTAACTTCAATCACATTTTCTTTGTGTATACCCTTTTTCCAAAAAGAAAAGAAAATTTCTTTATCTAGGTAATGTTTATATAACAGTAAACACATTTGCATGTCTGCATTTCCATTTACTCAAGAGCTCTTTAACTTTATTTTTCATCTTCTGATATTAGTCTAGTATTTCCTTTTTATTGAAAAATTATGAGGATACCAGGGCCTTTGATTTTGTATATGAATAAAACTGAAATATTTACCTGATTTTGTTTTGCATCTCTTTCCCGGATTTTTTCCTTTACAAGCTTGATCAAGTCTGTTATATTGTAGAACTCCGCTTCTTCTAAGATACCTGATAATTACATATATATACATGTATGCAATAACCTTTAGAACTGAATTAAGTTGACTGATATCTAATCATACTATTCTAGTACAAGATACCCATTATCAATCTCCACACAGTGATCTCCCCTTAATTCTTCGGCGTAGATCTCTGCCACCAAGGTCCCTATATCACGGTGCATATCCATATCGGTACCCTCTTTGCGAAATCTGCTGAAACGGTACCCTCTTTGTACATGCACAGGTCATTCTCTGCTCAAAACAAACCAGCGATGGATAACAAGCCAGTAAAAATTCATTGTAATATGGAAAGGAGGTATGACACGTGGAAAAGATGTATACCACGGAACACTAGAATGTTTTATCTATGTGCTGATTTGTCATGTGCCCGTTTTTCATGCACTGCAACTTCACAATAAGCTACAAAAAATCAACATGTCTTGCTTCGCCCATCACCTCGACATACTTTTCGGGCTGAAATGAACCTGTGGCTTGATTATATATGCATCATACATATTTAATATGTTCATATACATATCATCTTCGGACAAATGGCAGTACTTTGTCAAAAATAAATGAAAAAATCATAAAAACACCTTACTTTCGGTTTTGCAGCGGCACAGGCTACCTCTCTTCATTTGAATTTTTATATCACAGGTACCCTCTCATTTTTTAACACATAGGTACCCTCAAGGCACGACATATGCTTTTATTTGCGATAATCATTAAGTATGTAATTTTTACATAAAAGTAAGAAATATTACATACCTTACAATTAACTGCTGCAAAACAGAAAGTAGGGTGTTTTTATGAATTTTCCAATTATTTTTGACAATATACTGCCATTTGTCCGAAGATGATATGTAAATAAACATACTAAATATGTATGATGCATATATAATCAAGCCACAGGTTCATTTCAGCCCGAAAAGTATGTCGAGGTGATGGGCGAAGCAAGACATGTCGATTTTTTTGTAACTTATTGTGAAGTTGTAGTACATGAAAAACGGGCACATGACAAATCAGCACATAGATAAAACATTCTAGTGTTCCGTGGTAAACATCTTTTCTACGTGTCATACCTTCTTTCCTTATTATATTGAAATTTTACTGGATTGTTATCCATTGCTGGTTTGTTTTTAGCAGAGAGTGGCCTGTGCATGTGCAAAGAGGGTGCCGTTTCAGCAGATTTCGCAAAGAGGGTACCGATATGGATATGCACCGTGGATATATCAGAATTTCTGATATACTATATTTTTTCAAAAATTGTTTTATCGACTGCTTTTATCTATCAGATAAGTTTTCTCTCATTTATTTAACAATGTTTATGAATAAATAAATAATATGAATATTTAGAAATAATCTAAAAAATTATGAGATTATTTTCTACCGAGACGATATTTGGATATTTTATATTTTTTAGCTTTTGAATAATTTTTTGATAAACTATATCGAACGTAGGCACTAAAAGTTAAAAATAAAACAGAAAGAGAAAAATAAAATTAGATTTTCTTTGCAACGGTTGATATTTACATTTGAATTTCGACGTTACGTCATGTGACTTTCATCATCATGTGACGTCTTTGAAGGCAGTGATTACAATTCTGCCAAGGGAGGTAATCACTGTGAGGAGTTTGACCCATTATGGCCTTATATCACTTACCTGAGATTCATTGCTAAAGTAAAATCATACATGTAGCCACATACAGTTTAAAATTTATAGCAGAATAAAAGCACCAAATTTTAATCAGAGCATCTCAAATTTACACCTGTTAAGTAATCAAAATTAATCTTTAAATCAGAGAAGAGACCCATTCTGACATCCAACTTTTCCTGAAAATGTTTATAACCTCCCTTTACATCAATACTTACAAAGACAATGTATTTCACTACGTTCATGATCTGCACTACATGCTCTACAAACGTTAAGTTTGGAACAACAGACTTGTTTACAATAAATGTGACCCCCCCCCCTCCCCCTATTTACTTTTGTAGTGGTCCACTAGGCAATGATACATCAGGGTGTCCGTTTGACCCTTGAAATGACTCTGACCCTTCAAATTTCCAAAAGGCCTGATTTGACCCTCAGGATTTTAACTGGAGGGTCAAATTTTGTTAAAATCATGGACCCATGATTTGACCTCATAGTCTGTAAAACTTAGTCAAAATGACCCTCAGGATTTCTTGGCTAGTGAACACCCTGTACATGCTAAATACAAATGTACCTAAGCTTGTGAGCAATGCAGGTTTTAAACAAAACAAAATGTGTTTTCTTTAAAAATGTAAGTCTACAAGTCTAATTCTATATATGGCCAATATTGAATCAGGGGCATGATTTATATCATTTTTATAAAAGTCCACATGACGATGCTTCATGCCAAATATCTAAGCTTTAAGTGTTGCAGTTTCACACAGTGTTTAATTATATTAGACTATATGAATTAAATGACTCCCTTGGCAAGGCCATTATATTTTGTCTTTTAAGCTCAAATAATGGTTTTAATTTCCTTCCAAGGGTTCAAAAGATACAGAGCTGACACAAAATTTTGAAATTCATACATCATGTACATAAATCATAATGACTTAGTGGGATCTTGACCTCAATCTTATGAAGCTAAAACCGGCGCTCTGCACACCTCATTATGGTGAATATTTCTGCCAAGTAGTTTCAATTTCCTTTGAAATCAGTTTAAAAGAAACAGAGCTAACACAAAATAATTATATCACTCACAGACAGATGTACAACCAAGTGCATAACATTATATGCAAACATGTTTTCCAGCATAAAATAAGCAAGTATATCTGTAATCTAAATGATCTAGTTTCATGTAAATATATATACCCCGGGCTTCCATTAGGTCTCAAAAAATTGCAAATCAGCGACTACAAATCATCTGACATTAAAAGTCATATTATATAGGTAAAGAAGGAAAAGCATTATAATTTGGATGTCACAAGCCAAAAACAAGGAGTAAATCACTGAATGACTCCCAAACACCATGTATATCTGTGGCTCAATGTTATCTTTTGATAATCCTTTATTTCAAAAACATCTAAATCACTGTGGTGAGGGAGAATGGCTTTAAAGAGATAAAGTTGTACACTGTTACTCAATAAACAATATAAATTAGTTAATTAGAATTAATTACCTTCCTCAGCCAAATCTTTGTTATACACCAATTTTCCATGACGTAAATAATTTAACACTGGACCAAAATATGTTCCATCTCTGTCTATCAAATATGCTCCATTATTATCCTGCCAATGCATAGATATTATTGGTATACATGTATGTTTAAGTATCAAATTTCACAACATAGAACTCATTTAAAAAAAACTTATATAAGACAATTTATTCTCTAACACAAACAAAATGTAGAGTATCAATTGAGTATCAAATATTCTGCAGAATTTGATTTTCATTTAAAATTAGCCATTTAAGAGTATATAATTCTCTCATCCTCAATAGATTGCAAGAATCAATTTGTGATGAAAGATTACCCACTCTCATTTAATTGTGCTGAAAGTTATGAGCTTAATGAAACCCTCCCAAATCCATTCCTGGAACCAACCTAAGTCCTAGTCCTAAGAGATAAGTGTAAAGTTTCTTGCACAAGGAAACAATAGCTTGCCCCTGACAGGGTTTCAACTCATACTGCCAGAAATCCTTAGATTCCTAGTCTGATGTGTTAACCACTCAGCCACAGCGCCACTCTCCTTCAATTAATGCCATTAATTAACACTTAGTATGCCTTTAAGTATACCGGGTAGTTGACAGTACCCAGGCAGCCATATTTAAAGTACTTATTGGTACCCACAGATACTGAAAGCCCAAGCACTGAACCAAAATTAAAGTTATTTAGTAGCAAAACAATGATTCTTTACTTTTTGGACAGACATATCCTCACATTATTTTTCTTTTTCCATGGTCAACATAAAATTAACAATTATACTGTCTATTGTTTCTTTTATTTTGTGATTATTATTATCTTTTGTTTTAATGCTATACTATACTATAAGTGTAATGCTATATATATATGTTATTCAACAAGTCATGTACAGATGTATGCTTTCTTTGGTTGTTTAATCCTTGGGTACCAACAAGTACCTTTGGAAATCAGGGAGCTTCTAGCCCTGGGTTTCACCCCTTTGCCCATACCAAGGCCCTACCCTGGATCTATGTGGGCCTAGCTGACATGGTCCCTTACCCAAGAGAAGTTACCCTCACATCACTCCCAACTTCAGCATTCTTGTGTATTCTTATCAATTTTGTCCTACCTACAGTGCTTCAAATTAATATTAAAGTCTAGATGCATTTGCATTTTTTTATTTCATACGAAATTAAATCAAAATGGCATTACATGGGCAAGAAATTATGTAGCCAAATTAAAAGTAATGCAATGTTAGCAAATGGATAAAATGGCTAACAGCAGAGTGAGCCCTGTTGCAGTTATCTAATTCAAATGAGTAATTCCAAGCTTGCCTTTTTCCTGGCAGTATGGAACCCTAAAAATTGCTGAAATGCAGGAATGACAAGCAACTGGAAATTGGCATAGTCAAAACATATTGACATGCCAAAGCTCGATTCAGAGATATTTTCATTCTGAATTTCGCTTCTAGAGTGAGATATTGCCCTGACACGTGACAAAATAGCACAATATCTGAGTATCTCATCGCACAGTACAATTAGTTGGACTAAAAATTAGCACTGCTTCATCTTTTAATCCAACCAAATCATGCACATGCACCTCTATTTTAACCTGGTGAACTTTGCGACATGGTCTAACACATCACTCAATCAACTGTCAAATTCTTTGATGACAACTTAAGAGTAAATAAGACTATTTAAATCTAATCAGATTAACCCGTCATATACATGTACTGTTCCAAATTAGGACAACACTATATTTAATGTGAAAATATTCAAAAATAAGTGACATTTGTCCTGTTTACATATGAAAGTCGTTTTCACACTTTTGATTGTGGTAATTTGTGGTAATATTATTCACCTTATCAGTGTTCAAGTCAGGTTCATCCTGAATTAACCGAAACAAAAATGAATTTGAGTCTTTGGATAAGGTTGTTCTGGTAGTCATGAACACAGTCCCTCCTACATTTAATTTTATCCATTCACTACGCCTTCCATTTTCTTCTGAATGTTGGATGGAGGTATGTTTGGTTGCAGTAGCACAGTCACAATTTTCAGTTTTATTTTTAGCAGTTTCTGCCATTTTTCAACTCAACTAACACAAGAACATCTAGATTTTACAATAATTTGAACACCCTTTTAAGTCATGTTTCCATGCCTTTTGAAGAATTCGTAAGAAAGCTGTAAAATCGTTCCATTAAACAAATTTTATCACAAATCAAGTCATACTATGTTTATCAGTATTTTTCATTCATTGATTTGAACCAATTACTACACTTGTTACATTTCATAACATTTTCCCAGTTTGACGTAAATCGAGTTTGATAGCAAATGCTCACGGTTCGTCCTCAGACGATTCGTCCCAAAACAATTCGAGAAACACTATAAAGTATTGGTTGAAGGAGCAGAAGGTTTGAATTACAGCAAAGTTTGTGGTCTAGACTACAACAAGGCAGGATTTAAAGGTCTAGCATCTTGGTTATATCATTACTATTAGAAAATAGATAAATACAGAATCCTTAAAGAAAGTCCAACACGGCCAAATTGAAAATGTTGCAGACTCGCCTTAGGACATATATGGTTCAGAATAAACAAAATTATATTATGTTATAAACAATCGTTCATACAAGGCCATGTCAGACATCTTTACAATGAATTTATTATACAGCAGCATTACTTTATTTGTAGCGAAGCTAAATATTGAATAAGATCATAAATAGATTGTAGCATTTCGATTCCTTCAAAACCTTGAGAAAACCACTGTGAGGCAAGAGCTTAAAACATAATTCTTACATTATTCATAATTCTTGTAAACATGTGTAAGAATCTGAAATTTTCTTGATAATGTAAAGCCCTGTATTTTATTCAAAACTTGCACATGGAAAATTGCTACAAGCCACCATCTAATATGCAGATTCATTGTTCCATGGGGGAAGCCCTCCAGATACATTTAATAAGCTAGCTAGGACAGTGATGTTAAGTAACTGCTGTACCGAGCCCTAAATTACCCCAAGACATTTCTAGATTGGAGATATTTTTCAAATCGTCACCATTTTAAAGTAATTTGGAATAACTATTACAATATATGTTTATGCTTGGAATTAGTAAAAGAAATTAATGAAGGAAAGAATTTCATAGAAATTAATTTTCATTCATTAAAGTGGCATTATGCCCATTAAATCAGGTAAAACTCAAAATTACTCTCATTTTACAATAATTGTATTTAATTTTATATTTTACTATGTAAAAACAAAGGAATACGCCCGTCACAAAAGGGTTTGACAGAGATGATGGCATATTATGGGTATGCATAAAGGAGATATGCCCTGGGCAATATCCGAAAACTATCTGGATATTTTATCATCTCTAGTGACCTTGACCTTGTCAATATTAACCTTAATTACATGTGTCACATTTGTAGTCATGATAGTTATTATTTGTGTTACAATCCATCAATAAAGGATGACTAAATGGTCCCCGGCGGTCATCAAATTTGACCTCTCTATGTGACCTTAACTTTGTATCAGGGATCTGGATTATGTGCTCCTAACAAGCATTATCAATGACCTCTAAGTGTGACTTTAACCTTTAACCTAGAGACTTGGTTCATGCATGTGACACTGCTTCTCATACTGGTGAACATCACTATGATGTTTCATGATAAACCCACCATGCTTGGAAGAGATATGCTCTAGACATTTTTTTTTATATTTTATCATCTTTAGTGACATTGACTTAGCATATATTAACCTAAATTACATGTTTCACACCAGTAGTTATGATAATGACCATCTTTGTTTCAATTCCTCAATACATGATTACTAAATGGTCCGAATACACATTTTCATATTTTTATCTGAAATTTGGCCCCTATGTGTGACCTTGACCTTGGATGCAGGGACCTGAATTTTGCACTCAACACTCCGCCTTACAATGGTGAACTTTTGTGCGAAGTTATATTGAAATCCCTCTATGTATGTAGAAGTTTTGCCCCGGACAAGCGTTTTTCAATGACCTCTAAGTGTGACCATAACCTTTGACCCAGAGACCTGGTTCCTGCGCGGGACACGGCTTCATATAGTGATGAACATTTCTACCAAGTTTCATCAAAATTCCTCCATGCATGCAAGAATCCACATGAACAAAGGGAATTTCTATAAATATAGTTCGTGTTAGCGTTCAATTTAAAAAAAAGATTGTGAAATTCATCTTATAACAAAAATCTTTTTTCTTCTTTTTTTTAATATATGGATAAAATATAACATGAATGACACGATTAAGCATATTTTAGGTCAAATCAATGCGACTAGCATCTTTGCATGCAGTAAGTTTTTTTTCCACAATCCGGTATACAGTAAGTGGAACATATTCTTATTGAATATTCAAGCGTCCTTCCCGTCTTCTTCAATTCTTCAACGACCTTTCACGATGGCTGCGAGAAGGGTGACCAAATCTGCTGTTGACTGGGTAGCATTACAGTCAAAAGTCCCCTCAAAACAAACGGATGCATACAGAGTCCTAAAATCTCATAGTGACAAGTATATATCTAGGTATGTAAGGAGAATCTGACAATTTATTCAAGGTTTTTCGTACCTTAAATATTCGTACCTAATTTAAGGCTTGTGCCCTTGCATGAAAAATTAGCCAATGCACACACAAAATTTGTTTTTAATAGCTTACACATATAACGTTTAATATATAAAATGTGCTAAAAAATTAAAAGTCTATTTTCAGAGTAAAATAAAATCATTCATATAAATGACCCCTACGGTAAGTTGAAATTTATCTCTGTTTGACAGTGTTTCTCGTATTCTCAGTCAATTAGGTCAAATTTTTATGAAATTGTTTTTTCATTTTCTGATATTCAAACAAATTGTTTGGGTTTTTTTTTTGTCAATTTGCAAAGGGTCGGTATACTTTGCAGACGACTTTGCAGACAAGTTAAACATAGAAGGATTAAACATAGAGGGATTTTGCAGACAAGTTAAATAAAGAATGATTTTAGATTTTGCAGACAATATAGATTATATAGGGGGTGTTTAATCCCTTGTCAAAAGGTGTGAATAGGTAATTATATTGATTTAATGCCATCTAGAAAGATCTATAATTATTTGCAAAACTCTAATTATTATTTTTTTTAGAATAATTTATGCTTTTATATAAAAAAATATAGATCTAAAAAAATAATTAAAAAACACTAAGACTAAGTAATTGCATGAAACAGAATATAATGATTATAACAAACAAACAATTTTAATTAACCTTTTTTAAGTAAATACATAAAGTATAGACAGAATTAATGTTGAATTTTGCAGACAAGTTAAAATAAGAAGGATTTTGCAGACAATTTAGATAGGGAACAGAATATAAAATGAAAGGGGAATATTAGAAAAATCTGTATTTTGCAGACAGAATTAATGTTGAATTTTGCAGACAAGTTAAAATAAGAAGGATTTTGCAGACAAGTTAGATATAGAACAGAATATAAAATGAAAGGGGAATATTAGAAAAATCTGTATTTTGCAGACATAATTAATGTTGAATTTTGCAGACAAGTTAAAATAAGAAGGATTTTGCAGACAAGTTAGATATAGAACAGAATATAAAATGAAAGGGGAATATTAGAAAAATCTGTATTTTGCAGACAGAATTAATGTTGAATTTATTATTAATCAATAATTATTTTCTTTACTTTAAATTAATTGTTGCTTCTGTATATCTACTATTAATAATTTTAATCCATTTATAGCCTTTTCAGTTCTTTGTATGACCTTTTGTCCTGTGCATTGTTAATGACATTCAATGATTACAAGGTGTGAACCAATTAGTAATAAATGATCTGTACCAGTATTTATTGTTATTTTAAAGTGTCAATACATGCTGTATATTCAATTTGATTATCTATGTGATATCTTGGTTAAAATATCTTGAATGTCAATAAAGATAAAAAAAACAAAAACATGCAAAATATGCAGAACCAGTGGCTTTAAATTTTTTTGTTGTTTCACTGCCAATAACGTGCAGTAGAGGGGCAAATGTTTTCATGAAGGGGAAATTTAGAAACAGACAAAACGTTCCATTTCTTGATAAATTTATGTTTAAGTTTAAAAATGTGAAACAAAATCATATTGTATTCAAACTACAATATTCCTCTCTGATGAAGTGAAACTAAAAAAAATGTTTCTAGTTTATTACATGTATTTGTAAGGACAAAGGGAAAAATATATATATTACATACTTTTTTAGGAGGGTAATGGGGCCCCAATTTGGCCAAATAGCCCTTAAAAAGCACTGTTATTTGATCTCCAAGTCTGTAAATTTACTGAAAGTTGAGCAGGATAATTATAAATGATATATATATATATATATCAAATTTGTGTTTTATGCATTATAGAGTTGCTGAATTGCCAGAGTCTTTACCAAAAATTGACTTTGGAGAGTACAAACGAAGGATTGCAAGTCCTGCATTTGTTGATGAATTTGAAAAATTGGTAATATATTTAACTTCAAAATATTTTTTACATACATGTACTTGACTCAGTGAGTAAAACTATGATACTTTATATGAAAGAGATTTAAAGTTTTATATTCAAGATAGATTAAATCATATTTTTTCCATTTCATTCTTATAATCCAGTTATCAAGGATTTGTTTTAGGATACTTTTTGTTTCATTTCTTTAGTAAATTAAACTATTTTTAAATCTAGATCTATATAACCTTGAAAAGCTACAAAGAATGAGTATTAATCATTTGAAGCAAGTATTATTTTCTAATATAGACTGTATTTAAATACTAAAGAAAGCTATAAAGACAGTATATATTTTTACAGTATAATGCAATGGAAGTTCCTTACCCAAAAGATCCTGCAAATCAGAAGGCCAAGTTTGATAGTGAAGAAAAAGTTGCAGTAAGTATACATGGATAGATGGTTACAATCAGTTTGCTAAATTTCTATATGTAATTTTGTAATTGTTCAAAAACGTTCTAAATTTGAAGGATTTTCATTATAAAAAAAGAATAAAATTTAGCAGTGTTGCATAGTGGAGGCAAAGCTTTGAAGTTATTCAAAGTAGCTACAATTAATAGCTACAAGTAAGTGTCATCATGCCAGTGATAACATGACTACCAACTTGATATGGCCCAGTCATCTAGAACCTAGGACAAGACCATACACATTACTGAAATGTGCGTGACATTTTTAGCTCACCTGTCACAAAGTGACAGGGTGAGCTTTTGTGATCGCTTTTCGTCCGGCGTCCGTCGTCCGTCCGTCGTCCGTCCGTCGTCCGTCGTCCGTAAACTTTTACTTTAAATGACATCTCCTCATAAACCACAAGGCCAATTTCATCCAAACTTCACAGGAATGTTCCTTTGGTGGTCACCTTTAAAAATTGTTCAAAGAATTTAATTCCATGCAGAACTCTGGTTGCCATGGCAACCGAAAGAAAAAACTTTAAATATCTTCTTGTAAAAAACCATAAGAGCTAGAGCTTAGATATTTGGCATGAAACATCTTCTAGTGAGTGTCTACCAAGTTTGTTCAAATAAAAGCCCTGGGGTCAAAATTGGCCCCGCCCCGGGGGGTCATTGATTTTCCCTATATGCATATAGTGAAAACTTAAAAAATCTTCTTTTAAAGAACTCAAAGAGCTATGGCTAAGATATTGAGCATCAAACATGTTCTAATAGGTGTCTATCAAGTTTGTTCAAAGAAAAGCCCTGGGGTCAAAATTGGCCCCGCCCCAGGGGGTCATTGATTTTCCCTATATGCATATAGTAAAAACTTAAAAAATCTTCTTTTAAAGAACCAAAAGAGTTAGAGCTAAGATATTTAGCATGAAACATGTTCTAATAAGTGTCTACCAAGTTTGTTCAAATAAAAGCCCTGGGGTCAAAATTGACCCCGCCCGGGGGGGGTCATTGATTTTTCCCTATAAATGCATATAGTAAAAACTTAAAAATCTTCTTTTAAAGAACTCAAAGAGCTATGGTTAAGATATTTAGCATCAAACATGTTCTAATAGGTGTCTACCAAGTTTGTTCAAATAAAAGCCCTGGGGTCAAAATTGGCCCCGCCCCGGGGGTCATTGATTTTCCTTATATGTGTATAGCAAAAACTTAAAAAATCTTTTTTGAAAAAACCCAAATAGCTAGAGTTAAGATATTAAGCATGAAACATCTTTTAGTGAGTGTCTACAAAGTTTGTTCAAATAAAAGACCTGGGGTCAAAATTGGCCCCGCCCCGGGGTCATTGATTTTCCTTATATGTGTATAGCAAAAACTTAAAATCTTCTTTGAAAAAACCCAAAAAGCTAGAGTTTAGATATTAAGCATGAAACATATTCTAGTGAGTGTCTACAAAGTTTGTTCAAATAAAAACCCTGGGGTCATAACTGGCCCGGCCCCAGGCGTGTCATTGTTTTTAACTATATGTGTATAGTAAAAACTTTAAAAAAATCTTCTTTTAAATAGCCCAATGAGCTAGAGCTTAGATGTTTAGCATGAAACATTTTCTTATGGGTGTCTACCAAGTTTGTGCAACTAAAAGCCCTTTGGTTAAATTGGCCCTGCAATGTTTTTGGGGGGGGGGGGGGGGGGGGGGTTGGGGCGGCCTATATACAGGTGAGCGACCTCAGGGCCATCATGGCCCTCTTGTTACTTATCAGATTTTAGGTACATGTACATACTTATTGAAACAAATTGATTTTTTTTTTTTTTGGTCATTACTGGTACCTTTATTATAATACGTCAATTGATGTTATATTTTGTTGTCAATTAAGTAATATATTTTGTGTGAATACTAAAACTTAGCAAGACATTGGACTTGTTCTAAATGAAAAACTTGTGTTTAACAAATATCGTGTTTAACAAATATCTTCAATTTAATTGACTTTATAAAAAGGTTCAAAACTTATTGGTAAATTTTATACTTATGTTTGTTTTTGTAACACATTTCAGTTGCAAGAAAAAGATGCTTTCGTTGCAGCGTCACAAGCTAAGCTGAAAGGACTGAATGAAATTGTAGGTTTATTGTTGGTGTTCGGAATGAAATCTACTTTAGTCATAAACAAATAGTTTTGTTAGCTTTAGTTTACTTCTAGAAAAAAAGAGAAGCGTTTGTGTTAACCCATATGACATTCATTTACTTTTAAAGCTCACCTAAGGGGGTCATATGTTTTCCTTACATATATAAAGTAAAAACTTAAAATTTTCTTCTTTAAAACCCCAAGGGCTAGAGCATAGCTATTTGGCATATTAAAAATCATCTACGGAACTGTACCAAAACTGTTCAAGTTATTGCCGGTGGCCTTGACCACTAAAAGCATCTTAGATCAATAACCAAAGAACATTTTTGCTTACTGTCCTAAGGTCAATGTGAATGTAAGACAAAAGTCTTAGCCCTATCATTGAAAGAACCCTCAATGCGACCCAGTGACCTCTTTCTGCAATGAAGAATTATGACCTTTTTTAGCAATGGATCTGTTAACGGTGAGAAATCTTGGGCAAAATTATCCCACTTGTTATAACAAATCAAGTTATATTTTCAACTTGTTTGTATTGTCGAGGTTTATAATAAAGTTGTTATATTAATATAATTATGTTCAGGAACAAAGAAATGGACAGGAGACCATGCTAAGAAAAGTAAAATGAATAATTAGCATTGTGCAGATCTGGATGGCCATTCCATGACCACCCATATATGACTCCATGAGTGACCTAAGAAATCCATTGCATTGTTTACATCATTCACCATTATTTCAGTTGTCAGCTATAGCAAGTATACCACCACCAGAGAAGATGACAATGCAGATGTATAACCACTATTTCCCAGAAGCAGCTATCAACCCCAACAGAGCAAACCCAGGATTTGCCCCACATCACTTAAAGAGTGCTCAGATGGATCTAATGGAGCAATACTATAATACAAGCAGAAATTCGAGGTATGTTGATTGTTATAGAGAGCTTTTGTGGTTATCTTTTGTATCTTTATATTCAATCTTAAGCTTAACCCCAATGACCCGTTTTTCAATTTTCAAACTTAGTATGGACCTTAAAATGTCCTGACAATAGTTAAAAGCAAGCAAAATAAGGTGGCCCTCTTTTTATAGAACTCACGTAAAAACCTTTTTGCAACCAGCTTTGTCAAATATGTTTGTTTGTCCCTTATGATGCTTTCACTAGAAGGTCTACAAGTTTGACCAATGTTTCATAAATCTTTAATGCTTCTGAAGTGGCTAAAATTTTCATACCTGGCATTGAGATCTAAGAACAACTTAATAAGAATGGGAGGAAATGAGGGACTTTTTTTTTTTTTACTTTGATGCAGATAATAAAAGTTAAGCAATGTTGAGGTTATCAGATATTGAGACACATGATCAACTTGAACTCTTAACCTGTCCTCCCAAGTGTGCTCCAAGCAAGTGTGTATTGGGAGTTCAGTTACACTTTTTAACATACTTTTTGTGGACCATCTCTAATTGTGAACATTGTAAGGTGATCAGTAGAGGAACACTCATCTATACGTTGACAATTGCTTTGTAAGATAATGTTTTTTGGCATATTCATGTTTTACCTTACTTCCTTACATTTTACCTTACTGCCAAGGTCTTCCTTTGCCAGTAAAACTGAAAAAATGCAATATATGACCTTCAAATTGTTGGTGCGAATTAAGAGTCCGACAACAGAAAACCTTGTAGGTGGTTTTACTCAGGTGGCCGTTCTTGCCTGAAGTAATGCACGGAAGGGCACTCGAGGTCTTCCTCCAGCAGTAAAGCTGGAACGTCTCCATATGACCTATACTGTGTTGGTGAATGATACCTAGCGAACTGTTTGCATATTCTTTTGAATTTTTCATTACAGAAACCAGGAGACGATTGAGGAGTGGGAGGAGATTTGGAGACTGAAGGTAGAAAAGCAGAAGGCCGAGAAAGCCAAGCAGATGGCCGAGAAACAGGGCAAGGAAATAAAAAGTTAAAATGTTTGAATTCTAGTGCTGATAAAGAAAATATTTATCTATGTTAAGAAAAATATGAAACTTGAACGAAATTGACATTTGGTTTAGAAGCAAGAACAAAATGCTCATTTGGAAATGATGAAATGTTATTTGCAGATGATAATAGAAAAATCTTGAAAGGTGTTGTGTGCTAAATTAAAGAATAATTATAAATGGTGTAGTTTTTAATAAATTACTAAACCTCAATTTCTGGTATTTTTTTTTTTAGCTCTTGAAGTCGCTTGTCTATAATTTACAATTTACTGATATTTCTATCAACACGTTACTTTAAACAATCTCCAGAACCACAGCATATAATGTACAAGATGTACAAACTTCAGTTAACAATGTATTCTGTAAATCCAAAGTTCTTGGCAGAATTCATATCCACAATAGTGATGGTGGTGATCAGTGAGTGATTCAGTCTGAGAACTTCACCTGACAAAGCCACAGAGGATGCTCTAAATGACTTGCTGAGAAATTTATCATACATGCATGTTATGATAACATGGGTATTAAACTCCTTGAATTGTGACTTAATTTAATATGACTAATATGTGCATGCATAACAAATATGAGTTAAATGAATGAAGTGCAAGAAAATTTACTGTGCCAAGGAAACATATATTAACACTGTCATACCATTTTGCCTTCAAAAACAATTTATATAGTGTTAATACAACTGTTACTTTCTAAAGATGAAATCAACTGATTTATAAATCAATAAAATGTTTGTCAAGTAACCCCGCTTTATACCGCCTCCGTGGTCGAGGGGTTAGAGTCGATGACTTCTAATCCAGTTACCTCTCTGGCTTGGGTTCGATCCCTGGGAGATGCTTTGGTAGTTTAGCGCGGTAGTCTAGTACTGGTGTAACTCTCCAGGAACGATGGTTAGGAAACTACCCGCCTATATGACTGAAATACTGTTGGGAAAAGGCGTAAAATGAAACAAACAATCAAAACCCCGCTTTATGACACACGTTAAATCTGCAGATATTTGCATCACTGTCTTTGGTTAAATCTCACAAAAAAACATAACTGAAATAAAACAAATTATGTACAAAATATGAAGGGCAGGCTTGATGACAGACTAAACATAACACATTGTTCTATGGACACGGTGTATACAAATTACATATGAAAATAACTAATAAATTGTGGCTGTTACAACACACGCATTTAGTCATAAACAAGAACAAACAAGTTTGTTAAATTGATATCACCAACTATATTATACAAATCACTTGATTGAAGCTTCTTAGCATATCTTCTTTTGTCTATTTTACATAGCACCAACACAGTATCGGTCATTTGGCAATTTCCCAGCTTTACTGGTGGAGGAAGACCTCAGGTGCCCTTCCGTGCATTATTTCAGGCACCTGAGTAGAACCACTGACACTTTGTTAGCAAGTTGGATAGTTTCATCACATGAAAGAATAAAAAATCCCTGTCTGGATTCTAACCTACAGTTGTGAGGGAAAAATAGTCGGAAGTCAACGACCATAACTACTCGTCCACAGATGACTTTTCTTAGTACATGTATATCTATCCCCCATCCAAGGTGGAGGGATATTGATTAGCAGTTTGTCTGACTGTTCTTCCTTCCGGCCATTTAGCACACTGATTGGAACTTTTGACTTAAACTATTGGTTCCATCACACTCACTTCCTTATTCCTGAATTATTCCCCTTTGCAATTTTTTTTCTTTTGGACAACAGTATTAAAGATTTTTCAGGAACTGTAACTCTTCACTTGATAACTTAAATCTGCATATGTTATTATGACCAAATGATATGATATAATGTCATGATAATATTTTAATGACAATATCTCAAAAGTATGCCCTTAACTATGAGAGCTCTTTGCTTGACATGGCTCATTTGTTTTGGCTTTGTATCATTATTAGTTAATAAAAGCCATATCCATTTTAGCTAAACTATTTGAAGGAAAGGGAGAGCTATTGTGCTCGCCCAGGCCTCGGCATCACACTTTGGTACAGTTTTTGCAACAACTGAAGAGAAAGGGTTGAAACTAATTCTTACACTTGTTCTCTGTGATTATCTAACAGGAAAGGCACAGGTCCTATTACTCCGAGTGACCTTTTTAGCTCACCTGTCACAAAGTGACAGGGTGAGCTTTTGTGATCGCTTTTCGTCCGGCGTCCGTCCGTCCGTCGTCCGTCCGTCCGTAAACTTTTACTTTAAATGACATCTCCTCATAAACCACTAAGCCAATTTCATCCAAACTTCACAGGAATGTTCCTTTGGTGGTCACCTTTAAAAATTGTTCAAAGAATTTAATTCCATGCAAAACTCTGGTTGCCATGGCAACCGAAAGAAAAAACTTTAAATATCTTCTTTTAAAAAACCATAAGAGCTAGAGCTTACATATTTGGCATGAAACATCTTCTAGTGAGTGTCTACCAAGTTTGTTCAAATAAAAGCCCTGGGGTCAAAATTGGCCCCGCCCCGGGGGGTCATTGATTTTCCCTATATGCATATAGTAAAAACTTAAAAAATCTTCTTTTAAAGAACCCAAAGAGCTAGAGCTAAGATATTTAGCATGAAACATGTTCTAATGGGTGTCTACCAAGTTTGTTCAAATAAAAGCCCTGGGGTGAAAATTGGCCCCGCCCTGGGGGTCATTGATTTTCCCTATATGCATATATTAAAAACTTAAAAAATCTTCTTTTAAAGAACTCAAAGAGCTAGAGCTTAGATATTTGGCATGAAACATCTTCTAGTGTGTGTTATTACCAAGTTTGTTCAAATAAAAGCCCTGGGGTCAAAATTGGCCCAGCCCCGGGGGATCATTGATTTTCCCTATATGCATATAGTAAAAACTTAAAAAATCTTCTTTTAAAGAACCCAAAGAGCTAGAGCTAAGATATTTAGCATGAAACATGTTCTAATGGGTGTCTACCAAGTTTGTTCAAATAAAAGCCCTGGGGTGAAAATTGGCCCCGCCCCGGGGGTCATTGATTTTCCCTATATGCATATAGTAAAAACTTAAAAATCTTCTTTTAAAGAACTCAAAGAGCTAGAGCTTAGATATTTGGCATGAAACATCTTCTAGTGTGTGTCTACCAAGTTTGTTCAAATAAAAGCCCTGGGGTCAAAATTGGCCCCGCCCCGGGGGGTCATTGATTTTCCCTATATGCATATAGTAAAAACCTAAAAAATCTTCTTTTAAAGAACCCAAAGAGCTAGAGCTAAGATATTTAGCATGAAACATGTTCTAATGGGTGTCTACCAAGTTTGTTCAAATAAAAGCCCTGGGGTGAAAATTGGCCCCGCCTTGGGTGGTCATTGATTTTCCCTATATGCATATAGTAAAAACTTAAAAAATCTTCTTTTAAAGAACTCAAAGAGCTATGGCTAAGTTATTGAGCATTTAACATGTTCTAATAGGTGTCTACCAAGTTTGTTCAAATACAAGCCCAGGGGTCAAAATTGGCCCCGCCCCGGGGGTCATTGATTTTCTTTATATGTGTTTAGCAAAAACTTTAAATCTTCTTTGAAAAAACCCAAATAGCTAGAGTTTAGATATTAAGGATGAAACATCTTCTAGTAAGTGTCTACAAAGTTTGTTCAAATAAAAGCCATGGGGTCAAAACTGGCCCTGCCCCAGGGGTGTCATTGTTTTTAACTATATATGTATAGTAAAAACTTTAAAAAAATCTTCTTTTAAAAAGCCCAATGAGCTAGAGCTTAAATGTTTAGCATGAAACATCTTCTTATGGGTGTCTACCAAGTTTGTGCAAATAAAAGCCCTTGGGTTAAATTGGCTCTGCAACGTTGGGGGGGGGGGGGGGGTTGGGGGGGGCCTATATACAGGTGAGCGACCTCAGGGCCATCATGGCCCTCTTGTTACAGAATAATGCCCCTTTTCTTTACAGTTGAACACACTGTCTTATAGACAGATCTTGGTTTTTATATTCTGTACATAAGACATCATGTACTATGAAGCTTCAATCAAGTATTTTTTTATGCCCCCGCCATATAATGGCTGGGGCATATAGTGTTACGTCCTGTCATTCTGTCATCATCAGTTTCAGTTCATTATCTAAGTAACGGTTGCACACATTCAACTCAAATTTGACATATGGATATGTCATGAGAAAATACAGGTCAAGTTAGAATTTGGTCATGGTTCGGTGATTTTTGGCAGAGTTATGCCCCTTTTACTTTGAAAATAATATGAAATTTTCAGTTTCCGTTCATTATCTCCCCAACGGTATTACACATTCAACTCAAACTTGACATATGGATATGTCATGAGAAAATACAGGTCAAGATCAAATTTGGTCACCGTTCAATGATTTTTGGCAGAGTTATGCCCCTTTTACTTGAAAATAATATGAAATTTTCAGTTTCCGCTCATTATCTCCATAACTGTATTACACATTTTACTCAAACTTGACATATGGATACATCAAACTAATGCGCAGGTCAAGTTCCTATTTAGTCATGGTTCAATGATTTATGGCAGAGTTATGCCCCAGTCACTTTGAAAATAATCTGAAATTTTCACTTTCCGCTCATTATCTCTCCAACAGTATTACACATTCAACTCAAATTTGACATATGGTTACGTCAAAGGAATGCGCAGGTTAAGTTCGAATTTGGTCATGGTTCGATGATTTTTGGCAAAGTTATGTCCCTTTCACTTTGAAAATAATATGAAATTTTCAGTTTCCGTTCATTATCTCCTCCATGGTATTACACATTCAACTCAAATTTGACATATGGATACGTCAAAGAAATGAGCAGGTCAAGTTCGAATTTTGTCATGGTTCCATGATTTTTGGCAGAGTTATGCCCCTTTAACTTTGAAAAAAAAGCAAATTTTCAGTTCCCATTCATTATATCCCCAACAGTAATACATATTCAACTCAAATTAAAGATATGGATATGTCATAAAAATGCATTGGTCAATTTCGAATTTGGTCATGGTTTAATGATAACTGACAGAGTTATCCCTTTTGAACTTCGAAAAAAAAAATCAGAAATTTTAAGTTTCCTAATGGTTGTACACATTCAACTCAAATTTGACATATAGATACATGTTAGGAATAAGCAGTTCAAGTTTGAATTTGGTCGTGGTTAAATAATTTTGGATAAAGTTTTCTTTCTTGAATGTTGGAAAAATTTTGAATTTTCAGTTTCAGCACTCATACTTTTGTGGAAATGTATGTAGCCATTATTTTGGCTACAAATATGCAATTTACAAAAGGTTAACACTCAGAATAGTTTCAGTGCCTTGAACTTTGTATAAACATTGAACATTGAATAGTTTGAAGGGCTTTGAACTTAAAATGAAAAAAATAATTTGTGCAAACAAATTTGGAACTAAATATAACATCTGAAATTTTGGCTGCATGCGGGGGCATCCGTGGCATGACGACACATTTCTAGTATTGTATGGTGGGACATATCAATAAGTTCTGATAATGACCCAATAACGTTTTTGCCTTTCATTTAGAATGATGAAACTGTATGAGTGAGTAACAATTATTAAGCTTCTAATTGATGTAAAACATGTTTCCGTGCAACATATGACGTCACATATATATATGACGTCATTTGAACGTAGCTAAAGTGTCATTGCCGCGGTAAGCCTAGATGAACAGCGTTTATATATAAAGGAAATACAAGAACAATTATGTGAAGCTTGAGGTGAATCTGCTGTTTCATTTAATAAAGTTTATAGATGGATTAGGCGATTTACAAATGGAAAATTTGATGTTTCTGATGACCCTCTTTGCGGACAGCCAGTTGAGGTTACAGAAAAGTTCCATGTTGAAAAAGTTTGGGACCTATTGAATAAGATCGGCGATTAACATGCCAGGAGTTAGCTGAAAGTCTTGGTATTTCTGTTGAGTCAATTCAAACAATTCTGACACATCATTTGCTAATGCTCCAAGTTTCTGCAAGATGGGTGTCACATCACCTCAGGCAGGACCAAATGACAAACCAGTAAGTGATTGCAGAAAATCACTTAAAAAGATATGAAAATAAAGGCGAACAGTATTTAAATTGCATTGTGGCAATAGATGAGACATGGCTTTGTAGCTTTGAATGCGAATCAAAGTAACAGTCTTCCGAATATAACACTCCAAGGCCTGCAAATTTTAATGAAAATAAAGGAACCTCAAACAGCTCGCAATTATAACCTATGACAAGAGCTGTCGGTAGGACAGCAACGCTCGACTATTCTTATTGCTTGACAGTAAAAATAGATCAGAATGGAAAGCTGTTGTCACAAATGAATAATTTAGTGCCTATATCATTGTCCTCTTCATTGTTCTTTTAGATACATGAAAGATTATTTAGTCACCTTACTATATTAACATCATTAAAGAAAATTTACTATTTTATTAAATTATTCCACTAGCCACGTAAGTTTACATTTGTGAGTATGGGCAGATGAAGGGATAACCCCATTTCATATGCAAAGAAACAATTTAACAATAAATTTTTCTAGGAATATATTTCACAATGAATACACTAAAAAAAACATAACATAGTAACATAGTAAGCTAAAAAAACAAAACATTTATCCACAATAACATTTTTAAACAGGATACATTCTTCCATGAATACATTTAACAAATTAACATGCATACAAAAGACGTTTTTTTTCTCAATGAATTTTTATCCATGAATATATTTCCATGGACTTATTTAACCAGGAACACATATATTCAAGAAATACACTTCTCTATGGATAAATTTCAACATGATTATATTTTGTCAGCTGTATTATGAACCATGAACACAATTTGTATGGATAAGTATAATTATGAACACATTTTCTAATGTAACATACATGTATAATCATGAACACATTTTCTATGGATACATATAATCATAACACATATATCTACATATAATTGACCGTAAACACATTTAAACATTAAAATATACCCAAAAAAAACCAAAAAGCAAAGTTTGCATTAAAAGCTGTATACATGTACAATATGACACTTGATATTTTCAAAATAAAAAAAATACAACAGAGATGAAGCACAAATACCCCTCATAAAGTCCGAGTTCTACTCGGTTTGAAAAATTACAAAGGACAATAACTCCACTTATGCCAAAGAAAGTTTTGCTTTTCAAGCACTACACCTCCTCGATGAGATCTATCCAATTTAAATGCTTTATAATGATACATTCAATATCTTTCAAGTTATGCTCTGTACAAAATAACATGGCCGTGATGGCCAAAGAATGCCCTCATGAGATTCATGGTCAGGGTCATTTTTGATCCCCAAGTGCACAAGTTATATTGTTTATTGTAGAGGTATACCGAATTATGCTTTATGCGTATTTGATCCAGGGGCCATAATTATTTTTTCATCCCTAAAAAAGGGCTAGGTGCGGAGGGGAGCATTTTTGACAGTCCATGATTTTCACAAATATTGTAGACACAGACTTAATTATACCACATGCAAAATTATCAAACTTTTTGAAAAGAATTTAAAGACTTTTAATATGCTTATCTAAGCATTATTAACTTAATACGGCATTTAAAAATAATCATCTTAAAACTGATATCTTAAACTGATGTTGACCAGATCTGTGAGAAAGAAGTAACAATAATATGGTTATTAATGCAAATGCACAGCAAGTTATAAATCTGCCTTTCTAATGGAAAACTAAGAATAGTGGGTAAAAGTTTTTCCCCACTATATTTCTTCTGCATAACTAGGAAAAGAGGAACATGCGGGGCACTTGTGGCCCTGAATCCTGCATAATTATAATAGAAAAAAGTTAAGTTGCTTGAAATAGTAGAATTGAAAATTGTCAGAGATATGTTGGTGTAGCATCAACATCCAGGTACAAATTACTGGTCTCCTCTTTATACAATGATGTTACACTTTTCTCCAATTGTTGGTCACCACTATCAGTATCTAAATAAATAATAGCAATGTATTTACTGCAAAATCATTATTATTCGTTGGGAACTAATTTCGTGTTTTTCGTGGGTAGCTCAATCCATGAATTTAAGATCCAACAAAATTTCATTTCATCTGCTGAAAGATTATTTTGCATCACATTATTTACATTTTACCTTTTGGAAAAAATAAACAGTCCATGAATTTAAGTACCCACGAAAATGTTCTTTGTGACAAAACCACGAAATTTCATGTCCACAAAATGAAGTGTATTCACAGTAACTCTCTTCACACTACCAGTTAACATGACTTGCCTATACATTCTGTATACAGAAAGCCTAACTTGAACATCCATGCTGTCAACTGTGTCTTAGGTTGCAACATTTCACCATTTCCGTAGTAATACATTTAAAACTAATACAACTTTTGTAAAAGTCCAAAAGGTGATGCTACATATCAACTATCATAGCTCTGGGCATTGCAGTTTCTGAGACTGCAAGATTAATTCCAAAACAATAACAAATACTGAATAAGTGTCACAAGCCACATGTTTTACTCAACAGTTGTCTATTTTTTTCATGAATCATTTTTGTAACCAATTTCAACTGGTAATGTTCTTTGCAGGCAACATTGGTCAAGTTTTTTTTAATACCATAGTTGTGTTCCATACTCAACAGAGTTTAAGTTTTTTATTGCCATAGCTGTGTTTTTTACTCAACAGTAGTCAGGTTTTTCACTTATTTTTTTCTTTCTCTCAGATGTAATTTTTCACTGATAGTGTTTTTTTTTAGACCTCAAGTAGTCCAGTTTTTCACTAATAAATTTGGTACTCAACAGTAGTCAGCTATTTTTTTGCTTGTAGTGTTTTCTGAACTACACAGTAGTTAAAATTTTTACTAGTTGCCTAAAAGCAGTCAAGTTGATCAAGAATGAGAAGAAGCTAAGCTCATACTATGATTTTAGTTTTTCAATTTTCAACACTTCAGAAACATTGGCTAGTACCTCACAAATTATTTATTGTGTCATTGACAATAACACAATAAATGGTTTAAATGTAACTGTTAATATTTCATGGTAGAGGAAATTCTCAGATTTCCCTGTTCTAACACAGGGACAAATTGCCACAAAGGTCCCAACATCCTTATTCCAAAAGTCAGATAAGTGAATTTCTCACATACACAAAAGTTACATTTCCAAAGTGTATATTTAAGTAGAAAAGCAGGTTTAAAAGTCACCACTTTTTAACCATTTCATGTTAATACAAGTATAATATTTACACCTCCTTACTTAATCCTGTATTAAAATAAAGAAAAATATCATAAAAGTAATTGAAACCTGTTCAATCTCTGTACAGAAATAAGTTGTAAAAGATATTGATAGTAACATAAAATCACAAGGTTAACTTATTAAAAGCTTTGTCACTGGTAAAAAGTTATGATTTTTCTACATTACAGTAAATAACTATTTATCCTTCATGACTTAAAGTCTATGACTTGAACAATATCTCACCTTCAGATAGTTCAGAGTTTGCGGTGTACAGAACAACACACGATACTGGCACATCATTCGGATTAAAGGCACTGAACACCTTTATGTTCAGACCACAAGCTTGCTTTGTCCTTGATGGCAACACATCTTCTAACATGTGTATACCGTCCGATGGCATAACATGTACGACACAGAAACATTCATGCTCAGCGTTTTTTCGAACAAATTGCTGAACAAGTTTCTGCAGATAGTGTTTGAAGTTTACAACATCGCGGTCAACCTTACGTACAATCATCACCTTTACCAAACTCTTTAAAAGTGGGTTTGGAGAGATGGTCTCCAGCTGAAATTCTATCTCCCGGGCCACACAAAGAAATTTTGGGCCATGGTCAACACGTAACGCCTCTTCTTGGGGGAATACATTTACTTCAATACATCTGTTCTGCAGCTTTGGTAAGAGCCAGTTTAGCATGATTTTCTTCTCCGCAGAAGGTCGTAGATGTTTAGCAGTATGATTGGGCATAATCGTGTGCTTTGTCCATTGGTACACACTTACAATGGACCACACATCACCAACTTCGAGTACAGATTTTGGAAGAGACAATGTTAGAATGTACAAGTTATTGTCATTTATACTTAGAATGTTAGCTACTCCTGATTTATATTTTGAATTGATCTTATGAGACAATTTTTTCACTCGTAGTTCCATGTTTTCATCGGAGTCATTTATACAGCTCATACATTCATACTGTTCCACTGATACATTAGTGAGTGCATCTACAAATCCTTCTGTGTCTTTGTGGCTGAAATTAGAAAGAAAACAATATATATAAAGAGAAACATTTGTATTAATTCTAATAATCTACTTTTCTTCGGTAAAAAGTGATGTTATACAAAAGAATGTAATAAAATATAGTAAAAATGTTTCTGTTGCCAAAGTCATTTATTTCAAAACATTTTATCACCTTAATTTAAGAATAAAGATGAAGATTAAGACGAAAAAATAAATAAAATGGTGAAGACAATGAATTTGAAATTGTTAGGTCAATTAAATGATCAGTAACGGACAAATATGTTTGTTTGAAAATCAGACTGCCATGGCCAGATACTGTACAGAATTTAGCTACACACAATTTTGAGACTTTTTCCCTTTAGTCAAGCTCAAATCCTATCATGAATCCTATCATGACCAATAATTCTAAACTTAGTAAATGACACTTAAATTTCTCTTTGCACTTTCTATAAAGACTTTAGTAATGATTCAATAATGATTTTATTTTTTAATTTCTAATTACAAATGAAATTATTTACATGAGCCACAAACCCCTATCCAATTTTTTTTCTTCTCTTTTTTTTGAAATGGGTTGATATAGTTTTTCTAAATACATACCATATGTAATATATATAAATATAAAACCTTTTTTGAACCAAGCATAAGATGTAAGCTAAATGTATCTATATAAAACACATTAAACAGACAAGAGTTAGCAAGCCAACCCTGCTTATTGCATTGGCCACATAACCCACCTAAGTTTACTGGCTAAATTCCACATAATATAGGGCATGTGTTTATCTTGCAGTCCCTTCTTATTATAGCCTTTAGGCCAAAGGAGACAAGTTTCTTCCGAATACCCGACTTCTCTGCAAATGGTTTTTAAATCTGCCGCTTCTAATTTGCTGGGAATGATAATATGAAACCCTAAAAAGAAGTGAACATAACAATGAACATAAATGCAACAGAAACATATACTGGCCTCAGGGTTATAAAGCTTTTTTCTGAGTTCAGCCTCAAATCTAAGGATTTTCATTGGTCAGTGTACATTTTGAGCTTGCTTTTGACCCATCAAATACTGGAGATCTGAGTTGGAGCTTAGAAAATTTCTTTATAACCTTGGAGCCTGGCGTAAGTTTATAGAACTTCATTCTTAAAGACCAGTGTTACAATCATGCTGTTTGATTGCCTGTTTGAAATAATAATATGTGAATTGACACCAACTTCAGTAAATTCATTTAACTCTGATGGTTTTATTATGCGAGGATGCATATAGGTGCCACTTTGTCCATCAATCTGTCTGTTTGTTTTTCCTGAAATTTTGTCATAATATGTTGTTTTCAAAGAAGTGCTGCTTAGAATTAGACTATACACGTATAGTTTTTCCAAACCAAATCACAAAACATTTGGCAAGCCATATCATTAAACTTCACACCTAATCTATATCTCTTTAGAGTTAAGAAATTGCTGTTTTTCATAGCCTATAGGGTTTCATATTCCACTCCAATAGAATATCATCAGCTAAACTGTGTCATTTTCCAGGAACTAAATAACACTATGTCAAAGAAAACTTGACAAGTCACAAGAATAACTTCATCTTTTGTGTAACAGTTTCCAACCTGTGATCTGACATGAAGCCTTTTCTTATTTGAGACTAAGCAATAAATCAAGTTACTTCACAGGGAAGGGCAAAATTTGACACCATGGTGATAATTTGAAAATACTTGGTGTAATCTTATTATAAGATAATGCACACCGAATATCTAAGCTTTAGGCCTTGGACAAGATGATTTTTAAGATTTCCTTAAATATGTGAGCTAAAAATATGACCTTTAGCAAACCAAGTGACCTCTAAGCAGGACCAATTTTGACACTTGGGTCATGACCTAACCAAGATGATTTTCAATGATACAGAAAGAAAGTTACCACACAAAATAAATGTCATGTTTTTGGACAAATAGAAATCATTTTAATAATCTTGGTAGATTGTCATTCACTCCTGTGAAATAAAATAAAAATAAAAAAAAACAAGTTTAAAAAAAGAGTTTAAAAGTTTTCCCTTTGTACACAATAAAATAGAACATCATAAGGCAAATAGACCACACCTACTTGCAGTTTATCATTTTAAAGAATATATATTTTTTTGAATAATCTACTAGGAAATACTACATGAAAACACCTAAATATCTCAAATGGACTTGTCCATATTTCAATGTGGTCAAGACCATCCATCACTTTTGATAAAATAGCAAACAGTGCAGACCTGATCAGGGTCAGTAATTTTATAGTTGACCTTGAATTTGTCAAGAAAATGTTTCTGATATCATATTCTAAAATTATGCAAAGTTTCAAGGAATTTTATCATGTAGTTTTCAAGTTTATATGTAAATTTAGCACACGCTTTGAAATAAAGCTTAATAACTTGACCTTGAGGTCATTTTAGGGTGAAGGTCATATTTGAAAATGTTGGTTCTGTTATAAGTGTAATTTTTTCCAAGTATTTATCAAATCTTTAAAATAATATCAAAGATATTTCAATCTAAGCAAAATTCAATAATTTGACCTTCAGAGTCAAGGTCATCAAACTGGAAAAATTCAACACGCTGGTTTTGTCATAAGTGTTGTTTTGTCTAAGTATACATAAATTTATATAAATAATGATGGGAAATATTTTTCTAAGATTTGTGTACCATTTCATGTAAGTCTGGACCAATAACGTGTGTGCAAATTTTCGGATCATTCTACCAGCCTGATTCTCCGGAATAAGCATTTCTATAGTGCAAAATGATTTTATCATGAAAAGCCTTGCAACGCTTTTTACTCTATTCGGCTAAAAACCGCACAAAAATTTATGTTCAATTTATTAATTCTGAGTATCTTCATAGTTTTTATTTTATTTTAAGGCTTCACTTGAGCTGTACAAGGATTTCACATTTTATGTTTTAGGCTTTTTGACCTAAGTTTCTGTTTATTATATACTTTTTCTCTTTTTAGACATTAAAATTTGAAAGACTTTTGCATTGGTTGAGTTTAGAAGAAAGTAGTTCACCAGTGACAATATGGAAAATATGTTTCACTACAGTAAAAAATAAATGTTTATGGTGAAAATATATAAAATGAGAATACACATTTTTTTCATCAATACTTCATTTATAAGTCTATAATAAAAAATATTATCTGTGTGCTGCCAATAGAATAAATTCTACATGAATGTTAAGCTTGACATACTAGGCTACGTTTATTAGTGAATACATGTATATATTTTATTAGTGAATAAAGAACAATCCTCATGAATCTGTCCTCTTTAAAGATACAGAGTTACTTCCCTTTAAAAGAAATTAACTTCATCATAACAGTATTTCCCCATAAAATATGATTTTTATATCATATAAAATTTGTACAGTTAGTTACATACATGTACAAGTCTATAGAAACTAAGTAGCTAAGTATGGTACAGACACAGTATCTGTACAAATTTAGTTAAAATTTCCTAAACAATGCTACATGAAAAGTAAGACGCCTCTAGGCCTTATGAAGTTTGACAAGAATAATTTTTAAATTTCTTGCTATATATGTATTTATAAAGGTAGTGAGGCCCAGAGTGGGGTGGACTTCACAATAATCTAAACAAGTTTTATAGATGACCACTTAATGATGTTATATTTCAAATATTAAATCTGTTGGTCTTATGAAGATTTATCATTTGATTTAATACCTTGTATTTTAAGTCACATCAACACTGTAAAGGCTGCAGACTTTTTAGTCTTACTGGGGAGGTAAATCTTGTGTATCCCATAGTGCATTACATCAGGCAGGAGCCAGCAGAAAGAGTAGAACCACCAGCCTTCTATAACCTAGCTGGATAGCATTATTGTATGGGATTTGAACCTACAGTGATGAAGGGCAAGTGATTTGAAATAAGCAACTTAACCATTCAGCCAGAAAGGCCACTGAAAGGGCTTCAAGCAAGACAGATTTTTGCCAAGTTTCATCAGGAAGAGATTTTGTTGAAAGGAAAGTGTCAACAATTGTAAGACGGACATAGTGCAGTCCATATAGCTCCCTCTGCCACTTTGTGCCAGGTGAGCTTACAACACTGAGTGACTGACTTTAAACAAGAATAATACTGAACATATAAATATAACCTTAAACAAATAACTACATCAATGACCAAACAAAAATAAAACTGAACAATCTCTTTATACATTAAAAACTTTACTCCAAAATTCATTTGAAAACAAGAGGCACAAATAAGCCTATATCACTCACCTAAATAATTGAAAAATTGTAAATAAAATTCCAAATCGACCATTTTTTTCACAAAAGGCCTTGAGATGACATACCTTTTGCAGTGGTTATTAAATATGATATATCAAATAACTTTCCGGTCTTTTTAGTTTAATTTAAGAACAATTTCAAAATCTATAATGTTTAAATAATATTGATCCTTGGAGTAGGGTTTATACCATTTTTGTAGGACCACCCAGTCTGAATTATGTATCATAATTAGACAAAATCTTCTTGTTCACTTGTCATGCTGTGGCACCTTAATATCATTTAACTAAGATTCAGATCTTGAACTTGAAAAAGACCAAACACTAAATTTAAAATTGGAATTTAAGTTTCACTGTGAAGAATATCTTCAATTGTTCTCATTTTTTCATGTTGTTCTTTTTTTTCCTTGCTAAGTCATTTCTTTGAAACTTCAAAACTGAATAAGTCAAACGGTAACCTTCAAGTTTTACTAGTAGAAGACATTTGTACATGATATAAGGCACACCACAGCCTTAGGGGCCAGTGATTTGAAGTCGGAGACCTTAACCACTCAGCCATGGAGGTAAACATGGTGCTCAATAGTGCATGCATAGTTTAATGGATGACAACCATCTATAGCACATATGGATTAAGCACATATGGATATCATATCAATAACTTAAGAATGTTTTAATTAACAGTTTGATCTATAGTCAAAGACATACAATGGCACATGCTTTCATCCGCAAAATGTTGATGCTCATCTACACTGCTGTTTGGAAGTTGGAGGAGCCATAACATAGGAGTCATAAGTCAGGACATTTTCTTTGAAACAATTTTTTTTCTTAGTTTTGGTCTTGAAAAAGGACTGTCTATCAAGCACAACTGGGGCTATTGACTTGATATATCCTTAGATAATGGAAAGCCATTAAGATCTTGCTATGGAGGACTGCTTACTGATTCCTACATTTTAAGTTATATGTGTGAAAATTACAAATGCATAACACTGTACAGTTTTTCTAATTTTCTGCACAAACATGATAATAAACAGATTTTTTTTTTATATATATTTCTCCAAGTCACCTGATCAGAATCTACTCAGTGATTTGAAGGATACATGTATATAGTAATGGACAACACTGCTTCAGGACATCAGGAGATCACAAGAGCTTTTTAGCAGTTGGCTAAAAAGAAAACAACTGTACTTGTTTATTATTTGTTACCATGTAAAACAATAAAACATAAATTAAAGGAACTCCTCTTAGGTCTAAATGCCTAAAAGTATTAATTTGAGTGTTTTATTTAGATCTATTGGGCGACCTAAACCAAAAAATATGCAAAAGATGATAAAAAATACACATAAAATAAAAAAAAATCTCACTTTTTAAAATATCGCAATTCTTAGCCAGATTCTAATTAGAAGCTTTAAAACACTTCATTTTTGGGTTATAATGCACAACCAAAATAAACTTTCTGGATAAACAGTGAGCCAATGATCAGAAAGTTTGCATATAAGTAAATGGACCATACCTTTATCAAATGGTATACAAATCTCAAAGAAATATTTCCAATCCTGTTATGTCAAAAACCTTCAGTGGAGTCCCTTTAAGAGTACCGTATATAAAATAATTTCAAATGATAAGATAGAGCATATCGATTACAATAATAATTAGAGTACATCTTATTTTTGTTTGGTTCATTTGAATCAAGAGTTGTAGCAAATAAACTTGGTACCTTCATCAATATTTCTAATCAAATGACCATTCTCTGATAACTCTGATTCTATAGGACTATTGCTAGTGTTGAAGTCTTCAGTGACATCACCAAATGAATCGTGGCCGGAAGTCGCTGTTACCAATGAATCATTTTGAGAACTTCCTGTCAAAGAATCGTCTTCATTCCCATTTTTTTTCCTGGTAAATAAACTTTGAAATTACAAGAACAACTCGCCACTTTTGTTCATGTGACTTTTTAAAATACGAGGAGTCAGCTAACATAGCCCATACTGGATAGTAACAGTGAAAAGTACTTGACAGGTGATACAAATACAGTGACAAAATAATGTGACAGGCTGAAGAATATTTAATTACAGTGTAACTTCCGAATTCCGGAACTTCTGAAATCCGGAAACTTCTAAAAACCGAACATTTTTTTCGGTCCCGATTTTTTCCCTTCTATTTTCTATTAATATAATACTTCTGAATTCCGGAACTTCTAAATTCTGAATTCCGGACGATATTTTCATAAAATTAGAGTCAAATCAATGCAATTTTACCTCTAAAAACCGGAAATATCCAAAGGTGTGAAATACATTGTAAACCCTGCAGGAAGATTTAATCTCCCTATCGATTGTTTACTAGTTAGCGGTGGTCGTGTAATTTGACACGCGTTAAAGTCACAAACTGTGAAATGGTATGTTTAAAGTGATGGGGTTAATCAAAGTAATTTACGGCGGTCAGTTAATTTGAAGTGTTTATTAGCGGATTAAATGACAATTAATTGGACAATGTATGCATCAAACGTCTTTAGGGATTTTATTGCATTTGATGTGATAATTAATTAACTTGCAACGGACGATATGTAAGTTTATGCAATTAACAATATTTCTACAAACTGATAGAAATTCAAAAGCATTTGCAGGTAAGATAAAAAAGTATTCTTTTCATTCACATCTTTATCTTGATTAAAAGACTATTATATATGATATTACAGTAATGGTCACATCTTCCTTAACATTTAGTGATATTAAGTGGCTTACTCTTGTTCACATTATCATAAACCTCTGAATTCCGGAAACCTCTGAAATCCGAACTTTTTGACAAGTCCCATGGGTGTTCGGTTTTCGGAAGTTACACTGTATACTTCTACTTAAATGTTTTGGCGGGAAAAATAAGGCATTGTAGGAATCAATAAACTTTTATTTATACCATTCATGGTTCAAAGATGGCTCAACCCTGGGATTAGTATTAGCTCTGCTGTTTCCTAGAGAAAGTCAAGCATTAATGATTGATGGGTTGTCTTAGTCAAAGTCATTATCTTAGAATTTTTGTTAAATTGGTTATTGAATTTGAAAACAAGACAATCAAAGACAATAAACATATTGTTTGCAAAACATCTGTATGGGATGTGACTAAATGATTAGTGTTTCTAAAGTTATGCCCCTTTTTCTCATGGAAAATACTTAAACTTCTGTTCAACCACCCAAAAAAGATCCGCTGAAAATTATTAGTTTTTTCACTAACTTGTAAATTGTTTGAAATTTGTACTGTTTTATAAAACCAACATAATGGCAATAAAAAAAATCTCCATGTTATGCACACATAAAAATTTTCATACATTACTTACAGGTTATTTTCTGTTTTATTTCGCTTCTGCAAAATTTTCAATTGTCTCTGAGTCTCGGACACTACTTCCTCCGATGTCATAGCAGGACTTGACATGCCTGACTCCCCCTCCTCCTTCTTCAATGGTTTGTCCTGGGAAGATGACGACTTGGATTTCTTTTTTGGTGGTTCACTATCAGACCCATTGCTGTCGTCATCATTATCATCATCATCGTCATCATCTGAATCACCACCATCATCACTTGATTCATTCTTACCAACAATATCATCCGCTGTACAAAAAAAAAAAAAAAAAACAAAGCCAGATAAAAAAAATGTCCTGGGTTCATTAATGTGTAAGTTCTATCATACTGATATGAAAATTTAATATTTACTTGTATATTGTTTTCTCTTTTTGAAATTACCGTCTGGTTACCAGTAATAGTTTATTTTTCAGTTATTTTATCTTATAAAAATATTCCATTCAGTTTCTTCATTCTTTAACATAGGCAAGAAAGGAAATTTAAACAAGAGAACAGAATCTTCATAAATTTCGTACAATTAAAGAAAATCATATTTTAAACAATTTATAATAAAACAATTAGGGGTTACTGCTATACTCTTTAAAATATCTGCCCCTGAAAGTGATTTTTTTCACTCTTAAATGTCATTTTCATACTCAAATACTTTATTTATTTCATATCAAATTTTAATTTGTAGTCACTTCACAAATTTTTTAACAAATCTACCTAACAAAAATCTTGATTTGCTTCAATGAGTAAACAAACTGCACTTTTCTACAAAAAAGAGGCATAACTAGAGGAAAATTGTTATCAAAACTGTTTTACAAAAGAAACTATCATAGAATATTAAATAGGGATTGTCAGTAAATAATATAACAAATGTATTTGTGATCAAATAAAGTGTTGCTTGCCACAGTTTTGAGTTATCTGCTCTTGAAAATGACCAAAACACAAGTATACAAATCCTATTCTCCCAAAACATCACACTGTATTAAAAAGAAACTTGAGTAATTAAAAGTACTAGTAAATGGAAATTACCACTCAAATTTTCTCTGTATCTATTTTCATGATCTTGGCAGCAAAAAACTCTGAAAAAAAAGTATGATTTATTTGATGCATGACGATAAAAACACAAAACAAGAGCACCGCTAGGCGGAGCATTATATGCCCGAAAGTGTTTTTTTTTAGTAAGGATGAAGCATTTGTAAGACATGGAATTCGCTGTTCATCCTATAAAATTTTACAGCTGTAGGTTGATTAATACTTAAATTCTTAATAATTACCTTAACCTTTGACCTTGTGACCCCAAAATCAATAGGGGTCTTCTACCTTATATGGACAATCATCCTAAGAAGTTTGAATATTGTGGGCCAATTGGAACTTTAATTATGCTCTAGAAACTGTTTTCAGTATTAAGGTAAAAGTGACTTTGACCTTGTGACCCCAAAATCAATAGGGGTCTTCTACCCAATATGGATAATCATCTTATGAAGTTTGAATATTGTGGGCCAAATGGAACTAACGTTATGCTCCGGAAACTATTTTTGGTTTTAAGGTAATTGTGACCTTGACCTTTGACCTAGTGACCCCAAAATCAATGGGGGTCTTTTGCCCAATATAGACAATCATCCTATGAAGTTTGAATATTGTGGGCCAAATGGAACTTAAGTTATGCTCCAGAAACTGTTTTCAGTTTTAAGAATATAGTGACCTTGACCCTTGACCTTTTGACCCCAAAATCAATAGGGGTCTTCTACCCAATATGGACAATCATCCTATGAAGTTTGAACACTGTGGGCCAAATGGAACTTAAGTTATGCTCTGGAAACTGTTTCCAGTATCAAGGTAATAGTGACCTTGACCTTTGACCTTGTGACCCCAAAATCAATAGGGGTCTTCTATCCAATATGGACAATCATCCTATGAAGTTTGAACTTGTGGGTCAATTGGAACTTACGTTATGCTCCGGAAACTGTTTTCAGTATCAAAGTAATAGTGACCTTGACCTTTGACCTTGTGACCCAAAAATCAATAGGGGTCTTTTACCCAATATGGACAATCATCCTATGAAGTTTGAACATTGTGGGTCGAATGGAACTTAAGTTATGCTCCGGAAACTGTTTTCAGTTTTAAGGTCATAGTGACCTTGACCTTTGACCTTGTGACCCCAAAATCAATAGGGGTCTTCTACCTAATATGGACAATCATCCTATGAAGTTTGAACATTGTGGGTCAATTGGAAGTTAAGTTATGCTCCAGAAACTGTTTTCAGTTTTAAGGTCATAGTGACCTTGACCTTTGACCTTTTGACCCCAAAATCAATAGGGGTCTTCTACCCAATATGGGCAATCATCCTATGAAGTTTGAACATTGTGGGCCAAATGGAACTTAAGTTATGCTCCGGAAACCAAATTGCTAACAGACGGACGGACGGAAGGACAGACAGACGGAAAAGTGGGTCACTTGGTAAAGTTCTACCATTGTTCAAAGGTCATTCCAAAGAAAAAACACTGCTGTCTACCTTTGAAAGCCACAGCATATGTCAAAATGCTTAAACAGAATCATGCCAACACTTTCAAATAACAATAATTAATTCTTTGACTTTTAGTTAATTTTCTGAAACAAACTTACAAGAAAACTTTTTTATTTCACTGTAATACTGCTCTAGAAAATGATCCCTGCTCAGGTGAATGAAAGCAGTGTAAAAACACACAATTAGAAACTTTTTATCTAGAAACTGTTATCAAAGAACAGAGGGTGTCTAGCACCAGTTTATGTAGCAATTCAGTCATACATATATGTGGAGACAATTGAAAATAGCTTTTGTTTTTCTTTACCCTAACCAACTCATTTATTATTATTCTCTCCACATGAATCACTTTATATGCCCAAGAAAAAACTTAGACATTATCATTATATCATTCAATTATCTTAATTTGTCAAAGAAAACATCAGTGCCAAAGATTTCATAATCTTGTACTCTCTTTAATGAGTGAAACCTGAACATATTTTATGGAAAAATCCTTTCTTTACAGTAAGCATGGACATGAAAACATCAACAAACCTGTATAAGATAACAACTTTGTCTCCAGCAGCTACTCTGTACCGTTTTGCCACTGTTTTTGGATTCATTGAGACACAAAGATAGTGAAATGTTTTTCGACATGATGCCCACGCACAACCAGATGTAGCTCCTTTCTTGTATTTCTTGTTTTTATCAACTTTACATAGTGCACATATCTGAATCATAACAAAAAGAATAATATTTCCATGAATTGTTAATACTTAAAATTTTCCTGTTAATTTTCTTACGATTTGTGCTTTATTAAAATTTAAATTGCATACAACAAATATGCAATAATTTTCTCCAATGATACACACACCATTTTCTGACCATCACCAAGACCAGATGTGTTGCCAATTATCACTCTTGCGAATTAAAAAAAAAACTAAAGAAATCTGATACTATCATTCTTCCAACTTTTTTAACTGTTAAATGCAAAATACTTTAATTAAGTATAATTTTTTATATTCATACCAGCCTGCTTCCCCTTTTAATTTCTTTGATAACCTCCTGCTTTTTAAATCCACCAAAACTATCTGTCTTATACTGTACCAAACATGCTGAATATTGCTGCAATATAAACAATATCATTTCAAACAGGAGAAAAGAGAAGTTTGGTCACATTCTATAGCTAAGTGATTTGTAAATTTTTCAATTTAAATAATCACATCAAACCATTACTTGATTTTTTGCTCAGAAAAGGTAAATATACATACATGTACATGCATGTAGAAAAATTAGCAATTATCAGCAAAAATAACTAACTTACCATACACTTGTGATGAGCACATACAACTTTCCCATCTGTTTTATCTTTATGTAAGGAACCACACACAGCCTCATTTTCAACTCCACTGTGGCAAAAGCCACACTTGTTTTCTTCCATAACGACAACCTGAAATGTTTTACTTTATTTTTAATTATATATAAGTCTTTGTCAATGATCATGAATTTTCTTCAAAGTTTTACATTTATAAGGTCACAGGAAGTTGTTTTATGTTACAAAAAACTGAAAATCAGATATATAGTTTTAATAACTGTTTATACTATGAAGATCTAGCCAAAATTTAGTGGACAAATACTATAACATTAATTTTTTGTTCTTTAACCAAAGAGTTTCATATTTTGATATCTTGCATCACTAAACAGATTTTATACATTGTATGATTGGCACTCTGGTAAGCTGTCGCTAATGATACCTGCACAGATCATTAAACTCATTTAAACTTGTAATGTTCCTTTGTTATAACAAACATTTGGATTATAAATTTGGCGAAATCTTAACAATAATGACATAATTGTATGATTTCATCAAATATTGTTAAAATGCACAATCTACATTGATGAGTAAAGATTACGTTTAAACAAATTATGAGAATCATTCCAACAGTTCTTTTGATCAAAAGTCTATATATATACAAGTAAGCTTTAACTCTGGGATCAGAAAATAATTGTACATTGTAGAAAACATGTTTCTCTAAAATTCAATAGGAAATGCTTTTTTAATTAATATATATTTTTTACTTTACATTGTTTACAGTCTGTTGTTGACTTTTCTTTCTTGTTACTTCTTGTTAACAGTTAGTAATTCATGTTAAGAATTATCCTGTATTGTGTATATGTAACATACATGATGATAAGATAAAATTGAAAATAAATAATTAAATTATTTAAAAATTGGTCACGTTGAAGAGAATTAGAGAAATCTTCTAATCAATATCGAATTATCTAATCAATTGAAAATGACATTTTATTGCAAGTTTAACAAAGCCAAAGCCTTTATAAATAATTATGTATTACTTAGGACGATATTGTTGATGCAATGATCACTAACTGCAAACTGGGTACGATAATATTCAGTACAAAAGTGTCAGAAATGACAGCTACAATGATCACAATGGTTTAGCCAAAGCTTGTCAATGCATTATGTCTAATAACTATGGTATTTTCATCAGCGTGATTGGTACACTAGATTCTTTGCGAATCATGTCCATATTTAGCTCATTTCATCTTGATAATACTACTAACTGACACGGCCATTATCAAAGCTTTGAAGGGAACGAAACAAAACGAAAATTTGAAGACAGACGGCGCGTAATAAATGCATATTATTTGATTTAAAACGAATGCAAAACTAAAATTGATAAATTATTCAATGTATTAAATCATGATCAGTCATGACAAATAACTTACAACCGTAAATTAGCTGATTCCAATATGTAATTTTCTGATTTTTAAGACTGCAAATAAACCGGTGTCGTAAAAATAAACAATCGTGACAAATTGCAAATCAAGATGGCAGCCTCCAGGACGGCAAGAATTGGGTTATCTTTTGACAAATTTGGTTTACAAAACTCTTGGTTTCTAGTTGATTTTTCTAAGCATGGAAGGATTGAAGATGTATCAAATGAAATCAAGAAAGACTATTTCAGTTGCAATAAATACAATGAACATGATATTGTATTGAGCATAAATAATTTTCTTTTGCCACCCTCTGCAAGTTCAGAACTTTTCAGGGAAAATGATGTTGTGTCAGTAAGGTAGGGCTATATTAAAATGAAAATTTAAATTTTCTTTGTAAGTAACATAATCTGATAACATACAGTAGTGGATACATGAAACCCGCACTTTTGCTTGGTTGATGCGAACCTTTTCTCAATTAAACAAAAGTAGTTTCACCTCAAACAGCAAATCCATGCCAAGAATATTTCCACGATTTTTTGCAACTTTCTTCAGGAGACGCAAATTGCCAGAAAGTTTAGGGTTTTTATTATTAATGGATTGGTGATCCAAACCATCGTTTAAAATGCTGCTAAAATTGGTTGTTTTTTTCAGCCTGTATATTAAAGTATCACCTCTGAAGTTCTGAACCTTTGCAAAAACGATTGTTTTCTTTGGGGCATCTGGTGCCTTAGAAATAAGAAAATCCTGAGGTAAAAGTTTGCCGTAAATTATAGTTACATACCGTGAACTTTGCGGGTTTTGCGTGTCCAGTACTGTTATACTGTCATTTATCATTGTGTTACAGTGCCCAACAAAAACTGATACTGAAAATTTCACTGATACTGTGATAGGTATAGAATTCTATATTTTTTTATGCCACCGCAGCATCTGCGATGCGGTGGCATATAGCGATTCACCTGTGTGTATGTGTGTGTGTGTGTTTGTTTGTTTGTTTGTTTGTGTGTGTGTGTGTTATATAGATTATATAGTGAACTTAAAAAATCTTCTTGTGAAAAACCACCAGTCCAATTTCAACCAAACTTGGCAGGATTGATCCTTGGGTGAAGGGCTTCCAAAGTTGTTCAAAGAAATTAATTCCATGCAGAAATCTGGTTGCCATGGCAACCAAAAGGAATTATAAGAATAAATTTAAAAAATCTTCTTGTAAAGACCCAAAAGGCCTAGAGCTTAGATATTTTGCATAAGGCATTGTCTGGTAGACCTCTACCAAGATTGTTCAAATTATAGCCCTGGGGTCAAAATAGGCTCCGCCCCAGGGGTCATTGATTTTCACTATATGTACATATAGTAAAAACTTAAAATACCTTTTTGTAAAGACCCATAGGCCTAGAGCTTAGATATTTTGCATAAGGCATTGTCTGGTAGACCTCTACCAATATTGTACAAATTATAGCCCTGGGGTCAAAATCAGCACTGCCCCGGGGGTCATGGATTTGCACTATATGTACATATAGTAAAAATTTAAAATACCTTCTTGTAAAGACCCAAAAGGCCTAGAGTTTAGATATTTTGCATAAGGCATTGTCTGATAGACCTCTACCCAGATTGTTCAAATTATAGCCCTATGGACAAAATCGGTCCGGCCCCGGGGGTCATTGATTTTCCTCATATTTACACAGTAAAAACTTATAGTAAAAACTTTAAAAAAAATTCTTCTAGCAATTGACAAATGCTAGAGGTTAGATACTTTGCATGAAACATTGTGAAGTGAACCTCTAGCAAGAATGTTCAAATAATAGCCCTGGGGTCAAAATTGCCCCCGCCCCGGGGTCATTGATTTTCAATATATACATATAGTAAAAAAATAAAAAATCTTATTTTCTGAAGGTTTAAGGCTTAGAGCTTTAATATTTGTTAAATGATATCATCTATAGGTACTCTACCAAAGTTGTTCAAATTTTGCCTCTAGTGTCAAAATTAAAAGTGAACTTTGATATCAGCTGACCTAGATTTTGACAAAGTGTATTACATGTTGTCCTTTTATGCAGTCATGAAATTTTAGGCTGTGTGAAATATGACCTTCACCACCAAATTCACTAGACTCAAGTGCATTGATATATTCCTACTCTGATCTTTTATTGAGTAAACAATAGATTTAACCACTAATCTGATAATAAGAATTAGATATGCATTATGACAATCTTCAATTGTATAGAAACAAAAAAATCTGTTCCTACACTACTATTTAGTGTTGTATTATTGCGGTGGCATAGCATTTTTCTCAAATGCAATCTTGTTTTATATCTTATTTCCTTTCAAATATATATACAATTGTAGTCTATAGCCGGGCAAGCCCAAGCCCGGGACCACTTTGAGGCCCCAGACTTTGACTTCCCCATATGAAGAATTAAAAGTTTTCTTTGATAAATTGAATTTTTCAGGAAATTACCATTAAGAATGAAAATGAGTTCTCTTAAAACTTAAATTGTCACAGTATAGAATTGTTTACTAGCTAGTGTAGAAAATGTGTAACCACCAGATAGCCTAGTCAGTAGTGCCTGATATGGAATTTAGAGGGTCCCATGTTCTTGTCCTTGTCAATCTGCACATCATGCTGTGACATTTGATCCAACCTGGGGCTGTGACTTTATAATGCTCTGAGTCAATTCACATTGCTCTCTGTTCTTGTTAGAAATTGAGGACAAATATCAATATATCGATGGAGTATTTCACAGTATAAAACTATTTACAAATTTGGGGAAGAAATGTGTATTCATGCTAGTTGATAGAGTTGTGGTATTCCTAGAACCCCAGGTTCCAGTCTTGGTCAGACTGCCATGTCATCAGTTTTACCAATGATCATTCAATCAAACATAAGTGTACAGTATACTTGAGATGAGAGGCCTGTTTACATTGTAAAGCCTGAAGTGTAATTTCCATAACAACAGGGTTCTATCGAAACATGCCTGTCAATCAGTGCCAGTTAATTCATCTTAAACAATGTCTGATGTTTTATGCATGACATAATTTTGCTTTTTCAAGGCTGTTACCCTGCCTTCAGTTTAGTTTTGGTATTTCCCTTTGAAGTTGATTGATACACAGATTTAAATAAAAAGAATTCAAAGGTTTTTAAAAAGATGCAAAGGAGCATGGAAATCAACTATCCCCTATTACCAAAAGTTCAAATTTGAATCAAAAGGGATTTTTCAAATAAAACGACTTATGTTCCATTAGGACTGTTAATTTTTCAATTAAAGCAAATAAAGTGATTGAAAAAATCGCTAAACAGCCTTTAATTATTAAGCTTTCTAAAAGTGAAACTGAAAATCCAACTCAAATAATTATTGATATTTTTGATTCGTTAACCCTGACCATGCTAAACCATGTTAAATTTTGAAAATGGACTTGGTAATCTATACAAGACCATTAACCATTTTAGGGGGAAAAGTCAAAATATGGACTAGCTGAATGTACCAGTTTATCTTTGGTATGCACTGGTTGCACAGGTACATGTATGATTACAGTTAACTCTAGCAACAGTCTTATCAATAAAATGAATACAAAATATTACATGAAACTACCAAATAAGATAAATTCATCATCTTCTTTGATAAAATTATAATGTTACTGTAGCATATTACAAATCGGTTCTTAAATTTTCAGGTTAGAATGTAGGGACAGACATAAATCTTCAAAGCACAAGAAAAAGAAAGAAAAGAAAAGAATAGATGATGAAGAAGATCTTGTGCAGATTCAGACAGAAGCTTGCCAGTGTAAGATAATTTGAGAATTGATTTACGTTGTATTCCTTGCTAAGTTTTTGCAATACTTTGCATTTTGATCAGTATAACTTCACAGTAAGGGCATTGAAATATTTTATAATAGACACTAATAGCCATTTTAAAGGTTGATGATTCTGAGTGCCATGTTCATCCTTGAAATATCACATCAGGGCTCTTGTTGTCTTCTTTCACAAGTGAAGTATAAAAGAGAGTGGAAATTGAATTAATATAAATTTTATATATCTTCCTTTCAGCTGGCTGATATTTTCCTAAAGTTTTGTTTTTAAACTTGTAGCTTCTTGAAATATATTTGAGTGTTTTAACTTCAATCAAAACAGGCAGGTATGTACTGTCAAGGGTGTTAATATGAAAATAGAAATAAAAACATTCTTTCATTCTTTTACAGATAGTACAGAAAGACATGCATCCTCAAAACACAAGAAAAAGAATAAAAAGAAAAAAATTGATGACGAAGAAGAATCTAGCCAGTGTAAGATTCTTGGTACATTACATTTGACCTGTTTTATTAACTTTATATCAAATTGATATAAGGTTATTAAATTATTTCACTGATAATCATTTTGAATGTTGGTGACTCTGTCATGATATTGAATATACTGAACTTGAAAATTTATGAGTGGCAAGACTATAGGTACAGTAATTCTTATATCTTTAACAAGAGCTGACAGGTTTAACAGTACATATATAACACAAATGTCAAATATTACATTTCAGGCAATGAAAAAAAGAAAAAGTTGAAAGGAGAGAATAAATGCTTAGACACAACAGAACAATCTCACTACACAACTTCATTATCAAATAATGAAAGGATAACTGATAGAAGATTGAAAATTGATGTACAAAATGATGGCAAAATAAATCTAAAGCTTGTGAAAAAGTCATCAAAATCAGACTTGAAACATTCTCTGCCAACGAATGAAGATACTGAAGTTGATTTAGACAGTGAAATGAAAGAAGGCACAGTGGACAATATTGAAGTAAACCATACTGATGGAGCAACACAAGACTCACTGGTTAATGGTACAGATTCGTCACACAGTGATGGGTCTTTAGTCAAATCATCAAGAAAAAGGAAACGAAACCGAAAAAGAAAAGGTGGTAAAAGATTTATTCAAGAAAATATGGTGAATATGTATGATAATTCAAGAAAGTTTGATGACAATGACAGCTGTCAGACCTATAAAGGAAGGGATGTAGAATTAAATGAGAAAGGATTCTATGGTAACCTTCCTGATAAGCTTGAACCTCCAAAGTACTATCGTCATGGATACCGGAACCTCAATACTTACGATGTTGAGCCAAATAAACATATAAAGTTTGGTGAGGATACTGAACATAAAGAGACAGATGAAAGCACAAAGCAGTATAATTTTTTGTGCAAGTCTCGTAAAACTTCTTATGAAACTTTTAGTGACCAAAAAGATTTATCCGCAACTGAATGTGACAATGAAGGTGAAAAACTGGAAATTAATCCAGCTTTAGCTCAAAATGATTCCGAGGCATTTCAAACTGAAAATGAAACTGTAGATTGTTTTAAACGAAATCAGCAATCATCTGAAAATGAAAGTTTTACGGCCATGCCTTTTCATTATAATGGCTCAACACCTGACAGATTTGATACAAACACTGACATTACCAGAAAAGAAAGTGGTTCTCTGGATATGTGTCCTGTATCATTAGAAAGAAAGACTCTGTCCAGTGGAGTTTCTGTATTTGTTCGGAAGAGGTCCGGTCAATTTCCCCCAAGGTCTGGTCAATTTTCCCCTTTGACAGGGTTTTCCAAACAAGAACAGCTAGATACCAATCAGACGAACGTTTCTACTGTCTTTGTAGTAAGGGTTTTAAGTAATATTTGTTGCTTTTAAAGTAAATTGGTCTATAATGGAATGTCTCTAATACCATACATAATTATGTTGAAATTATTTAGTATCATATGTGATACTGAAGTCATAAATGATAAATGCTAGAGGTTAACTGGTAAATATTTGGCATCAGATATCATCTAGTGGGCTATGGTTCTTATTTACTGAATAGAGAAACTTTATCCTCTTGTTCTTCTTTACTGAATATGGTTCTCATTTACTGACTGGAATTACATACAATCACATTTAGGTGAATTATACAATTTCTGCATTCTTCTCTCAGTCTTATTAGAAAATCATGTTTCTCTTGTTTTAAAGAATTCATCCCATGATGCAGAGTTCAAGGTACCATCAAGTCCAGCACCAAGACTCTTTCCTAAAGTTTCCAGTCCACTAGTGAATGGCTCAGTGACAAGTGCAGTTAACCAAAATGGTTTTGATTTTGATGGAAGTAAACCTCTGGTTGGATTACCAGAAGTTGGAGATAAAATTGCTTATAAGGTATGGCATCTGATAAGTACAGTTTAAGCCTGGAGAGAAATATGTTGTTTTGCAATTTTTATTATAGGGTTCAGATGTAGTTTGTAATAATCTTTTGAAACAGAAGGGGCAAGGAGGGCCATTAAAACATATGTTAATTTGATTCAGAATGTTTATAAACTTTATTCCTAAAATAAAAAAGGATTTTGATGTATTTTAGGATATATTTATTTTCAGCACAGATCTATATTTAGCTCCATGTTTTCAATTATAAACTTTTATTATATTAACAAATATCTTGCAGACAGTTTAATGTCAGTCCTCAATCTGACATTAATTACCCCCAATTAATAATGACGTTCATTGAATACTATTTTGAAGTCCACGTGCAATGGTCAATTGCAATGTGTGTAGGGGATGGAGGTATATTTTCTACTATGTATAACGTTGGCTTTTTTTACTCTATTTAAATGACATTTGATATTATGTAACATAAAATTATATGAAGAACAATTCAATATGTGTGAACAGTTGTATAAAGGAAAACTCTAAGCAGGGGTAAGCCTTCTTCATTTTGCCAAATATTTCCATCAAAAATACCACTGCTTTGTAACTTTAAAAAAAAGTCTAATTGCAGTGCTAAATTCATTTGTGTGAAGAATAACATTCATGTTGCATTTGTTTATCATCTTTAATGCATTTTACTTTTATCAGGTGCTTGAATTATCTAACAGTTGTACACCTGAAGTATCAGGATATAAGGTAATTTGTTTACATTTGTAGTTGAATAGTGTTAACTGTTATACATCAAGTTGGTTTAAGTTTAAAGCTCTCATTCTGTACATAACCATTTTCTTTAAGTCACCATCTCCCTGTTAGCAACTTGTTCTTAATGATGAATTTAGGATGATCCAAGCTTGATCCGTGGGGTGGATTTTTACAAAAATTGCTGAAATGTTTCCAGTATGAGAATTTTTGTATCACGTGCAGATCCATATTATATGTGTAATTTATTGTATATTGCTGTATTTATATTCATGAAAGATTCTGTATTTATTTGACAAAGTTTTTATTCCCGCGTTAACGTCATGTTCTGTTTAGCATATAGTTAAACGGACGTTGCGTCATTGGTCATTTGTTATTTTATAAACGTCAATTTTTTCTGAAGAAGACTAAACGTCGAAAGCTTAAGAAAAGCGTTTGTTTTTATTGAACTGATTATATATTATTTGTTTTTTTTCCCAATCCTAGCAGTTTGCTTGAAATTGTATGTGAATAGACATAAAACAAAATAGTTATTTTAATATGTCCATTTTACTTCAGGTTGCAGAAGTTTTGAGTGTAGATGACAAACAGATGTTGGAACTGAAAAATTTTTATCAGTCAAATAATGAAGGTAAAACCATTAATCCTTACCTTGCTGGAACTAAAAGGCATTACCATTTGCCACCAGTTACAGCCAGGACAGCATTCATGTTGGCTGACCCATTTTATATTTTCATCTAGATATCCCATAAATATAAAGATAATGGACAGTTTCAAAAATATAAGCTTTGCAAGTCCATTTAAGAAATTCCGCAGGTTAAGATTTAACTTTACGAGTATGGCTTAGTTTATATACAATGTTTGACAAGAATAATATGATACTCACAAACAGCAGCACTGATAGACATCAGGTTCATTAGCATAACTGGAGTGTACTTAAGGTAGTCTTACTGTAATGCTTTCCAGCCAGAAAAAGTTCTAACATCAGCCAATATCATAATAAATTGGTCATTTCCAGAACATTATTTTTCACAATCTTTTTAACCGTTTATTACCGGAATGCCTGATTGATTAACGCCGATTTACCAAAGTAAATATGTTATGATTTATTTGAAATAATGAAATCCTATTTGAACAAAAATAATTTGTTACACTAAGGAAGGTAAACTAACGTAGAACATTCATGTAAGAGGTAAGTCCTCTTGTTATAATTATATGACTTTAGAATTGGTGCTTAACTTTACAAAAAGTACAGCCGCCTCAGAACTCCAGATAGCAGAATGTGATACTGATTATTTCATGCAAATCAAATACATTAATGTCATTAGCTCAGAGTAAATATGTCTGAAAGAATCTGTTTTTTAATTGCTTTCAAAGAATCATAGGTGTTGTTCTAGGCAGAACATTTTTTATCATATTAACAGTTACAATAATTGTAACATTATTATCACATATGCCATTAAATGTAGAGATGATATTTATATGTGATTAAATCATAAATATAGTATATACATGTATATTTCAGATAAACAGTTAACTAAGTTACATAACTCATAAATATAGTATATACATGTATATTTCAGACAAACAATTAACTAAGTTTCATGTTGAGATAGAAGATGACAATGAGATTCTGACAAACACAGAGAATAATCCCGATGTTGTAAGTACATGAAATAAGGCTTATTATTTTCAGTTTAAGAGTGAAGAGCAGCACAAGTTTGACTGTTGGAAAGCTAACCAGTTATTATGTAGGTCAATGCATCAACTTGGATGTAGTTTAGCCTATAGATGAAATGAGTAGGAACAATTTGATATGATTTTGTCTGTCCATCTGCCTGGATGTATATGCCCAGTAAATATTATTAGGTTTTTTTGTGTTGCCTGCTATAGATAAGTAATGGTGATTAACCCACACCTGCTTATGATAAAATATAAAAACTGCCAACATCAAATGGGCACAAAGTGCCATGTCCCTACAAGTTATAAAAAAAACTTCACTGGAGTCCCCGTAACCATCATAGGATGTTAAGCAATTGATGTTTGTAAATACTTGAAAACCACTTTGTTAGTAAATGGTTGTTTGCTCTAGGCGAATAAAAAAAAAACCACTCAGTTTTTGGCTTTGTAAGTTAAAGGTCAAGGTCACATTTATCTTAAATTTGAGCTTTTAGATATTAATTTGCCCACTTTTGAATATTAAATATATTTTTAACTAATGTTTCTTGTTACATAAACAATGACCACATCATTTCTGCAGTGCTAAGGTTCTTAATTGTTACCTTGAAAGTTGAACTGGGTGCTTTGAATTGGATTATTGATGCTTTATAATTTGTGCCACATTTAACACATAGCCTTTAGATTTATAAGAATGGTTGACCTGTTTTTTTCAGTACTTATGTTACTGTTATGTTACTTATGTTATGTTATGTTACTGCAATATGTTTTTATCTTTCAGGTAACTTTACATTACAGTTCTCTACTGGAGACTAAAAAACTTGCCAGTGATTAAAATCTTCAATACAAAATCAGACAGGAAGAGAAAAAAAACTAACAAACATCGAAGTGTCTGCCAATATGAAACTATAAAAAAAAATTATTTTGACATCAATAAAAGCAATTTTGTAGACAGAGTAGTTTGTTGTCTTGGTTTAAACATATTTTATCTAGCAAATTTACAAGCATGTATCATTTTACATCACAATATATATAAAATTTGAAAACAATCATTCAGGTCCATGCAACGAAAGTCAAGATCACACATAGAGCTGTACGTAGTGCCCTGCGCATGAACCAGGTCAAAGGTCAAGGTCATACTTAGATCTCTTTGTAAAATGCTTGTCAGCAGCAAAATTTCTACATGCCTCTAGGGATTTTAATAAAACTTGACATTGTAAAGCGCATCAAATTCAGGTCCCTGGGTATTTATGGGTAATCGATTGATCTCTGACACATTCTGACAAGTACTAAATAAAAAGACCATGTTTTTGTATTAATTATATGTATTTATATACTGTATATCTACAATGTAAATAAAACATGATAGACAACAAACTCAAGACAATTTGGAAAACGAATAAGTTTAATATACGTTCAACAAAATAAATCATATAATTAAAACACAAAATAGGTACATTATCATTTTCTGATTTCATTTTCTAACCCCAAAACAAGCGAGAAAAGTGCGATAGGCGCTTGTGAAAAATCCTTCCTTTGTTTTCTTCTTGCCTGTCAACTTGTTTCTTAAATCATCTTGGAGTAACTTCTCACTGATTTGACGAGTGTTATTAGTATAAGCTTCTGACTTTGGGCAGATATCTGTAATGCTCTTGTCGCCATGTTGAGATGATTTCATTGTTTGGCTATCTGACGTCTGCTGTTTGGTGGGGTGGCACTGAAAGTCGTCTGCTTCTCGATTGTCCCTGTTCAACGTAAAATTGCTAATGAAATGATTGTTATAAAAATACAACGTAAGTGCTTTAACAGCTTAAATTATCGTAATTCATGACATTATTAACTTTTCAGAATTTTTACATATATTTTTGATAAATCAGTATCTGTCTGAAAAATTGAAATTTACACTTGAAAATTATTTGTTGATAGTTAAAGCTTATAAAATATCCTTGTACGAATAAAAAACTAATAGGCCCCTACCTTTTAAAATTTGACTTTCTCAGAGATAAAACATCTGACATTTTTGTATTCTTTTGTTGAGAAGCGAGTTCTTTGGGATTTTCTGCAACATTTCTGTTTATATGTTGCATGTAGTCATAATGATCGTCTAGGTACATCTTCAACTCTGCAAAAAAGTTCAAAAGATCAATTGGGGCTATACAAACGAAAACATGAAAAAGTACCAGTCATACCAAAGTCCCCTTATGCCAAGCTTAGACCTGATCAGATAAAATCATAAATATTATCGAATGTCAAACTTTGCGCAACAAACAGGAGTTCATCATTCACACGTAAGATGTCGTTGTCATTTTTGTTATGAAAATTACAAATAATCAGACAATAATTAAGTTTTCAATTACTTACCAAACGCAAAGTCATTTCTTCTTTCAGCTCTAGAACTAATATGTCCAGTTATGCGTCTTTTGCGCTGTCTATCTTGACCATGTTTTTGTGGCATTGACTTCCTCTGACTTTGTGGTGGTAAAGCGCTCTTACTTCGCCTTTTCTTCTGTGAGGTCTTATCCTCAACTGCAAATATAAGGAAAATGAAGAATATAAATATCTAGTGACCGCCTGATGGTGCAATGCTTCATTCACAACCCCCTCCTTTCCATCCGCTACCTGTCCCCGATGAAACAAATTATGGTGGAAATCGCCGAAATGATACTATTGACATTTTATTACCAGAAAGAGTTTTATAAATATTTTGTCGCTAATTCATTATTCAAATGAAGAAAAAAAAACATTTAAAAGTAATAAAAATCCTTTTAAAACTTACTTTTTCTGCGATTTGTCAATTTTCTTTGGGAATCGTGTCCTCTATGTGTGCCACATATAGACCTTGCCCTTTTTGATGAACAAATTTTGTCCATTCTTGAGTGAGCTTTGTAATCGTTTCTTGATAATCTGTTCATAATTCACTGTAACAAAAATTTTATACTCAGTCATTGTGCTCAGAACAAATTAATTTGTTCAAAACATTCGATTCATTTGAAATATTATTAAAAAATGAGTATTAAAAACATATTTTAGTCCTCTATCTAATGGGAAGGACTTTGGAGAGAGTGGGGGTGGGTGGGGGCGCTTGGTCCGAGTGCAAGCTTTTATCAAGAAGCACCTATAAAGTTGATAAAATTTAATTCTGATTCTTTCCACAAAATTATAAGCTTAATAACATTTTGAATCTTTTAATTGACCATGAAATTCTATATAATAAGTGTATTTTAAATGAAAAAAATATATGTTTACATACCGTGATGTGTTGATATCTAATGTTGCGGAACGTCGTTTCTATGACAAGTTACGTCAGAAAATCAAATTACGTCACGACGTAAGTGACGTTAGAATGGGTATGACGTACATCTCACTTATCAACAATTGTTAATAGATAAATGTACAAATGTAATATACATGTATTTTAAACGTCTCTGATTTACATATATGATATAAATTGCGTTAGCGAACAGCATTACGAAATATGACGCGAGTTTTATTTATTTGTGTATAAAAGCCATTGTGAGACAACCCGTCATTGATTATTAACCTCCAACTATATACCATTTATCTACAATGTACATGGACACCCTTGGATGGCCTTCGTTTACAGGTTTGGCTATAGGTTAAAGAACCAAAAGGGCACTTACGTATAGCCTGAAAAGACTATTAGAGAAATGTTTTTATTTCATGCAATTAAAATACATGTTGTACCTGCAGAATACAAAAATGGTAGAAAGTCAGAAACCAACAATGGCCCAACTTTGTGTTATCTATTATAATATTTGCTACATTTGTTTTGTTTGAAATTCTTGGTTTTATTTGTCTATATCATAATTTATATACATATATATTAATATATATAGTGTGATGGGAAAGGACATAGAATTCATTTCTGACTTAGGATAAATGTTTTCTACCATCAAAAACATATTTTGTGAACATTCAATGAGCCGTACCCCTTTGTATTTAGAGACTTAAATGAGATTAATTATAGCTCTAATATATTGAATCCGGGACAAAAAATCCCATTTTATTATATATAAAATTTGTTCGTGTTTTAAAGTGATTTTCGTTTACAGTACATTGTCATTTCGGGTTAAACACTTTTCCGCATCTTTCTAATGTTTTGGGCGCGCTCGATTGGGCTGTCGGAACTGTGCCAGAATCAAATTCCGACTCTTCTACAGAATCTGCCAAACGAGTGAAATTGGCTGTCGGAACTGAATCATGAAGTAGTAATGGCGGATAAACTTTTATTATTTGATAAAAATTCTTGACAGTTCTTCGGATGAGAATTTCGAAGACAATTCATTTGCAGCGGTAATTTTACCTGCTGTTGCAGCCGCTATTAAAGTAATACGTACAGTAAGGTGACAGATCGGTATTTCATTGTCTAAAGCATACTGGTATGGTAACTTGCAAGTTCCCTTATCAGAGATTGATAAATTCGGACACTGAACTATAATAGAATAATATCTTCACTGAATGAAGAGAAAGTAAAGCATGATCGAGTGGTTAACGCTTTGGACTAGTAATTTAGCTAATGATCGTAAGCCGCATGGTTTCAAGCCCTGACAGGGGCTAGTTGTTGTTTCCTTGAGCAAGAAACTTAAGTTACACTCATTGCTCAGTACTGTTTGGTTCAAGGAACGCATTCGAAAGTGCGTTTATAAGCTTATATATAGCTTAATTCCTGCACAATCGAACTGAAATAAATTCTGTATAAACCAAAGTAAAAATTATCGTGGTAACTAAGGAATTCAATGAAACCATGCAGTTATTGAAAGATTCATTGACGTTTGGTGTAATATGAGTATAACTACCATTACATTCAAAACTAGCCTTGATTATACTGGATATGTAAAAATGTATGCAAGGACTGACCTAAATGATATCAATTATAAGGGGCTAAGAACTTAATTAATATCTCTCTATCTCTTAAAGTGTAAAATTACTGTTATAAATGTCTTAACAAGCAAAATATTCTTTCTTTTCAAATAGGATACGAGAGGAAAAATACGGGTAGAAATATATGTCGAGGATGTTGTCCCGAATTACTCTGACATAAGTTTTCAAAGGCATTTCCGAATGTCTCGTGATACATTCAACACAGTTCATGATCATTTAAAAGACTGTCCAGAGTTTTTTGTAACAGTTCGCCATGGAGGACGACCAGCAGTTCAAGTCACTAAATAGTTAATGATCACCTTGTAGTACTTAGGGACACACGATACAATACATCGTCTGTCATATAGGTTTGGGGTTTCAGAAGATACCATCCTGAACTCCCGGGACTCTGTTATTACAGCAGTTATATAAGACATTTGAGAACAAAAATTATAAGCTGGCCAACACATCAAGAAAAACAAGTCATTAAAGATCATTATGAAAGAAAAAATGGGTTCCCCAATATTATTGGGAGTTTAGATGGCACACGCATTAGAATAAGTGCACCAAGCGAGAACCAAAAATCATACATAAATCGCAAAGGATTCCATTCTATTCAATTGCAGGCTGTCTGTAGAGAAGATTTAACATTTACTCACTGCTTTACCGGTTTCCCCGGGAGTGTTCATGATTCAAGAATATTGAAAAATTCTGATTTATGGGATTATGGACAAGAGCTATGCGGGAATGATCATATCTTAGCTGATGGTGGATATCCACTACAGACATGGTTATTAACACTACCGGGACAACGGATTTTAACCCCTAACCAGCGACATTTCAACTCCTTGCTGTCTTCAAATCGAGTGTCCATAGAACGAGCCTTTGGGCTTTTAAAGGGTAGATTTCCACGCCTTACAAGCTTGGTTGTTAATAGGGTAGAGACAGCAGTGGACATAATTATGGCTTGTTGTGTTTTGCATAATGTCTGCATTCAGCAAGATGTTAAAGTTGAATTAATGCAATGATCCTGTCAGATTAAATGTTGGTCATGGAATTCAACCTCCTGCAGAGGGTATTCTAAAAATGGATAACATTGCAGCAAACTTACAGTAAAAAGAACAACTGAAATGTGTTGATTTTCTTAACTTTATTTGGTGTTCAAAAAATACTTGTATTTTCAAGTGTAAATAGAAATAAATATGAAAAAAAATTGATAAATTTGTATTGCAAATGTTTAAACAAGAAGCAGTGGCGGCGTGGCCGAGTGGTTAACGCGTCGGACTAGTAATCTAAGGATTGCTGACCGCTAGGGTTCAAACCCTGTCAGGGGCAAGCCGTTGTTTCCTTGAGCAAGAAACTTTACATTCATTGCTTAGTACTGGTTGGTTCCAGGAACAGATTCGAGAGTGTTTCAATAAGATTATAGCTTCCAACACAATCGAACTAAAATAAATGTGTATAAACCAAACAAGAAGCATCACATTATGAATTAAATAAGGTAATTAATACTGTTTCCTGAGCCACCCCCAGTCAAGTTTATAACACTAGATAATGACATAATTCTTTGGCCTGGCTTTTGTTTCAAAATTTATGTAAAATTTTATTACAGATTATGATGCTTACATAAAACAACATGTATTGAATTTAAGACTTAAAACATGTCATATAATTATCACTTGATATGACACTAACTGGTAATAAAAATCACAAAAATGTACATATTAACATATTTGTGACAATGCAATGCCTTTTATAGTATACCTTTTAACATATTTGTGACAATGCAATGCCTGTTATAGTATACCTTTTAACATATTTGTGACAATGCAATGCCTGTTTTAGTATACCTTTTTACATATTTGTGACAATGCAATACCTGTTAGAGTATACCTTTTAACATATTTGTGACAATGCAATGCCTTTTATAGTATACCTTTTAACATATTTGTGACAATGCAATGCCTGTTATAGTATACCTTTTAACATATTTGTGACAATGCAATGCCTTTTATAGTATACCTTTTAACATATTTGTGACAATGCAATGCCTGTTATAGTATACCTTTTATCATATTTGTGACAATGCAATACCTGATATAGTATATACCTTTTAACATATTTGTGACAATGCAATGCCTGATGCAGCATAAAACCTTAAACAATCTAAACAAACAATTGCACTGGTTAAATATATACAATCAACCTAACTGGTTTGACCTAAAACAACTAAAAGGGTAAGACCTAAATAAACAACCACATTGGTTTAACTCAAACAGTTTCATGAGAAAATCTTTAGTTTTCGTCCCGCGACCCCGCCAAGCAAAAAGTCGATAAGTAACAAGTTAAAATGGCGGAGGCGCTAATTAGCGTGTTTTCGCTCTGCTCTCCCGTCGTTTTATTTCTTAAAATTCGACCTGCGCCCCCGCAGGGCGAAGTTTTTTTAATTATATTTCGCCCCACGCCCCGGCTTATTAGTGTGTTTTCGTCCCACGACCCCGCCGTTAACTTTCGACTTTTCGCTTGGCGGGGTCGCGGGGCGAAAACACAAATGGCACAAATCAGCCACCATAGATATCTGACACCCTCACTCATGGAGTGCATAGGATAAGTATAATTATGCAAAAAGCGATTTACAAAACATCCGGAATAATGTATCTGAATAGAACATGCCCTGTGCGTAGGAATGATTTGGTAAGGTATCTGTTATGAGCGCATTTTTTGCGCGGAGCTTCTCAATTGCTGCATTGCAGCAACATTTGTACTTGTTATTGTCACAGGTTATTGTCCAACAATATTGACCTGGCACTTCTTTAACTTTCGTATAGATCACTTGAATAAACACTGACCAATATCTATCGAATATATTATATCGATATATAACATCACTGATCAGTGAGATGTGGTGTATTGGTATAGATGTCGGACTACCGATCTGAAGGTCTCTAGCTGGTTCGATTCCTTAAATACCAACACCACGTTGTGATTTTTTTTAATTTACTTGCAAGAACTAATTTGAAATCGTTTTACTTAACCTTTATTTAGAATACCTTTTTGTAAGTGGTGTTTTCATAGACAATTATATTTTTATTTCATTACACTATCTTTTAACGATTCTGTCTGTGACATTATATGCAATCGTATATGCTTTAGCGCATACACGCTATCAAGGCAGTTATTAAAAATACGTAATAGAAAGAGCATCGAAACACGAGGCTATCTGATTTGTACGAGGGGGCGTAGCCCCCGAGTATAAATCAGATTGCCGAGTGTTTTGATGTTCTTTCTCTTTTGTATCATAGTCAAACATAAAAACACGTTCCCTGATACCACAATATGAAACCCCACAAAAAAGTAACCAATGAACGAGCATCTGAATATGACATTTCCATCGCTATCCCTTTCTCTGTCGTCACAATATGTAAGCCCCGGACAAAAAGAAACCAATCAATGGGCATGCTCTGGAGTGCAGGTAACTATATATTGCCTGCACTCCAGTTAACGCACTGTGCATGTATATGTATACGATTTAACTCTGACACATTTTCAACAGAAAGGTCCCAAAACTATATACATACATACATACATACAATACACATATAGTACCCACAACAAAAAGGTTTGTAACAGTTTTAAAAGGATGGCAATTTTAACATTGAAATAAAAAATTCGTTGAAATGGGATTCGAACCTTCCAGTTTACGTGTACAATCTACAAGTGAAAACACTTTACCAACTGCGCTAACAGGGATTTTTAATTTACATCATTTTAACAATTGGATATCGATTTAAAAGTATATCGTAAAGTTTACAGAATATACCGACTACAGGGTCAAATGCAAGAGTGCCAGCTCAATTTTGTTGGACAATACTTACTGTACGTCCTTACACTCACTGGCCACTGTACAGTGACCTATATTACGGCTCAAATTCATCTACTTTGTTAAAGTGACACCACTGAGGTTTAAAAGCCTTAAAACATAACATTAGAATTTCTTACATAAATGAACTTGGGCGCTTTAAACAGAAATATATGCAAAGATAGTTAAGAAATATACTTTAAAATAAATCGAAAATCGTAGTTTTATGTTTTCCTTAGCCTAATTTGAGTGAAAAGCGTTTAAACGCTTTTCATATTGGGTCATTTATAATTATTATGGAAAAACGAAGTGCGAGAATGATCTGAAAGTTTACACAAAGATTCGTGGTCTACACATACATGAAATGGTACATTTATCTGGAAAAAAATATTTTCAGTCCCATCATGTCAAAAACCCTCAGTGGAGTCCCTTTAATTAATACCTAAATGTAAATTTATGTTTATGTAAATTATCACCACTTTGTGCTTCAAAATTATGTCTTTACGGACATGCCTGGTGACAAGTCCAGGGCTAAGGTCGTTGACTTCGAATCACTCGCTTCTCGCCACTATGGGTTTAGTTTGAATCTCGACAGAGTCTGTGGATTTTTTCCTGTGAGGGAGGCTATTTAGCTAGCTTACGGAACGACTGTGGTTCTAATCTAAAATAATAATTACACGGAAGGGAACCCAATGTCTTTCTGCAGTGGTATAAAGCTTGAAAGTCGCCATATATGGCCTATAATAAGTTTGCGCGACGCAAAACTCATCCAAAAATGTTATAGTGTCCTACCTTTTAAAAACGACCAGGCTAATTAATTTTATTGCTGGGCTGTCATATCGTTATATTTAGGAAAGTTTTAAAATCAACCAATACTTGAATTCTTTTTGTATCAATAAAAATGTTATTAATTTAAGTATTTTTATACCAAATATATGACAATTATTTGAAAAATGAATTAAATAACTTCTAGAGGATGGGGGATGGCGTGGTATTTTCCTTTCAGAAATCAAAAAGAGTAATTTTTCGTATGAGAACTTTTGTTACTTCATGAAGAGAGCATAGTCGCCGCCATGTCCGTCCTTCCACATGTCCGTCCTTCTGTGAGAATTTTTACGGGTTTTGTCCAGTAAAAATACTAGTATTTCGTTTTGTTTCACAATCGAACGTACAAAGTGAATGTATGTATACATATATCACTGAAACATATAATTACATGTATATCTAAATAAAACATGATAGACAACAAACTCAAGACATTTGGAAAACGATTAAGTTTAATATACGTTCAACAAAATAAATCATATAATTCAAACACAAAATAGGTACATTATCATTTTCTGATTTCATTTTCTAACACCAAAACAAGCGAGAAAAGTGCGATAGGCGCTTGTGAAAAATCCTTTCTTTGTTTTCTTCTTGTCCGTCAACTTGTTTCTTAAATCATCTTTGGTTAATTTCTCACTGATTTGACGAGTGTTATTAGTATAAGCTTCTGACTTTGGGCAGATATCTGTAATGCTCTTGTCGCCATGTTGAGATGATTTCATTGTTTGGCTGTCTGACGTCTGCTGTTTGGTGGGGTGGCACTGGATGTCGTCTGCTTCTCGATTGTCCCTGTTCAAGGTAAAATTTCTAATGAAATAATTGTTATAAAAAATACAACGTAAGTGCTTTAAGAGCTTAAATTATCGTCATTTATGACATAATTTTTAACTTTTAAGAATTTATACATATGTTTTTGATAAATCAGTATGTCTGAAAATTTGAAATTTACACTTGAAAATTATTTGTTGATAGTTAAAGCTTTTAAAATATCCTTGTACGAATAAAAAACTGATACCTTTTAAAATTTGGCTTTCTCAGAGATAAAACATCTGACATTTTTGTATTCTTTTGTTGAGAAGCGAGTTCTTTGGGATTTTCTGCAACATTTCTGTTTATATGTTGCATGTACTCATAATGATCGTCTAGGTACATCTTCAACTCTGCAAAAAAATTCAAAAGATCAATTGGGGCTATACAAACGAAAACATGAAAAGTACCAGTCATACCAAAGTCCCCTTATGCCCCTTTACTTTTGTTAAAGCTTAGACCAGGTCAGATAAAATCATAAATATTATCGAATGTCAAACTTTACGCAACAAACAGGAGTTCATCATTCACACGTAAGATGTCGTTGTCACCTTATTAAAAAAAAACAGTTTTGCTATGAAAATTACAAATTATCAGACAATAAATTTTCAATTACTTACCAAACGCAAAGTCATTTCTTCTTTCAGCTCTAGAACTAATATGTCCAGTTATGCGTCTTTTGCGCTGTCTATCTTGGCCATATTTTTGTGGCATTGACTTCCTCTGACTTTGTGGTGGTAAAGCGCTCTTACTTCGCCTTTTCTTCTGTGAGGTCTTATCCTCAACTGCATAGTCTAAGGAAAATGAAGAATATAAATATCTAGTGACAACTTGATGGTGCAATGCTTCATTCTGAACCCCCCTCCTACCCCTCCGCTCCCTGTCCTCGATGAAACGAATTATGGCGGAAATTGCCGAAATGATACGATTGACAATCTTTCAAATTATTACATGGAAAATTTGCAACATGCTTTACTATATACATGTATACCGAAATTTCTTTCTTAACACAGCGCCCTCCCTTCCAGAGTTTAAAAGCATATGACACATCAAATGTAAACAGACCTTTGTCCAAGTGATAGTTAGACACTAAAATATAGTTATCATTTTTACAAATATTTTTTGTGCTTATTCATTATTCAAATGAATAAAAAAACATTTAAAAGTAATAAAAATCATTTCAAAACTTACATTTTCTGCGATTTGCCGATTTTCTTTGGGAATCGTGACCTCTATGTGCGACACATATTGACCTTGTCCTTTTTGAGGAACAAACTTTGTCCATTCTCGAGTGAGCTTTGCAGTCGTTTCTTGATAATCTGTTCATAATACACTGTAACAAGATATTTATACTCAGTTAGTGTGTTTACAACAAATTAATTTGTTTAACACATTCGATTCATTAGAAATATTATTTATAAATGAATATTAAAAAAATATTTTTTTCCCTTCTCTATCTAATGGAAAGGACGTTGAAGAGAGTGGGGATGGGTTGGGGATGGGGGCGCTGTGTCCTAGTGCTAGCTTTTATCAAGAAGCAGCTAAAGTTGATAAGATTTAATTCTGATTATTTTTACAAAATTATAAGCTTAATAACATTTTGAATCTCTTAATTGACCATGAAATTCTGTGAAATAAGTGTATTTTAAATAAAAAAAATATATGTTTACATACCGTGATGTGTTGATACCTAATGTTGCGGAACGTCGTTTCTATGACAAGTTACGTCAGAAAATGAAATTACGTCAAGACGTAAGTGACGTTAGAATGGGTATGACGTAAATGTCATGTACGATGATACTACAACGTACATCTCACTTATCAACAATTCTTAATCAGATAAATGTACAAATGTAATGTACATGTATTTTAAACGTCTCTGATATACATATACAATATATTGCGTTAGCGAAAAGCATTACGAAATATGACGCGAGTTTTATTTATTTGTGTATAAATTTAAGGTCATTGTGAGACAACCCGTCATTGATTATTAACCTCCAACTATATACCATTTGTCTACAATGTACATGGGCACCCTCGGATGGCCTTCGTTTACAGGTTTGGCTATAGTTTCAAGAACCAAAAGGGCACAAACGTATAGCCTGAAAAGACTATTAGAGAAATGTTTTTATTTCATGCAATTAAAATACATGTTGTACCTGCAGAATACAAAAATGGTAGAAAGTCAGAAACCAACAATGGCCCAACTTTGTGTTATCTATTATAATATTTGGTACATTTGTTTTGTTTGAAATTCTTGGTTTTATTTGACTATATATCATAATTTATATATTAGTATATAGTGTAATGGGAAAGAATTCATTTCTGATTTAAGATAAATGTTTTCTACCATCTACATATTTTGTGAATATTCAATGAGCCGTACCCCTTTGTATCTAGAGACTTAAATCACATTAATTATAGCTCTGATATATAATGAATCCGGGACAAAAAACCCAGGTTGAATTATATATATATAATCTGTTCGGGTTTTAAAGTAATTTTCGTTTACAGTACATTGTCATTTCGGGTTATACACCTTTCCGCATCTTTCTAATGTTTTTGTTTTGACGAAAAATCGGGAAAAGATGGAAATGTTCACTGAAAATAAAGACTATGTTTTAGCAATTTCAGTTCCATTAACAGTTTTATTTGTAATTGCTTCAATGTTATACACGATTCGTAATATTTCAAGGACATCAGGAAAACCCAAAGTTGAAGAGAAAAAAAAATCCAGTAACGAAAGTGAGACAGACGAGAAAGTTTCAGCCTCAGGTGGTGTATGAAATCAATAAAAATATTTAATCTTTCATAACCTTATCAGATTAAGCAACTGCAAATTGATTTGATATATATTATGCTGAACTGAACTGGATTCAGTCCTGGAGAGATCAACACAAGGAACCTTACAGGGGCATCATGAAAGATTTTACAGTTAAAATTATTCGCCCCAATGACGATTCGCCCCACTGTGAAACGTTCTTTTAAGCATGAACATCGATCAAATTATTAAATTAAATGCACATTTTGGTTTATGTAAGCACTATAGGGCCATGATAGTTTCTTTTTCATAAAGTTGCATACCCTGAGAATGAATAAAATGAAATTTAGGGCAATATTTATTCATGTTGGCATTTAGACTGGGAGTGCAGTCGTTGTATGGATATTAATTGTTATGATAATGAATATCAATAAATCATTTTCAGGTGATAACAATGAAAAAGCCCACAGCAAAATTGATCCAGTACAGTATTGCGAACATATCCAAAGTGAAGTGAAGAAAGCACGGCATAAAGTTGCTACTCAAGAAATACGGCAAAAACTCACTGAAGAAGATCTGAAAAATGAAAAAGAAATTCAACGCAAGCAAATTGAAGACATTTTCAAGCTGATGGCACAACATTCTGACAAGTTTGGTGTATCAAGTGAAGATGATGTCGTGCAACAGATGAAACTATATGTTTAGCAACATTTAAACATTTGTAAAATAATGTTACAGTAGATTTATAATTACCTCAGTTCTTTGTAAAACAAGTAGTTCATACAAGTAGTTGATAAAGTACATGTTTAAGATGGTTAGACTATAGATCGAAGGGAACTATTGGTATTATGGTCTTGTTTGAATATAGATCATTATGTTAGTCACTGGGTCATATCAAGAGAAAATCTTGCTGACACTAGGGACTTCTTAATCAAGTTAAAATTTGAGTTTAGGGTTTAAAACTTGAACAATATAGCTTAAATCATATGAAAATCTTGATCCTTCTTTTTATCATATGTATATACTATATACATGTATTTAACTTTACTGAGTGTGAAGAAATGAAGATATGTTTAAAATCCTTTGAAAACTGCAAAACCTTAGGCTTATATATTGGGAAGTAGCTTTTCAGCCCATGGCCTATTACACCTTTACAAAATAAATATAAATAAAGTAAAAATGGCTCTCCTTCAGGGTCACTTATATAACATTGTCTTTATATGAAAATCTCTCCTCAGAAATTAATATTGTACAATGTCCATCATTAGACATTTGACATGTAGCATCACCTTGAAATTTTCAAAAAAAGTTACTTTAATGATTTTTAATCATACCTTACTGATTTAGGGTCAAAATTGGCCACCTATGGGGTTACATAGTTTACATATAGAAAAACACATTAAAATCTTTTTTTGAAAATATATAGCCTGGAGCTTTAGGCATGACTTGTAGCATGGCACAGTGAACCTTTTATCTAAGAAAGGTGTTTTTGAATCATGGCCTTATTGACAAAATTACTCCATCTTAGTGTGACCCATTAGCCTACTTCAACATTGAAGAATAATGTCACTTTCTAGCATTAGATCATATCTTGCGCAATTTAGGGCCACAATGTCATACTTGTTTAGTGTTGTACTTCGCTTTAATCTAAGATTTTGTGTTATTTTGAGATAGAAATGTTTATTTGTTCTGTGTTTATATAGATATTTATTTCTGCGAGTGTTAAATGTTTATTGTTATGTTCTAATGAATGTTTCCTGTTCTTTGGATATTGTTGATGTAATGATTGTGATGATTAAAGATCTCTATATTAGGAATCTTCAGGTAGTCAAAAGTTTTATATTGCTTTGATTTTAATACTTAATTTAGTATTAAAGATATCTTGTATTAGTATTAAAGATATCTTGTGTTTGATTGAAATTTTATTTTTCAATTTTTGAAGAAGAAAAAATGCAACTTTAAAGATCTGTCATTTATAATATGTTTATTTTGCCAAACAGTTAATTATTTAATCTATTGATTATTTGATCTATTAATTTGGATTTTTAATAAAATCAATTTTACTCCATGACAGTAAAAATCTTTTTTAAACGGTTCTATTGACAGTTATATCCCACCAAATTCACAGAGGGATATATCATATAGATTTGGTGTTGTCCATTCCGCCTTCTGTCTGTCTATCTGTCACATATTGACTGGAATGTAACACTAAAACAATTGTAGTTTTATACATGAAAGTATTTTAGATAACTATATTTTACCTGAAAGTGTGCATATGTCATATGTATACATTTAGGAGTCAGGGCTTTTTTCCACAGGCTGGGGGAGCAGCCCTTCCCTTAATTTTTGGTGAAAAATAATATGGTATTTTTGTAAAAGGGGGAAAAAAACTTTGTCAATTCAACTTTGGGTGAAAAAAAACAGCATGATTTTGAAGTATTTTTCTTTGAGGAAGCTACCTGTAAAAGACCACTGCTAAAGAAGGGAAAAAGGCCCTGGGAGTGATGCAATGCATAGGAATTGTAACTGTTCTGTTAATAAAGTTTGAATTGTTGTTCTTTGTTAAAGGCATTTTTTAATTTTACCAATAAATATTTGGTTAGATTGCAATGGAACTCGGCATAATGATAAGAAGCCTACTATCGTGACCGGATATCAGTTTGAAGAATATTGTAATATTACACCATTTGTTCTGAATTAGTTTTAAATAAAGTTGTTGTAAATTTCTCCTTTATCTTCTACAAACCATGATTTCTTTCAATAAATGCTCCTTGTCCAGCTTTATGTTATAACTTATTGAATTAAAAACAACTAAGAAATGTCAAAATGACATTATGCCCCCTCCACCTTACTTATAATTGGTAGTTAGAAAAAGTTACCGTTATGTAAGTCACAATGAAACTGATTATGTAATGGCATGTGTCAATAAATAAGTAAAACAAAAATAATACAGCATAGCATTGGGAAATTGTAAAATGGTGAAGAAACACAGAGTTAACAATGATAGTTTAGTAAGCATGAATTGAACAAGGAAATATGCACAGAACCTTGAACATGAAAACTGTTTGACATAAAAGGTCACAATTACTTTGACCTTATACCCATGACCCCAGAAGCAAAAGCGGTCAACCGAAGACAAATGCACATATAAAGCGAGAGCGGGGGGGGGGGGGCTTTGAGTTGTCAATTTATTTTGCATACATTGTCAATTTGACCTTGACCTTTGGGCCCGTGACCCAAAAATAAAAATGGTCGCCTACTACCAAAGACGAATGCTCCTATGAAGTTTGAGGGTACATGGGTTGTTGAGCTACTGGTCGGAAACAGTTTTGGTGTGACCTTGACTTTTGAGCCAAGAACTCAAAGGTGTACCTTATGGTTACATAATGTCCTATAGAAACATTTCAGTCTTGGTCGTATACAACAAATTTTCATGAAATTGGTCATAAGTATATGTGTTCTTTTTAAAAGAAAACAGGCCAAATTTTAAGTAAAGAAGAAAAATAAATAAATAAAACCATACTCATACTATGTCGTGGCCACGATTTACTAAGTCGTGGCCACGAGTTACTAAGTCGTGGTCACGAGTTACTAAGTCGTGGCCACGGGATAGTTAAAGTCGTGGCCACGAGATAGTTAAGTCTGGGAACGAGATACTACATGTATGCCGTGGCCACGAGATAGTTAAGTCGTGGCCACGAGATCTATGTCGTGGCCACGAGTTACTAATTATGTCGTGGTCACGAGATAGTTAAGTCGTGCGCACGAGATAACCAATCAGATTACACTATTTATATGAGTTTTCCTAATTAACTGGACATGTGCTATAGTACAAGGATATGCCCTGTAAAATAGTCATTTACAAATACAAGTTATTGATTGGTCAATGATTTTACATTTAGCGTCATTGTGACCCTGATTTTTGACCCAATGACCTCAAAATTATTAGGTGTCATCTACTGATCAGGTGCAATGATCTTTCTAGGTTATATAAACCATGGCTTATTCCTTCTAAATCATTCATCAGACAAGGATTTTACATGAAGTGTCATGTTTACCTTGACCCTTGACCTCAAACATCCTTATAGGCTATCTACTGTCCATGGGCATTGTCCCTACCAAATAAAATAAACCAGGACTAATTCCTTCTCAAGTTATCGTATAAACAAGGTTAACAGGCCGTTGTATGTACAAACTGACCAATTCTATAATAGAATTGTCCCCACAAAGGGCGATAACTTAGTCAAAATTAATGTCTGATATATGGGCCTTAGAAGATGACTTTCTAACATAATCTATAAAGACATGGAACACTACAGTATTTTCAAAGATTAATGTTGCATATAAAACTTTAAACAGATTATTTCTTAGTTTAAAAAAAATCATATATATATAGTGTTATCTAATTGGTTAATTATCTCGTGCGCACGACTTAGTTAACTCGTGGCCACGACTTAGTAACTCATGGTCACGACATAGTATATCGTGGCTACGACATAGTATCTTGTTCCCACGACTTAACTATCTCGTAGCCACGACTAATTAAGTAACTCGTGGCCACGACATAGTATCTCGTGCGCACGAGATAAATACACACGCACGCACACACACACACACACACACACACACACACATGTCACCTTTGTGCCACCGTAGTAATCTACATACGAAATATCGAAAAAAATAAGTATTTCTAGCCTTGATTGCGTATAATATAACATATTGAAATACGCAAAAAGTCTTCAAATTCATGGGCAGATATATAATTCGAAAATGAGGGCGGTGACACACAGTGTTTTTGCTTAAAATGTATTCTGTGAACGTGCATAGTTTACATAACTTTCAATCTGCCCTAGCAGACGGCTTTAAACATCGTGCTCCATTGTTCTTTCTAGTATAATACAAAGTATTTATTTTATTATTTCTTATAATAAAAAGAACCAAAAATGCAAGCATGTAGAATTTATAGACTATATATTATGTCAATTTAAATGGTGTCTGAGATATACATACATAATAAAGAATAAAAAATACATGTAATTATATTCTATATACACGACAAAATATACCCACAAAAACCCCGAAAAGACAAAACGTTTATTTTTACAATTTTAATTAACCAATAGTATAAAGGAACAATATCAGTTATATAATTATAGTATAATCATTCACTGATCTCACATAATATAAATAAACTCTTATCGATTTGACACTTCAAATTCTATAACCTATTTAAAACATGCTGATACGTAATGTTTTAAACTACCAATCAGAATTTAGGGAAATACCCGAACCGAAGTTTTAATACCTATACATAAATACCCTTAACTGATAACTTGAATCATATGCACAGGCACCCGTGAACTACCGGCAAGGTAAGACCTATTTTTGCTCTTTATTCATATTTTTACCTAAATATTATCATGCTTAAAGTGTCTTAGATGCGACATGTTAGAAATTTAAGATTAGGAATTTAGATGTATCAGAGGGAAATTTTTTAACGTTTTCATGCATGTGTTATGTAATGAGTGATTAAAGCGCGCAGACTTAATCTCAACATATTAATTAAGTGCGATGGCACAAAGGTGATGCACATGCATTTTTAAACTCAAGTGTATACGAGGTACATATATATTAACTAAAAGAAATGTATGTGTCAAAGTGCAAACTATATAGTTTAGTTGTATTCCGATGTAAACAGTAAGAGTACGCGTAAGCTTACGCTTTTTTTGTTGGAAAAAATGCATGAATTTCGTGGTTTTGTCACAAAAACATTTCCGTGGGTTTCTAAATTCGTTGACTGTTTATTTTTCCAAAAGGTAAAATGTAAATAATGTGATGCAAAATAATCTTACAGCAGACGAAAATAAAATTTCGTTGGATCTTGAATCCGTGGTTTGACCTATCCACGAAAACCACGATAATTAGTTTCCCACGAATAATAATGATTTTGCAGTATACAATGTATTACATATTTAGGAAAGAGATAATTAATGATAACCCGAGAGAAAAAAGAGTGCAGTTAAAAGTATTGCAAATCACATGCATGCGTGTCATCGTAAATAAAACATTATGCGTAAGTTTGATTTGTAGGTCACATTTTAATTAAACGTTTCCAGAATTCTTGTCAATTTCATAGCAATTTTTTTTGTTGCTTTAATTCATTTATAATCTGGGTGGCTCATTTTTGTTACACATACACTATATTATAATAAAGATAGAAATATACCATAACTGATGTTTTTACTGTAATGTAGTATGTTCGCCATTCTTTTCATGAAATGACATTTTGCCTATGGAGAATTTTGATATTCATTAAAACTTTTTAAAAGTGATTTTTTTTAAACAAAACTTGATAAAGAGGCGCAAAATAAAATTTAATGTGAAATCCTTGTCCAATGGAGCCTTGAATATCATCAGTACACTAAATTGTGCACTGAAAAACAGCGTCATAGCAATTTACTTGTATTGATTAGCAGTCACATTCATACACTAATTTTAACAGCCAGTCCGCATAGCTCAATCGGTTAGAGCGCGAGACTTGTAATCTCGACATTGTGGGTTCGATTCCCGGGCTGGCCAACTAAAATTACTAATCAGTCTTTCGGACGAGACTTTAAATCGAGGTCCCGTGTATGGGTGCTTAAATACTTGGCACGCTAAAGAACCAGAAGCTTCTGGAATTGGGGCATCTTTCTGTATCTGTAATTGCACTATCCTCCAAAAATCTAAAATGACTAACAGTCTTCTGGAGGACTCGCCCATATGGGCAACCGGTGGCGAGCATAAATAAACGCAAATACACACACACACACACACACACACACACACACACACACACACACTAATTTTGACTTGTAAACTATCATATAAATCCGTTGCTAAATTAGAATACGTTATCTATATAAATCACTCTTTCTTTATCACTTTGACAAGTTAAAGAACCAGGAAGAACTGTGGATACAAAAACAACTAACCAATCGATAGACAATAAATTATTGATAAGTTGACGGACTTTTTGTCGGTAATTTAGAGAATTTATCTCGCAATGATATCTTTACATTTAACTTTCAAGAGCGCTTTTAGGAAATGAATGTATTGGTAATAATAACATGTTCAACCATTATGTTATTTATTATGTTATTACGCCACATTTTTTTTAAATCGTTCACCACGTTTTCAAATGAATATCTAAAGAAAATGTGTTGAAATCGGATCAAAAACAAATAAACAAATTTTTCGATATAATTAAACTAGAAATACAAACCAATAAAAAATGTGACGATTTTATAAACGAATTTACATAATTATGCTAAATATATTATACAATTTTATATATCGTGCTTAGTTTACAGAATTTATTTCAGATCGATTGTGTAGGAAGCTATAAGTAAACGCTAATATACACCCTTGGACCTGTTCAGTACTGAGCATTGAGTGTTAAAACAACGATCGAACAACTTAATTAACATGAAGAATGATTTTATTCAGATTAAAAAGTGAACTTCTTATGGTCAAGTCTCTAATTTTGAATGACTTACATGGTTAATAATTAAAAGATTTATGTCTATATTAAAAAAGACATTGTTTAAACGAGCAATCTGGGGATCTGATTCTTCTCTATGGAGACTACTGATGACGGACGTAACATTCCTTTCTGATATGAAGACATTTGAATCAGTTTTAAAATTAAATTGGTGAAATATATAGATTTAATTGGAAATCGATCAATTAAGGTTCGCTTAGTTGTCTTTTGAACAATATGCATGATTAAGTCCTGTATACAGAATACATATTCAATGCGTCACTTACTTAATAACACAATCAAGGCGTCACTTGCTTTATATTACAATCACGGCAATACTTACTAAATAACACAATCAGGGCAACACTTATTTAATAACACAATCAAGGCGGTACTTATTAAAAACACAAGACAGCACTTACTTAATAACACAATCAGGGCAACACTTATTTAATAACACAATCAAGGCGGCACTTCTTAAAAAACACAAGACAGCACTTACTTAATGCGACAATTATCAATGCAGCACTTACTTGATAACACAATCAATGCGGTACTTATTAAATAACACAATGCAGCACTTACTTAATAACACAATCAAGGCAGCACTTACTAAATAACACAATCAACCTGCAGCACTTTTTAAATATTACAATCAAGAAGCAGCACTTACATTATAACACAACCTAGGCAGCACTATATGTTACCATAAAAATCAATGCAGCACTTCAATGATTATAAGGCAAAGAATATTAATTTGATGAAAAGTTTTGTATAACTTTGTTGTTGTTGTTGTTGTTCTTCTTCTTCTTCTTCTTCTTATAATTTATTTTGCCGGTGTTCTTGAATATACTTGATGTTTTAAATGAGGTTAGGTTTAATGTCAATATAATGGTGAATTGAAAAGATTTATTTTGAATGTTCATTTTTTCAGACTGATTGGCGATTACATATGAAAAAGATAATGGAAAAGGCAATTATATCCGGATTAACATTTTTCTTCATCGTAATTTTATATATCGATGGCGGCCTTTGTGTGTGTTTGAATAGCACACACTTCAAAATGACAGGTACTTCCAACACCATTATCAACAATAATTGGTTCTTCAATTGCACCGGTGCCAAATTCTTGGACATGTCCAACAACCAATTTATTAAAGTGGGGAATGAATCATTCGACACATTGTGGAGAATTCAAGAGCTAAATCTCGGCTATAACAACATTTCTGTGATAGAGCCGGAAGCTTTAGCTATTATGCGTAGCCTGGAACATCTCTACATTGATCATAATGAACTAGTTGAGCTTCCATTGGACTTCTTTATCAACAAAAACAACTTGATCTCTGTTGATCTCTCATACAATAACATTACACATATTCCTCTGGCAGTGTTTAACTACAGTATGATAAAACTTGATAGAGTATTACTTCACCACAATCAGATTACAGCATGTGAACCCTGGGCTTACGTTAAACAAGCTATACGACTTGTAGACGTAAGGTATAACCAAGTGTCAACATTCACCAATGACGCTAATTGGACATACACGTCCAGAACGGTTTATGACGAGGTAAATTTTACATATTTTATCATTAGGATAGTGTTAGATTGTTCTGTAAACCAAGCAAATTTAACTCAACTGAATTCACAAACTGCAATTTTCATCACAATTTCAAATAAAATAATAAACAACTGTGATATAATGTTTTTAACCAGGACAGCAAATTGTAAAAGGGAGTGTACAGTTTAATTGTTTCCAATGATTATTTTTGTCATTGTTATGCATTCGTTATTTTTTCTTATTTTAAGGCATCAACAGACCTGCGATATAACTTAATCACCGACTGGCGAGACTCGTATTTACAACAGTACAAATCACCTTCTGTAGAAAGTTCTGGAATTGAAACATTACTGGTTGAGCTATTACCAGACATTCGTGAAAATCCATTTAAGTGCGACTGTTATACTCATCATTTGGTAAAACGTGTCCGGGCGTCATTTTTCAGGTGGTCAAACAGCGAGTATCTTGACATAACATGTTATAATCCTCCAAACTTACGAGGGAAACGTGCTTTCTATGACGTGGCCCTCACTGAACTTGTTTGTAACATAACGAATGATTGTCCTGCAGGGTGTCTATGCCAAGACAGACCAGAAGATGGCATACTGAATGTTGACTGCGGCGATTTAAATATGACTGTTATGCCAACAGTTTTACCAGTAAGTCCATACAATGACATCCATGTGCAATTGGGAAACAATGAAATCAATCAACTATCGAACGTAACTTACTTACAGTACGTTACAAATTTGTCAATGCCTAGTAATTTCCTTACCGAAATCCCTGACTTTGTCATGGACGAATTGGCAAGAAAGAAAAATGCTATGGTTGACTTCCGAAACAACTCGCTCACAGTGATCCCAAAAGGAGCGCAAAATATAAAGTTCGAAAACACCCAGTTTCAAGGAAATAATCTTGAGTGTTCATGTGAAATGCTCTGGATGGTAGAATGGATCAATCTGGCACCTAGATACGCCGATAAAAGTCTAAGCTGTAAACTTGATGGAAAAGTGTACAAAATAACCGATCTTAATGAAGATATTTTGGAATGCAATGAAATTGACAGTGTCATTCTCATTGTCATACTATCCCTCGTTCTTGTTGTTGTTATTGCATTGTTGATTACCGCTAAACGATGTCCCTACGAGACGAAAGTGCTTATATTCAAAATATTTCGTATTCACCCATCTGATAAGTACGAAGTGGACAATAACGCCGACAAATCATATGACATGTATGTGTCGTTTGATGATGACGATCCCTACGTCACGCAATGGGTCAAAAAGGTTCTGTTCAAACAACTGGAGGAAAAGAAGCCTAGATATAAGTTAAGTGTTTACCAAAGAAATGGTCCACCTGGCCCAGAAGCTGATTCCAGATTACAACTTATTGATGAAAGCAAACGTCTTTTAATAATTCTAAGTGAAAACTATGAGAATCATACGTGGTGTGAGTACGAGCTTTGCCATTCTGAAACATTAGAGCAAAACGAAGGACGAATCATATATTTACTGTATGATAAGGTGGCAGAGGAAATTTCGAAGAAAGAGCCATGGTTATCTAAAATGAAAGACAGAAAAGTTTTCAAGTTGCATGAGAAAATGTTTTGGTCAAAAATTCGATACGAGCTTCCTATGAAACGTATTTCTAATAATAAGCCCAAACCAGTGCGACAACCAGAATATGCAAACATAAACGTATAAACTAACTATGGCATTCTTGCAAACAGCTTATTGGTTAATCGTTTGTCGCTGTTTTCCTGTCGCTGCTTGAGTCTTAATTAGATACACGTATTTTGCAAAAGATTAAAACTGGTTTGTAAATTCATGTAGTTTTTACTTTGGTTAAGATTTAAGAATCGATCATAGGATGAAAACCATTACTTATTTCAATTCATTATTATATGTGACTGTCCGTAAAAAAGCAATATTATATGTGTTGCATGCTATACCAACAAACTGTAGGATACGTTTGAAACACTCAATAAATATATCATTGTGCTTTATAACCTTTTCCCCTTTAATTATGTTTCTGAATTGATATGATTTATGAATAGATTGTCGTCCATAAAACAGTTGTCATTGACATGGTTTACAGTTTTAGATGTTTCACATTAGCTTTAGTTATTGCCATTTTTGTGTGTGGAATGAGTATTGCTCCTAAATATATACCCTTAATTTTATTTTTTTAGATATACATAGATAATATATTCATTTATAGTTACATTAGGGAAGGAATTACTAAGCTTTCTACACAAAAAAAAAAACACAAAAAACAATCGGCAGAACGAGTCGCTAGTATACGGGTTCTCCTTGATGCACTGCAAATGCGCATGCTTATGTTTTCATTATTATTATTTCATTTTTGTTTGTTTGTAATATTAATGTATTCCTTTCCTGTCCTATTATTATTATGTATATAATGTGTAGCAAACTAGAATGTATGTATGTTACCTAAGTATAAATGTACATAGTGTATATAGATTGTGTTTTCTTACTTTCCCAGATGAGCGTTATGACCAATATCGCTTCATCTAGGCGAAGAAGATAATTTATACGAGGGTGACTCAATATGTAGTCAATATGTAATGCAATATGATCAATAAATATAACAGAAGAGTAAATATTTTACAGTTTTCTATTTCAACCCTTCGAAATAATCTGCTCTGTTTCAGACGTTAAATTCAACTTTTAAATGGTTCAGGTATATCTTTCAATGCTTACTAGGAAAGAGCAAACAATCAGGAGAGAAAACGGTGGATGTTTAAAAACAGTCACTCTTTTTTTTCTTCGAAAAAAAGTCAATTTCGTACAGTAGTACATTTGAAGGAGCGCTGGCATGCATAAAATACAGGCCTTTTATGCCAGTCTAGAACGAACTTTATTGAAGTGTTTTTTTTTCTTCAATTTTTCTTAACAGAACATCTCTATTATATTTGGATGTGACAAAACGGTCTCTAGAAACGGCCTCTAGGACTTTGGACCGCAGTTCCACGGGTGTTGAAAAAAACTTACTTTGGTGACACTTATATTCGTGTCATTTCTTTTTAATTTAAACATTCACTTCGAAACAGTTGCATTTGATACTTCATTGTTGCCATAAATATTACAAATGTCATTTTAAACATTTATAGCAGATGTTCCTAGTTTTACTCGAGATTTTATGAAAGCCGTATGTCAGCACTTTTAACCGAGTATGACCACCCATTTTTAATGAAGTTACTCGTGCAAGGTATTCTTTAATGAAAACAAAATTCTTAAAATCGGTTGACTTCACATATGATTTTGGTATCATTTGAAAGCAGATGCTTTAACCCATAACCGCATGAGCATATTGTAAAAAATTGCCGTTTTCATTGAAAAGTTCAAATTGTTATGAAACTATAAAGGATGCTTCCATACCGATTAAATTTAACTTGGCACAAATGTTGACTAGACAATGGCCTTTGTAACGGCATGCTCAATCTAAAATTTCCTATAGTCCCGTTATCCTATCATTTTATTCCTATAGTAACATGTACTAACCGTTTATAAGTGTTTATACAAAGTGATATTTACAGTGACAGAATGCAATGATGCATTACCGTACCCGTAAATATCACTTTGTATAAACACTTATAAGCGGTTAGTACATATGTTACTATAGGAATATAATAATAGGATAACGGAACTATAAGTTATTGAATGATTGACGTAGAGAAGAGAAACATGTTTGACTTAATATGAGACCCAATTTGCGTTTAAAAAAGGATTAAAGATTGAAAACAACAACTAGTATTAACTATTTATTCATATTTTATTTATTAATGATCTACCCTATGACGCCATGTCAACGAGGGGATATCTCAAAAATCCCAAAAATAACTATTTTGCGTTGATATTTTTCTCAGTGCTGCAACTTTTCAATGGACTGAGATAGAGCCAAAGGCTTTTTAGTGTTGGTTTCACGTTACCTTAAGATTGACCTGAGGCCTTTTTAGCCTCTCACAAGTCCAAACTTTTCTTGGTGTTGAAGGGGGCTACAAGCAGAAAAGTGTACCCCCTGATGTGTATTTTTGATAGTGGCGGCGCCGAAAAAGTGATCCCTTTTTAAACAACATTTCGCAATCGAAAACAAGAGTTTGGGGCCTTTATAGTGCATTATTTGATGCCTCACTTAAAGGGGTGGGTTGAAAAGGCGTGAAAGCACGTCCCCTATATGAGCTAGGTAATGGGTTAAAGCATGCCAGGGTTTACACAAACACAAAATGATATACTTCATACTGCATTACATTTGATCCACCATGGTATTCGCTTTTAGAATTTCCTTAGGGATGCAGTTTAATTATTAATATCACAGCGAGAACAACACATTTTCCAAAGAAAACAATGACTTGTGTCTTTAACAAAATGTACGACGCGGTTGAAAATACTCATCCCTTAAACTGAAAACAGATTCTAAAATGGAGATAAAGATATTTATTAAATGAAAGTTTGGTGACATCCATTCATGTACCAATTGCTGTGTCCACGACCCCCATAAAAGATGGAGTGCAGGGGACAACAGAAAAAAACTTGGATTTTTCTTTCTGCCTGTCTCAACACTGCCGGCTGAATTCTAAAAATGGCCGGAAAATGGCCAAATTAATGTTTTACGGAGTTGGAGGCCATTTTAATAAATTGACTAGTACATAAGATAATCTGCATGAGAAAATGCACGAACTAGTGTTCATCAAACCATACTTATTACATAGGTTTACAAGTACAAATGTTGCTGCAATGCAGCAATTGAGAAGCTCCGCGCAAAAAAAATGCACTCATTACAGATGCCTTACCAAATTACAATGTATTCCTACGCACAGGTCATGTTATATTCAGATTAAGTACTATTGTAGATTTTTTCCGAATGTTTTTTGTAAACCATTTTTTGGATAATTATACTTAGCTTATGCACTGTCCGTAATGAGAAAGAGGGGAAAGATATTTAATATAAAAAAATGTTGTCACTGATGCCTACCTGGTAAGGAAAGTAATTCCATTGAATACAAACAAGACTTACAAGACTTGTAAATGTTATGTGACATGACTGTACTGTGTTCTGTTTGTGTCACTACTGTAGTCAGTAACATAAGATGATAAAAATATCAAAGTCTGTTTTTTTATTATTATAATTGTAACAAATATACAAATAGTAACAAAAGGGACTAATATTATAATATAGTAATATTACATGCATTTTTTCATGTCAAATTAAAAAAAAATGGTTTCTTTCAATACTGAAAGTAGAACACACTCTGGAATGAAAAAATGGGATGAATTTCAAAAAGACCAAATTCAGGAATTTTTTGTTTGTTATACACGCGTTACATGGTGATACAGTATTTATCAATATAATAGAAGACTGTTACCTGAATTTTAGGCAGGTATGAGGAAATTCACTAACATCATGTTCGTGCGAGTCAAAGATATAAAAGCTATTTGACATTGGTGATATATAAAAAAAACTATTGTTAATTGATTTATTTGGGAGATCAATATACATTTTTGTTGCATTGCTTTAAAACCATTCATAGAAAACATTATACTTCATGTTCAAACTGCAACTCAAAGTTTCTGTTGTTATCAATGATGCTATCTACCTATAGCCTATGCTTAACGAGGGTCCATCCGCTCGTAAGGCCACATAATGCAGCTTTCGCTGTCGAGTACGGACCCCCGGTCATGTCACCAGTCATACCCTTACAGAGTTTATTTTGAAGAACAAATTGATATGCTAATGAAATGAAACCTTATATACTAAAGTTTAATTATTTCAAAACAACCAATATATCAACATGTTATTATTTAACATTTAATTTCATAAATATAAATTAAGAATAATTATCAAAAGCAAAATTATTAAAGTCTTATGTACATTGGCTATACATATGCCAGGTTTGAAGACTTCATATATAACTTGACAGGACCTGATGTAAGCACATTGGCCACTTTTGATGGGTGTTGCAGGTATATCACTACAAATGCATATTGTCAGGTTCAAAACTAATATATTAATACTTAAATAGTCTAGGATGCTGTTTCGGTTAACTTTTCGACTTTGTTAAGGGGCGGCAATTTCTTCGCTCGGCACTAATTTTTTTCTATTTTGCTAAAATATTTACATAGAATGTCGCAAATAAATTGCTTCTATGTCTGTTTCCCATATAAGAAAGTTATGTGTTTCATTTACAGGCATAGATAGCATACAAGCTTCAAATAAATAGCATTTTAAGGATTCTGTCTTAAAATTGACTTAGTTTCAGGGCATGAATATCAACACATACTTAGAGATTGAAATATATTGAAAAAATGTAGCATAATTCAGTTATCTGCCTCTGAATAGCCTCTTATTTGTAGTTAAGATGCAAAATAGTGATAAGAATTTATTGTTTTCTATTTGGCAATACATATTTAAACATTCACATTGTATAATGCCATAGTTTTTAGACTTTATGTCTGTTTAATGCATATTTGAATGAGCATCATAATGGGCAAGAGTATAATTATTTTGTAGAAAAAGATTTTTTAATCAGTAAAAGTTGATTAACTTTTTCACAATCATATTATGCACTACTGTAACACAGTTTTAGTGTCTCTGATGTGTCTATAAACAGAAAAAGAGCTTATTCAGGTAGATAAGACACGGGGGTGGAACCCCATATGTATCTCAAAAATGAGCATCGGTAAAAATTATATGTGAATTTCCGCTGCACCAGATGTGAAGCATAACACCAGATGTGACTGTAAAAAATAGGTCAATCGCCGGGTAAGTGTTCATCTTTTTAAACATTTATATAAATTGAATCCTTTTTTAAGAAAATCGAAATGTGATTCGACCCTCCTGACTCTCCTCTATTTTACCCATTTTTGTTTTGGATTTCTATGCAGTCTTCATCGAGATATTCTTTCCGTCGTGGGTTCTGGTGTGTCAAAAACATGCAATGTGAAAGACGAAAATGTCACAAAACGGACTCAAAAAACAGATTTTACGAAATTTCACTACAGACCGATGCTTAACATTCAGACAAATCCTGATTTAAACATTTATTGAGATTTGGCTGCAAACGAAGGGAATCGCTGCTCAAAATTGCATTTGAGCTCCATATGTGCTGAAGAGATCCATATGTGCATAATATGAAAATTTAGCAACATAATTACGCATCTCTTTCATAAAGCAATCTATACGTTATTCTTTTGTGTATCATTCTGAAATAAAAAGTATTATCCGAAACAGACACATTTTCACGAGACGAGCTTGAATAACCGAAAGAGATAAAAGACGTTCTGCATACGAAAGGTTTTGGAAATACGTAGATATAGTGGGAAGGCCTTGCTTATTTTCATTTTTTGGCGTCATATGTACTGCAATCATTCCCTTTTTATGCCGTGATGCATTAATTTATTAACTAATTATTCACTCGACTGCACTGTCTGCTTAATAGGGGAGTAATGTGAAGCGTGTTTGAATTGGTACCATTTTCATTTAAAATATTCATTTGATTTTGCGTTGTTTACGCGAACTGGAGTAGAATAATTCTTATGGGACAGTTCTTTTGAGGAGGTTTACTTGTATATCACTGCATGGTAACCAGTAAGCAAATATTTGTGTTTGTGAGTGAACATCTATTTAATACAGGTATCGCGTGGTGCGGTGATTTTTCTTTGATACTCCTCGACTGCTATACGCCAGTAGCATGCTCTATTGATAATAACGCACAGTGCACATGGGTCATTGGACTGTACCAAAATTTAGGATGAACCTACACCCCCAACCCCCCCCCCCCCAAAAAAAAAAAAAAAACCAAAAAACGAATTTATTAATTTATTCAGATTGGGGATAGGTAATGTGGTAATGGGTTTGTATAAAGTTTTGTCTGGTGCATGGACGTACTTGTTTATAAACATTTTAATTTTTTTCTTCATGCTATTTTGAGCTAGGAGACACTGCCTCTATGAATCTTTTCATGAGTAGCATTACTTGCAATATTATCCATTTCAAGTCCCCTAAAAAATAACAATAATCGTTAATTATCGACTTATTGATATAAATTTGAAAATTCATCTTTTGGCATGCCATTAAAAATGTTGATGAAACGGCGGTTAGCGTAATACTGGCGCGTCCCAATTATTTACAGCTATGTTTTTCGGTGTCTTTGGTCATGCAACCAATCAGGAACACCAAACATACTTCTGATTGGCTTTTATGGTGTGGGGTTTACAATATCGGTCATTGACACGTTACATAAAAAGTAACCGAGGTTCCGAGTGGGGAACTTAATTATGAAGAGAAGCCAATTATAAATTGAAATTTCATGTTTATTAAAATTTTCATATCTGTTTATCATGCGATAAAACAGTTGTAATATATCGAACTCGACTTTTATGTAGAAATATCATAAACCTGGGGCGGCATCTCGGTTTTTCCTTACAGACAATGTTCTCGGCCCATATCCTGTAAAGAAAAACCTTCGATGTCGCACCAGGCCATGATATTTCCACATAACAGTCTGTCGCTATTACTATAACTTGTGGAATCTTAAAGTGATAGATAGTTTTATGAATGTAAGTGTCATATCATAGAAACATATTATATGACACATAGCTTTACAAAGTTCAATACTTTTAGTTTGGTTTGTCCAAGTAACATATCCTTTATTAGTGAATTGTTTATCATACGAGTATTATCCGCTCTGCGTCAACATTTTCATGTACTCGTGCCTTTTAGTATTTCTAATGCTAGCATAAGCTAGTGAGTCCTGTCATTGTGGTGATCAAACACACTAATGTTACAATTGAACTTTCAGCCAAAGCTACGAAACCTAAATTGTTTCTAGACATTGGCTATTAATGATGATATTGAAGTGGTCCGTAGTTTCGTAGATGGTTTTTGACATCACTTATGGATCTCTTCAGCACATATGGTGCTCAAATGCAATTTTGAGCAGCGATTCCCTTCGTTTGCAGTCAAATCTAAATAAATGTTTAAATCAGGATTTGTCTGAATGTTAAGCATCGGTCTGTAGTGAAATTTCGTAAAATCTGTGTTTTTTGAGTCCGTTTTGTCACATATATTGCATGTTTTTGACACACCAGAACCTCACGACGCAAAAACATCTCGATGGAGACTGCATAGAAATCCAAAACAAAAATGGGTAATATGTAGAGGTGTCAGGAGGGTAGAATCACATTTCGATTTTCTTAAAAAAAGGATTTAATTTTATATAAATGTTTAAAAAGATGAACACTTACCATGCGATTGACCCATTTTTACAGTCATATCTGGTGTTATGCTTCACATCTGGTGCAGCGGAAATTCACATATAATTTTTACCGATGCTCATTTTTGAGATACATATGGGGTTCCACCCCCGTGTCTTATCACGTAGTTCATGGAAAACATTAATCAAATTTGTGCGAATTCATATTGACATTATAAAACCGAACGAATGCACTAAATGTTTCTGGTATACTGTTTGTCAACTTAAGTTTCCTTTGAAATGTTAACGCTGAATTTACAGCAACTACATCGTTCTTGTGAAGAGAAATATATAAGGCAGTATTGCTTCGCATAATAGACATATCGTTATTATGATGATAACTTAAATAATTTTGTCACGTAGGTAACTGTCATTTTTTTTTCAGGATTCGGCTGTCGGAAAACACCAAGTCTTTTATAAATAGATTGAACATGAAACTGCTTTGGTGTACAGTCTACAAAGGATAGGCAGGTGATAGGCGATCTTCAGGAAAACCTGAATCAGCGGTCACCTGTATTCAGCAGTAACATGGCTTAAACCGCCAAGCAAAAATTGTTAAAAACTTACTTTCTTTTCTCGGTTACATGCTAGAACTACTGTCAACTGCATTGAAACTGAGGGGCACGGGTTCAAGCCCTAGAAGAGGCAACTTTTTTTTCTTCCTTTTTTTTTCTTTGAACATTATTTGTGTCTCTCAGATCACACTTGATAAGAAAAAAGTATTTCATTTTAATTATAAAATTATTATTGGTATTTATTGGCTAAATTGTGCCGAATTTATTATCAAATATGGTACCTGATATTTTCAAAGTCTTTTAAAATAAAAAAACTAGACGGTAAACGTATTTCATATTTGACAAGCACAACCAATATACGTTTAAAAAATATATGCAAACTTTGAAAACAGCCCCTGATTTGAGATAATTTTAAGGATATTTGGAATATAAGGCCCTCCAAGTAGAAAAATGATGAAACAACTACTTAAAATGGGTGGGGTAGGGTAACACTTATATACATATTTCAAACATTTTGCGTAGAAACAATAATTTTGCTGGGTCATTTGTTAGCTGAATGCTATTACATGTATTTGTTTCTTAAAAATGTTCTATAGGAAAACATTTTTTCATAATGATTAAATAATAGAATATTTAGAGTTACTCATTTCTGAAAAAGAGTCCTTCTAATAGCCAAGCCTTCCTTAAGAAAAATCTCCATCACTCGTAAACCATACGGGTAAACTTTGTTTAAATTTTGCATTCTTGTGTCTTTTAAGGTATTTTACTGACCTATGTTGTCAATTTTATAGTTCCTTATAGTGTCCATTAGGGGGCTCATACCGATTCTTTATAAAACATGCATGGTTGTTTGATTTGATTTTTATCAATCTACTAAGCTGCCTGACGTTAGTGACGTCACAGATTATGACGTCAAAAATTAACGTTATCGCTATAGACACAAAAAGCGACATTAAAGAGAGACAAGCAAGCTTAATCATACAGTGAGAAAAGAGAGATATATCATCTTTATTAATGGATAAAGGTAAACATTATTTAATACCAGTCCTAATTAATGGTGTTTCATTTCATATTCATCTTTTGATAAGTTAGATGACAATTTATGCAGGTAGAAATAACAGATAAAGGTGCAGTCATCTTTGTTATTACTAGGGCTTATCACTAGTACTTTATTTTTTATATTTCCTGACAGAAAGCCCCCCAATTATGGTCAAAATTGGTTGATCGGGAGTAGATCTATTGTTATTTTGCGATATTTCTAAATAAAGATTTTTTTTAAGATTAGAAAATCTAGATAGACTTATTCTGTCATTTATCTAGCTAAAATACAGCGATAATTATTTTCTTACACACTATTTTGAAGAAATGTCATCATTTCACACAGTCTGCTTATTAAATACATTTTATAAATATTTTACTTGACATCTAACTTTAAATTATTATTTTTTATATATAATTTGATATTTATTTATCACTATTCAGTTGAATAAATAGATGAATGAATGAATTTATTAATTAACTAACTGATCTATGCTTTTATTATTATAATTCAAGAATTTCAAGGGTGATAAAGATGCCAATTAATGTAATTCGAATTCATATAATCTTCTACAGTATGTATTGTATTTCAACATAGATAATATAGGTATTGTTTCATTATATTTTAATAGATACTTCAAACATGGATACAGAAATAAAGACAGAATCAGAGTCACCCCATAAATTTACTAGCGTTCTTGAACGGAGAAGGATCAAGAGAAAAGAAGAAGACGAGGCGAATATTGAATGGAGTCCGTTAGAGAAGCCAGATAATTCTGCGATAGAAAGTCGGATGGACAACATCATTGAGAATTTAAAAAAGCAGTTTAAGCAAGAAAAGTTTGCAAGAAGACAAGCCCCCAAGGTTAGCACTTCCTATAAAGTTTTTTGTAATAGTGTTGACGCTTTCCTTCGTCATCTAGAGAACCCAAAAGTCAAATATCAAGAATCTAACAGAGAGTTACCTGGAAATGCTGTGAAACCAGACAAAATAACAAGCACTAAACAAATGTCAGTGGACACACCAGCTCAAGACAGTCCAGTTCATGATGAAAGTCTTGATGATGATGATGCTAATGCTGCTGTTGATGATGGTGATGATGTTCAACAAGTGAAACATAAAGAATGTGAACATTTAATTTCTCAGATGCTTAATAACGTTATTTTGCGCGATTCAAAAACCATCAATTGCAGCGAAGTCTCTTCCTTATCAATGCCTCACTTCTTTGGTGAGCCAACAGTCAAGAAACTGGTAACACAAACAAAAGCAGACGACATAAAGCCCATGCCAAGTTTATTCCAAAAGAGACATACGAGCAATGCCTATTTCTTTTCTTTGAAACAAAAGAAGTTGATCAATGGCTGTTTGCTACCATATTTACTTGCGCCTTCTCCATTTATTGGTTTGAACAGGAAGCAAAAGTACATGGAGTTCTATGAAGTTAAGTTCAAACCTGCAGAAGTGTCTCTTCTCATGAGCAATCCAAAATATAAAGTTGGCGATCACATTAGTAAATGTGAGCATCTTCCTGTAAACAAGTGTATTGCAACTACTCAAAAGTCCGATATGCCTAATGGCTTTATTAAATATCAGCAGGTTCAAACAGAGAATAAAAATAAATCGATAACACAAGACATCGGAAAATCCAAGGTTCCTGACTTTAAAAGAATATTCAGCCTCGCTTTGCGTTACAATAAGGTTCCATGCCCAAGAACACTGTCTATATTTGGTTTATATTTTACACCTATACTCTATTTTGGCAGAGAAGCTGAAATGCCACGTTTACCTCACTCTCTAGCAAACTTTACAGATGAACGCAAATCTAAAAGTCATTACCATATAAGAACGTTGCTAACCCTGACAGCTACGACTTCAGTGAAATATGAATTTTTAACAATGGAAATGGACATAATTACAACATCATCGTATTTGAACACAAAACATCCTGCCGTAACAGATTTGGACAGTTATAAATTAAAGCCAGTCAAACACATTGATTCATTCGAAAACGTCTTCTTTGATAATGTGGCGATCACATCATCGCATTTGAACACCGAGTATCCTGCCGTAAAAGATTTGGACAGTGACAAATTGAAGCCAGCCAAACATGATGATACATCGGGAAAAGTCTTCTTTGATAATTTTGAGACAATGGAGAAGAACGACAGTAAACAAGTTGAGGTTCAACCTGAAGAACTTGAAGTAATCATTGATGACGATGACGATGATTCGCCATTTGGGATACTGTCTGTCTATTGCAGAAGTGGAATTCATTCAAGGTAACTACTAAATACTATCTTAAAACAAAACTTTATACTTTATGAGAGATTATGTATACATGTATAACTATTTGCTATTTGATGAAATATTTCTTACTGGAAACCTTATGACTCATTTTATTTATGTGTGAACAACAATCACACACTTCTTACGATTTATTAATTTATTTTTTGTTTCAGATGATTCCACAGATGAAGGCCAATAGATGAACAGAGATAGAAGAATTTTTATTTTTTGGAATTTAAATATTTTTACATTATGATTAAAATATTATAATCAAACGTAATTTGCGTTGTTTTCTTTATTTTTAGCTTATAAATGATGGACATTGTATGTTGTGTCTATCAATATTTACAGGGTTTTCAGTTATCAAAATACTAAAATTGAATGATTACCGTGTTGAGTCTGGCTATGAAAATGAGAAATATTTCAATATCTTTGAAATATAAATCAGATGATGTTTATCAGAGTTATTGCATAACGTATTTACTTTGTCAGACAAATAGTTTGCAAACTAGTGTCAAATAGTTTCAAATGGAAATCAGACATATTGTGCTGTTGATTCAATGGCCTGTTCTTTAAAATATAATATTCTGTTATTAAGTCCCACATATTAAAATTGTTATGTTTGTTTGTTTTGTTTTTGTTTTTGAGTTTTACGTCACATCGACACAGTATAGGTCATATCGCGACGTTCCAGCTTTACTGGTGGAGGAAGACCTCAGGTGCCCTTCCGTGCATTATTTCAGGCACGAACGGGCATCTGAGTAGAACCACCGACGTTCTGTAAGCTAGCTGGATAGCTTCCTCACATGAAAGAATCCAAAGTCCCTGTCGGGATTCGAATCCACAGTGGTGAGGGGCAAGTGGTTTGAAGTCAACGACCTTAACCACTCGGCCACGGACGCCCCAAAATTGTTATGTAAGTAACGTACAATTTCGAAAAAAAAAACTAGATGAAGGATGCTCCCTCACAAAGTGTTGAAATCAATGATTCCGAAGGACCAGAAAATCTAACAACACTGAAGTGAAGTACGGGCCAACTTTTTACAGCTGCCGCACGACACTTGAGAAGTAAAGAAATCTTGAAGAAGGGTGATCCCTCGGAAGCATTAATCACAACAAAATAACATGAACATTGCACACTTGGTTTGATTGAGTTTGTACATGAGGGATATTGAAAAAGTACAACATCCCTCACACCCCTAACACCGGCTTGAGCGGTTCTTATTCTTGCCTGCGTACTTTCTCCCCTAAGATTATGTCATTCAAGAATTCACGTACTTTAAAAAAAATAAACACAATAAATTGTAGTATTGGGGTGTTTCTTGGTAGTTTTGGGGTGTATTGGGATAATAAGACCGACTTCATTTTGTATACGTCATTAGATAATTACAAAACATTTAAATACAGATATGGTAAAGTTCAATAACGTGATGTAATTTTTTGAATCTGTATCTAACCAGGGTCTTTCAAATAGAAAAACCCTGATCTAACAAAAATCATGAATAGTGTTTTATTTAAACGAACATACAGTTGACGATAAGAATTACATGTAGACCATTTTGCAATAAACCTAAATAAGAAATGCTTCTAAAAAAGACTTTGATATACAAAACTGAAGAGAAATTTAGCCAACATGCATATTCTAGAATATTTAGGGATTTGATTTTGCGGCCACCTTTGACGCCATCATTGATATCTCAGCTTCATTTCCATGTTGAGCCAAATGATTCATATTCATTCTAGTAGCATAAATCTTGGTATATGAAACTTGCTATTGGTTGACATCGACAAGTTACCTTGTAAGTTAGGCTGGTGTATAGCACTTATGAATCGTCACCCTAAATGACCTCACGATCAATACACCACCGTCAATTATATAAAAGTCGATTAGTTACTTAAGAGTAATTAAAAACAACAACAACAAACAAACAAACATTTATTTAGCAATTCAGCATAAAAATGCTTTTAGTCACAATATACAAATGGCAAAAATAAAAAAAATGACATGAAATATCACCCGTTATCGAATAATTAAATGTATTTGACTAAGGTAAGTTTAAATTGTAATTCAAATAGAGTGTCAAAGTTGAGAACTATTACATAATTCATTTGAAGGAACTGTTACACGAAGGATGGAGTTCTTATGGTAACTTGTTTGGAGTTCTTACACGGGGGTGGAACCCCATATGTATCTCAAAAATGAGCATCGGTAAAAATTATATGTGAATTTCCGCTGCACCAGATGTGAAGCATAACACCAGATGTGACTGTAAAAAATAGGTCAATCGCCGGGTAAGTGTTCATCTTTTTAAACATTTATATAAATTAAATCCTTTTTTTAAGAAAATCGAAATGTGATTCGACCCTCCTGACTCTCCTCTATTTTACCCATTTTTGTTTTCTATGCAGTCTTCATCGAGATATTCTTTCCGTCGTGGGTTCTGGTGTGTCAAAAACATGCAATGTGAAAGACGAAAATGTCACAAAACGGACTCAAAAAACAGATTTTACAAAATTTCACTACAGACCGATGCTTAACATTCAGACAAATCCTGATTTAAACATTTATTGAGATTTGGCTGCAAACGAAGGGAATCGCTGCTCAAAATTGCATTTGAGCTCCATATGTGCTGAAGAGATCCATATGTGCATAATATGAAAAATTAGCAACATAATTACGCATCACTTTCATAAAGCAATCTATAAGTTATTCTTTCCCCGAGAAAATAACAATAATCGTTAATTATCGACTTATTGATATAAATTTGAAAATTCATCTTTTGGCATGCCATTAAAAATGTTGATGAAACGGCGGTTAGCGTAATACTGGCGCGTCCCAATTATTTACAGCAATGTTTTTCGGTGTCTTTGGTCATGCAACCAATCAGGAACACCAAACATACTTCTGATTGGCTTTTATGGTGTGGGGTTTACAATATCGGTCATTGGCACGTTACATAAAAAGTAACCGAGGTTCCGAGTGGGGAATTTAATTTATGAAGATAAGCCAATTATAAATTGAAATTTCATGTTTATTAAAATTTTCATATCTGTTTATCATGCGATAAAACAGTTGTAATATATCGAACTCGACTTTTATGTAGAAATATCATAAACCTGGGGCGGCATCTCGGTTTTTCCTTACAGACAATGTTCTCGGCCCATATCCTGTAAAGAAAAACCTTCGATGTCGCACCAGGCCATGATATTTCCACATAACAGTCTGTCGCTATTACTATAACTTGTGGAATCTTAAAGTGATAGATAGTTTTATGAATGTAAGTGTCATATCATAGAAACATATTATATGACACATAGCTTTACAAAGTTCAATACTTTCAGTTTGGTTTGTCCAAGTTACATATCCTTTATTAGTGAATTGTTTATCATACGAGTATTATCCGCTCTGCGTCAACATTTTCATGTACTCGGGCCTTTTAGTATTTCTAATGCTAGCATAAGCTAGTGAGTCATGTCATTGTGGTGATCAAACACACTAATGTTACAATTGAACTTTCTGCCAAAGCTACGAAACCTAAATTGTTTCTAGACATTGGCTATTAATGATGATATTAAAGTGGTCCGTAGTTTCGTAGAAGGTTTTTGACATCACTTGTGGATCACTTCAGCACATATGGTGCTCAAATGCAATTTTGAGCAGCGATTCCCTTCGTTTGCAGTCAAATCTCAATAAATATTTAAATCAGGATTTGTCTGAATGTTAAGCATCGGTCTGTAGTGAAATTTCGTAAAATCTGTGTTTTTTGAGTCCGTTTTGTGACATTTTCTTCATTCACATTGCATGTTTTTGACACACCAGAACCTCACGACGGAAAGAACATCTCGATGAAGACTGCATAGAAATCCAAAACAAAAATGGGTAATATAGAGGAGTCAGGAGGGTAGAATCACATTTCGATTTTCTTAAAAAAAAGGATTGAATTTTATATCAATGTTTAAAAAGATGAACACTTACCCGGCGAATGACCTATTTTTACAGTCATATCTGGTGTTATGCTTCACATCTGGTGCAGCGGAAATTCACATATAATTTTTACCGATGCTCATTTTTGAGATACATATGGGGTTCCACCCACGTGATAAATGTGCACAAAGGGGTTGATTCTGCACAACTTCAGTGAATTACCTCCCTTTATTTATTTAGAAACTGAGATAAGTGCATAAATTCTAGTTTTTGGCTACCTAATTGTGAAGAAAATACACAAATACTCTCATTCCAAGTACATTTTGGTCTGAAGAGGTGATTTACATGGTAAAACACATGAAAGAAGGTTTCAATTGTCATATTTGGTTCCTAATGAATGCAAAAGTGGCCAAAAAATGGGTGTAGAAGTCAAATTTTAGGCTATCACTCTGCTGTTAAGTCCAGAGGAACTTGGTTTTTCCATATATTGCATTTTTTATATCCATGAAAGAGAGAAACAAAATATATATAAGTAAATTTTGGCATTTTATTAACATTTAGGCTTGTATTTAAGAGTATATTAGCATATATTTTGAGTAGAAAAATATAGCAGGTGCAGTTTTAAAATACCTAGTTACACCCAAAATGTTGCTATGTGTGTACAAATAGTGTGTAATCCATGATCAGGTCACTTTACAGTTGTTATTAAGTATGTTTGCTAAGCTAAATCTTCATTCAGGAAGTCTATTGGTAATAAAATGTTAAATTTGGGTGAAAAATCACTTATTTTGTTATGGGTTGGGTGATAAAATTGCTCACTGCTACATCCTTTTGTTACAAAATTAGTATTTTGAAGCACTTTTGTAATGAGAACAGTGTAGTTTTGCTATCTGAGTGATTTTATAGAAGTTGTTACAAAATTGGCTTCAGAATAATGAATTATGTATGAAACTCACATGCTTACATTCATTTTCAGAATATCCGAAATGCGGCATAATGGCGCTTGTTAGAAAAAAGGGAACTTCAAAGTTTTAAATGACTTAAGAGTGGTGAAAATGCATCCATATAATTGGTAATTGTATATGCAACTTCATTTATTATTATACATTAGAATACTAAACATTTAATATTGCCTTAAGGTCAGGGTATCGCATTGTAACATGGCCAGCGATTGGCTGAAAAAAGTGCAGGGAAAACCGTATGATTCAATTTATACATGAGGTGATTGGATGAAGATGGGGTATTTTTAAGTATAAAAACTAATTTTGAAAGTAACACTACATTGTTTTCTGAAGAAAATGAAATATTTCAGGAGTCTCTATGATAATTTTGACTTGGATATTTGCATTTATAGAAAGTGTATGTCAGTGCTGTGATCAGCAGAAAATTTCTATGAAATGGGGGGTAATCCTCTTTGAAGTCATTTTGCAAAAAATTTAGTTGGCTACCCCTATATAACAGGAACATTTTTATGTGTCAGGCATTTCATTCTGCTAGAAAAATCACCTCTTTAGCATGAAAACTCAATTTAAAGGTATGATAAGGGACCATTTCTTATAATTAAGTCTATGGAAATATCAATATGAGTGTCTGACCACAGCAGGTGTACTAGTCCGTAATTTCAGGGGAGAGAACTCCAGGCATTCCGTATGATTACGGTACGTGAAAGATACGAGAAAAAGCGTCTACATCCTGGAGATAATAAACAACTGTTGTCGTTTTTTAATGGTTAACTTAAAAGGTAATTATAATTTTAGACATACAGGTACGAAAATATTTTCCTTAGTTTATGGTGATTTAAAAGGCGGTCACTGTTCACGTGACATTTCTTATCAACTTCTTGTAAATAACTCTGAGTGTGTACGTACAGATTACATTGACCAGTGGAATAACCTAGATGAAAACATTGTTCTCAGTGAAAGTGTTTTGACATTTAAAACTTTACTCGACCGGAGCTGGCAAAGTCAAAGATTTAATACAAGTGACATTTACTGAAGTTAACTTGATAATACTGTATAGGAGGAGCTTACAAGCCATCTTGGCTTAAATGCTCAGAAGAAGAAGAAGGTAAAGGTAATGTAAGTTTAAATCTCGGTGGAACATCGATATGATTATCTACTGTATGTATTTATTCCAGTTAAACAAAACAAATTCTTTGAATAGTCAAAAACAGGCAGCCAAAATACTACGAAGTAATATATTTTGGTATAAATATGTATTTATTTTGTTTAAACAATAAAGTTACAATGTCATTTTGAAATTCTTTGCTGAAATGTTTTGCTCGTTGTTTTCAGATATGTTGATTTGTTTGAGATAACTGAATGATTTGTTTGAGATAATAATGGGTCAGTATGCCAGTGTGTTTATTGTTCCAGCTGGAAAAGCAATAAATAAAGTTACCAATCCTAGCAAGCCTAACTGGATTACTGCACATGCCATTGCTTCTGAGTGTAAGAGCTTTAAGTTAATTCTTTTCTATACATGTACTGTATGTCACATATAATGTAAGAATTTGACGCTGCTCTTTAAGTGACACCCTTGACCTGTCTTATTTTGTAAAAACAAGACTTTATAGAAAAAAAACTAAATCATTTTCAAAAAGATTACTTTTTCATTTAACCTGATATTACAATGTATATATCATCATTACAAAATCTAATGCCCATTTGTTATTTAGCTATAATAGCCTTCAGAATATAACCTGACCTATATATACAGTAATGTATGCAGACTTAAACCTATGACATTGAATGATGACATCAACTTTACCCATGCTTGACCTATTCTTGAATTCTTAAGCCTTAAAATTTGGAACTTGTCTAACAAAAGTTTTTTGGGTGACCGTGTGCGTAATTTAAAGGTCATTATAATGTCCCTCTTGTTTCAGTAAGTATTGCAGAGGTGGAGAGATTGTGGATACGGTTTCAGCAACTAGGCTGTAATAAAGATGGTGAGTTGACAGACGAAGCCATCAGAAAGTCAGAATATAACCAGGATGTGTTCATGAGAAATGTAAATCTTATATTTTTACTTCTTACTAATACTTTAAAAACATTTATTTCTAAGATAAATCCTAGTTCTCAGTCATAGATGAATTTATGTAGAACATTTCTTTGTTATATCTGAAGAACTTATTCTAAATGAGGGAGGATAAGGCCTTCGTTCATTTAGAGCTAATCATTTGTGAAGCACATATTTTACTACATGATCATACATTTTGTGTATGTCAAAAGCTTCAGTCATCTACCACTATATCAGTTTGATTCTTGGTTAACTTAGCATTGAACATTAAATTAGGAATATCATCCAGAAGACATCTGGGGCGCTCTTTCGTGCATAATTTCAGGCACAAGCAGGTATCTGAGTAACAGCACAGAACTTCAGTAAGGTATCTTAATAGCTTCTTTACATGAAAGAATCCAAAGTCCCTTATTCAGGATTCGAACCAACAGCAGTGTCAGGACTAAGTGATTTGAAGTCTGCCACTTTAATCACTTGGCCAGGGTGGCCTGTATTAAAATCAGTTAGAAACTGGGTATAGTAAGTGGGGATAAAAATTGTAAATTGAGTCATACTTATTGCTTCTTCAATATACCACATTTTATGGATTTTGAATATTAAAACATTTCTCAAAGTGAGTTTTACTCATGTATTTATCTGAAACTTGGATTTTTGAAAAATATCAAAATTAGATTACTCATGCAGCTTTGAATAAAATAAATTTTAAAAACACTATTTATTTTTTGCAGATTCTCAGAAAATATATGGATGGGACTACAAAGAAAATTACTTTTGAAAACTTTTTACGGGCATTGAAGTGGTGTGAGCAGGCAACTTTGGATGAGAAAATAAGAGGTCAGTATAAATATAGGAGGACTGAAATCAGATTGGAGACTTTGTATTTATTATCATCATTCACCAATGAAATTGAAAGGGGTTGTTAAAATGATGTCAACGTTGACTGTAAATGGACTTAAATATCTTAGAATTGGTAGCAAAACCTGGCATGAATTTATGTCTGAATGAGGAAATGAGGCTCACAAATACATTCATCAAATAGTACTAATAGTTAATTACTTCTGGCTCTTAAATATAACATTAAAGGACATAATTTTCATATTCAGTCATATTCACTTTTGACTTCGAATACTTGTTCACTACTAGTATGTTTTTTTAAAAGGCAAATAAACCCTGAAAGTCATTTGCACTTTATTATTTCCCTTTTTTGATTTAGAATATTTTCTCAAAAAACTGTCACAAATATTCACTACAGACTTAATTACATGCTAACTATTAACATTATAAACAGGTAATTCTGCCATTGCTTTTTATTATTTAAACCTGGTTTCAATATACATGTATTATAGTTAATATTAGTTGATAATCTACAGGCAGCATACTCCAATTGAATATTACATACATGTATAAGGTGTGGAAAGCTTAACATAGCAACTATTGTCTTGTATACTCCTGTCATAACCTATTTTCTTCTATTTTTAGAGATAAATGTCATACCATAAACTTCCTATTAAATGCCCCTTCCCTAATAAAAACCCCACTCCCAGGTTTTTTGATAAGGAAAAAAATCAAGTCGCCAATGCTGAACTCAAGAGTAAATCCATAATATTATTCAAATTCTTCAGAATCCATTTATTTAATAGGAAACTGTGTCTAAACATAAATTTCATATTTGTTGTCTTTGTAGCTATCTTTCACATGTTAAACAATGGAAATCCTGTAAATCCAGACCTAATGGTGAAGATTCTGGAAAGAGTGTATCCAAGTGATAAAGGGGTTAGTATTTCTATCAAGATTTCAGCTTAAAGGCACATTAATACAGCTAGCTCACAGAAATATTGGTAGTTCTACTCAGGTGCCTGCAAGTGCCTGAAATAATGCACAGTAGGGCATCTGGGTACTTCCTCCGCCAGTAAAGTGGAAAAGGTGCTATTATGACTGGAACAAAAGTGGAAAGATTTTTTGAGTAAAGGCAAATCCAGCAAGTATAAAGCAACTGTTATTTATTATTATATTTGAAAAAGGAACATTTGATAAATAGAAATTATAATAGATGCTGTGGGAAACTGTATTTGTTTACAAATTACCTCATAAAGTTAATAAAAAAGTCTCTATGTTTATAAAATTAATGTAAAAATATTCTTTTTTAAAACAAACTACATTTGATATTAAAATAGCTTTAATGTCTTTTAGGAGCCTATTCAGAGGATTGTTGAATTGTTTTTTCAAATTATGGACAGAGATGGAAATGGTAAGTTTTAATTGGCTTTCTTTGAATGTTACTACGATTTCTTTTATTTACTTGACAATAAGTTCAGTTATAGTGATGAGTTTTCTGTATGAAAGTCAATATGAAATAAAATTAATAGATTTTCTGAGGCATAATGGGCCTTTAAGCTAAATCTTAAAAATATAAAATCTTATCATACACATTTTTTTCATACATAAGAAGAGCTGTCTCTGTACTTTAAAAAAATTGCCCCAAAGTGGAGCTTTAAATCAAATTGGTAGACATATTTAACTGGATGTGCTCTGGCAAAGGGCATCTAAGAATTAAAACATAGCAAGATTTAAGGAAAACCACTCGGTGAATGATTTCCTCTTTCGAGATTATTTTGTATATGTCTTAGGTTTTAAGGCATATGAACAGACAGTCACAGACAGAGCTGTGCATGGCTAGATTTCATTACAAATTCTTTCTAGTGACAGTTTCATAAACTTCCATTAATCAAATCAGTCTAGTGGTTCAACTTGTGATTTTAGAATTTATTTGTCATTGTACTTGTAACTAGGTCAGATAGAAGAGGATGGTTTTCATGCAGGGGTTAAACGTATACCACCAGCAATACTTGAACAGACTCTGGGCTTCAATATACTGCCAGATGAGATGAAAGAAAGATTACACAAAAACTTACAAGAGGTAAAAAGTTGTCTCATTAATGTAAAAATTAAGGCATGTTTAATTTTTCTGTCACCAGGGGGCTGAGTGTCTGTTATTTGTCTCAGATAATGTGAAATTGTGGACAAAGACTTTCTTATCCCCCAGTAGTAGACCAGTCTAAGACTTCCTTCTTTTCTAGGATTAAGACCATTCCTAAACAAGCCTGATTTTCAGACTCGGGTCTATTATCAGTTATATATCGTCCATACTTTCTGGCTGTCAACACACTAGAAGTCACATTTCTGATCTAATCTTCATCAAAATTTGTCAGATTATTTGGCTTATTAAACGTCCATTTAGCTCAAGAAATGCTACTATTTGATAATTTCTTAAAAGTTTTTTTTTTATTTTTGGTGTCCAATTACAGTGTTCAAAAAAGTTACTGAGCCATCTTTTGCTTCTTTTACTGTTTGGAAGTCAAGTACAGTTATATAGTGATTAAGCACTTTGTATGGAAGTCAAAATACCACATTTTGCTACTATAATGGCAAATTATTTCACACTCATTACTACATCTTTTAGCTGATAATCATCAAGTATAAGCTCTAAATTCATTACTTAAACATTGTAAGACACATTTTTGCCCTAAATTCTAAACAACAAAAATAAAAACATTTTAATTCTGAAGCTACATGCACCTTTGAATAAAGAATGTAAAAATTGTATAATCATTTTTTATTTTGAATGTTTAGTTCCGATCAGAAAGTCAACAGGGTCGTGGTACTGGGCGTGGTACAGTTCCACCACAGGCAAGATTGACACCAAGGCGTGCTCAACAAGTACCCCCTGATATGGCTCTTAGGGAAGTTTCAGATAAGATATGGAAGAAAGACTGGGTCAGAGTTGGAAATAAACTAGGATTTTTCTCACAGGATATAGATGAAATACAGAGAGCATATCCAAACAACCCACAGCATCAGGTAACACCTTTGTTGTGATTATTAGATACAAGGAATTAGGTTTAAATAAGTTAAAATAAAGGACACTTATGTGTGACTTACTTTTAGTTTTGGGAATACATCTGATTTGATACAGATACTTTGAACTCTCTAAATAGGAGACTTTATGGGGTACGATATGCATCTGATATAGTAATTTTGGACTCTGAAAAAAATAACAAGGCTACCCATTATGGGGTACAATATGCACTTGATAAAGATATTTTGGACTCTGAAAATGAAATTTAATATGTGATACTATATGCATTTGATATAGATTATTTGGAAACCAGGCTTAATTGATATGATCCAATAATAATTTCTATTGGAACTGATGATCATGTGGTTCAATGCTGTAGGTTTTTTTGGTTATAATTTACAAGGTATGAAATAAACTGGTATATTGTGATGCAGCCACGACTGGTGCAGAACCTTTGTTAACAATGATATTTTCTTAATATTTGATCAAAACATATCACCTACTCCTACAATAAAGATGATTAAAAGTAATTACTTAAAATTACTGCTATTATTTTTTAACAAATATGAAGACATTTTTGTCAATATTTATAGGTATATCAGATGTTAAAACAATGGCGAGAACGTGACGGGGATGAGGCACAAGCAGAAGTTCTAGAGAAGGCCTTGATAGAGTGTGGAATGACAGATGCCGCAATAATTATGACTAGCTATTGATATAAACAGTCAATAGGTTACTTATCAATAGCTGGTTAAAGTAATAGCTGGTCAATAACTCGTCATTAGCTCTTCTGTAGACAGTGTGGACAGTGGACCATGTCACAATGATGAAAATACATGTACACTTCACTCACTGAGCTCCGTCATCGGAATGAGTACCACCAAACACCAGTATCTTTCTGGAGCATAAACAAACTTATATTTTTCTGGAGCATATACACTTATATTTTTCTGGAGCATAGACAAACTTATATTTTTCTGGAGCATAAACAAACTTATATTTTTCTGTAGCATATACACTTATATTTTTCTGGAGCATAGACAAACTTATATTTTTCTGGAGCATATACACTTATATTTTTCTGGAGCATAGACAAACTTATATTTTTCTGGAGCATAAACAAACTTATATTTTTCTGTAGCATATGAATTTACCCTGCCAAAGCAAACATTTTTTTTTACATAATTATAGTGTTGGATTAGTAAGATCATATTTTATGGAAAAAGGCAGGAAAGTGTATAAAATAGACTTGTGACTGATATCAAGAGTTATGCAATGAATAAATGACATGATGATTGTGAAACAATTATGAGCCTATCATAAATTCTAGAAAAATATTCATATTGGATATTATTCAATAACACATTTTTGGTACATTTGTTGTTTTACACATTTTTTTTAACTAACCTGGCACTAAGTAGCAGAGTTAGGTGTAACAGGATTTTCCTCGCTGCATCTGTGATATGTCATCTATCTCTTTCCATTTTCATTGAATCATTCCCTTCTGGTGCTATTGAGTCATTAAAGGTGAACTTTGACCGCTTGAAACCTTGACTTAATTATTCAATTATTCTATTTTCTTCACAACTTTGGTTTACATTATTACTCTTTGGTAAAGAATTAGCAAGACCAGTGAGTCACAGAGAGTACTGACAGTATTTTTGTAGTGTGTGTAATTATACATGTGTAAGATTTTATGGACACATAAAATAATTAATGTTGTTGGCTTCCTTTTTTCCCTTCAATTATAAAATTTTTCTAAAACAGAATTGTTAGGTCAACAATGGTTCTTAAGTTTTTACATCGTCTTAGCCAATTAGGTCATAGGTTAAGATCATGTCATGCATTCTAACCAATCTGGGCTCCAAAGTTTTCATAGTGAAAATTTTATGGCGTAGGACTAGTCCAATTTCTTTAAGCAGTTGAAATTAATATTTATTCAGACATTTTTACCAATAATAGATATATATTTTAATTTACAATATTAATGGTATAAAATTTTCAATACCATCTGTTTTAACTATGTTTTTTTTTTATGTCCAATAAATTAATTTAAAGTAATTGAACATGTTTATTATTATTTTACCATATGAACATAACTATCAAGTGTTAGTGTATCCTTGTTTGTTTGGCACAAGGCACTTAATACTCAACATGGAATAAAGTAAATAAATGTTAGTTATAATGCTTGGTTGGTGTAAGGAGTTTAGTATCACAACAGTTTCAATAAACAAGGGTTGTTTTAAAAGTAAAAGCAGCTCTAACTGTTCGCATCTTAATTTACATACACAATTTTACAATATACAAATATTAGAACATGTCCTTATATATACAGTGAAAAAATCAATATTATATTTTTGAAAATAACAATTCTGTGAATTTCAAATGACTGGGGGTTCATGACCTGGCATACGCTAACAATACAATAAATGACGTTCATGACGTAAAATAAATACATTTTAGGATCCCTGTACTTATGAAAATATTCTAAATTTCATGGAATATGTAAATGCAAGACCCTTAGTCCTATTACTTTTTGAACAACCCTAGTAAACAAGCACATTTCATGCTTGAGTCGACTTGGTTAGAGAAATATGAAACTATATTTAGACTGTTTGGCAAGGATTCTGTGCATCATATGATCCATCAACCAATTCTCGTATAAACACATTTTCGTAGGTATTTTGGAATTATTCTTTTTCAAAATTCGACCAATAACTTTGTAAACTATAGGCAGCAGATGATGTAGTTTTATACACTATTAAGTACTTAAGAGAAGTTAGTGCATAAAAATTGTATATGACACGCTGATTTTGAAACATATGTTTCCAAAATAATGTACATGTTCATTTAAAGTTAACTTAGAACGCTTTTTTAAGTTTCTTTTTCCTGTAATATTGAATCATCCCTCCATTTTGGAAAAAGTTGCTTTCTGGTTCAGGAATTCTACCTCTCAACCCAGTGATTATTGGTACGAGCCATACTATCAACTATCTGTTCTCATATGATACCAGTCCTGGTTTAAGTTCTTTGAGAGTTGTTCAAATCAATACAAAGCTAAAATTCATGATAATCAAGCTAAAACTATCATACTCTAAGTAATTTTGAGTCAACCCTTAATTTTGAATCATCTATAGTAAGAAGAAACACAAACATTCTGTTATAATTTGTTTTAATTTCAAAACTATTTGATACATTTATATGATACATAAATGTTAAAAAAGTAACAATAATCCATGGTCAAGCACAGAAATAAAAAAACAACAATAATAAAGGCACATATATTCTGTTATTCTGTTAATGTTAAATTCAAAACTACAAATGTATTATACATGTGCGATATATGAATATTAAAAAAAAAAACTATATTATTACAATCAAGTAAAACTGTGTTTACTTTTTCTTTAAAATACATTTTCTTAAGATAATTGTTTACAGAAGTGATTGATTGTAAGTCATGTATATATTTTTCAAAACATACTGTAATGATTTTAATGGATGAAAATACAAGGAATAACAAACGAGGAATTTGTAGAGAACTATAAGAAGAGATTCTAGAACATTTGCCCCCAGTTCATTTGCCCGCTCATTTTGCAGAGCTGGACAGTTGCTCCCTCACATGTTTCCCCTCCCAAACCCAACCCAAAAGTATTTGAAGGGTGGGCATTTGTCTCCGTGTTAAAAATTTGAAGCGTGGACATATGTCATTTAATTAATTTCTTTGCAGTTTGTTTGGTTCTCTCTTTCGCAGATATCACTACTGTTTTCTTTTTGTTAATGTTCAACAAAATAGACTGAACATAATAATAAATCGGTGATCTTAAAAAAGGGAGGCAAATGTCCGTGAGTCAATTGTCTGAGGCAGCAAATGTCTGTTTTCCATAAGGAGATGCTGCATGCTATATAACTAAGCTGAGGGCATTTTAGTTTCCTAAACAAATGTGAACACATGGCCTTGATTTAATTAACTTTTATGAAGGTCCAGAAGGCAATGCCACATGCCAAATCTTTGTTTCAGAATGTTATATGCACTGCCCTTTATAAGCCTTTGCACTAGGACAGTGTCAATTTTGACCCTAGGACATGATATATGTAACTTATGTAGAAAGCCTTAAGGTGATGCTACATGCCAACTATCTGGACATTGTAGGTTTAAACCTTTACCATGCTAAATATCATGTCCATTTTTCAATATAGACCAAAACATTGATTATATTTCAGGAAAATTTCGAATAATTTTTACTGGCTGAATAGTGAAAAGTGCAGACCATGATCTTGGTTAGCATTGGTCATGTGGGTAAAACCTGTTGCCATCAGCAAACTGAGAGTTAAATACTCATTTATAAGTCTATATTTTAGCTACTGTGACTAACTAGACAAACTGTTTGCATAATGTTTTTAGAGAGCCACTTAAGGATCATTCTCGTGAAGTTTCATCAAAATCTACAGGGTGATTAATGACAAGATGTTGTTTAAAGAAATTGTGGATAACCACACACAACACATAATGGCTATCACAACTGTTAATAACTGAAAATTAAATTACATTTTGTAAGTTTTTGTATTATGTTCGCTGACTCATATTAACCAGATAACTGTATTGTATCATCATTTTAACTTGACTTTAATGCCCTCATGTCTGTGTTAAAGTTGATGCTATTAAAATGTAACCGTGAAAATCCTTTTAATGTTGCACTAAGGAAAATATTTCTGGTCTCACTGTTGTTCAAAACAAACATTCTAAACATGCTTTACACTATTCTCCCATCAAAAGAGCAATCAAGTGCATAATTACATTATATATACACAGCATAAAAAATAAATTCTTATAAGTCATATAATGTCAGATATGACGTTAATAACCCAAATGATGGTAGGAAAATCACTTTTATGCTCAATGTAGTTCAACATATTTTTATCAATTTTCATTTTTACTAGCACTTACTTTTTTTTGCACTATTTGCATGGTTTATCATTCAAATGCTTAAACCCTGCATTATTCTACAACAATGCACTCTAAATTGAAATATATTTCCTAGACAAAAAACTGACAATTTTCTATCATATTTACCCTTAACCTGTTTGAATCAAAAGTGTTCAGCCTTTGCCACCAGTATAGAGCCAGGCCAGCCTGCAAGTCCATGCTGTCAACACTAGGTTATGTAATATTGGTAACTCAATTTTTATGTTCTGGTATTAAAATCCCTTATCCTTTGAAAGAACTGATTCGAATTTGAAACCGAACAAATTCCTCAAACAACACTAGCAGGTAAAGGGTTAAAACAAGCTACACGTGGACAATTCTCACAATGTTTGAGTTTATTATCCACAGATTCTTGCACACATAACCAGATTGTGTTCTTCTGTTTATCTTGGTATTCTACTATTTGCCTTTGTGATCCTGAAAAAACAACAACAGAAAGGTTCAAGAAAGTGCTATTATTTTTCCATTCATTAAAGTAAAAGTTATAACAGTAAGCTTTTTTAATACAAATTGTAAAAGAACAAGTTACAACAATTGTGACCATTCCTCAGGCATCTACATTTTATTATCACCGAGCCACCTCGGCTAAGTGGTCAAGGTTCCAGAATTAAAATCCTGGGTTCAAATCCTGTCCGGGACTTCCATTTCTTTCATGTTAGAAAGTATCAAACTCGCTTAAAGAAGTCAGTTTTTTTCTATGGATAGCTTGCTGAGCTTGTACCTGTAAAAACCTACAAAAGGGAACCTGACCTTCACCAGTAAAGTTGGTTATGTGATGTTAAACCAATTAAACAACTAGAAATGTGTCCATAGGACACGGGTGCCCCCACCGCGCCACTGTTCTGTCAATCTTTTTACTAAGTCAAGGGAAATAACTCTACAAATACTGGATAAATCCACAAGCGAAACCCCAGGTGCAAATCTTAATATGCTGAGCAACCTGCCCATAAGGTTTAATGACTATGTCAAATCCTTTTTGAGTAACTTGGGACACAAGTTGAAAATTGCAAAAATTTTCTAAGTGAAGGGCAATGACTCTAAAAATACTAAATAAATCCAGACGAAAATACCTGGTGCACAACTGCACATGCTGATCAATATTCCTGCAAAGTTACATGACTCTAGGTCAAATACTTTTTGAGTTACGTGCGACACATGTTGAAAATTGCAAAATTTTACTAAGTCAAGGGCAATAACTCTGAAAATACTAAAAATATCCAGACGAAAATACCCAGGTGCACAACTACACATGCGATCAACATTCCTGTAAAGTTTCATGACTCTAGGTCAAATACTTTTTGAGTTACGTGCGACACAAAAGTGAACGGACGGACGGACAGACGGACGGACAAGGGTAAATCTAAATGCCCGCCACTAACGTGGGGGCACAAAAATACATGTATACTTCTCATATCAAATGAATTGGAAAAATAAATATTCTTTGGTACATACAAACAAATGAGCAATGACAAACTGACATAAAGCCTTTGATCCTGACACAAAGCCTTAGGACTGTGTAATCCTTTTCTGAGAAACATAGCAAGTATGTCATGGTTTATTTATTTAAAGTTGAAGTTCAACTTGTCTATATTTCTACTTGTCTATATTTCTTTTATTTCTACTCATATCTTTGTTTGTTATCTTGTTTATCTAAGTTTGGATATGTTTGCTGATCTTTGGTTGCACTTGCTGCTTTGGTAGATTCAGCTGCTGCCATCAGACTAAGAGTTCAAGCAAGTTCAAAAATGGACAACTGACAAAAGGCTGATAGAAATAACTCTTAAACATCTTAAAACTATTAATACTGTTGATATAAGCTCATTACCATATTAGCAAATATACAACCTTCTACAAGAAGCTCTTATGATATTTACAAAATTTAATACTCACTAGTCTCCAGTTAATCAGCTTAACCCATTCCTTTGACTCTTTCTCATTAGCAGCAAATAAATAAAATGTTCTCCACTCAAATACTAATCTGTAAAATATTGAAAAGTAAGCAATACAATGGCAACATATAAAGTTATTCTATGAAAGTTGCAGGAAGTCCAAAATTTTGATCCTCAAATTAATTTCAGTTAAAGCATCTTATTATTCCTGCTAACTAAATGTGTTAAACTTTGTTATTATTCCTACCTACCAAATATGCTAAATTGTTATTATTCCTACCTACCAAATTTGCTAAATTGTAATTATTCCTACCTATCAAATTTGCTAAATTGTAATTATTCCTACCTATCAAATTTGCTAAATTGTAATTATTCCAGACTACCAAATTTGCTCAATTGTTACAATTCCTATATGTACAAAAATGTACCAACCAAGTATGTTTGTTATTATTCCTACCTTCCAAGTATGCTAAATTGTTATAATTCCTACCTACCAAATTTTCAAAATTGTTACAATTCCTATCTACTAAGTATGTTTATTATTATTCATACCTACCTAATTTTCAAAAATTCTTATTATTCCTGCTAACCAAATTAGCTAAATTGTTATTTTACCTAAAAACATGGTCCTTTCCCTTAAAATTGCCCTCCATTACACACTCCTTGCATTCATCTAGATCTAACACTCGTATAGCATCCTTCCTCGAGGAGTCCTTAAAATATTTCAGTTCATTTTTCTGAAGCACAAACCATCGAACCTTCCATGTCTGAAATGTAAAAAAGTAGTAAATCTACATTTTCATATCAATTTACATTCATTTCACTAGGTCACTAAAATGAGATCAAATATGATTTCAATGTGGGCAACTATTATATGAATGAGAAATAATAAAATTCATCTAACACAAACAGAAATTTCAGCAGGGGCATACATCATTTTAATCGACATGTACATGATTGTAAACACATAGTGTTTGCTTTCTGCATGTTTATATGCAACCACTAAATGACAATAATGCCCATTATAGTGGTGTACTACCAGGCTAAATATTATAAATGGACTTTTCAATCTGGGCAGAACCATTCATCATATTTAGGGAAAATTGCCAAATAAGTCAGGGCTCTTGTTTGGTAAAATTTGTGGCCGGATATGGGCCCCATTCCCCCATTAAAAAAAGTGTGATTTTCCCCCCTAAAACCAAAAAAATTTCCCCTTGACAATAATGTTTAACAACCATAGATCAGGGATCACTTTTTTAAGTTGAATTCTTACACATAAAGTATCAAAAATGTACTTAATAGCAGCTTGTTGTTGATAAATTTGTTAAACGACTCTTGTTTTGCTTGTTTTTAATGAATTAATTTTCTTCTGTTGAAATTCCCCCTTGAATGAAAAATATTTGAAAATCATGGGAAATTCCTCTCATGCATGGCCTCAAAATGCTAACAAGAGCCCTTAAGTACTGATAGACTAGCAAACACTTCAGACCATGATGAGATAGGAATGAATATGCAGGCTGATCTTGGTCTGCACTAGTCACATGGGTAGATTCTATAGGTGCCAGCAGGCTAAGGATTAACTGTTTGTTGTAAAAATATGACTAAAAAATCTGTGAAGTGATAATGACCGGAGAAAAATTGTTGATGATGAACTGCTACATTATACATCATATTTAACCTGAGAGGGTCCTTAACAAGAGCTGTCGGTAGGACAGCACGCTCGACTATTCTAAGTGCTTGATAGTAAAAGAGCCTTAATAATGTTAAATTTTTTAAGTTCACAAAAGGGCTAATTTTTTTTTATAAATTCATGTTATAGGCCTTAGAGAGAGTCTAATTATACAGTATTGGCTTGGCTATTCGGAAGGTAATGTCACAAGGGTGTTTTATTGAGTATAATAATACTAATTACCTATGAATACATAAATTTGACAGAAAAGGTACAAAGGCTTGTTATTAAGATGTTTTATCAAGTAAATCACTGCTTTATTATTATGAATGCATAAAATTGTCCCAAAAAAGGCACAAACCCTTCAGTAGTTATTGAGATAACAGCTTACAAACAAAACTTTACCATGAATTTCCAAGTTGAAAAAGGGGAGAAAAATCAGCCTAAATGCAAGCTTTGTCAGTGACCTACAATTATGACCCTAAATGTGAAGTTTTAAATAAATATCTTTAATAGTTATAGATATGTAAAATTGTTACTATAAAAAAAGTATTTTAAATTTCAAGTGAATATCTCAAGCAATAATTGAGATATTTGACTTTACAAAAAAACTTTAACCAAAATTTCTAAGTTCCAAAGGGGCATAATTCTGTCATTATTGTAGGCAGAGTTATCCAACTTGTCAATCTGATGTACTTTGTTACTATAAATAAGTATTGTAAGTTTCATTTGAATATCTCGAGCATTATGATTGAGATATTTGACTTTACAAAAAACTTTAACCAAAATTACTTTACAAAAAACTTTAACCAAAATTTCTAAGTTAAAAAGGGGCATAATTCTGTCAATATTGTAGGCAGAGTTATCCAACTTGTCAATCTGATGTACCTTGTTACTATAAATAAGTATTGTAAGTTTCATTTGAATATCTCTAGCAATAATTGAGAAATTATTTGACTTTACAAAAAACTTTAACCAAAATTTCTAAGTTAAAAAGGGGCATAATTCTGTCAATATTGTAGGCAGAGTTATCCAACTTGTCAATCTGATGTACCTTGTTACTATAAATAAGTATTGTAAGTTTCAATTGAATATCTCAAGCAATAATTGAGATATTTGACTTTACAAAAAACTTTAACCAAAATTTCTAAGTTAAAAAGGGGCATAATTCTGTCAATATTGTAGGCAGAGTTATCCAACTTGTCAATCTGATGTACCTTGTTACTATAAATAAGTATTGTAAGTTTCAATTGAATATCTCAAGCAATAATTGAGATATTTGACTTTACAAAAAACTTTAACCAAAATTTCTAAGTTAAAAAGGGGCATAATTCTGTCAATATTGTAGGCAGAGTTATCCAACTTGTCAATCTGATGTACCTTGTTACTATAAATAAGTATTGTAAGTTTCAATTGAATATCTCAAGTAATAATTGAGATATTTGAATTTACAAAAAACTTTAACCAACGCCGACGCGGACGCTGACGCCGACGCCGGGGCGACTACAATAGCTCTCATATTCTTCGAATAGTTGAGCTAAAAATGTAATTGTGAATGTTGTCAAATATTTAAAGCCTACATGTAGTAAGTCCACACTTTTTTGTAGAATTGCTTAGTCCTAACCATCTTGTGACTTTATCATTTGTGTATAGAAAGTTGGCAATTAAGTTGGCAGTGGAATAAAAGACAAATGACTTTAAAGACGTTTGCTATAATTATATAATAAAGATATAGGCAGAATGAAAATTGTATAATAAGGAAGAGATATGATTTCAGGCAGGTGTGGAAATATTGACTGACAACAGGCAGTAAGTAATCATGTCCCATTCCTTCAATATTTAGTCAAAATTAGAGATAGAGACGACTAAAACCAGTTTTGAGAATTCAAGAAAGATTTTGCCCAGTTCTTGATGAAAATTACTTTTACTGAATATTTCCAATCACTTGTTACTGTGCAATAAAATTTCTAAGTTTATTTCAGACAATAGAAATATACTGTATTACTTATTAAAGTTACTTTACTTATTATTACTTATTTAAAGTTTGACATGGCATTTATTTAATAAATGTTCAATAGATGTTATCTGAAACATTGCAAATGTGGGGTTGTCTCCCCCATCTAATCCTGTGGTACAAACTTTTACTGTGGTAGCTTCAATATGCACTACTTTTTACAATAGAGTGATCCATATGTTACAATTATTATCGATATTACTAAGTTGTAACCACAAAGTTTGTTTGTACCCAGAGATTAGGTGGGAAAAACCTACATTTGCCGAGTACCATAGTATCTCTATTCATCATGAAGTTAGGAAGCACTATAAGGATGTAAATACAACAATCCAATCATAAGCTCGATATACAAAATATCTGATATAAAATCCTTATCAGTACAAAGGTGACAAGGAATAGCTATTTCACTTCCTCTAACATTATACTAACCTTAAATATTGCACCAATCTTTGTCAAATATCCATCTTTAGAGTTTATCTAAAATGATAAAAGCATAATGTCATTGCAAATAAATTACACATTGTACATTCTTCATTTACATCCACTTACATTTACTTGGTCTTTTTTTTATAAAGTTGCCACTGGTAAAACATGCCACTCAGATATTTAAGATGTATGACTTTTAACTAAACTTTAAAATATTTCGCTTTTCCTTCAAAAATCAAGAAACATTATTTATGTCTTTTGTACTTGTCTAGAATAAATGTAATGATCACAACAACTTTCTTTGATCTTCTAAGCAACAGTAAGAACTTTCTACAGGATAACTCTTAGATAACTGTTTTTCCCTTTCATTGTCACATATTTCTTCTAATGTAGCTTCCAATGCCAAATTCATTTCCAGAAATTGGCTATGTTATTTTTTTTATTTTTTGCATTATCTGCTTAAAATATACTAAGATGGATACAGAAAATGAATTTATCTTATTATTTTGATTATTTAATCAAAATGTAAAATAAAGATTGATTTAAATTCATATTTTTGTATATTAAGCCACATTATTTGTAACTGTAGCATCTCTGCAGCAGTGAAAGAGTAAAAGTAGATTAATATTTCACGACATTTTTCATGTTCAAAAAGGGACACAACTTTGTCAAAATGCAGATAAAGAGTTCTGATAGGACGGGGGAAAAATGGTTCCTATGAAACATCCTCCACCCACTTGTAGTGGTATATCTTGTATGATAATTAAAAGAAAGTTGCATACTGAGAAGTCTGTTCTAGGAGTGTTATCACCGGTGCTGTATTCTGCATGAACTCTCACTGTACCATAGATAGCTGGCTCCGACACAACTCTTGGGTATGGATCTACCATTAATGTTGTCTGACCTGAATTTATTATATACAAAGTATGACTAATTTGACAAAAAACATTGATTTCTGGTTGAAGATTTTCCTTAGAAAATACTAAACTTTCATTTAATTATTCATGATTAAATTTCTTTGCTATCTAATAATAGGTTTTTGCTTAAAAATGATTTATTTGAAGTCTGCTTAAGCCATTCTCTACAATCTAAGATTGAGAGGTAACTGTAAGACCAAATATTCCTTTAACATATTGTCAAAAACATTTCGGGGAAATAACTAATAAATGTTTTCTTAAAAGATGAATTTCTCTGTTATATGCTCGATTTCAACAGAAAAACTGTCATGGTACTTCTTTTTAAAGGATAAATATTGATATAAGACAGACATCAATCTATCCGTTCCTATTCCTTTTAATACATGTTATGTTCAAACTGCATCCTGACACAAGAGGGCCATGATGGCTATTCTAATGCTCACCTGAGTGAAGATTCAACTCAGGCCTATGAGTTAAAAGCATAACTTGTACTTTAAGACAAAGGAGAACAAGATTTTTCCGTTGATCTTAGCTAAGAAACCTAGTCTTTAATCCCATGTGACTGAAATTCCAGTTTGACAATTTTAAAAATATAATGACTGAAAATAATGATGGCACTTGAAATTATAACAATATTTTGAGTTATAATAAATATCACACACCTGATTCACCACCAAGCATTGGTTGGTTACGAAAATGATACGCTATATCATCACATGTTTCATATTTCCCATGACCGAAATAGAAAGCGTCATCTTTCCATGTCAGATTAAAGTGTTTGACTGCATCTGCTGCCCTGTAAAATATTGAAAGGTATTAATATATTGGTAAACATCACTGCCACTCTTCAAATGGTTTTGAAGAAAAAATAAAAACTGCAAGTTAGTGGTAGTCAAAATACCCAAGTACTCTGTTTTGTCAGGAGGGTATCGATACATATGTATATATAAATCTTAAAAATGCTGAATTAGCAAACTTAAAAGTTACATTTGGCAGCAAAGAAAAAAACTAAAACTCATAGACAAAAACATGGTGCATATTTCTAAACCATTTAAGATTTTATCCAAAAAAAAACAAAAAGCAGTACAATACAAAGATAATCCTAATTTTCTTTTCTTTCATATCTTTTAAAAGATACATAGATTGTTTTCGAGGGAAAATGGAATAATCAGTTTATTTTTATAGAAGGAAAAAACATGTGTTTTTACAATAAATAATGCTCAGCTTTACTTTATGAAAAAAGATTATTTTTTTTGTTTTCCATGAAACATTTTTTTGTAAGGGTTCCTCACTAGAATGATTGGGCTATATTTAATGGTTAAAATAAAAAAAAAGTTGCTATTGTAAGACTTGTTTTTCTATTTATACAGAATTTAAAAAGCCCCCACTTTCAGCTACAATTTTTTGCTAAAATTTACATTGATTGCTAAAAAAAACTACTTAACTATAACACTTTAACACATAAAAAGAGATGAAATATTAAAAATTTTCTGGCAGAATATGAAGTGGACCATCCTTTGTATTGGTCCCTGACAGATCACAAAAAGTTACATGGTATAAAGTTTTAACAACATGTCTACATCAGTTATCTTACATTTTTTACATATTATGACAAGTCTTTCATACATTTTATATGAATATCTGGATCAGAAAATCAACTCCGGATACCGAACAGTGATTCAAACGTACAGATATCCAGACTCCAGATGACATCCCTGCTTTAAACATTATGAAAATTATACAGATACATACATGTAGTATACAAGTGAAGACAGTGAACGTACCTCACTGAAACAGCATACTCATTTTGTTTAGAACTATTTCTTACTAGGAATGTACCATCTTTTCCATTCTGCAATAAAATTGCTTCCGCTTTATGTCTGTCTAAATCTGGGTGGAAATAACTGGAAGATAAATAAATAACAATATTAGCTTTGATTATTTTAAACTGAGTATACTATACATGTATCATTATTAAACAGCTTGAAAAATAATTTAGAAACACCAACAAAATGTTCAGGTAAGAAACAAGCACCATTTACAGGGGCAGCTAACTAAAAATATAAGATACCACATCTCCCCTCCCCCCAATTTTTTTTTCATAAATTTGTTTCAATCATTATTCTCTTAAATGCAAATAAAAGTTTAAAACTTCTTTGCCTATGTTAAAATGGCGCTACTGTAAGAAATATCTTTAAGGCAGATGAGATAATTACCCACAGATAACAGATGAGATTAAAAAAATATGACAGATGAGTATATAGGAGTGTGACGTTTATCCATTTTAATGGCATTGGTCAGTTTTAAGCAAAACAAGAGCGATCAGTGATCACACGTGTCGCCTCATGATGGCCAATTTCATGTTGGGACAAGTTTTGTGACAGACGGACAGACAGACGGACAGTGCACAACTAGACTTGGTACTGATCATTCCTGTAAAGTTTGGATAAAATTGCACCAGTAGTTTATGAGGAGTAGTCTGGACAAGCTACACACAGAAAAAAACACCTTTTTATCAAAGGGCCATAACTCGGCCAAAAATCATTCAACCGGAAAACCCATGCAATAATTATGCGCAAGGACTTGAGCTACAGATCAATCCTGTAAAGATTCATTGAAATTGCATTAGTGGTATAAGAGAAGTAGTCCGGACAAACTTTAAAAATAAAAATTATTAAAGGGCCATAACTCTGACAAAAATCATTGATCCGGAAAATGCTGACAATATGCACATCTAGACTTGGTACTGATCATTCCTGTAAAGTTTGGATGAAATTGCACCATTAGTTTAGGAGTTGTCCGGACAAGTTTTGTGACGGACGGACAGACAGAGAAGTGATCCCTATATGTCGCCACTACTCCGTAGAGGCGACACAAAAACCAGTAAGAAAATTAAAATAAACTGAAATCGAGGTTAGTGTAAGACCAACAGACGAAGAAATTTTAGATTACTTTTGTTTATATATGATAAGGTATATGACATTTTGTTCTACTTAAGTTGTATTTTTTTCTGATTACACACTATTTTATCATCTACAGTGCAGTCCTCACAGATAATGGTACTCCATTATCAGATATGTAATTGTTGTCAACTTGTCAAGTATAACAATATACCAACAAATCTTATCTCAAAAAACAAAGTTAAAGTTTAAAATCTAAAATCTAAGAATTCTTACAGTTGTTTAAACATTTTACACTGTTAAAGCAGCAAGCATACCAATTTTCATGAAAATTTTGAAAATGTATTTAAAAGTGTAATATTGTGAAGTACCAAAGGGAGCAATTTACACATAATAAATGGCACTTCCAACCCACATAAACTACCAAAAAGGGGTCAAAATATGCAGAGATAACCCTTACCGCGTTAGTAACGCAGTAGAAGTACAGTTATAAATACTGAAAAATCAGTCATTAATCACAAATAACATGTAAATTATTACCTGACTCTTAAATCTTTTTACTTTTCCTAACTTATAAGTATCTTTTACCCATATTTGATATTGTAGAAATAAATTGTTTGATCATCTGGAGGTGTGTAGCTTTAATATTAAGTTGATGTTTATTACTGACTTAATATTCCTTGCTGCCTTTCACAAATCACTCGATTGAAGATGTTCAGTATTAAGTTCATGAATCATGTACCTCATAATTAAAATATGGCTTAAAAATAAAGTTTTTTTAAAATAAACACTTTTTTATGTTACAAAGAGCCGTAACTCAAAAACCAATGGGTGGATTTAAATGTGTTGAGCCCAATTTCCTTATTTGTACATGTATATTCTGTAAATTTCTGCTATGCTTCAAGAAAACTTGACATTCTGAACCCAGGCAGAACACAAAAGACCATATCAAAATCCTGAAACTAGGAATAATTCTTTTATCGTGGAATATTAGCCAAATTATTGTGTTCATGCCCCAGTTGACAAGTGATAACATTACTGTTGATAGTAAACTGTTTTAAGCTATGTACCAAAATCATGATTTGAATTTTGAAAACAAGAATTTGTAACAGAGTTACCAGCGTCCCCCGCCTCGTGGAAGTATGAAATTGTGCTATTTCAAAAGATTGAGGTATGGATCTCAGGACTTTCAGTCCAAAATTATGATCAATGCTAGATCTGCAAACGCAACAATAAATTTATTAAAGAAATAAAATGAAACACGGAATTTAAAAATCTATAATGTTCAGCTTTGACCTTTGAGGTAGGGGTGCAGGTGTTGCGCATGACATATCGTCTTATTATTGTAACTATTTGTGCCAAGTATTTTCAAAATCCCTTAAACTATGAAGAAGTTATAGATCGGACACAAAATATACCAATTAACAGACTATGTTAATCTTTGACCTCTAAGTGTGACCTTGGAGGTAGGGACCCATGTTTTGGGCCAGACATATCATCTTATTATTGTGATTATTTGTGCAAAGTATTTTTAAAATCCCTTGATCTATGAAAAAGTTACAGACTTGACACAAAATATACCCTATAACAGACTATGTAAATCTTTGACCTCTAAATGTGACCTTGACCTTGAACGTAGGGACACTGGTGTTACGTATGACATATCATCTTATCATTATGACTATTTGTGCCAAGTATTTTCAAAATCCCTTGATCTATAAAGAAATTATGGATGGGACACAAAATATACCATATAACAGACTCAGTTAACTTTTGACCTCTAAGTGTGACCTTGACCTTGGAGGTAGGGGTGTAGGTGTTGTACTTGACATATCGTCTTATTATTGTGACTATTTGTGCCAAATTATTTCAAAATCCCTTGAACTATGAAGAAGTTCTAGATCGGACTATTTTAATTTTTGACCTCAAAATGTGACCTTGACCTTGGAGGTAGGGATGCAGGTGTTGCGCATGACACCTTGGAGGTAAGTGACAGATTGTTGCGCATGACACATCGTCTCATTATTGTGAACAATTGTGGCAATTATTTACAAAATCCCTTCAAAGATAAGAAAGTTATAGACCGGACACGACATATACCCTCAAATAGACAATGCTGACCTTGAATGAGCAAGGGCCACCTTGACCCTAGAAGTAGGGGTCTGGTTGTTGCGCATGACACATCGTCTTATTATAACAAACATTTGTGCCAAGTTATTTCAAATTCCTTTGATAAATGACAAAGTTATGGACCGAACACGAAAGTATGACGGACGGACGGATGAACAGACAGACAGAGCCTATTTCTATATCCCCCTTTTTTCTTCGAAATGGCGGGGACAAAAAAAGTCACAAAATCCAATAATATACCTTTATTTGAATGATTCTTTAAGAATGAATGCCAAGCATGCATGAACTCATTGAAAAACAGTTAAAACCCTAAATCAGCATCATATTTTATTTCAGTATATTCTATTCTGCGTGTGTACAATATGAATTACAATTATACATGTATGCTGCATATTTGAGACATTATTATATTACAACCCTAATTCCAGAATCAACCAAAAGGTTATGGAAACAACATTATTTTATCATTCATAAATCATATAAAAAATTGTTTCATTATATATGCATGTAGCTTTAATACCCTATAAGTCTTATTTTTTACAAACTAGATTATTCACTTTGTTAAAATGTAATAAATTAACAAGTTAGCTGCAGGAAAAAAACAACTTATACTTACTCTAAATCTTTAAGTAGTTTGACCTCAGAATGATCTTCAGCCATTGCTTGGATTATGATAATCACTTCCTTATAATTCTATTCTATATCAATTTACAGATCAAGTATCACTTCCTATCAAGTTAAACCTCACATAATGATTCAGTGCACAGTCCTAATTCAACTGAAATCAAAGACAGTGTACATGTACTTAATAAATCTATCCCTATCATATGTACTATATGTATGTAATTATGTTACATGTATATGTCAAGAATGAAAAACTGTGAAAAAATCATCATCACATTTGGCAAATGTATAGAAAATCTAGGAGTACTTCAAAGTCATATAACAATAATAATTATGCTTCATGCTGTGATCATACAAAGTGCGTCATACATCATAATATAATAATATTGCACTCAGAAAATTTGTGTTTGTGTTGATTTAATTCTTTTCTATAGCATTGCAGCAATAATAATATTTGATGGTATATTAATCACATGAAAAAAAATCACAGGTACACAAATGATTTGTGCATTATTACTGTTACTTGTATAAAGAAATAAAGAATGACTGAAGAAAATAATATAATGTTAAAAATGCGTGGACTATTTCATATTGGCTCTTTGTTATCACACCAACGACACTCAGATTGGCAGATCAGGCAGTAGGTCGGAGAGCCAATACACATGTCCAAAGCCAAATGAAAAAGGCCAATGTAAAATCTCCTGATTATTGACAGTTTTATAAATTACCACTGTTATCACTGTTAGCTGCATACAATGTAAAATGTACATTTTAAATTAATCTCTTTAGTAAAATATATGATAAATGTATAATAATGACATACATTACCTACAATGCTATGAAACTAAATAAATTATTATTCCTATATGATTTATAAATACTCATGATCTATATTAAAAACTTTTGTGTGTGAAAGTTTTAAATAAGAACATGTGTACAACAGCACATACATTTATCTAGAGGAAATAATATGTGTACTCAAATTCTGATAGCGTGAGATGTTTCTGTACACATTCATTACATAGCAAATAATAACAATGTTAACTTTTATTTTGCTGCCAAAGAGCCTAATGTTCTGCGTTAACACAGATCTGTTAAATATTGTTGTTATTCTACTGAAATTTCTTGGTAAATAAATATTAAACATGAAAATATTATGAGGTTTTTGTTGGAGTTATTAAGTTTAAAATAAATATAAGAACACAAATCAATTGAAATAAGATCGCAAATATAAATATAAAGATGTAAGTTTATGTAAGTGTTTTAAATAGAATAAACAGGGACAATAACAAATTCTAAAAATAAAACATTTTCATTAACGGTTTATTCTCTAAACAAGAGGGCCATGATGGCCCTGAAATCCCTCACCTGTTTATAAAACTCTCCATGACAAGGTTAGTACTATTGTAAACTATAAACAAAAGCAGATATAAAATCTATAATCTAAAACTGATATAACAAAGTTCATATTTGTATCTGAAATAGTGCATTTGTAAAAACATTACTGGGGAAAACAACAGTTCCAAAAGATGTGTACATATAAGAATAATCAATGACCCCCATGGGGCGGGGCCAATTTTGACCCCCATGGCTTCTATTTGAACAAACTTTGTAGAGACACACAAGAAGATGTTTCATGCTAAATATCTAAGCTCTAGCTCTTTGGGTTTTTTAGAAAAGATTTATTTTTGTTTTTACAATATAGATATCAGGAAAATAAATGACCCCCGGGGCGAGCCAATTTTGACCCCCAGGGCTTTTTTACAATTGACATATAAGGAAAATCAATACACCTCCCATGGTGGAGCCAATTTTGACCTCAAGGCTTTTATTTGAACAAACTTGGTAGACACTTACTAGAAGATGATTTACGCCAAATATCTAAGCTCTAGCTCTTTGGGTTTTTTAGAAGAAGAATTTTTAAGTTTTTTCTTTCGGTTAGCAACCAGAGTTCTGTATGGAATTAAATTCTTAGAACAATTTTCAAAGGTGACCACTAAAGGAACATTCCTGTTAAGTTTGAATGAAATTGGCTCAGTGGTTTATGAGAAGCTGTCGTTTAAAGTAAAAAGTTAACCAACGCCAGCTGGACACCGGATGAAAAGCGATCACAAAAGCTCACCTTGTCACTTTGTAACAAGTGAGCTACATGTAAAAAGGCCCCAAAAGGATGTTGCATTTTCCTAAAGAGAGGCACTAATTTAACTACAGAAAATGTTAACAAGAGCCTTTGTTACTTATTTACTGATTTGATTTATACTTGCCTAATTAAGCAACCAACATGTTGAACATTTAAAATATGACCTTGAAGAACAAGAGGGCCATGATGGCCCTGAAATCACTTACCTCTATATAGGCCCCTGGGCGGGGCCAATTTTAACCCAAGGGCTTTTAATTGAACAAACTTGGTAGACACCCATTAGAAGATGTTTCCTGATAAATATCTAAGCTCTATCTCTTTGGGTTTTTTATAAGAAGATTTTTTAAGTTTTTACTATACACATATAGGGAAAAACAATGACCCCCTCCCCCTGGGCGGTGCCAATTTTGACCCCAGGGTTTTTATTTGTTCAAACTTGGTAGACTCTCACTAGAAGATATTTCATGCTTAGTATCTAAACTCTAGCTCTTTGGGATTTTAAAAGAAGATTTTTAAGTTTTTACTATACACATATAAGGAAAATCAATGAACCCCAGGGCGGGGCCAATTTAAACCCAAGGGCTTTTATTTGAACAAACTTGATAGACACTCACTCGAAGATGATTTATGCCAAATATCTTAGCTCAAGGTCTTTGGGTTTTTTAAAAGAAGATTTTTTAAAGTTTTTTTCTCTCCGTTGCCATGGCAACCAGAGTTCTGCATGGAATTAAATTCTTTGAACAATTTTTAAAGTTGACTACCAAAGGAACATTCCTGTGAAGTTTGGATGAAATTGGCTAGGCAGTTTATGTGAAGATGTCGTTTAAAGTAAAAGTTACGGCAGGATGGATGCCGGACGAAAAGCGATCACAATAGCTCACCATGTCACTTTGTGACAGGTGAGCTAAAAACCCTAACATCTAAGGTAGGGCCATTTTTGACATCATTGGCATGATTCACTTAATATTTGTAATAGACCACAAGGTCATATTTCTTGCCAAATATCTAAGCTCTTGGCACTATCAGTCAGTTTCTGAGGAAACTATTCTTTGTCTTCAATGAAAGTCTATGGAAACACATAGGCCAGTCTATTTTAGACCTAGGGGCATGATTTATATCTCTGCCATAGAGGTTAACTAAGAGATGCTACAGTCAAAGATTCTATTTCTAAAGTCTATACATTAACATTCAAATGTAAGTCCTGCCAATACTAATACAACAGACTGGAACCAATTACCTGTATATCGTAACTTTTGTAGAGACTAGAGAGTTGGACCAGATTGTCAGATTTTGGAATCAGGTTACCCAAATTTTCAATTTGGGCTGTATTAACTTGGGGCAGGGTTACCATATAATTCCATATTAATAACAAAAGAAATTAGTCATTTAGAATGGTCATAACCAAAAATGACTGGATAAAATTTGTTAACCTTCATTTCTCATAATTCTGATCTATTTCATCTTAAAGATTACATTTGTCAGACTTAAATACATCCAACTGATTAAGAAATGCTTACATATTGATATTTTGGTGAAATATACATTTTTGAGTCCCATGTGAAAGCCATGCATTGCAGTGCCGGTTAAGTCAGATCAGATAGTAAAATTCCTTCTAAAAGATCGTTATAAATGATGACAAATTTTATGAATCATAGAGTGGATAACTTATAAATAGGGATTTTCTCAAAGTAATTTTGTGTTTCATTCACTTATGTGTTTCTGTTTCTGAGGCATAGCAAAGAAAACATTGCTTCTGTCACAGGCACTTGGGGGTCAAACCCTATCCCCTGGCTTGAACCGACCCTGTTAATGGTCAATAAAAAACTTTAAACATTTTAACACAAATGAGGCATCTGTACATGCATTTATAAGTAAAATATTTCTTAAACATCTAAACAAGTCTGATGAACAAAAAAATCCCATTTACCAATACTGTCAAGTCTCAAAAAGTAATGATTGCACAGGGGTTTTCAAGCTAAGTGCTTGGGGATATGGTCTAATAGACTACTGATCTGACCCCCAAAGTGTCTGTGGTTTCTATTCTTTGTGTGTATGTGAGCTTATCTATACTCGCCATCTGTTGCCCATATGAACGAGAAGAGTATTAATTAGTCATTTTATAGTTTTGGAGGATCATTCAAGATACAGATACAGAAAGATGCCCCAATTCCAGAAGCTTCTCCTGGTTCTTTCGCATGCCAAGTGTTTAAACAATTATGCACGAGACCCTGATAAAACGTCTCATCAAAAAGTCTGATTAGTAATTTTTTGTCGATGAGCCTGGGAATCGAATCCACAATGTCAAGATTACAAGTCTCGTGCTCTAACCGACTGACCCATGCAGGCTTGCATTCTATTCTCTATCAAATATTGATATGTATTGTTTATTTTTTATTCTCTATCAAACAATGATACATATTGTTTATTATTTTATTCTCTATCAAACACTGATATATTTTTTATTATTTATGACGATACTTCTGTTTAATGTTTAACACTGTTTAAATGACGCGCATATGCTCAAAATACTCAAGAGTGTGATGCATTTAATACACAGAGATGAATACTGAGACAGACTATCAACTAAGATTTTCAGTTAACGTCATACATGTCAAAGTTATTTGTGTTTGTTTTTTTTTTCTTTGTTTTGTTGTTGTTTTTTTTCGGTGCCCTTTAGCAGTTTAGGCTTTACTGGCATAGTAATCATTATAACAATTAAAGTTGTTCCTTCTTTAGTATGTGTTTACTTAACTCATGTCACAAATTCATAAGAACAGTATAAAATGTATAATACTTACGTGAAACTGGATAATTATTCACTATAAAAAATTTTTCGTACAGACGAATTTGTGTTTACATTTAGGAAGACGTCCAATTCGTTCCAAATACAACAAGACCACACTACAGTAATCTACGGTCTCCGGTCTTCGGCGGTATGTTCGGTAATTTACCGTAATTTAACCGTTGTGGTCAGACTTAGCTATTGATTTTTCCCATTGCTTTTCATATATCAGTAAGGATTTCTATCTGTTTATATCCTTGACAGAAAAAAACTCAGTTCACACTCTCAGTACCTTTATGAATGAAACAAAGAATTCTATTTTTACATTGCTTTATTTATTCTCTTGTTGCAACAGCATGCAACAACAATAATTTTTGGCAGATTAATACACTCGTGCATACGGGTATGAATATGTTATTGGTAGATTTATATACACTACTATCTGTGACATTTGTGATAAATTACTGTCTGTGACATTTGTGTTAAACATCCTATCTTTGGCATTTGTGATATACTACTATCTGTGACATTTGTGATAATTAAATTACTGTGACATTTGTGTTATACTACTATCTGTGACATTTGCAATACATTACTATCTGTGACATTTGTGATACACTACTATCTGTGACATTTGTGTTATACTACTATCTGTGACATTTATGATATATTACTATTTTTGATACACTGTGCTACTATCTGTGACATTTTTGATACACTACTATCTGTGTCATTTGTGATACACTACTATCTGTGTCATTTGTGATACACTACTGTCTGTGACATTTGTGATACACTACTATCTGTGACATTTGTGCTACAATACAATGTCTGACATTTGTGATACACTAGCTACCATCTATGACATTTATGATACAATACTATCTGTGATACACTACTATCTGCGACATTTTTGATACACTACTATATGTGACATTTGCAATATACTACCATCTGTGTCATTTGCGATACATTACTATCTGTGACAATTATGATATACTACTATCTGTGGCATTTGTGATACACTACTATCTGTGACATTTGCGATATACTACTATCTGTGTCATTTGCGATACATAACTCTCTGTGACATTTATAATATATTACTAACTGAGACATTTGTGATTAACTATGACCTTTGACTTTTGTATATACTACTATATACTATCAATGACATTTGTGATATACTACTATCTGTGACATTTGTGATATATTAGTATATGCGACATGTATGACACACTGTTATCTGTGACATTTGCGATATTCTACTATCTGTGACATTTATGATATACTTCTATCTGTGAGATTTGCGATACACTACTATCTGTGACATTTGCGATATACTACTATCTGTGACATTTTTGATACACTACTATCTGTGACATTTGTGATACACTACTATCTGTGACATTTGTGATACACTACTATCTGTGACATTTGTGATACACTACTATCTGTGACATTTGTGATATACTACTATCTGTGACATTTGTGATACACTACTATCTGTGACATTTGTGATATACTACTATCTGTGACATTTGTGATACACTACTATCTGTGACATTTGTGATACACTACTATCTGTGACATTTGTGATACACTTCTATCTGTAACATTTGTGATGTACTACTATCTGTGACATTTGTGATATATTACTATCTGAAACATTTGTGATATACAATTATCTGTGACATTTGTGATACACTACTATCTGTGACATTTGTGATACACTACTATCTGTGACATTTGTGATACACTACTATCTGTGACATTTATGATACACTACTATCTGTGACATTTGTGATACACTACTATCTGTGACATTTGTGATACACTACTATCTGTGACATTTGTGATTCACTACTATCTGTGACATTTGTGATACACTACTATCTGTGACATTTGCGATATACTCATCAATCTTCATAAGCACTGTCGCATGGCATGATAGAAATATAGAAATATTGCAATTTGTTTTATTCAATACAAATGTACGCCTTTGGTACATAAATATCGGTCTCAATATTTATTTAAAACAATAAAAAACGCTGTAAACTTTAAAAAAAAATACAAAAGAAATGCGACTTTCTTATTGTTACAAAATTTGAAAATGTGTCCATTATTTTTTTTTCTTCAAATGTTTATATCGGCAGATTAGAGTTTAATATATATGATTAGATGAAAATGTCGTACGTTACACTGATAAAGAAGTGGAGTATGGACTTTGTATTCAACTTTCATAAGTATTAAAGTGCACAGGTATTTTATTAAAATCTAACTCAGGATATTTTTCTCGAGGTTAGTGAACATCATTTAACTTACAATATCTCAATTGTTTATTAATATCAAAGTTATGATTCAATTATTAAATAAAATATCTATTCAAACTATATATTTCAATCGTTTAAATAAATTTTTGCATGATAAAGGGGCAAATTTAAGATATTAATATCGTTAATTGTAAGGTTTAATTTGGTTTACACTATTGATTCAAAAGAAAAATAAAAGAAACGTTATTTAAGTTATTTATTAAAATCAGTTTATATAATTAGCACGTTAGTTATTGTCTTTTTAACCTTGGATAACATATAATAAACACATGAAATGCATTAACTCGTCATTGAGTTACCGCGTGCTCGTTGACGCTCTTGACCTTCGTTTGTTAACATTTAGATAATCTTATATACCCCTCAACCTAGCTGATATCGGCATAAAAAGTTTCACTGTCCCCTTGTTCTTTGATATGTATATCTGTTATATACCTGCGTATTTAGTTAAAAGAAAAAATAAATAAATAGTTTGCCACAATATTTTTAACTAAAAGCTTAAATATACATGTAATTTACCGTCTTTACTGTACGGCATTGTTGACGAATGTTACGTTAACGTTAAATTTCACACATGTAACAAATAAAATTTCAGCTTTTGCACCACGTGTTATTTCAATAGAAATCATTACTTGATAAAATCTTATCAATTTCTCGAGTCCTATTTAAAATCAATATCAAATCAATATTGTACCCCATCTCGCCTCGTTTCCATTTTCCAAGTCCAAAATTTTATTTTTAAATCCATTCCATATTCTGTCTAGCCCTATTTTCATTATACGAATCCAAAAATCCATATCAAATTTACATGGTACTCGAAATTCTGCCACAATGTTAAAAAATGGTGGTGTGACATTAAGAAGTTATTTCACATTGTTGAATACAATACTGGTTCTATATATACAATACTGGACTCGTACAATACTGAATTCTCTTGGACAAGTACACAGCTGCAAACATTATGTTAGACTCGACTATTTCCTCGTCCAATACAGGTTTGACAGCTTTGTACTCGTCCAAGAGAATTCCGTATTGTATTCAACAATGTATGATTACCTCATAAAATCATATTACAAGAGATATATTTCTGAGGGTCATATTATGAGCTAGCCACATATGAGTTATACACTACTCAATGATCTAATTACTCGCAAGAACTCGATCTTAAAAACTCGTAACGCTTGTTCTAACTTATACTATCATAAAAGATTTGTATATATCTTGAGTCAGATTTGGGTGAACTTTTAAAATGGGTTATGATTGAAATACGCTCAACCCTTCTATTTTGGATAGAAAATTGCGTCTGTTATTTAATGCTGAGCCATACTAAAATTATTTTGCCTATTTACACTTTCATTTTATCTTTAAAAAACTATTAAAATCCTTTGTATGGAGTAAAACATTGACAATTGGTAAATTTTCCATACATGTAATTAAAGTATCTTGATGGATTTAGTTTTCTACTTCTCATTTCTTATTTATTCTAATATAGCTCAGAATGCAGTACCTGCGAGATGCCTCGGGGTTGTCAAATCCCCTCGGCATTGCTGTCGGCACCGCCGCAGCGTTGTCGGCTGCGTATTATTTGACATCAAAACCGGAACCATTTAAGACCGGGCATGATATGGATAATCAGTCCATCAAACTACCAGTAAGTATAACAGTACACTTATATTAAATACCAAGTGATATATACTTAAAGGAAAGGAAGTTTCCGCCTACAGGCCGAGGCAAATTGGTTTTGTGCAATGAACTTTCAGATACATGTATTCGTTCCTTGCCACCATGGGTCCATCCACGGTAACCAATGCTATTTACTGTATACTAATATTAAATGTAGTATATATACGGAATGTGTACCGTGGGCTCCGACGATGCCATTGGTCTGAATCCTGGCATGAAAGTCGATTTCTCTTTGAGGCATCTCAACTCAAATGGTCAACTTGAGTGCCTATTCTGCATTTAATTAAATTTTGGAAACAATATCTATTGTGCTATCTCTTTTGCAAATGGCAACATAGCGTTTGAAAGGTTGCTGAAACTATTATTTAAGCACTAAAACTGATTAATTATCATTGATATTGACAATGTCACTTCAAATGTAAAAATAATAGATAGAAACACGTTTTTACAAAAGACAGACGGGGACATTTCAACTTCATGATTTCCCGATTTTCACAATTTTAATTTCGTGAATTCACGTTTCCAACATACGGAATGAACGAATTCACGATTTCAGCTTCATGAATTCACAATTTCAACTTCACGAATTTACTATTTTAACTTCACGATTTAACGATTTCAACTTCATGATAGCGAATGCATGAAATTGAAATCGTGAATTCGTGAATGTTGAAATCGTGAATTCATTAAGATGAAATGTCCTCACCGGTCTTCGGTATGTTTTGATTCACGTGCTTTATAATGTGTTATACTCAAATTTTGTTTTAAATCATGAAGGATGGTTCAAGAACATGTGTGTGGATACCTGATGGAAAATCATTCGTAGAATATGTTCATGAAGACGCCCGTACAACACATGAATGTTTCAAGAGGGGTCTCAGAGTATCAAGTAAGTTTTTATTAACTTTTGAAAAATACTAATTCGATCGATAATTTGAAATTCAGTGTGTCCATTCGTGAAAAGAAAAGCATATACTCGTATATTGCATAAATTTTCTTCTGTAAAGCTATGTTTCATATCACTGATATGATTACTTAAATAAGAAAAAAGTTTTTACACACGATCAAAGTAAAAAGAGTTATTTATTATACATGTATGTTTAAACAAGAGTGCATGAAAAGACATCTTATGTTATAAATAAAATGACTTTCTTATGTTGAATCAAAAATGCATAGATAAAAGATCCAAAATGAAAATGGAAAAACACACAACATAACTTTTTATATCAATTCTGATATATTGTAATTAAGTAGGAACGCAAAGTGAGTAGCCTTTGCCCTCATTATATAACCAGGCTAGCCTACAAATCCGTATAGTCTAATTCAATCTCATTAAAATCATCTTCACTACCCTTCGTTAGGTAACGAAGAGTAACGAAAGCGAAAACGATGATTTGATTTTAATGAGACTTATTAGGCTCAATACTTCCGACTGGCCAACTTCAAGTTGCTGGCACCACTTGCAAATAGACTTTTCCAAAAACGTAAGCTGGACCTGTTCATAAATTGTGGAAATTCAGCTCAGGGTAAGCGGTAAAATTGCAGTTTGTGATCAACAAAAACTTCATGTATTTTGATTGCAGGAGATAAACCGTGTCTTGGTACAAGAAATGGACCAAACAGGGAATACACTTGGCTCACATACAATGAGGTATCCCATTTCATTTATTACCTTATGCCATCTACAGTATATTCTCTATATTAAGACCACTGGCGGGACTCACTCAAAGTGTTCTTAATAGTGAATTTGTCATAATTGTAAATAAGCCATTTAAGAACCCAACTAAACGAATATGTATTTTAACTATTCAAAAGCTTTTATAGATCTAATGGAAAAACAGTAACATTTACTCTCATTTTCATGAATTGATAAGTTTTGACAATCGGAACACCTAGGCATTACTAAAATTGACGGAAAAGGCGGAACACTCGGGACTGATAATTTGATTTGCTTTATTTCTAGGTATATGAGATGGCAAAAGCTTTTGGCTCTGGGCTGTTAGATGAAGGACTGAAACCAGAACCAGAAACAATTGTTGGCATTTACAGTATCAACAGAGTAGAGGTAGAGGCCTAAGTATAGAAATAAAATGAAAAAAAAAAAGATAAAATAAAATAATCAATATTTAACAGAATAAAAAAAAAAAAAATCAAAAAAAAAAAAAAACATGCTTTATTTTCTGACCTTGTCGCTTGGTTTTTAAATGTTTTTACGAACACCAAATCCAACCTTTACAATTGCAAGACGGATCAGAAACGTCTAATTTGAAATTTTTTCACGGGTGTTTTGGCTAGTTAGAAAATATTTATAAGTAATTATTATCAAAGCCCGGTGCTATTGGAATACTTACTGATTCTTGGTGGGAGTTAAAATGTGTTAAATGAGTCTTGCGTTTCACTTTTTGTTCATTAATGAAGCCACATTGCCCGAACATCAAACAGTTGTTCTTATTAACTCGTTGTATTTATTTATAGTGGACAGTTACAGAACAGGCTTGCAGCATGTTTTCAATTGTCACGTGCGCGCTTTATGATACGCTCGGGCCAGACACGTGTGCATATATTATCAATCAGAGTAAGTCCATAGCATTTTAATTTACTTCTTTAATTGTTTGATGCCAAACATTTGAAACAAGATGCTGCCATAGACGGGTATCTGTAATACTGATTGTACGGGGATAGTAGGGGAAATAAACCAAGGTTTTACATTTTATCTGTCCCGCTGCTCCCGCACTGCCGAGTCTTTACGATGGTTCTGATTTGGCGCCAAAAAAAGTGGAGAATATATCATATTCGCCGAAATGGAGAGTGGCGCCTTAGGCGGTGACTGACCAAGCAGAATTAATTATATGTGATTACATTTTTTTTTAAATAATTGCTCAAGGACTTTGACTTTAGCCATAACACATTCAAAATTGACATTAATGCTTGACTTGATAAAATGTTATTTTAAGAGACAGAATTTTCACTGATTTCTAATGGTACCTATTGATATAGACCAATTCACTTTAAATATATATTTCTCACATACATGTTTACAGCCAAAATGTCGTTGGTGGTATGTGACACATCTGCTAAAGTTCAGCTACTTCTAGACGAGGCAGATAAATTGGACTCTCTAAAAACAATAGTTGTGATGGACAAAATGAGTGAGAAAAACATCGCTGACGCCAAGACGCATGGCATCAAGCTCATATCTTTTCAAACAGTTATGGTATGTATGCCATTATTGTATAAAGTAGCCAAACTTTCACATTTCTTCTTAGGCTATAAACATTGTCGGTTACCGTCTATATAATGTGTAAAACATATGTAAGGAAATATACAGTTATACCGTGGGTAACCGCCGATGATAATTATAGTGAATAGTGATATACAACCAAACACATATGGTATAAAATATCTTTAAATTAAGTTTTTGGACAAGAAAAGTGTATAAAATTCGTTTAACATCTTTCAATAAAGACCATACACAGAAATAAAGTGAGAGACTATCGTTTTTAAGGTAAAACTTAACAAAGATTCAATAAAATAGCTTCTTTCCTATCAAATGTACATTCTATAAATTTGATTACTTGACCATTTGTCCATTCTTTTAATTGTCGTATTCTATCTAATGTCTTTCGACGTGATGCCGTGCAACGACAATACTTGCCATTTTCTCAGTCTTGTCTGTATAGACAAGTCTGAATAAATTTTCCATTTTCTATACACTTCAACAATCAAGCGTTTGAATGTTTGAACGCCGACCTGCACTGAATAGTCAAAACAGCGTTTTTTTAGTGTTGAGATGACAGTGTGCAGCCGTAAACAGTCAAATCTATTTGACATGTGCATCGATTAAGTTGAGGTGTTTCATTAGCAGTAATAATTAAATAGGCCACCTCGTTTTCAAATGTGCAAATGTATTAAAACGTCGTCATCGGAAAATCACATTGACTTGCTGTAACCATTATTTGATACAGTAGTTTCATAGTTTGTACAATTAAGATTGCCTCGTTTTAAAATGTTTACCGGTTACTAAAACCAGCTACACTCCTGCTTCAGTGAAGATTATTTTCTTAAAGACCTGCTCGAACATCAATATGTATTTTCATTATCATAACAGTGTATATAAAGAGGTTTTCTTTTCTTGCAGGAAAATGGTAAAGAAAATCCAAAGGAATTAGTCGTAAGTTAGAGATTAAATTCATTTTTCATATGGAAATTGTACAAGGTTTTATGAGACTTTGAATGGGCACTTCTGACCTGATTGTTATCTTTAATTGTTTTTATTTATTCATCATATTCAACAAATTATTTAGCAGTTCTTTGTAATTTCCAAGTTTGTTCTTGTACTGTACATCCTCTGCGTATATTGATAAGGGGAATGGAAAGCGGCATTTGCGTACTGGCTTGCATTTCGGTTTTACCCGCTGCTTTTAAACGGATTGTGTGTTCATGTAAGCATGAATTCAATTTCTTTTTAAGAATTTCTTTTTCACTTTTTGCAACCGATTGATTGTATTCGGTGCTACAGGACTTTTATGGGTTTTTTTTTCTTGACGTCAAAATATCTAAGTGTGCTGAAAATTCCAGGAAGTTTAAATGTGTTTGTGTAAAATAATCTGAATGAAAAATAGTAAAAATATATGCATGTTGATAATATTTTGTGGCCTATAATGATTTTAAGTTGCTGTTCCCTTACTTTTTTAATTATGTTATTGTGTAAAACAATGCTTTCAGTCCGAAAATGTCCGTAAAAAGAAAAAAAAAAGTTGACTTTATATTTCATATGACATTTTTTTTTGTATTTTAGCCACCCAAGCCAAGCGATCTGTGTCTTATATGCTATACCAGCGGAACAACAGGTAATGTCATTTAGCGAGCTGAATTAGTCCGTGCTTTTTGTGTATGGGCAATACCCAAAACAAAATATTTCAGAATTTAGGTTTGGCGCGTCAAAATATTCTGACTAGCGCTCATTATGCTTTCCTCAATATTCAATTATTTTAACAGTTTTCAAAACAAGTCTGCAAATTTAGGTAGTTCGATCAGTAAACTTTCATCAAAGGAAACTCCATTTTCAAATAAAAAACTAAGAAGGTATTGAACACTAATTAAGACAATATAGCCTTGGCCGTATAGTGATAATTATCTAAGAAATAAACAACATTGATGTTAATTTACGAGCTCTAAACATTAGTACTTATGACGTTATCATATGAGTATATGTATGAAATATTTACTTTCAGGTGACCCGAAAGGAGCAATGCTGACGCATAGAAGTGTTATTTCCAATCTTTCAGCAATCTGCTTTTTCACTGAAGTACGCAATTTATTACAGGAATTAAATAAATAACAATAATCATTTCTTATCGTTTTACACGAATGAATCGGATGATAACCTGTTATAATTTTCATGCACTTAATCAAGATATAAATGATGATTTTCACTATAATGCAGTTCCTGAGCTTTTTGTAAAAACCAACGCAGTTTTATATTGCTAATGTTTGCCAATTAAAAAAACGGGATTGAAATTAGCATAATTAAAAGATTGATGCAGAAATACGTATTTTTCTAAACTTCGAAATTGTTATTATCATCAGAGCCTGGCATTAATATCGATCTGGATAGATGTGGATACATATTGTGAGCATGCAGAAGTAAAATAACACAAGTATGAATGAACTTAATAATTTAATTGTTATCTGTTTTAGAAAGGAGGAGTTCCAATCACGTCAGAAGATGTTAGTTTGTCATATCTTCCACTCGCCCATGTGTTCGAGCGAGGACTTCAAGTACATTTACTTTCATTTTATAACTGTCACATATGTATTTTATTTTCCTTGAAATTGATTTCTTTATTTCTTTAATGATTATATGATCATAATTATTATTAAGTTAAAATCAATACTGTTGTTAAATTTTATTAGCATATAGATCGCATAGATCATATTTGAATTTAAAAAGTTGCAAACCAAATATAGTCTGAAATAGACTCAATGTAACTCACCATTTAGAGTAACTGGTATTATAAACTTAAACCACTATGTCCAAATTTATTTAATTAGATTAATAGGATTAGCATTTTTGCCGCATTTAGTGCTTTGGCGGACTGAATCGCAAGACTGGCGTCGATCCCAAAAGTGTAGGTCATTTTTTAATTACTTATTTGGCATTACTGTTTATGAGTTCGTGGGTTTGTAAACTTGTTGACCATAAAACGATGTTTATTGACCTTTGCTGTTAGTAATTCTAATGTCTGGTTAGGGGAGAAATTTATGATAAAAACGGCAATGGATAATATTTCACAATTGCTGAAGGTCTTTTTTTAAAAATGTGCTTTTAATTTTATCTATTTTTTCTTCAAATGGTGCAATAATTGGGTTTTTCCTCTACTGAAACTGAAATTTCACAGGAAACACTTTTTTACCGCAAACTGAATAGAATGTATGAAAAGTTGTCATTTTTATTTTTTTAAAGTAATTTTTTTAAGTGGGTTTGTAAATGGTATTTTTATATTCAAATTTCCATAATATTTTAATTTATATTGACTGTTAAAAGAGTGAATTAGGCAAAATTTTTTCAGAGTCTGAGCACAAAGACAATGGCCTTTTGAAATATGAGATACATAGATATGCTTTTCATTTCAGTAATAAATGTTTTCAGTCATTTCAGGTTTCTTTTATTGAATACATGAAATATTTTAATACCAAAATTCTTTCCTTTGGCTCCCATAATTCTATCAAAATTAAATACAATTTAGAAGGTTGTTTTGCTTTTGGCATGTGTTGATACCTCCTTTGAATGTAAAATTTTAAAGAGAGTAATATTGGTATAGGGTTATTTAGTAAATGGCTATTTATTAGCAGTTTAGTAATTTTCAATTTTACTCGAAAACATAATTTAAACAGAAATTCATGTAATAAAATTTCATTGCATTCATTTAACTCAATTAAAGTTTTCAAAATCGTTATTTGTCACTTTTTTAGGAGAAATAAGCATCTTTCCATGTTTTAAAAAATGAACAAGACTCCTGAGGCCTGAGTCACGCACTTGTATTAATCTCTGCAGAAAGGAAATTTTTAAATTTTACAGTGTGATTTGGATGTGTAATGTAGGTTCTTACGTATAGTTATTAACCTAATATTTAAAAAAGAATTATTTTTTTAAATTCTATGATAATACAATGGCCCTAACCAAGCCATTTACGTTTAATAATTTTTCAAATTAAGCATTAATGTATTTCCTAAAAATCCAAGTCAATATAAACTATAAGTGACCCCAGGGTAGGGCTAATTTTGACCGCCCACAGCTGCATGGTTTATGATAGTTTATTTTGTTTAGAGTCCTTTTCAAAGAAACATCAGGCATGCACTTGGAGTCAAAAGTCCACTCTTAATAAAGGTCATTAAGTTTTAGCAGAGTTACATAGTACATGTAAAGCATATTTTAAGCTTTTTATGTAAAATTACAATGCCCAAGGCCTTGATATTTGGCATGTATTATTGCTTAGTGGTCATAATACAAATGTTTGACCTCTTAAAAATGACAGGCCTAATGTGGACTTATTACTTGACTTTTGAATCGCAGAATTGTAACCTTTTTCAGTAATATTTCTCAAGTACAGGACCATATATAATGGCCCTCTTTTTAATACTTATTAGCAGCTTGAACGTAGTAGAGCGGACATGAATATTATGCAAACCGATTCCTGCAAACAAACCCTTTCCCTAAGCGGCAGGGAAGTAAACGATAAATTATAGCCTGCATGTTGAACAAAACTGATCTGAAGACATTTTTAGAAACGTAGATGTAAACTAATTTCACACAAAGCAAACTTTAGGAAAATAGATTAACAAAAAACAAAGCATCACTAGAAACTTTTCAATAAAGTCGAACTGGTAGATAAGTAACCAATAGTTTCCTTCATTACTCATTAATTAAAGGCCTCAAAAACAAATATCTTCTTTACTTCTTTAGAAAGGGCAAACAAATTTTATAATGTTGGAATAATGGTTTTAGAGAATGTTTGGTACTTGTTATCTTACGAAAGTAGCACTAAATGTAAAATAATTTGTAAAAGTAGCAAAATGTAAACAAAGTAGTATTTTGACTTCTATACAAAATACTATTACTGTACTTATTGCCAAAAAGAAACAGATAAAAAGATAGTTCTGGTAATTAGCCAATGAGTAGCTATTTGGATACTATAAAGAAAAACCAACATGAAAAAACTTTTTGAGAAATAAAAATGAAATCATTTCTGAGGCATAATGGGCTTTAAGATTTAACTCTATGGATATTAATTTAATTTAATACACAAAAAAATGCATCCCTTTATGCATGTCTGCTATAAGTAATCATTGTGCTCAAAGAGCGAAATCTATTTTTAAAATCAATAGTATATTTTTCAAATTTCGACAATGACCAACACTTGTTACATGTATATAAAAGTAAGCACAGCAAGTGCATTTCAGAATAATAATATCTGTAACATGCAGCAGTTCGGACTGTAATATCCGTCCTAAGGTTACCTGAACAAAGTCCACAGAGTTGCTGGGTAGCTCATAGGCGGTTTCAGAGAGACAGATATTCTGATCTGAACAGCAAACAGGTCTTTCTTCCATAGATATAATATATTCTATCATATTTTAAATGGTTAACCTCAATAATTAACTTTTCATGAAATTAATGTCAATTCATCCTTTACTCAGTTATTTATCATTTCAACATATTAAAATTTTGATTTTATTGCATTTTCGAAACTTATAAATTTGCAACATCGTAAAATATAGTATTTTCTATCCCACTCATTCAGTAACAAATATTGATAGACAATTTTGTGTATAACATATGAAAGAAAAGCTAAAATCTTAATATTCGGGTGGGACGTCGTGGCCGAGTGGTCGTGGCCTTCAAAATTTTTGTTCCTCACCGCTGTGGGTTCAAATCCCGACAGTGACTTTGGATTCTTTCATGATGAGGAAGCTATCCAGCTAGCTTACGCAACGTGGGTGGTTCTACTCAGGTGCCCGTTTGTGCCTGAAATAATGCACGGAAGGGCACCTGAGGTCTTTCATCTTACAGTAAAGTTGGACATCGCCATATAACCTGTGATGTAAAACCCAATCAAACAAACAAACTAAATATTGGTTCTAAAAATTTACTAACTTTATATGTTAGAAAGATATGTGTAAAAGTTTATGAAGAAGGGAAAAGAAATAAGGAACGTGTAAACAGATTTCCTGTTTAAATTTTAAGCATTTTAAAATTGAAATTATACTTATATTCTCATATTTCACAATTAGTGCATTGTCTATACAGCAATGACTCTGAAATTTAAGATAAATAGATGTAAGTCTTTTAAGTTGTCAAAAAAAAGGTTATATTAGGATACTTGCAGTATTTTGAAATTTAAATAAATTAATTAATGCATTCCCCATACCCCACTTAAAAATACACACTATCCAAAAAATGTAATTAAATGAAAATTTTTAATGTTAGAGTTTTTGAATTTAACAAGAGCCAAAATTTAATACTTTTGACCATGACGGTCAAGGTCATTTAAAGGTTAAAGTAAGTTCAACCTTTTAGGTCTTGTCCAAAAAGGTTGTTTTGTCCAAGTATGAAATAATCCATTGATTAATTACCAAGTTACAGCCAATTATTTGATAATCTGTTAATATTCAATAAATTTTCTTCAAGGTCAAGGTCATTCATGAGTTAAAGTAAATTTTAATTTAATATACATAAAGGTCCTGACCTAAAATGTCTGGAAATAAAGGTTATCAATTTATAAATAACAAAGTTATAGCCAGTTACAAAACCAAAAATGAAACAAGAGAATTTCATTAATTTGACATTAACAGTCATGTTCAACTTAAGGTCAAGGCCAAATCTTAATTATTAAATATATATATATGGTAACAAGTTGTGTATAAATGAAATCCGTACATAAATAACAAAATTATGACAATTTAAAAATTTTTACTTTCACAGTCAAGATTATTTAGAGTACAAGTTCAAAGTCAGTTCCACCTTTTATTTCATTTAATTACATTTTTTTGGGATAGTGTGTCTTGTCCAAAGTGTTGTTTTGTCAATGTATGAAGATAATCCATAAATTAATTACCATGATACAGCCAATTGTACACTTATCAGTGGAAATTCAATTATTTTACCTTCAAGGTCAATGTCATAAAAAGCCAAGGTCAATTTAAATTTAAACATGAAAGTCATATCCTAAAGAATGTTGTGTTATAATATGAAGTGAATCCATTTTTCATTAACAAAGTTATAGCCAGTTACAGCCCCCCCCCCCCACACACACAAATAAATAAATAAATAAATGAAAATAAATTTTCTATAATTTGACCTTCAAGGTCAATGTTATTTATGAGTGAAGATCAAGGTTTGTCTGGTTAACTCGAAGGTCTATCCTAAAAATATTATTATGTTCATTAAGTTTGAAGACAATCCTTTAGAAAATAACAAAGTTATCTAATAGCAAAAATCAGAAAAATATAAGCAAAATTTAGACATTTGAACTTGGAGGTCAAGGTCATTTATGAATGAAGGTCAAATTTAGTCTTGTCTACTTAAAGATCTTGCCCCAAGGTTGTTGTGGCCAAGTATGAAGACAAAACATAAAGAATGATTAAAAGTAATGATCACAGTTTAAAGTTTGCTGACGGAAACGTCAACACCGACATGACTGTAACAATAACTCTATTCTTTTAATTATTTTTTTTTTATTTATCTTTTTTTTATATTTTTTTTAAAAGTCGAGCTTAACATGTTGTTTTCTTTAAATCAGTCATTATAATTAATTTTTTATTAAAAAGAGAGAAAAAAATAAGAAAATTGTATCAAGTATTTTAAATCACATTTTTTTCCGTATATTTTTCGTAATTATTTTTTGTTTTTATCATCAAAAAATATAATTACCTTAAAATACATATTAAACTGCATTTATGGAACACAATTAATACAAGAATGAAAAGAAAGAACTTATTGCTAAGTTTTAACTGCTAAAATTCAAGTAAGATAAAGTAAATTATAATTTTCATATTTTTGGTGGCCATCTTGGACGCCATCTTGAATTTCTTATTCCGCCAGCACTTTCGGGGAAAATGAAATTCAATTTCGTAATCTAGGGACTCAACCGAACATTTTGGTATATGAAACTCTCTGTTTATGATCGGGGACCAGTTAGGTGTTCCTAAGCTTAACAAATTTGCAGCACTAATAATGCACGTTAGAGATTCCGAGTTACTCTAACTGTAAAGTCACCATATAACCGTAACTGTATTATTGTGACTTAAACCACTATGTCAAATCAAATTTAATTAATGACTGTAATAGAACATGGCAGCATGGTTTAGCCGTCCGGTTACCTTAATAGGTAAAGCTTTGGGCTGTGAATCGGATGACCGGGTCGATTCCCGAACGGTTCAGGTCACTTTCGTTGTCATTCGCACTGTATCACTGCTCTGGCATGTACAGAAGTTATGAGTTCCGTGCGAAAGTTGGTAAACTGCTTGACAGCCTACCCAGGAACGATGCGGTGACTGACCTGTGCTGTGGTAAATTCAATGTGGCTGGCTTACTGCCGTGACCCGGAGGGTAAACTACTAACACCGACACCGCAACCTGTTATAAATTCACAATTGTCTTGTTAACGGTCTTTAAATTGATTACAATAATTTAATGTGCATTTATTTTTTTATGCTAGGTTATTTTCTTCATGAATGGTGCCAAAATTGGATTTTCCTCGGGTGACGTGAAACTGTTAACAGATGATCTGCAAGCGTTGAAACCTACTGTATTTCCCACTGTTCCGCGATTACTGAATAGAATGTATGACAAAGTATGTACATGACTTTTTCTTTTCTTTTAAAAGTAACTTTTTTAAATAGTTTGTCAAACGTTATTAAAAATTGATCGGTATTTCGTAGAACTGATTTTCGATTGTCCATACATTTTAGGTGATGATTGGTGTGAAAGCCAGTGCTTTCAAGGCAAAATTGTTTCAGATGGCTTTGAGCAGCAAAGAAAGCGACTTGCAAAGGTAAGTTTTATATATATTTGCTTATATTCAGCAATGGTTTTATTCTGCATTTCAGGTTTCAGTTTGAATGGATAATAGCAGCATACCATTACTGACAAATATACATGACGCTTTTAGGGTCTGTTTCGGGTGCTAACTATTTATTGGCTGTAGTCGATTCATTGCATCCAGTTTCGGCGATAGCTAAAACTTTTGGAAGCCGACAAATCGCGTATATTGTGAGGGTTCGATTTGAGTAAATTCGGACGTCACTATAGTCTAGCCATTTTAAGTATTCAAGTTTCATAGTCGAACCACCGTTGCCATAATTAGTCAGCGCCCGAACCCTGCCATAAAATACAAATATATTGTATCATTTACACGTATTTAATACTATCGTGTATTTGTCTTTACTTTTTAGGAGAATTATACGACGTGACAGTATCTGGGATTACCTAGTGTTTAAGAAGATACAAGATCTCCTCGGAGGGAGAGTGCGACTTGTATTCACAGCCTCAGCTCCGCTAGAACAGAAAGTTCTAAATTTTACACGCTGTGCATTTGGATGTGTGGTTAGCGCTTACGCTATATTTAAATCAAACATTAAATATGTATAAATAAGATGTCATTTTATTATACATTCTATAAGTAGAACAAGGTGGCCATAACCATAAGCCATTAAAAGGTCAACAAGTGAAGTGCAATGTTATCCAATGTTGTGAATTATTCTGAGCGCAAACTTCCATGGGATATTTCAAACATAATCATATTAACTTTAAAAAATGCAGCAGTGCACTGGGCTTGGCAATATTTGACCAAACAAGCTAAGTAGAATGGAACATGCTTTAAGCTTTTTTGTTTCAGCAGAGACTTTCATTAATATTAATACAATATTAATTAATGTTCCATGGTTTCAGAAAAGAAAATATCAAATAGCACAGTGGCATGATATTCGAGTACATGTGTATGACTTTAGAGGTCAACAAGACAATTTACCATATAACATGCTAAATATCTTAACTCTTGGTCTAAGAATAAATGTGCTTTCCTATGCCAAGTATGGAACCCCAATTTCAGTTTCGTTGACATGAGTTGTGCATTTTGTAAAGATAATACTGCATTACGAACTTATTTTCAAAGTAAGTTTCCAAGTATATGTAATAATTTATTCACCAATTCAAAAGAATGTTACAAAATAATATCAAATTGTCCTAGGGTAAACCATGTTTTGATTTGAATATATTAAAGAATCTTTAATTAAACATGCATTACAAGTTTCATTGTATGTTTTATTTATGTTTGATTTATTTTGTCAGGTCGTGGAAGGTTACGGACAGACCGAGAATACTGCTGGGATAGCTTTTAATATTCCCGGTGAAGTAAAAGCAGGTATATAATAGTTTCTTGTGAAATAAATGTTGACATATGTGATAGACTACATATTAAGAATTGAACGATAATTGGACCATACATATTTTAAGCTATCTAGAATAACCTTGTCGGGCTTAAGGTTTAGATCTGAATTATCATCCCCAGATTGTTAGAGAAAAGTTTCTGTGATTGTTCTCAAATCTAGAACTGATAACATTTAAAATCTCTAATGCAATAACTACATTGTATAGTATTGCAGAAACCTACTGGAATACAGCTGTAATAGCTCTATTATAAACTGTCACTCTGTCATTGTTATCGATGTATGTACTATTTATTGTAAAAACGTTTGCATCATTCTGCCATATTCTGAAACAAATACTGCGGATTTACTTGGGTGCATAACAAATGCTACTTCATAATTTAGTCATGCCAAGTACGAAAATCGACAACAAAAACTTTACAAATACCTATTAAGTTGTATAGAATTATAATAAAAATGATTGTGCCGTCTTACATCAAACCTAAATTTCTTTTATTATTTTTTATACATTGTTTGCTTGTCCGTCAGTACGATAACAATGTTTATCATTATTATTGTAGGTCACTGTGGACCACCTCTACCATGTAACATAGTTAAACTGGTAGATGTTCCAGAAATGGATTATTTCGCAAAAGCAGATCAAGGAGAGGTCATTATAAAGTTTTATCATAGTATTAAACACATTGCAGAATATTTCTTCACAATATTTTGCAAGAATTAGGTTAACAATTCTCAATTAATGTACAAATTGAAATGATATGACTTCTCTGAAGTGCAACATGTATGCTTATTCAATCGAGGAGACAATCTTCCGTCTAAATTACGAAAAAGGGAAGCATTCTAATAGAACACTTTATTTTGACTTGCAATTAAAACATCATAAAATGCAGTTTATAACTCTTTTTTCTAGATAGTATGTAAAGGACCTAGTGTGTTCAGTGGATATTTCAAAAATGATGAAAAAACTAAAGAGGCACTCGACGATGAAGGCTGGCTACATACAGGAGATATAGGACAATGGTTACCAGTGAGTAGATCTTTTATAAGTTTTATTGTTGTGTATTTTCTTGGCCGTTCGAGTTCCCTTGATATCCGTAGATAGAAAGTTATACTGTATATGGAAACATAAAACGCCATTAGAATATGACCCCCCATCCCCATCCTAGCTAATGGGCACTATACGGAACTGTAAAATTGACAACATAGGTCAGTTATGTGCTTTAAAGGACACCTGTATGCAAATACAGTAACAGATATCACATTATAATTACCGTTTTAATTCAGTATAAGAGTCTATATTGCACTGAGGAAAGTACAATAACTAACATATTATATAGTCTCATTAGATCAATACGGAAGCCTGTATGGGGCATCAGAATGAAGAGATGACTTCCGTAAATAAACGTTTTCCGATGCAAACTTACATAGTTTAACGGCTATACATATTCCTCAAACTTAGGTTTTTAAAGCTTTAAGCATGAAGCCACCTTATCAACTTCACAAATCTTTACAATGATGAAGCTTCTGTTCATGTTTGTTTTAGAATGGAGCACTAAAGATTATAGACAGAAAAAAGAACATTTTCAAATTATCTCAAGGAGAATATGTTGCAGCTGAAAAGATAGAAAACATTTACATGAGATGTCAATATGTAGCTCAGTCATTTGTTGAAGGCGATAGTTTACAGGTAAAAACTTATCATTAGACTTTTTTATTTTATGCTTTGCAGTGGATTACTGATTTATCCGTGAAAAAATACATTTGATAATTTCACAGTTAAAATTGTCAAAATATAATTTCACACTTTTCAATTTAACGAAGCACTTTGTTCGCAGGTGAGCTAAATAAGTAAATGAACACTTTTTGTGCCCTTATGCAAAACTTAGATCGCTTATAAAAATATCATACCAAATTTAAAGAACATATTAAATATTTTATAATTCACAAATATTCAATACTCTTCTCTGACTTTGTGTAATATTCGTCTCACATCGTACGAAATGTACTTTCTAAATGTTGTATCCAATCAATTCAAACAGATTACTAACCAAAAAAAAACTGACTGCAATTCATTTTGTGCATTCTATTCAACATATTTTGACATTGATTTTAATGCAGCCTGAATATTGCAACATTTATATATATATTTAGTTAAACATTACCTATATAAAAACTTTCTTTTAAAGCCATATTTGATGGGTGTAATGGTACCTGATGAGGAAGTGATGATACCATGGGCAAAAGAAAACGGAATGGACGGAAGTTTCTCTGATATCTGCAGTAACAAGGTACAATATTATGAAATATATCTACATGTATATGGTGTGGGAATGTATTTTACTTCGCACCAACACAGTACAAGTCATGTATGGCAACTTTCAAGCTTTACTGGTGAAGAAATTTAAGACACCAGGTGTCCTCCCGTGCATCATTGCACCCGACTAAAACCGACGTTCTGTAAGCTAGCTGTATAGCTTCCTCACATAAAAAAATCCATAGTCCATTTCCGGATTAGAACACACATCGATGAATGAAAAGTGGTTTGAAGTCAAAGACCTTTATACTTTTCTGTTCAAGATAAACTGTACAGATTGGACACGAATTTGCTGACGGACGGACGACCAGGTGCTCAACAATATACGCCAAAATTGTTTTGGGGGAGTATAGAAAAATGTAATGTTATCATTGTGCTATCACCATTTCACAGTAAAATTATTAAAATTGTGGGGAAATTTATTTCCATCAAGATCATTCATAATAACAACTTAAGTAAAATAAACATAACATTTATAAATATTAAAATAACTTAACAAGTATTACATGTGTCTGACAAATATGATGCATTTCCTTTTTTCCAATTCTAGAGAGTTAAAGACATGATTCTAGAAGACTTGAATAAAATTGGAAAAGCTGCTGGTTTGAAGGGATTTGAAATGGTAAGTAAGAAAACTCATTGACTCTTTGTTATAAATTGTGCAAAGTTTGACCATAACTTTAATTACAACTGCAATTTCAAATTTTGTTGTTAACTACAGAAAAATATTGATTTCATTTAACTTAAAATTATAACCTTTTTATGACTTAGGATGTTTACAATTAGTATTCTATTAATCTTCATCTTCTTTTTTTGACTTATGATATGATGTTTACAATTAGTATTATATTAATATCTCTAGAAATGCTTGAAAGCTACTAAGTACAGCAGCCTAAATCTGATTAATTCTCTTCATTGATTAACAGTACGCTTTATGAAAAATAAACGTTTATTTTACTTAACCAATAAATGAGTAAATTAATTTAAATGCATAGTAATCAATTTTGTAAAGTTATAACCATACGTTTGGAAGTGGATTGAATCTAGTACAAGAACATATGTATATAATTGCTACACAATAATTTATCATTTCAGGTGAAAGACATCATTTTACACCCAGAACAATTTAGTGTAGAAAATGGACTTCTGACACCAACATTCAAAAATAAACGACCTCAACTCCGAAAGTATTTCAAAGAACAAATACAAGAACTTTATGAAAAGCATAATCCTAAATGAATATTATCCAATGAACATTGTTAAAACACGAAATAAGCATGTTAATTTTCCAATATATCAAAATGGAGATTAATACTTCATACAAAAACACTCCGTGAAAAGATTAAAAGAGAACTAAAACACCCTGCATGTATGTGTCAATGTGGATATTACAAAATGTGGTGAAACGAATAAAAATGTTAACATTTCCAGTAATATGAACTGAGGCTACGGGTAGGCCTTTAATTATGGAGAATGCGAAATATATCAACTTAGACATGTAAGAGAAGTTTTCATGCTTCTGTTTCAGTTTTGCACAAATTTATTGATATATGCATATTGCATGTTTTTACTTTAGATCTTTAACACTTTAAGAACAGGATGCTTGTAACAAAAATTATCTAAAATGCTCGTTGTATTCTCAATTCAAATGAAAATTTTATGCAGTATTTCATTAGATAAATCATAATGTTTTTGTACTTTTCAGTATTGTCTGAAAACAATAAAAAAATAATTTCAAACATTGACTTCTACTGAACAACTCTGTTTTAATGATTAAAGTTTCTATTATTAATGTTCCAAGAAAAATATATGAACTGAAATGCAATCAAGTTCAGACTGAAACAGGTTAGGTTGGGTCGATAGATCAATGTACGTATATGTAACTTGGGGGCCAACATGTCTTTAATTAAAATATCGCTCATCAGAAAACTATTCCTGGACAGAACTTGTAATGGTCTTGGAATAAAATTAATGTCATATGCCAATTTAAGTAACTCAGGTATAGGTATTGTAGTATCTATCATGCTTTAAATTTTGTTAAAGTTTATTTAAGCTCCTCTGAAGTATATGTGCATCAGACTTGAATTATATAAAACTTGTGGAAGGCCACCAAAAGATCACTTCTGAAAAAAAAAAAAAAAAAAAAACTAACAAAATTAATGGTTTGGGAGATATTTTGTCAGAAATTGTGATTAATACATGTACATAATGGCAGCCATCGAACAATGTTAAAGCTTACCCCTGAACATTTTGTGCTCATATGAGCTTAAAATATACAATGTATACAGTTTTGAGGAATAATTAAACATTAAAGCATAAATTAATATAATGAAGAACTATATAATGTTATCTTCCTGTACAAAAACAACGTTCCCTGAGAGCTATAAAGTGATGTCATCATTATTGCGATATAATGAAAGTGCATTTTTTGAACATAAATTGAATTACTTCTATGTATATGATACCATACATGTATATATCACTGACCAAACATGAATCTGTAGCCATGACATTTCAGGTGTAAAATGCACAACAGTTTGTTAAGTATGTGTGAAATATAACCTAACAGTTCTTAACAGAAGAATGCTTGCAGTAATAAATTATTCTTTGGCATCAGCTATGCCACCTGGTGTTATGGCAAATGTTGCTTCACTCTCTGGTCTGTCTGGACTGAAATATTCAACAAAAACATGTGATAGAAAATTGTCTCAAAACAAGATTTTCTGCAAGTTATAATGCCAAATGGCTCTCTTTTACTTGTATCAAACAGCAGTAATACCGAGACCTTTACCTTTAAAGCAATTATATTCCAGTTAACATATGATAGTTTTTGTAACATATTGTATTGGTATCCAATTTGCAGAAATATTTTTACAAAATATTGATTTTCAAAGTGTATATAGGGTAGATAATTGGAAACAAGAGGGCCATGATGGCCCTGAGGTCGCTCACCTGTATATAGCCCCCCCCCCCACACACACACACCCATAAGAAGATGTTTCATGCTAAACATCTAAGCTCATTGGGCTTTTTAAAAGAAGATTTTTTTAATTTTTTACTATACACATATAGTTAAAAACAATGACACCCCTGGGGCGGGGCCAGTTTTGACCCCAGGGCTTTTATTTGAACAAACTTTGTTGACACTTACTAGAAGATGTGTCATGCTTAATATCTAAACTCTAGCTATTTGGGTTTATTCAAAGAAGATTTTAAGTTTTTGCTATACACATATAAGGAAAATCAATGACCCCCGGGCGGGGCCAATTTTGACCCCAGGGCTTTTATTTGAACAAACTTTGTAGATACTCACTAGAAGATGTTTCATGCTTAATATCTAAACTCTAGCTATTTGGGTTTTTTCAAAGAAGATTTTTTAAGTTTTTGCTATACACATATAAGGAAAATCAATGACCCCCGGGGCGGGGCCAATTTTGACCCCAGGGCTTTTATTTGAACAAACTTGGTAGACACCTATTAGAACATGTTTGATGCTAAATATCTTAGCTCTAGCTCTTTGAGTTCTTTAAAAGAAGATTTTTTAAGTTTTTACTATGTGCATATAGGGAAAATCAATGACCCCCTGGGGCGGGGCCAATTTTGACCCCAAGGCTTTTATTTGAACAAACTTGGTAGACACCCATAAGAAGATGTTTCATGCTAATTATCTAAGCTCTAGCTCATTGGGCTTTTTAAAAGAAGATTTTTTTAAGTTTTTACTATTCACGTATAGTTAAAAACAATGACACCCCTGGGGCAGGGCCAGTTTTGACCCCAGGGCTTTTATTTGAACAAACTTTGTAGACACTTACTAGAAGATGTTTCATGCTTAATATCTAAACTCTAGGTATTTGGGTTATTTCAAAGAAGATTTTTAAGTTTTTGCTATACACATATAAGGAAAATCAATGACCCCCGGGGCGGGGCCAATTTTGACCCCAGGGCTTTTATTTGAACAAACTTCGTAGACACTCACTAGAAGATGTTTCATGCTTAATATCTTAACTCTAGCTATTTGGGTTTTTTCAAAGAAGATTTTTTAAGTTTTTGCTATACACATATAAGGAAAATCAATGACCCCCGGGGCAGGGCCAATTTTGACTCCAAGGCTTTTATTTGAACAAACTTGGTAGACACCTATTAGAACATGTTTGATGCTTAATATCTTAGCTCTAGCTCTTTGAGTTCTTTAAAAGAAGATTTTTTAAGTTTTTACTATATGCATAAAGGGAAAACCAATGACCCCCTGGGGCGGGGCCAATTTTGACCCCAGGGCTTTTATTTGAACAAACTTGGTAGACACTCATTAGAACATGTTTCATGCTAAATATCTTAGCTGTAGCTGTTTGGGTTTTTTAAAAGAAGATTTTTTAAGTTTTTACTATATGCATATAGGGAAAATCAATGACCCCCTGGGGCGGGGCCAATTTTGACCCCAGGGCTTTTATTTGAACAAACTTGGTAGACACTCACTAGAAGATGTTTCATGCCAAATATCTAAGCTCTAGCTCTTAGGGTTTTTTAAAAAAAGATATTTAAAGTTTTTTCTTTCGGTTGCCATGGCAACCAGAGTTCTGCATGGAATTAAATTCTTTGAACAATTTTTAAAGGTGACCACCAAAGGAACATTCCTGTGAAGTTTGGATGAAATTGGCCTAGTGGTTTATGAGGAGATGTCATTTAAAGTAAAAGTTTACGGACGCCGGACGGACGCCGGACGCCGGACGAAAAGCGATCACAAAAACTCACCCTGTCACTTTGTGACAGGTGAGCTAAAAATGGAGGCCACAGTTATGTAACTTGACAGGGTCATCCTTGATAAAGTGTGAAAAATTTAAAGTCATTCATGCAACTCGCTGAAAAAAAGATTAACACATATGTACAGACAGTTTAACCATTATATGTCTACCTTCAGACTCAATAATGATAGTGAATATTGATGATACCTGTCATATATTTTACAAATTCTAGTTTCCCCTCTTCCTTTCCTCAAACTCAGCCGTGTTGTTGATGCATGTGCAAGGATATTGCCACCTATAGGCTTCTTTGGATCAACTGTAAACCTGAATGAAGAAAAATCATACATAATAAAACTTCAATGAAAATTCAATCTTCAGAACAGATTTTACATTTTGAAAATAGGTAATTCTACAGTGATCTTAACAATGATAAGTACAGAGGATATTGGTAAAATGTTTTGACATCGCAAAGATCGATATTTTTGTTCTGGGTCAGAATCATAATAATTGCCAATACATATAATATAGCACAATATCTCAATGCAATTAGTACAAATAATTAGAATAGTACAGAAAGGAAAGAGATAAAATATATGAACATAAACTCTTTAAAGAATGATCAACGTTGAGCTGCTACAAGTTACCCCAACTATTTTATAACCTATGAGTTAAATTTAAAGAAAGTTTTTCAACAAGTAAAGACTTTATCTTAATGACATAACATTGCCTGACATATGTACTTTGTGACCTATAATAGAATAGAGAAACAGATGATTGAAAACAAATACAGTAAATTTTACATTCAGTCTGTTTACAGTTAGATCATTAAATCTGACATTTGAAATACAGGTACTGGACAAGAAATGAACTTGAGTGCTTAAATGTGCTTAAAGCATGGAATGACACTGACATAACACGAATGCCAAGTCTAACTAAAGGTAGATGATAATCTAACACCTAGTTATAGGAAGATGTAGGCGTCATATTGTGCATCAAACTAATTTAATGCCAAAAGAATGTTTCTAGATATATTTATGCTGCATCATTGAATCAGAATTCTATAATAATCGTTCAATGTAAACTTTTGTTGATTGTTTTCAATTATTTCCAAACACTAACAGATACAATTTACAATTTTCTAATATCAAGGTCACTTAAGTCACGTTTTCTAATACATTCAGTTATAAATACATTTTACGTAAATGAGTTTTATCAGTAAACCAGTGAAAACAAGTTTTGAGGCTCATTTTCCCTATTCAATTATACACAAACATAACCCATTTAGTAAGACAGAATGATTAAGAGAACGGTTAAGACAGCTATTATACAAGAATAGGAAATGACAACAATTGTTAACATTTCATCTACTGAGTTAAACTCACGTCATAGCAGCTCCAGGATCTGATGTCATTTGATTGGTTATGAAGACTGCTACATTATATTCTGAAAAAATTAATTTGGTGGATTAAATGCCCAACTAAAGTGACATAGGACAGCTGCAAGAATATGTCAGACAAAATGGTGTAGTGGGAAAGACCAGTTAAAGAATTGATTCTAAAAGCAAAATTCAGTACTTAACACTTCTTGTACACTGAAAATCCTCTCAATTTTAATATTAATATTTACATTCAACTAAATCTTACAAATAGTTTTTGAGACATGGTGCAGATAAAAGATGATAAAAGCCCACTGAATGCAACAAATATGCTTTTCCAAATACTCCACCATTTGCCACTCTACTTGCCAAGGCAAATGATGGCAACCAGTGACACTGCCCATCAGAAGTAGGGTATTGCCAAAAGAACATCAAGATTTTTCCTTAGACATATGCCACTGATTGTGTTTTAATGGTTGCTGCTTTATTTGACTCTCAATTGATGAAAGTAACAATGTATTGTTCTAAATACAGCAGAACAATTTCATTACACAAATTATGTGCAGTAAATGTAAAGCATTATTACCCTCAGCTATTTTCTGAAGTCTGGACAGCATCTGTGCTAGTTTTTGTTGTCTGTCAGCCAATTCACCTCTGCCACTGAAATCCACTCTAAATAATGCCATGATTGAATCTACAATCTAATAATAAAAGAAAATAGTTCATGTACAAGCATTTTCATTTAAAATACAATATATATTTCATTATTGTTTGGATTCAATGCAATGGTTATACTGCATCCAAATTTATTCTGCATTTTTATCTTCTTACCCAAGTTTGAATTACCTCTTCAAATGAAAATATATACAAACTAGAAATGTGTCCATAGGACACGGGTGCCCCCACCGCACCACTGTTCTGTCAATCTTATGACTCTAGGTCAAATATTTTTTGAAAACTAAAAATCTTTTACTAAGTAAAGGGCAAGAACTTTACAAATACTGAATGAATTCACAAGCATTGAACCCCAAGGTGCATAAGTACACATGCTGACCAACATTCTTGTAAACTTTCAGGCCTACAAGTGAAATACTTTTTGAGCTATGCATGAACAAGTTGAAAATTGTAAATTTATACTACTGTAAGTCAAGGGCAATAACTCTAACAAAACTGAAAAAAATCCACATGCAAAGTCCCAGGTTCATATCTTTACAGTGATGTGAATCATTATTCCTGTAATTTAGTGATGTTGATCATTATTCCTGTAAAGTTGGTTGATTCTAACTCAAGCACTCAAGGAACAAATAACAACATAATGAAACGGTTTTTACTAAGTCAAGGGAAATAACTCTACAAATACTGGATAAATCCACAAGTTAAACCCCAGGTGCAAAACTAAATATGCTAAGCAACCTTCCCGTAAGGTTTAATGACTCTATGTCAAATCCTTTTTGAGTTACATGCGACACAAGTTGAAAATTGCAAAAATTTTCTAAGTCAAGGGCAATAACTCTAAAACTACTAAATAAATCCAGACGAAAATACCCAGGTGCACAACTCACATGCTGATCAACATTCCTGTAAAGTTTCATGACTCTAGGTCAAATTCTTTTTGAGTTACATGCGACACAAGTTGAAAATTGCAAAATTTTACTAAGTCAAGGGCAATAACTCTAAAAGTACTAAAAATATCCAGACGAAAATACCCAGGTGCACAACTACACATGTTGATCAACATTCCTGTAAAGTTTCATGACTCTAGGTCAAATACTTTTTGAGTTACTTGCGACACAAAAGAGAACAGACGGACGGATGGACGTACAAGGGTAAAGTGGGGGCACAAAAATATAACAATAAGATGGCCTTGATAACCCAGTAGATCACTGAACTATAATCTATTGCTTGAAAAAAAGTCATCTATTTACAATGCAGATAATTCTAAGGATATAAATAAGCAGGTGAAGTCCATAGTCTTCAATTGTGAGATTTTTGCACATAGAAAACACATAAAATGATTTAAAATTAAAGACCAAGGCTTTCAAAAATGTATAATATCAAACATTAGGACCTCTGCCAAAGAGGAGCCACACTTGATTTTCTTATTTCTAAGTAAGTTAAACACATTGGCTTTAGAATATGGCAGTAAAAAATGCTCCTAGAAAATATCATTTTCTTCCTTATAATCATGAATCTAATTTGTTTCTTAAAAATTAAAACATAGTCAAGGTCATTCATAGGTTATGGTCAATTTTTTTAAAACAGTTATTGTACAAATTTAATCTTATTAAATGAATCAAACATCTCTATTTTTTCATTCATCCCCTAACATTGATTTTAAGTTAAATATTTGCAAAAAGAAAAATTGTTACAGTACCAGAAGTTTGAAAACACCACTTTCTTCATAAAATTTAGCAGCAACATAATCCAGCAATTCATACTGATGTTCACCTGTAATATTACATATATAATGAGTAATTAAATATAACAGTGAATCAAATGTTCTTACCAGACCTGAAACCAAGGATCGAAAAGATTTATCTATGAAATTCTTATATCAAGGAAACAATTTCACAATGTTATATAAACTTCATGATAAATGTGAATGCCTAATTACTAAAGCAATATTATTGAATGTTCAATGTTGAGGTCATTAACATAAAATGTTCCAATAATGTATCATAATCTGTTTGAAAACAATTAAAACCTTTTAGTAACTTATCAACCATAAAACTAAAAACATTTTTAATATTTATGCTAACAAATGTATATTTTATAACATCATTATTGATTACAATAATGAAAGCATTACTTGTATATGCCCTTGCATAAAGAACATTGTCCAAAACAGCATTCTGGTCCAGATTAAATCTGTCAGAAATATCTTTAAGACGGTCAGGACGACTGGAAACATTAGTTAAGGAATTGACAAAAATATCAACAAATAACCCTCTTAAATGGATTACAATCATTATTCTGTCCATGGTAATGCAGTAATATTTTGGTAGAATTTTTAGATCAACATATTATGGACAGAACCCCTCTTCCCCTCCACACTCCTTAAAATGTGTCACTGCACATTTGATCCACCTGTCACAACCAAAATATCACCATGGGACAATAGCCCCTGATAGAAATATAGTCTATAAAAAAAGACACACTATTAAAGCTAATGTATTTCATAATTTCGTTTTATCAATATCTTGTCTGTTGTTTATCTTTTTGGTTGTGTTACCAGCTGTCAAGGGGCTATCATAATCAAATGTCAAATGCTACCAAACATCTGTGATTCACTTAATTTGAAATAAAATATCAAAGTCATACTAAAATAATTAAAGGGATATTAAAGGAACTCCACTGAGGTTTATAAGCCTAAAAACATAATATTTTAATTTTTCACATAGATAAACATGAGCGCTTAAAACAGAAATACATGTATAAATAAAATATAACCAAGAAATATACAAAAAATAAATTGAAAATCATATGTTTTGTGCTATTCTCAGTCCAATTTGAGTGAAAAGCGTTTAAACGCTTTTCAATTTTAGGTCATTTTTCAATATAATAATAATTATTATGGAAAAACTGAGGGAGCTAATGATCTGAAATTTTGCACATACATGTACCTTATTAGTATAGATCTACATCAAATGGAGTAATAAACTCAAAAAATTAGTTCCTGGAGTCCCGTCATGTCAAAAAACCTCAGTGGAGTCCCTTTAAGCCAACAGATGAAACAATATTTTTCTCTTCTTTTTTTTTTTAAATATATCCTGTTTAAATGAAGAATACAATGTAATAACTTTATTTGGAAATAATATTTTACATTGGTAATTATAAGATGGATAGCATCTACTGATCATTCTCCCTAATAAACAAACTAAATCACTTTTAAACACAAGTATGATGTCATATTATCATTTTATCATTTGCATTTCTAAAATATAAATCAGAATTACTGCCACAGAAGGATACAATGTATTTTCAGTATCTATAAACACCACTTTTCCTCCAGTATATCCGCTTGCTCCAGGAAGTTGAGCTGTGACTGAAAATATGATTTAACATAATAAATTTGAAAAATGATCATTAGATAACTAATCAAAATTATTTTCAAGCTGGCATTATGTATGATCCATAATTTAAAGTAAGGTGTCCAACAAACAATGAATGAAACACTAAAGGCAATCACAAGAGCTAGAAATACAAGCACAAATATAAATAGCAAAAAATTACCACAGAGTGTGTGTGACAGCTGAGTTTTCCCAGTCCTGAATTCTCCAAAAGCCTCCGTTATTGCCATGCTTTCTATTCCACCACCAAGTAATTTACTGAAAAATTAATGAAACAAGCAATTATCATAGTATTGCAAGCAATCCATAAGTCCCCTACCGGTAAGAGCCCAAGCAACATTCTGAAGGGCCATTGGCCATTCACTTAGGTTCCTATTTTAAGTAAATTTGTTGAAAAAGTTCTTTAAAAGTGATCACAGGAAACAGTTTTTATGTACAGACAGACGTACTGAAGGACACTCTAAAGTTATTTTTTAAACATCCCTGTTATCAAAATAAAACATTTTTAAAATCCTATCATGATTGAAGAAGTTGGAGTAAAAATTACCAATTTCTCAAAAAAAAAGTCTAAGTTCAAAAGGGGCATAATTCTGGAAATAGTCAAACAAATGTTGAGTGACAATAAGAAACATTTATATGAAGTTTGAAGTAGATACATTCAGAAAAAGAAGTTATTAAAAAAAACAATGTTTTTTTCATGAAAATTTTAAGTTCAAGGGAGGTAATTCTGATAAATTTTGTGCTAGAGTTGTAAACCTTGTCACATATGATGTGGTTGATGACAAGCAACTTATATTTAAAGTTTGAAGAAAATACCTTAAGAAATAAAGAACTTATAGTGAAAAAACTTAAAAACTAGAATCAGACATCTTGAAATTCAGTCTATTTGTTGCCATAGCAACCAGAATTTTCAACATAGGAAGATAAAAAAGGATGTGCATAAATTTCCATACTGCCATCTACCCATATGTCAAGTTTCATAAACATATTTTCAGTACTTTTTGTGTTATCACTGGATCCAGGTTATGTGTAAAATTTGCCATATTTTCAGTCTATTTGTTGCCATAGCAACCAGAATTTTCAACATAGGAAGAAAAGAAAAGGACGTGCATAATCTCCATACTGCCATCTATCCATATATCAAGTTTCATAAAAATATTTTCAGTACTTTTTGCGTTATCGCGGGATCCAGGTTATGTGTAAAATTTGCCATATTTTCAGTCTATTTGTTGCCATAGCAACCAGAATTTTCAACATAGGAAGAAAAGAAAAAGACGTGCATAATCTCCATACTGCCATCTATCCATATATCAAGTTTCATTAAAATATTTTCAGTACTTTTTGCGTTATCGCGGGATCCAGTTTTGTGGACGGACGGACTGACGGACGGACAGACGGAGGGTAAACCTAAAGCCCCCTCCGGTAAACCGGTAGGGGACTAATAATTTAAAATTGCTCTGACATGCCCAAGAAAAAAGTTAAGAATTGTCAATCAAAAGGAGCTATTTTGTGCAAATTTAAAACTTCCACTGTTTAATCAAATGAAAGCTATCTTTCTTTTAAAAATTGTTTTCCTTTACTTCTTATAATTATCTCATAATGAAAGTAATATGAAAAAAATAACAAATTACTCAAGTTCTTGACTCCCTGTGGTGATATTAAAGACTTGTTTTCTTTTATCAGCATATTCTAATGCAGTCAGAAAACCTGGGTCAATAAGTTTATTTGCTGCCTCTTTAATTTTTTCCATCTTAGCCTCAGATATACCTTTGATATTACAAAGTTTTTTCCTTGTGGTCATTTGTACACCCTGTAAAAATATGCTCATAGTTAACATTCCTATAAATGATGAAATTAAGGGAATAATTTTTTAAAAAATCAAACAACTGTAAATTTGGTAATTTTAGATGTCTAAAGATAATAGAAGACAAATAATGCAACAAAAATCATACCTTAATTGTACAGATGCCAGCTTGCTTCATTTTTTTGATGTCTGCAACATTCTTTTGTAAATATGAAACAAAAAATAAAACTACCCGGTATTATGGTAATCCTAAAACAAATATATTATAACAAAAGATATAGAAAAGACTTGAACATAGCAAAATGCATGATGTTTAAATCATTTAATTATGTATCCTCATACCGCATTTAAGGTATTGTGATTATATTGTGATACATTTTCAGCATCAGATACCAGACTGTAGTTGATATGTCTGACAATCTCTTTTCCTTTTGGTCAAAGTGACTATGACCTCTGACTTTCTGTCATAAAAATATGGGTTATTGACTAATCAAGATCAACCATCACACCATATCAAAGGACTGTAGGCCAAAGGGACTCCTAGTTATTGGTCAGGTGAACCATCATGAACTAACCTCCATGCAAATTTAAGGACCATAGACCAAAGGTTCTCTACCTATTGGACAGAATTGTTATACTGAGTTTATCCTTTCAGCCCAAAACTACAGGGGTCTTCTACCAATTGAGGGCTATCATCATATGGAAATACTAGGCTGCGGGCCATATTATTCTCTTATTATTAAGCAGAAACTGTTTTCATGTTCATGGTGAACTTGGGGCTTTAAACATCTAATGTGGGTTTCAGCGATTCAGAATTGGCTTCAGCAAATGATGATTTTGCGACAAAAACTTACATATGTACAGACAGAAGCCTGATAGTAACCACAGTAACCCAATCACAGTTTGCTCCCCACAATTTAAGAGAAGGCATAATAAAACACTGTATGTTCCTTGGACACAACTTTTTCAAATATTTCAAAAATCTAAAACAACTCGAGTAAATATGCATGTTTTAAAGTGACATTTCCATTTCTTTCAACTATTTCATGTAAGAGAGAATTTGAAAAATTGGTAGAACAGTTAGTAGATCTTCAGTTACTTTTAAAGGTGTGCTGCTTTAATCAGTAATTTTGACAAAAATTTGTAAAAGTTGAAGGGGCATTTACACAAATTTAGAATAATGCTCCTTTGTCTGATAACTGTGCAATTAATCAAAGTTTCACCTTGATACTTTTGAAATCCTATGATTTACTTACAATACCATGATTCTGAAGCAGATCTATATCTTGAAATAATGATTCCTGGAAGGAGAACAAGATGAATTAATGGCATATTCTAATATGTCTCCTAAATGAATATCTGAAAGCATGATTTATTGTATAATAATGTTTTGGTTAAACTTGACTTTTTAAGCTTTTAGATCAAGAAATAGGAAACATTAAATTCTACATGTACTTGGAGAAATCATTTTGTATCAGAAATATCATTTGCCAGTGAAACAGAAATTTATTAATTTTTTTTTTATTTGCCTGGACAATCAAACGTGTCCTCTTTTAGAAGACTGGTATTAGCAGGTACATGTTATCCCAACAAATTTTTATTTAGCAAGTCTTGCCTCAACATGAACTTTAAATTATTCATCTGTTTCTTGTTTTTATTTACCAAAATTAAATAAATGCTAAAATCAAAATGCAACCATTATTGACTGGACCAAAAATATCTTTGGTCCAACAAAAAATATCTTTGGTCCAAGGTCAAACTCTGCTGATCATTAGCATTTAGAACTCTGATATTCTATTACCTCCTCATCTTCAGCAACCAATATCTCCTCAACAACTTGATCTTCAGATTCCAACATCTTTGAAACTTACATGTAAATGTTTTTCAGCACTGAAAAATAAACATGATTAAAATGTATTCCAAAAAGGCACAATAATAATCAGTGCTCCAGTTAAGATTTTGGATGACAAGTTTTTAAAGTTATTTTTCCCCGGAGCACTTTTTGAATCTGTCCGCAGCAAAATCCATGTTTTAAAATCCTAACCCATAACCCTCTTATTAACCTAACCATTACCCAAAACACTAACCCTAACATCTTACCCTATCCCTAGAAGTAATCTGAGTGATTTTGTAGAAAAACATAAATATTGAAGAAATATTTTTGGGTAAAAAAAGGGTAAAATTATAATGTTAAAAATAGCTGGATAGATTCTAAAGTCAAGCCTTTTTCCCCAGATTTAATTTACAGTACTCCCCGCGGGTACCGCGTCCTTGCCCATTCCGATGTAATCAGAAAATTTGTTTCTTAACACATTGAATGCCACCAAATACTGTTTCCACCATTAAAGTGAAAATGGAAGTGCTGCTTTTTGTGAATTTGGATAGAAATTGTTAGAAATTTTTTCATTTCAAATAAATTCTGTCTTGATAGGAAAATCCAAAGATGCCTGTGTGCAGGCTTCTCGAAAGTTGCCGGACCGTCGGACATGTCCGGCAAAAATCAGGCCGGTCCGATATTTTTTTTCGGGGTTCCGGACCTTATGTCCGGTACGAATACCGGGATATATCCAAGACCGATCAAGACCGAGTTTTCTCCCTTGAATAAAAAAAATGTAAAACGAGTTTTGATTCGCCGTTTCATTATAAGTGTCCGATACATACGACTGTCAATAACCAAAATGTCGGTGTTACTACATTATTACGCTGGCAAAAATCGTAAACTATCCAATGAAGAAAAAAAAGCGAAACAAAAGGAATACGAGTCCAGGCGCCCGCCGAGAAAATTTGTGGGTAAATGGAAAAATGGCCGCTTTGATCATGAATGTTTTGATTTCCAAACAGAGTCCATCCACAGGTGATTGAAACAAACTTTTTAAAGTTTTATATGGGCTATATAGTATATATTTTTATATACATATATAGACTGGTTATGTAAAATATTTGATTATGTGACTAGCGCCTGTGAGTCCATCAATCTGGATAAACTAATGTTTTATTTAAGGGAATAAAATTGTGTTGCAAATCTTTAAAAGTGATCTCTTTAAAAAAAACACCAAGGTATTACCATATACATATATTTGGGGGGAAAAATTCGGTCAGACAAAAGTTCTTTCGGTCAGACAAGAATTGAAAGTTTGTCTGACCGAATGTCAGGCAAATTTTTCAGCAGTTTCGCGAAGCCTGTGTGTGTGCTGAAAAAAATTCTTTATTTTACCCCATATTTAACGGTTAAACTTATAATTTCATGTTCCGACAAGTCAAGGTCATCTGCTGAAACTGTAGTGACAGCATATTCTGTTACAAATATTATACTGAAGCCAAAAAGGGCCATCAATTAACATACCACGGTACCACAGTGCTCTCCGTATAAGCTCCCATTCTAAACATGGCTGACCGACCATAGATGTTTCTAATTGAAATCATTGAGTTATTCTATGAATGACATGTGTATTTTAAAGTCAAGATGCGACAGCTAAACACAATTCAATAAAATAGTAAATATAAGTTCTTTTTATTTGTACAATTTGCTGGAAATAATAAGAACAGTGGTATACTCGAACTCGGTATTATCGGCGCACCTCTATTATCCACGTATTCCGAAAATACGGTAATTTACATAAATAGCACCGCCTACCACCCTCCCACGTGAGTAAACAATAACAAGGAAGTTCACGCTCCATCAAATCGCTAAATTTTCGTAGAAAATGTCACAAATTCAGGTAAAATTTTTTCATTATTAATAAAAATCTATAAAATCCTAATAATTAATATGCTTATACCTCAACTTATTCCTTTTTTCAAAGCTCTATCCACAACAAATAACATCCGTCTGCTATCACTTTTCAATGTACACTGATGACGTCACTTTTTTTTCTATGGAAGGCCGTTTACGTAATAATTACACTTACATTATTAACCATCCTGAGCAGAGCAAGTTGTAGATCTGCATTTTTAGGTAAGTTTTTTTACTCTGTTATTCTTCTTTCAGGTTTCTCATACAGTGACTGCTAAGAGGCGTCTTTCTTTTAGTACACCACACCCAGTGAAACTGAGGCGCCAGTATGACCCAGCAAATCTTCAATGTGCCTATGATGCAACCAATAAGGGTATGTCTGCCTATCGTGCTTCTAGGCTGTATGGGGTGCCAGAATCTACCATCAAGGATAGGCGATCAGGAAGGGTTGAGACTGGGGCAAATCCAGGGCCGTTGAAGTTATTTTCATCCGAAGAGGAGCAGAGGTTGGCAGACCATATAAAGCACATGGCCAGCATTGGGTATGGCTATACTAAGGCCAACGTACAATATCTTGCTGCTGATTTTGCAGTGGCTTGTGGCAAGAAAATGAACAGTGACAAACCACTTAGTGACAGTTGGTTTTATGGTTTCCTAACGAGATGGGAAAATCTGAAAGTTGCAAAACCTCAAAAGCTCTCTTTACTTCGAGCTAAATGTGCCTCCAAGGATGTCCTTGATCAATATTTCAAGGAACTTTGCACCATTATTTCTGATAATGGACTGGAAGGAAATCCCGAGCGCATCTATAACATTGATGAGACTGGCATTAATACAGAGCATGCTCCACCACTTATAGTATGTGATGCAACCTCTCAGCCACAAGCAGTTACTTCCCCAAGATCATCAACTGTGACAATTATTGGTGGTGGAAATGCTGTTGGGAACCAGATCCCACCCTATTACATTTTTCCAGGGAATCGGTGGAATAGTGAATTTTTAAATGGAGCTCCTACTGGTGCAGATGGTGAAATGTCTGATAGTGGTTGGTCTAATTCTCTAATTTTCCAAAATTATCTTACAAAGCACTTTATAAAGTATGCAAATGTCTCATCTGATACTCCAACTCTGGTTCTTTTTGATGGACACAAATCATGTACAACTCTCTCTTGTTGACTGGGCAAGAGAAAAAAACATAATTCTGTTTGTGCTTCCACCTCACACAAGTCACATAACACAGCCTTTAGATGTTGGGGTATTCGGACCTTTGAAGTCTATGTACTATAGGGAATGTCAACTGTATTTACAGAAACATCCAGGTCAAAAGATCACCAAGTATGAGGTGTCTAAATTAACTTCAAAGCCATACTTGAAAGCTCTGTGTCCTGAAAACCTCATTTCGTCTTTCCGAAAGACTGGAATATATCCATTCTCAGATTGTACCATCAAAGAGTCCCAGATAGCACCCTCTTCAATTTATCCAAGTGTTCCTGATGTGTCTGCGGTTGATCCTCAACCTCAATGTCTTCAGTGTTCTCCAAGACAAACCAATGTGCCAATAAATGCCCAAGAAACTGACAAAGAAAACATTCCAGAAGGTGTACTTAGTCCTAGAAGTATTTTCTTCAGGTCCAGACCATCACTGGCATCTCTGATCCCAGTAGGAAACCTAGGAAGAAGTTTGTACCACCATTTCTAGCTGGTAGTTTGTCAAAGCCCAACAACATCACAGTGCTTCAAGTTAAAAAGCCAATAGCAAATCAAGCAACAATCACAGATAATTCCTCTCAATCAGTAAGATCTTTAAGTAAATCCTCTACTACAAAAGCAGTTCCACCATCTACTTCAAAACAACTTCCTCATCCAGGTCCTTCTGCTTATTATGTCAGCAGTTCAGAGGCTGAAATGAGTCTGGATCTGAGGATGAATCTTCTAATTGCTGTGTGTGCCATAAATTTTCACCTCCAGCTCTTAAGCAGTGTACAAGTTTAGTTATTGTGATGTGGGCTCAATGCGACAAGTGTCATCACTGGACACATTTGTCCTTCTGCACTGATGTCAGGGTTGTGCGGCGTCATAGTGAATTTCTATGTCCCCACTGCCAATATATACATTTAAAACTGTAAAAAAAAAACTGTTTAAAGACTGTTGAACTGTTTCCTGTTCCATGTTGACTTTATAAATATCCAGTTAATTGTTTTGAAATAACACTTTGACATTGTTTGGTGACATTTTATTTTGAAAACCATGAACATGTTGAATCATACTCTTGACTTGAAACTTTATAAATCAACCATAATATGTGTGTAAAGTACAGAAAGATAATTATTTGACGGTGGATAGCCAAACTATAAGGTAAGACAAGTCATTTTTTTTAAAACAACGGCTTGCCATAGTTGATCAATGCTGAATACGTCGATAATAGAGTGTTCTCCCTTTAGGAAGTTGTGTATGCGGTCATGCGTATTGAAGCTAAACATCTTTGACCTAGCTTAAGGTCTTCAGCGTACCCGTTTATATATATGACATGACGTGAACGCTGAAGATAACCCCGTAGGAAAAGTCCACCAATAATCGTGCCAGGAATCTGACACGCTCGTATTTATTTATCGAACATGCCACGAAGTAAAGTGAAGCATACCTTGATAAAACGATATATAATCTGTTGATAAGCCAAGGATGGACAAATAAAAATCTTATTAGGAACATAAACTACCTAATAGTTTCCGACAGGTAAAAATTTCGGCACTTGGCCACCATATTGCCAAAATGTTTGACCACGTGATTACGAGATTGACCTTTATGAACCCATGTGCCTCCAATATTTTTATAGATTACTTTTTTTTAAGATGTTGAAAAAGGTTATTTACTGACTGTTATATTCAATAAAATCATATTTAAATACTAAAAATTTATGAAAATAAATAAAAACATTATCTTGAATAAAAATATCGAAATCATGTCAACAAAATGTTCTAAATATAGTACACAACTCTATTCAAATCTGTTCCCGCGAATGACGTCATACGAGGTCTCGCGTGGCACTTGAATGTCATGGCCGACTGTAGTCGGCGAAAATTGATGTTTTACAGTTAAATAGGCAATTTTAATGACGGTATTAATATTTTATTACTTGAATTGGTATAGAACGATATTTAAATAATTGTTTTACCGTAAATTGCACAAGAATTGATCGGGTCAAGTGTATTTGCAAGTGAAAAACAAGAATAAATCAACTTATGTTATTCTGGTTAGGTTTCGTAACGGGTCTAATCCAAAACTTTAATGCCGCATCTGATGAAAAACAAAAATGTTAAAAAAGCGGCTTATAAAGTTTTGGAAGCCAGAACTATCTTTGACCCAGTTCAGCATAAACTGAATTTCTTACGGTAAATTTGTAGAAAAGATGTCTGCTTTTTCACGCAAAATATAAATTATTAAATCTAGCACTGAAAAATAACGCGTGCATAGTGGAAACTTTAAGTACGCCGATAATACGGCGTTCCAGGCTACCATAGGGGACCATCCTATCAAACTGTTTTTCTTTTTTGTTTTCTTTTTGCAATGCAAGTTTTTGAAATTGATTTTCATTCAAATAGCTTTTACAATTCTTTTTAAAGATAAAACGATGGTGGTGCCATTAGCTCTGACAAAATTGCTTCAGCAATATTTCTGTGGCTCTCTACGGAAATCATACACCCTCGAAAACCGATAACACGGAAAACGTTCAGTTTATACGATAGCTAAACATGGTGTACTGTAGCTGTAATAGATCTACACAATAAATGTTCTTGTATTAGATACAATTAGTGTGTAAATACAAATTAAAATTGAAGAAACAAGGTAATTTACTTCAGCAAAATTAAAACATCAACTACGCATCTTTGAAATTTTTCGTCTGCGATGTTGTTGTTGTTGTTATAAATAAAATTATGAAATAAAACGAAAAGAAGACAAAAAACGGAAAGAATATCTATCTTTTTTGAATTTTTCAGAGAAATGACAACATTAGAAAAAATATATACAGTAGAGCTTTATAAAGTTTTCATTGGATAATCGTAACGTTGCTGTATATACATGTACATGGCTGCTGTCAATTTATGAAGAAAATCTTCTTTTTTTCTAGAAAAATATGCTTGGCGTATTATAGATTCGTTATAAATATTTCTGACGGGTTATATGAATATATATAAACAGTTGTTTGCAATATAACTGTTTATATAGGATCAAATAACCTGTCAAAATGTTAATAACTAATAATATACCAAGACTCCACGGGCTTCTCCATCCCCCCCCCGCCCCCCAGGTGGCATATTTAAGTTGGCATATTTTCACTTGAAACCACCTAAATGTAAATGTATATTAAATTATTATTGAATATTACTCCGAGAATTTTGGAACGTGCTGAACATTATTTCCAACAAATAAATGAGCCTTCTTTATGTTGTCAATGTAGGCTAAAAGTTTATGTTCGACTGATATATGGATATCCAAACAATCAATAAATATCAACTTGACTTAACAATTTACCTGTCTGGGAGTGTATCAGTGTTAATCAGTGTTGCATCTGTCGTGTACTAAGATGAGCATACATGTAGTTTGAATGAAGGAAGCCGAGACTAGGTCTGACCGAAGCACCCTTGCTTGCCCGTGAGTTTGTTCGTATACCCAATGTCCGCCCGCCCGCTTATAACATTCTTTATTTAGGCAGCAACACACTTCTCACATCAATATAATGTATAAAATTGTCTCATTGGCCTTCCGTGCATTATTTCAGTATTTATATAAAAATTTTTTTTTTTTTGGTAATTTTCAGTAAAATTACGTTTTCAAATAAAATGGTTAAACATTTTCGTTTAAATTATTTTTTCACATGATGGTGACAGTCCCGGGGGGCCGTACTCTCGTCCCTGGGAGGGGGATGGACCCTCTTTAACAGGAAATACTACCTCCCAGCCAAGTTATATTCGAGTACAATGTAGTTAAAATGTTGTATATTTTGTAATATTCCCATAAATATGTCTGTCCAGAATTGCAGTTTGCATTTTTCATGTTTTTTGTTGTTTGCATTTCTTCTGAGATATCACTGTTTTTCCAAATTTTTAACATTTCGTTTGATTGTAAATATATTTTTGAAACTAAAAAACAGAAAAATGTGAAAAAGTCGGAATTGCTGATGTTTAGCGCTAAATGTTTAGCCCTTACTTTTTGTTTTCATACTTTAATTGCAATTCACAAAGTGTATCTGTGTTATGGGAAACAACCTTTTACATGAGAAATGTGTCATTGAAAAAAAATGTTTTAGGGCAATGTATATTCTTAAGTAATTTGCAACAAACGAGAAATTTACCAAAACTACAGTAAATTACTTTATCTTAAACTACACATAAGATACATTGTACTTTAGTGTTTTATTTACATCACGTGTGAGCCATTGCTGGAGTTAAGTTATGTATTGCAAGTGTTGAAAGTTGTCACGTGTCTCGGTGTTGTTGGTCCTTCGATTCGGGACACTTAATATATTAAACTAATATACAGTATTTATTAAAGCCGTGCCTGAAAGCTGTCGAATGTTCTCTATATTTCATGAATAGACTCTTACATTGGTCCTTAGCAACTTCCATATTCAGATTTATAATTTTCTCATGGTAGGGCAATGGAAAAAGGGTACTATAGTTGCTGCCAAAATGAATGATCACATCTTTCGGACGGGCTTTACTGACCTATAAGGTTTTGCAGTTGGAACTGGTACTTTAAAAATACTAGGTAAGCAAAACCGACATTGACGAGCATTCTTTACAGTTTTTTTACATACGAACTTAAAGTGATTTAGCCAAATAATTGTGGTTCTGTTTTTTTTTCAATGGTACATTTTTGTATATAAATGTAAATACCTTTGACGGGTGAAATATAAATTGCAAGATATACATGTACATAGTAACATTCGGAAAATATATAAAAATTAAATATTTTATTTTATTTCCCTTTTTCTTTTGGGGTATTTTGGTACGGGGGGTTTTGATTCCAACCTACTGGTTCTTTTTTCACAAAAAATTGAGTTAGCTCATCATGTACTTTTTTTTAAAATTTTGCCGGGACCCAAGTACCCCCTTTCTTTCTTGCTATTTATGTCATACATAATTTATTTAAAAAAAAGTAGTACGGATAGGGCCATGTGCCAAAAAAAATCATGTTTGTTTAATCTTTTTATCTCCGGCCCCAAAAAACTTCCGTTGCGTTTTTTTAGTATACCTTTGTGTTAAAAACTGATTTCCCTTTGATAAAATTAAAAATTTCCCGGTTTTGAAAAACCCTTTTTGAAACTTTTTGGCTCAGTATTTCCAAAATTTTTAAATTCACTCCCCTGAACTGTAAACCCGAGGGGGTCAGACGTTTTATTTAAGTGATCAAAAACAATTTAGCTAAAAGGGTAAATTTCTTTTAATTGAATCTGATAATCAAATTTAATTTTTTTACACGTATGCTACAGTGTAAAAAATAGGCATAGGTGAAAACCCTCAATCGGGGGATGATCCATGTTCTTGATTTAAATACAAAAATGTTTTTTTTTTTGTTGTTACATTTTTTTTTTATTAATAACACATAAGCAAAATTCTCTTTTTCCTTTTTTTGTTTTTCCCAAAAAATTACAGCAACCCCCCAAAAAACCCCCCCAAGTCAACCCGGGCTAAAAATTGGTAAACCCCCCCAAAATTCGTCTCCGGCCCCACTTTATTTTTTTTTGGTAAATGGGCCCCCAAAAATTGGGTCAGTGCGGCCCCAAAATCGGTCTTTCCCGGCCCCAAAAAAAATTTTTCAAAGAAAACTATTTAAGTCATTTTGTTGTATGATGAAATAAAATGATTTATTATTGATGGAAGATTATTAACTATAGAACAATAGTAAAAAAAACAACATGAACTGGCATAAAAGTGTCGGTAAATTTAATTGTGCCGATAAGACTTCAATACGCAATAGACTAGTGATAATGAATAATTATATACAGTAACATCAACAATTATATGTACATCAACATTAATTCAGATGTGATAATCAAACAGCTTAAAGCAATCAATTAACAAAAAAGGTATAGCTGTGAAAACAAATCCTTTAAATAAGTTGGTAGTATCTTTCATGTCTTTATTCGATGTAATCGTGGGTGTAAATGCGATAATTAGGAAGAGATACATAGAATTTCAAGTAAAAAGGTTTTTATAAATTATGTTTCCAACAATCTTTTTTTCAGTTTATTTGATTGTTTTTATTGCATACGTTCATCAGTATAATTATTTTAATATTTGTTTCGTTTTTTATTAACTTATTTTCAAAGAATATTTACTGTGTAAAACAGTTTATTTTGGAATTTTACTAAGTGTTTGAAAAATTGATAGTGTTTTGTGTCATTATGTCATTATGACTGATAACTGTATTGATTGTGTTAATATTTCAGATACCGGCCATTGTTTTGCGAGAATATTATCAAGTAGAAATGAAATTACTCTTTCTGATTTAAAGATCCTGTAACACATTTTTTTCATGGTTTTAATATAACAAATATTGGAAGTTCCAAAAAGCATTATTTATAAAGATACACATGTATAACAGAATTTAATATTTCATGTAAATAAAGTGAGGTAATTAGAAATTTGTTTTCTATAAATTCTAAGGGTTGTGTGACGAACATTGTAGAACTATACATTGAACATTGTAGAACTATGCATTGGACATTGTAAAAACAGTAAATTATGCATGTGTTGCTTGTTCGTTCATATTGAAAGTTTTTATATAAAAAAAAATAATGAAATATATCATCGTTAAACTAGCTGTTGTTGTTGTTGTTGTTAATTTTTATTTTATTTCTTGATAAAGTATTTACATTTTAAAGCAAAATAAATAATAAACAAATGGGGCAGGGTTGACCAGAAATAACATTGGTTTGGGGCCGGGTTAACCAATTTGGGGCCGGGCTGACTAGGGGCCGGGTTGACTTGGGGCCGGGTTGACTTGTACCGTTTCCCAGTCTAGCTGGGGTGGATCATAATCTTGTCTTGTATCCTACTTTTGTCTAGTTTAACTGTGTTGTTAGATTATTTTTTGTAAGATTATTTAAATAGTTTCACCCCCCCCATGAAACTGAGTATGTAGTTTTGTTTGTTTGCTAATCATGTGACATCATCATAGGCTAACCATGTGTTAATCAGGTCTAGGATTTCATGATATTTATGGACTGTCCGTAAATTTATAGACAGTCAAGAAATTTAAAGATTTTTCAATCCATAAAATTACAGATATTCAATGTGAAATTTGCTGATTTTAGTTTTACAATAAAATCCGCAGCTTAAGACAAGTTGTTTTATTGATATTTATATTTACAAAGGTAATGGGGTGAGTTTCCTCTTTGTATGATGATTTTGAAATTTTTGTTAAAAGTGAAAATTGAAAGTCATCAAAATGTACTGAATCTTAGCATACTGTTACATTTAATCATATAATACCTAACCTTATTCATTTTAACCCGCGGTTTTGAATTTTAATGCAACTTCTACTATTTTCTTACTTAATGTCTGTAAATTTACAGATAAGAAAATCTGTAAAATTATGGATTGTCCAAAAATTTACAGATTGTCCGTAAATATCATGAAATCCTAGACCTGTTAATAATTATGATGTCAGGCCTTGACCATACCACTTGCTGCCTAGCATTTGCAAGTGAAAGTTTGGGTCAGACGAGGAGAAAATTGATAAAACTTGAGTAAGATTCTCCCAATCCAAAATACATGTATGTTATTCAATTTTCAAAAGATTTAGATTTAATGCAAATGAAGTTTTTCTGTAAAAATTTAAACAGAAGGCTCAAAAATGAAAACTATATATTGACCTTTTGACTAGGTATAAAGCTTGACGGAACGCGTATGATAATCAATTCCATAATGACAGCAGCATTTGACACGTGTTCGGAAATGTTTTATACTTGGCCATGAGTTCGATATTTTACCATGAGTACAATTCAAATGAATTAAGTATTCTGGTTATGTTGAAGATTATACATGTATATTAAAAGAATGAAGAGTATTATCAACATTTTTTAACAATATGTAAATGGATAAAGCCAATTAAACCAATATAGACCGGTAAATGGTAAATTTGAGTCTTATGTTTAATTTTTACCAAGTTTGTTTGTCAAAATGTAGGACAAGTACATTTTATGAAGGGCTATTAAATTTGAAGGGTCAATCTGGGTGATTGACCCAAGAAAAATTCATCAAGGCCTGGATGTTATCATAAAATTGTGGTAAAAACTAATCAAACAGATTATTGAAATCTCAATGGAAAAAGCAATTACCATTTTTGGGAGGGAATAAAGTTAAGTGGATACAAAATTAGCGAAAAATTAATAAAGAAAAAGTGCAATGAAAACTAATTGACCTTATATTGAGCACTGCTGTAATTTTAGAACAGGCTTATTATCAACCGAATGATACTTTCAAGTAAACAAGTAGATTAGGTGAATAATAAAACAAAGAAGTCTTAAACACTGGGCGTAAATGATTATAGGCAATGTTTATTGTTAAACACAGTGTCCTATGTAGATTTCATAATTTCTTAACCAATTTTCTGAGAAGGTCAAGAATTTAGATGTATAAGAAATGGTTACTTCAAAAGCTTTCTGAAGATGTTAATATTTAAATCTCCTCAATGCTTTGCAACATCTTGCAGTTTTACAGTTTGGAATTGACTGTGACAGATATTTTGGCTTATTTTACAGGGAGACGAGGTTAATCCAAAAGCGTACCCACTAGCTGATTCTGAACTCACTCAGAAGATTTTAGATCTTGTACAGCAAGCAGCAAACTACAAGCAGCTGAAGAAAGGGGCCAATGAAGGTGAGAATTGATTTCATTACAAGATCATATAATAATGGTATTATATCATTGAAATCTGGACAACAGTTTGGTCTTCTTGAATGATTTGATTCACAATAATTTTCAGTATGCACTGAAACTCTAACAATCTTGTACTTGAATAGAAATAATGACCACAGTGGTGTTTGTTTAATGTGTCAAACATGCATTGATCAGCTAGGAACAATGATGCATAAAGGCACCAACAAGTATGGTCTGCTATAGGATAACATAGCTGTGGATTTCAACGGGGTTCAAATTAAGTTACTACATAAGAAATTCTGACTGGACAAATATGTCTGTGTGCTGCAAGTGTCGTTATTATTAAGTGTCATTTAAAGCATGTTATAAATAATAATATTGCATAAAAAATTTTCTTCAAATATTGTTTTTCTTTTCAGCTACAAAGACATTGAATCGTGGAATAGCTGAGTTTATAGTAATGGCAGCTGATGCTGAACCTCTGGAGATTCTTTTGCATCTACCTTTGCTCTGTGAGGATAAGGTATCATATGATAAACTACGCTTTTGTTTATGTTGGCTCCCCTGACTACATTCTTCTACATTCTCATTAGTTCATTTTAGTATGTTCAGCTGAATTTTAGGTAATTTGATTGGCCTATATTTGATGATCATTTATCATGTACAATATCAATTTTGGCTTTAAAACAGCAGTTCTAAAACTCAAACAATAGAGAAATAGTCCATAAAAGTTCCTTTAAAATTGTTTAAATTCCTTATTTTTTCAACAGTAGGACATATTTTCATACAAATTATCTCTTGATTTCTGTCATTTGCAAGTTAAAAAGGTGAATATTTAGATACTAATAAAGTGTATTAATTTTGTCTTGTGTTTTTACATTACAGAATATCCCGTATGTGTTTGTCAAGTCAAAGCAAGGTAAAGTATTTAGAACATTAGTACCTTAATTTGATTAAGAGATATTGGAATAGCATATTTTGTTTTGGATGCCCATATATGGTCTCAAAGCTTCTTAATTTAGGCTTGAATTTCCTTTTGTCGCATTTTCATAGCACAATTTCATTTCCCAGTTAAATGTAAGTGCATAAAGTTATTTACATGTTGTCTCTAGTTTACAATAGTATTGTTTAGATTTTGAAAAAGAACCAAAATACCTGTCTGAATGGATAAAGTTTGTATCTTTCCTTGAAGGAGAACAGACCATGCAGGAAATAAAGTGTAAATTTTTCTTTGCAGCACTTGGACGTGCATGTGGTGTGAGCAGACCAGTGATATCATGCTCAGTGATGACACACGAAGGTTCCCAGTTAAAGTCCAGCATAGATAAACTGAAGCTGAGCATCGAGAAGCTTTTGATTTAACCTGTACATTCTTGATAACAGCTGGTCCAACATCCGGATCATGTGGCAATGTATTTTTTTATCTTAAATGGATAAACTAAAAGGCTGCATGCCACAGCAGTAGTTAACTTTTTTAATGAAATCAAACGTACAAGAGGACGTTTATTGAATTGTTACTCATATTCTTTATATATGTAGGACTGTGCATATGTTTTTGAAAGCTATAACTGAATTTGTTATCTTTTTTACACTATTTTCTCTTCGTTAATGAAAGAATAAGAGATATTTTTTCATATTTGGATATGGTACAGAATTTTAAAAAAAATTGTGAATCCAAAGTACTGTCACTTAACATGTTTTGATGCACTTGACAAAGTGTTTTCATAAAAAATACAGATCTATGAACAGTATGAATCTGAAATCATGCTGCTGTAAAATAGAAAACTGATCATTTTTAACTCGGTTAACTTGTTCCATCTACTTGAAAATTTGACTTTAAAGTAAAACATAATTATGTGCATGTCAGGACTAGTTTTCTCTTATTGGTTTAGATAATATAAACATACAAATATATACAGATATATACATAATTACTCTGTGTATGATTTTATACTGTTAATGTACAATGTTAAATCATGTTTAGTGTATATTTCATTGTAAACTTTGATATTTTTTTGTTAACGACTTTATTTTAAAGATGTCCATAATGTACAGGCCTGATTGTTTAGTAATGAAATCAATTTTTATACTGGTCAAGTCTTGCAGTATTTGATTACTAGCATGAAATAGTGACTATAAATACATGTACGAAGGCTACATACTTTTACATGTAGTGTATGGTTAATTTTTATAAGGTTTCAGAAGGTGGGGGGGGATATTTTTTTATTATTTTATTTCACATTTCATCACAGAATATACTTTTTCATCCTATTGTGTTCATTTGAAAATGTGTACATTTATACAATAGACAGGCTTTTTGTTAAAAGCATTGTGTAACTGAAACTTCATTATGGAATAAAATTGACAAGGTAAAATTTTTGTTGTATTATTGAAGTCAAATCTTTCCAGTTCGAAAACAGTTTTTGTCAAACCTGATTGCTGTAAAAGATTCGACTAAGATGTCAGAAAGGCGGAATTGGGTTTCTAAAGCCAAGTGGTTATAAATCTTGACTTCAAACATCTTGTCCCTTACTTAATACCACTGTTTGTTCAAATTCAGCAAAGGACTTCAGTTTTTATGTTTGAAAGCTATATTCGGGTAGCCAAAGGAATGTCAGTGGTTCTACTCCATGCTGGCTTGTAACTAACATACTGTGCATAGGTGCATCTGAGGTCCTCCTCTACCAAATTATAACAACTGAAAAGTTGCAATATTACCTTCATAGTGTTTGCCTTACTTAAATGGCAGCAAATTTTTTTTTTAAAATGGCCTGGAAAAAATGTGTTTTGACAGTTTTCTGTAGTCCAATCTTGTTTAGACTGTGAACTTGCTATAGTTGAGGTCCTGTTATTCTAAAAATAACTTTTGCACAGAATTTGTCTTGATCACCTTGAGATTATCTGTTGTGGGCAAGACCAACACACCTTAGGTAAGCGTTAAATGTAAATAAAACTAAACACTAGGCCATCCTTAAAAAAATGTTTGTTTGCAGTAACGCGACCGACTCACAAAATTTGCCCCTACTCAAAAGTTTTTTTCATGGTCTGGATAAAAAATTATTTTTTTTTTAATCAGAAAATTATGCCTTGTGCTTTGTTTTTGTTCTTTTAAAGGTTAATAGAAGAAATAAAATGTAGGTATTATTTAATTAGAATTCATTTATCAATTTATTAATTATTACCAGATTATCAAAGCATATATTGTCCAGCATTTTGAAATTCCATGTTTATGTGGGAGTACAGTTCAATAAAAAAAAAAAAATAGAAAAAAATCGACCTACCTACCCACCTTGAAAATTCTGGGTCGGGTTACTGCAAACAAACATTTTTTTAAGGATGGCCCTATTGACAGGGTTAATGGAAACATTCAAAGAAAGTGAGTGTTTGTTGCAAAGGGCATTGAAATTTCAAAGACGAGTGTGTTTGTGAGTAGCATATTTTTACCCCCCCCCCCCCCTGCCCCCTTAACTCAAAAATGAAGGCATTGGATAGCTTATTTACTGTTCTCCATTTCTGTTCAAGGGAAGTAACTGATACATAAATACTCCCGACATAAAGTGGATTGTCTTTCTTTTGTTCACTAAGCCGCGAATTATTGGATTTCTCCCGTGTATAAATATACCTTAATGTATGTATACAAATAGTTATAGAGTGGGTTTAGAACTGTTTTAGCAACGGACAAACATCAAATGGTAGTAATTTGAATCACATCACTGAGTCGTAAAGAACATGGAATACTGACACCACTTGGTGATTTTAATAAAAATGTAAGTAGGAAATGTTATTACTTTGAAGTTTTTTTAATATATATATGTAAATACGTATTCTTTTATTGATTTTATCCACCAATTCACAATGTGTGTCCGGTTTTACTGACCATCGTGATGACAAGATTATTTTATCTGTGACTGTATATATACATATATATTGTAAATATTGAATAACAATAAATACGAAACGTCAATCCACAAAACACCTTTGGGTTGCTGTGACAGCAAAAGCGCGGGAATACGATAATAATCAAGTCCTTGCTATATTATGTTCCAAGACTTAGATTTGATAAAATTAATTAACTTGTCTATTTTGAACACAGAACAAAAAACCCAAACAAAATGGAACACAATCAAACTTGAATAATTTGAACACATGGAACATAATTTTTTTCTAATTTGAACACGTGGAACACTAACTTGTCTATTTTGAACATGTGGAGCATGTACTTGTCTATTTTGAACACATATATATGTAGAGTACTGTTTTTTCTTAAGATAGAATTAATATAACGACAAAACAACCTTTGGACAGGTTCTACTGTACTGTAAAACTGTTCCATTTAGGATGATAGGCGTTGAAAGATTTTAAAAAATGCGCGCACAGAACACGCGAATAAATTGATAAGCCTATTTGTTTCCATTTTAACTTAAAAGTTTTATGTATTTTTGTTTTTGCATCTGTATTTTGTAGTTTTCGTTTTAATCCGTTATGGGCGATTTCTCCGTTAAAGTATTTGTAATATTGATATATAATATCATAATGCAAGTACATGTGTAATGCTGCATCTAGTTGTCACAGGGTTAAGATGCGTTAAGTCTGATCCGGAAAATAAAGGTTAAAGTAATTCTTGTTTGAGCAGTTGAGCCTGTTGGGGGTTGTTTAACTAATAATTGTCAGATGTGTTGGTGACGTTGTCTATCCTGAACGTTTACTTCTGTGTTGATTAGATAATATAAATGACGTACATTGCTCATTTAAATTATTTTACATTAGTCACGTAAATCAATATTGTAAGTCAATTTACTAGCTTTTGTTTTACGAATTCGCGCTTATCGTTAGTATATATACAATTCGGTGTTTAAAGGTATATATTTATGTATCTATTGTTTATATTACAATGCATGTGTTAACTCGCCTATAAATAGAAAAAAAATCTACAAGTTTCAACTTAAAATTAAAAGAGTTTAAATGTATAATTAAAACGGGTATACCATGATCTGACTGACCAAGTTATTTATTTAAATATGTTTTACATAATAACATGTAAACTTACTATTATATTCTAAAGGTTAAATGGTTAACTGCTTAACTTTACTAATAACGTATTAAATAATATAGAACAGTATCTGTATTCAGTGGATTTAAATCGTTCAAAGCCATTCAGACGAAACGTACGTTCGAACGTTCGATTATTGGGATATAAATAAACAGTCGATTTTATTGCTCCACAGATCTGCACAGCAAAAGGCAAAATATATTTCTTGACTACCGCTTTATTTCTTAAAAATATTGTAACATAACGAAGCGTAATAATAAACTATACATGTATTATGTTAAACATTTATGGGCGGTACGAGCGAGTCTTTATGTGTACTCAATACACACTTTAACCACAGATACTTGGGGTGTTGAGCTCAAAACGCCTTTACAGGGAAGGGCCCACGATAATGTTGTTAGAACTTTTGGCCCAACCCTTTTGTATGTACACTTGATTATGTCTAAATTGTATATTGTGTGTATATTTATACAATAAAATATTATTAAACTAAAACGCCTTTAAAATCCAAATAAAATGTATATTTGTCAATCCCAGCACATGTAGTGATCATATATATTTAACTTAATATAAGCCGTTTTGAAAAAAAATCACATTTCTATAATAATATATGTCTGTGGTTCAAACTTATAAACGATATTAAAAATTGTCACGATGCAGCTGGAGACATTTATGCTATGTACAGTTTTGCATATTATGCAATTTAGAATCTCTAGTTACCTGAACAAATATTATATGGCAACAGAAGTAAATGGAGCTTTTAAAAATCGCGAAAACTATGGGGACAATGATATTTATAACTACCGTCCAGCGTTTTCAGCGACCTCGAATGTAAATTGTTTAACAAGGGATAGATAGACTGTGTACCCTGTATATTTGACCATTGTCCACTGTTAAGATCGTTAATTGTCCACCATCTCATCTATGATGGCATAAGAATTGTGTTACAAAATGCTTGATATTAAAGAAAGGATAAGTAAAATTTTTGTACTGCGTTTGATTCAGTTGCAAATAGAACACTTTTAAACAAGATACAAATAGTGTGGCGAATTTTCCCTTTTGCATTTCTTTGTTTTATTTTATCTTAAATTTGCTCTTCTTATTAGGCGAATTGTAATGCTTATCACAAACAATTCAAAAAAGATACACACCATTTTATTCACATATATCATAATTATTTCGCTTAGCATTTTCAAGCTGCTTATAGTTATAAACTATATCAATGAAATAGTTTAAAGGTCAAAAGAAACGGATGTTTATGTCATAATTCAAATATTTGTATATGTAGTTATAAGCAGCTATTGTTGCCCTAGAAAGAATTTTGGTAGATAAAAACTTCTTATGCAATCTCGTTTGAATGACCAACATATAAGTACGATATTACAATAAAATAATCAATACAACTTAGACCATACTTCATTATATAAAACCCAATTAATACGCCGATATATAGTGTAGGTATAGGTGTGTCAAAGTATTTATGGTATAATTGTATTTACTTAAAACTTGAGATTCTATTGGTTCACATAAAATACTACAGAAACTAATCTAGTTTTGTAGTGGCGATCATTTTCTTTGATCCACATAGTGGATATTCAAGTTATTTCTTCTATAAATACAGGATTTATTTTCATCAAGTGGTATGAAAATGAATATTTTATGTGAGGCGGTAGCCACTTAAGAAATATGATAATTTTCATACCACGAGATGAAAATAAATCCTGTATTGATAGGAAAAAACTTGAATTTTCTGTTTACTAGTATTATATATTACAAGTTGAAAGATTTCTCTTTAAATTTTGTATTGGCTGAATTTAGAAGAAAGTAGTCCGACAAAACACTAGTGAAAATACGGAAAATATGTTTCGTTGCAGTATTAAATATTTTTTACAGTGAAAATACGGACAATGAAAATACGCATTTTATTTCATCAATATTTCTCAATACTTCATTTAAAAGTATATAATAATTGTATATATATCACACGATCAGACTGATATATTCTAAGGTTATTATACATTGTTGGGTACAATACTGAATATTCTGTTGGACACAGCTGTTGAAACTATATTGAACGAGGCATCGACCGAGTCTGATATAAGTTTTGCAGCTGTGTACGAGTCCAATAAGATTGGTATTGTTCTCAACCAAGTTTAATGTCTTCTTTATTTTACACCAATATTTTTTGACATTTTTTAAGAACTTTGATACTTGAATATGTATTTCATACGGATTTTTTGCGTCTCAAAATAAAAATGAGACTGTATGGGGAGTGATATGGAACTTTCGATCATGGCTCTGGAAATTAAAAGAAGGCTAAATTGTTAAGATGGGATCCAATATTGATTTATATTGTAACATTACCTGGTGCAAATGATGAAAGTAAATTGGTTATATTTTACAAGATGTGAAATAAACAATTTAGCTGCTTAGTTAAAAAAGCATCTTCTCAAACAAACCTCAAAGGGAATCCCTAGAAAGGTAAACATTCAAATATCTTAAAAACAAACTTTCTAACTATTCAAACTGTTCTAGTTTCTACTGGTAAACAATTAGATCGATTGAAAAACTGTTTTATAACAATGCAACAGCTCTTACACCGCTGCGTTTTGTCCTCCCTTTAAGGAGTGGAGACAAAAGGAACGTGGTTCCACTTGATTAAATCTAGGTAAACGACAGAGTATACGGAGGTAATTAAGAAAACATTGTATTTCCATTTGAAGAAAATGTAAATAAAAAATGGTATTGCAAGAAAGCAAGGAATTTAAAATTGGTCATGAACTGTTAAGCCGATGTATGTGAATGATTTTTTATTTTGGCAACTTGCAAAATAAATCTTGTCATTAGGCAGCAAATCATGCGCCTTATTCAAAGTCCTATATGACTAGGCTGCTTTGAAGCCGAATGAATAGTTCCTGTCTTACGCAGAAGTAGATCATAGAAGCTAAGAGAGCATTTAAAAATGATATCATTAAAATCTAGTAATGACCAGAACTAAGATAATTCGGCATGTAGTCTTTAAAAAAGTTATATACAATCCCTTGTTGGCCAAATTGACCCACTCTTGCAGTCATTTAGTTTACATGAGCTCTAGTAAGAAAAATCATTTAAATTTTCTTGTTTGAAACTACGATGCATCAGGGTCTTTGAAATACCCTGAATGCACAGACCTTATATAGTATCTTACATGTATTATTGCCTCGTTGATCTCAACAAAAGTTATATAAATCATACCCATGGGGTAGTAAATTAGATAGACTAATGTAGAAAACAAACTAAAATGGCCAGCATAATTTAGATATTTGACATGAAGCATCACGTTGGGATCCTCTTTAAATTTAAAATGTGTATAAATAATGCCATTGCTGTAAAGCTTGGTCCTACCTTGGTGGTCACCGATTATTTTCATGTAGAAAAATGCATTTAAACCTTTTTATCTTCTTCACTGAAAGAACATTTTAAGGGCTAAAATTTCGGATGAACCTTCAACAAAAAATAAACGTGCCCCTGAGGTTAAAATGATCCCGCCCTTGGGGTCATGACGCTTGAATACAGAAAACATACTTTATCAGAAACTTTAGTGCAAAAACCAAAGACATTTGTAATATAGAATAATAACATTGTTTACTCCAACTAAAGTCATTTAGCAATGCTAACTTATGGTACTTCTAGGCTTAAACTATGGTTCCCCGTTTACTGTGACGGTGTTTTCAATTCATATATTGTCTGAATGTACCACACTTAAGTAATTGGAAAAAAGAAGTACAATTTAAGATTGTCAGTCATTGCATTTCTTAAGTTTTCACGGTTAGTTATTCACTTTCTCTCTCTTTTTTCTCTGTTTTTTATTTGCATACTGTTTTCTCTTGTACAGAGAAGGAGATAATGAGCCGCATGACAAAAACAACATAGTGGGTTTGCGACCAGCATGGATCCAGACCAGCCTGCGCTTCCGCGCAGTCTGGTCAGGATCCATGCTGTTCGCTTACAGACCCATCACAAGTAAACAAACATGGATCCTGATCACACTGCGCGGATGCGTAGGCTGGTCTTGATCAATGCTGGTCGCAAACCCATTATGTTGATTTTGTCGTGACGCGGCTCATATGTCCCTTGTTGATTTATATCAACTACTATATACCGCAGTTGCCCGTGCAACAGTGGATTATAACAAAGAATTCAACGCTTCTGAAATAATCAACAGTATAATGAAAATATGGGCACTGGTTCCCATTAAGATTAAGTAGTTAAACTCAATGAATTGCGATTGTTGAATTTTAGAGGATGTTTGTTACACATACATTGATTGTGTTTAAAAGTCAGCGATTTATCATTCAATCGATGATTCTATGGGGCAAGAAAGTTGAATATGCTTTTGTGGTATATTTAATGTAAATGATTGTAGATTTATTTGAAATATTAGAATTACAGCAACTGCTATACAATTTGATTCTTTTACAGAAGATACCAGACTTTTATATTATGTATTTTGGATAATGTTATTTTTTTGTAAACACGTAACTTTATTTATGTCGTGAATGCCTTAAACATGAACGATTTTTAAGATTTGACGATTTCTTTTCTTTGCAGATTTCGAATAAACAAATAGTGCCAAAATGTCTACTTGTAACTTAGATGACTACAAGTGTGCCGACGCGGGCTTGCTTATGCCCTTGGTCAATGAATACACATGGAGCACGGGAGCACGTGCGGCGATATATATCATCGGCCTCCTTTGGAGCTTTATGGGCGTGTCCATCATTGCTGATATGTTTATGGAAGCTATAGAAACGATTACCAGTAAAAAGCAAAAGATTAAAGTCGCAGATCCGAACAGCGACACTGGTTACACAGAAATTGAGATTCTTCTCTGGAACGGCACGGTGGCCAACCTTACGCTAATGGCACTGGGTTCAAGCGCACCAGAAATTCTTTTAGCTATTATTGAAATAGTAGGAAATCAGTTCATGTCGGGAGCTCTAGGCCCTAGTACTATTGTAGGATCTGCTGCATTCAACCTCATGTGCATTACTGGAATATGCATATTGTCAGTCCCATCCCCGGAAACGAAAAAATTAGAGCTTATTAAAGTGTTTGCAGTGACTTGTATATTTTCAATATTTGCATACATTTGGCTTATTATAATTCTCATCGTCGTGACGCCAGATTACGTTGACCTTTGGGAAGCTTTCTTGACCTTTCTTATGTTCCCTACAATGGTCATCTTGTCCTATATAGCTGACAAAGATTTCTGTTCCCGCGGACCAAGAAAACCATCGCCGGAGCACTTGGATCTAGGTAGGAAAATATTTGATTAGTACTTTGTAAGTATATAGATTGGAATACTATAGTACTAGATTTATCGTCGCCCTGTCTATGCTTTACAACAAAATGTTGTGGAGACAGGACAATTTACACATGAGTTTATTTTGGATAACTTATTCTATCATGTGATTGAACATAAATTCCTGATATGATAGGTTATTCAATATAAGTTCAAAATTATCTGTCAAAACAGAAAATTGTATGTTTCATATGTCAACTATATATTGCCTATTTTTCTTGATCTCTCTCTAAAAGTAATTTATTGGTACCTTAATCAAAATTCTAGCTCATTTGTAAACTTTTGTGCAACTTCTTACTGAAAGTTTTGCATGCATGATTTATTCCCAGAGCCATCAATATTTGTTTAAAACTTAACATTTCCTTGTCTCGTTCCATAAACTATTACGATCATAATTGCTTTCCAACAAACACAAACTAATGATGGTGGTGGTAGTAGTTTTCACTCCGGATCACGGCAGTAAGCCACACTGAACTCACCAGAGCACGGTTCAGTCACTGCATCGTTCCTAGGCTGGCTGTCAAGTAGTTTACTAGTACTAGTTGCCTTCACTTTCGCAAAGAACTGAAACTTATGTACATGCCAGAGCGATTGACCGTAGAAAGGATTTCATGGTCAATCGCAACGAAAGTGACCTGCACCCACGGTGCATATCCACATCGGTACCCTCTTTGCGAAATCTGCTGAAACGGCACCCTCTTTGCACATGCACAGGCCACTCTCTGCTCAAAACAAACCTGCAATGGATAACAATCCAGTAAAATTTCAATATAATAAGGAAAGAAGGTATGACACGTAGAAAAGATGTATACCACGGAACACTAGAATGTTTTATTTATGTGCTGATTTGTCATGTGCCTGTTTTTCATATACTACAACTTCACAATAAGCTACAAAAAATCGACATGTCTTGCTTCGCCTATCATCTCGACATACTTTTCGGGCTGAAATGAACCTGCGGCTTGATTATATATGCATCATACATATTTAGTATGTTCATTTACATATCATCTTCGGACAAATGGCAGTATATTGTCAAAAATAATTGTAAAATTCATAAAAACACCCTACTTTCGGTTTTGCAGCGGCACGGGCTACCTCTCTTCATTTGAATTTTTATATCACAGGCACCCTCTCATTTTTTTACACATAGGTACCCTCAAGGCACGACATATGCTTTTATTTGCGTTAATCGTAAGGTATGTAATATTTCTTACTTTTATGTAAATATTACATACTTAACGATTAACGCAAATAAAAGCATATATATGCCGTGCCTTGAGGGTACCTATGTGTTAAAAAACTGAGAGGGGACCTGTGATATAAAAATTCATATGAAGAGAGGTAGCCCGTGCCGCTGCAAAACCGAAAGTAGGGTGTTTTTATAAATTTTATTTTTGACAATATTCTGCCATTTGTTCTAAGATGATATGTAAATGAACATATTAAATATGTATAATGCATATATAATCAAGCCACAGGTTCATTTCAGCCCGAAAAGTATGTCGAGATGATAGGCGAAGCAAGACGTACATGCTGATTTTTTGTAGCTTATTGTGAAGTTGCAGTGCATGAAAAACGGGCGCATGACAAATCAGCACATAGATAAAACATTCTAGTGTTCCGTGGTATACATCTTTTCCACGTGTCATACCTCCTTTCCGTATATTACAATGAATTTTTACTGGCTTGTTAGCAGATTTCGCAAAGAGGGTACCGATATGGATATGCACCGTGTGCACCGTCCGGGATTCGAACTCAGATCGCCCGATTCACAGTTCAACACTCAACCTATCGAGCTAACAATCTTAAGATTATACCAATAATTATTTTACTGTTGCGAGCGGAATGGGACCTTTTCAATGAATTTTGTCATTGTTGTTAATTTGTCAAGTTTATGACTAGGGTAGTTTTCCGCTTTCGAAAGGTTACTTTCTTATTAAGAAACAATTGGGGGGAAAAACCTGACCGTTATATGTGATTTTTTGCCGTACATGTATATTTTGAGCATTTTGTATATATATATTTGCATTGTAATTCCTAAATACATTTTAATGTAAAATAATGTAAATCAAATCCCTTTAAGGTTATATGTACCTATAATAACGCCTTTTGAACAGCTGCACAAATGTTTTGTTTACTTCTCACTGGGTGGATTATTTATATAGCAACAGAATAGATAAAGATATCATAATTATTCATCTCACTTTTAAGTAGAATGTAAAAACATTGCATTATGACGCCCCTAACCGTTAAGTGTCCATAAAGTATGTTTAAATGCATGTGTATTGCACGGTACCAATTAAGAGCATTGGAAATACATTAGTCGATAACGTAACAGATCAATGCACGAGTAGTGTGTCGGCTATTATATTTCGAAAGCATTTGTAGCGATAATTTCCTATAGGTCGCGATTCCTAGCTAAAATTACTGAACTGAGGGCCCATGAAATAGTGTAATAGTGTAAAAGTGCACGTAAAAAAACAATTGTCCGTATATCCGCTGCTCTTTGGTTAAAAAAAAAAATAAATTGAAAAATCTCACCAAATTTCTTTTGGCATACTAAGTTTATTAGATAATGTTAAAAGAGGGCCTTTTGCGTTTACTTTAGTACATTATTATTATCATAGTCGTCGTCGTCGTCAGCGTCGTCGTCATCATCACCATCATCATCATCATCACAATCATCATCATCATCATCACCATCATCATCATATTATTATTATTATTATTATTATTATTGTTGTTGTTATTATTATCTTTTACCATTTAACAGAAGCAGTCATAGAGGGTAAAGAACTTCCTGAGACCGGACTGCACGCAAACAAGCGTCTTATCTTGGAATTCATAAAAGTAAGTGTGTTTTATTCCCACAAAAAAACTCTTTAATTTATGGAAAATAAAAAATCTTGAAAGCCTAAATAAGGGTTTCATTTTACATGCCATTTTATGTCCATTGTGTTAATTAACTGGCTTTTCGGTTCATCTTTATAAGTTCATTTTAGCTCGATTGTTTAAAACAAATGCAACTTAAAGTAAGTCTGCCTTCCTTAAATTTAACAGTACTTATGTCATATAAGGAAGCATGGCCGTGTCTTTAGTAGGGTTCGAGCTTGACCGCTGACCCAATAGGCATCCCTATTGGCAAATCCCAATATAAGTTGTTTTTTTTATCCACAGAAACTTCGACATGAGAAGGGATATTCCGACAAAGATGTTTCCACCTTAGTATCTTACGTCATGGAGAAGGAGGGGTCACACTCTCGTGGCTGGTACCGAAGGAACGCTATCAGGGAGATGACTGGTTCCGTCAAACTGGTTCCCAATCTTGACGACAAAACAAAGGAGGTAAATACAAACATTTCAGTGTCTATAACCTTTGTCGATACAGAAATTTATTTGCGTTTTTTAATTTCGACGTTTCTCACTATAGTTTTAAATTGTTTCAATGGTTCCCGAAGGTTAATATAAAGAAAGTAAATATTTTCCAGTTTCAAAATGCCATAATGCCATTATCTCATACTTCTTCCTTTTCTATAGTTACTCGACACCATGCTTTTATCAGAGGACACAACTGGGTCCCGTGCATCCTTTTATTCAAAGCCAGAAAGCAGGAGTAAGGCGATTATTGAATTTGCCGCCGCCACAGCCGCTGTTCTTGAGAAAGACCGTCGAGTTAAACTTAATATTATGAGGCACGGGAAAATCAACAACAGGGTCGTGTTTAAGTAAGTATACACATTTATAGGTCATATTTTTCAGTAATTTGAATCTTATTTCTACATACACCACACAAAAGTATGTCATATGTTTAATTATAAATTATGGTACACGTATTTAAATATTCACGTGGCACGTGAAGTGTAATACATGTAGTTACCATTATGTCATATTGTCATAAATTACTCTCAATGTGATTTGAAACATTAAAGGGTTGAGACGATTGATGGAACAGCGGAAGCAGGATCAGATTACAAAGAAGTTAAGAAAAGTATGGTGTTCGAGAGTGGACAAACGGAACAAGAGCTAGAAATAGAAATTGTCGATGACAACATTTGGGAACCAGACGAGATCTTCTTCGTAAGGTTATCTGTCGAAGCTGATGAACTTGCTGAGATTGGAAATCGTGGAATTGCTCAAGTCGTTATTCTTAATGATGATGGTATGTTGAACTATTTAAGATTTCAATTGAAACACATTTCTAAGATTTCTCTGCATTTAACGAGTTAAATTAGATTATATTTTACGAGCGGACCTCGGACGAGCGTTCCTATTATCTTTTCGATGAGTTCAATACATGTCAATTTAGCATTTTACAGTAAAGAACAACACATTTTTAATTGACTCGCTGAAGCTGTAGCACTATGTCTTGAAGATACATACTCGTGCATATAGACTAACATCAATATACCGCGGCCAAATTATCTCTCAAATACATGAATAGCTAAAAGGCCCAAAATCATTCCTGAAAATGTGTATCGGGTCAATATGCGGATAATTCATTGAAACAAATATTATTCGTACTTCATACGCCTTGTATATATTTCATTTCAAACATTTAAACGCGTTTTCTGCATCTACCATCAGATCTGTTAAATTCTAGCGAAATGTAAAAACAGAAATAAATTGTATCCCAGTATTCTAATGGTTCACATCCACTGTATATACTCTTGTTTTCTTTCTTTTTTTAAAGAACCTGGAACTGTGGAATTTGAAAAACCAAGTTTCCTATTCAAAGAAAGTATTGGGACTGCTAGAATACCAGTAAAGCGTGTAAACGGTGCCGACGGCGAACTCAAATTGAATTGGAAAACTAAAGACATATCTGCTGTCGGAGGCCGAGATTACGAAGAGACATCTGGTGAGCTTATTTTCAGTCACGGAGAGGTGGAAAAACATATAGAAATCACCATCAACGACGACATGGTAAGTTGTGATCGTGAATAAAGTTTGTAACTGTCGATAGCACATGCTTTTCTTTCACCACCATGAGCAATGTCTTAAATGAATATCTTTCTGACCCTTCGTAAAAGTTATATTTTATCATGCAAGAGCAATCGTACAGGCTGCTAGGTAAGGCACAAATGCTCATCCATATGGTTCATTCAGGTTGCGAGGGTAAATAAACCAATCACCAATCACGCATGCCCATGCACGCGCGAACGCATGCAAGCAGACGAAATATACCAGAATTTCACGAGCTTATGATGCATATTGAATGTTTTGGCAATGTTATTCCACAAACAAAACAGAAAATGTTCGATCTATAAGGAAGGTGTTTCATTGACTTTTCAAAGGGAATTGATATGCATTATTCACATCAATAGCAAATCGATATCAGAAATTTATTAACATCACAAGTTCTTCGAGTTAATGACAACTATTGTAAATAGTTATTGATAGACACAGAGTAATCTGTTGCTTATTGAATAATTAATTCTATTTTGCAATAAAACAAATCAGCATCAGCTCGTGGTATCTCTATGGGTATTTCTTTCTTCTTCAAAAATAGCACGTGTTTCATAAGACTTGTGGTAATACTAGAGGGAAAACTTGATAACTGACCGTTCTTTGTCACTTCCAAATAAAACCTGATATGATTTCGTTTTCACTAACGATCTTACTGCAAAAATATAATTGTTTTTGGTTCGCGCCAGACGTTTTTTATCTCTTTTTTTTTCAAAAATTTGCATTAAAAGTTCTTGGAGTTGACGACTTGAATGTTTCATCTCAAAGATGATGCATGTACAGTGTACTAGTGTTTTGAATAGAGTCCACCTAAATGTTATTATCTTATTGAAACCTCATAGACATATACAACAAGCCATTATTATCCATAACATGCTTATCATTCAACATTTATAAACATAAATTTAATTTTGAAATGGATTCATGAGGATCATATTTTTTCTATGATTTTAGGAATTTGAGAAGGACGAAAACTTCGAATTATTTATCGACAGTGTTAGTCCGGGCGCCAAAATTGGACATCTATCTAGAACTGTTGTCACCATTGTAAATGATGATGGTACGATATACATGTTTTATTTCCCAGACATGATATTAAATAAGATTTTTCCTTTATTTTGATTAATACAGTCTATAATACAATCTAGTTTCATTTGATTTATACTACATTAATAAAAAATGGCATATGCATGAATTTAAAGTAGTTTCGTAGTATTTTTATATTGATATTTTATTTTAGTTTTGAAAAAAAAAAACAGAATGTTTGCAGTTGCCATATTTTCTGTCTTGTTTCTTATATTCGATATATATATTTTTCATGTACATATAATATTTTAATATTGTGGTGCATGCTCATTGTATCACACATATTCTTCTTATAAAATGAGCCGCGTCACGACAAAACCAACATAATGGGTTTGCGACCAGCATGGATCCAGACCAGCCTGCGCATCTGCGCAGTCTGATCAGGATCCATGCTGTTCGCTTACCAACCCTATTACAAGTATATATATAGAGAAACTGATAGGAACAGCATGGATCCTGATCAGACTGCGCGGATGCGCAGGCTGGTCTGGATCCATGCTGGTCGCAAACCCATTATGTTTGTTTTGTCATGTCGCGGCTCAAATATGTACTAATTTCAATAAAGTTCTAAAATATTCCTACTCTATTAACATTCAGAGTTTGACGGGTTTGTGAGTCGTATTGCCAACCTCACTAACTCGAACCTGGACGCTCTGAGGCTGCAGCGTGCAACATGGGGGAAAAAGTTTGAACAGGCCATGAATGTTAATGGTGGGGACCTGGAACACGCCACCGTTTTTGATTACGTCATGCACTTCTTCACTTTTGGTTGGAAGGTGAATAAAGCTTGTCTACTTTTTTTTTCGTTTTGCAAAAATGTAAAACCACAAACCTTTTTACGACAACCTACGTAACAAATCACATTTGTAATACTTGTTACGAATGGATGCATTAAGCACGTGGCTATTTTGTTCCGTTCTGTCTGTTAAGATAATGTAGCATAAACATATGTCAACATACTATAATATAGTCTGCTAGTATGAATGGCTATACAGTTTATTGTGTTCATAGATATATAAAAAACCATCAAAACACGAGGTTATCTGATTTGTACGAGGAGCCGTAGCCTCCGAGTATAAATTAGATTGAACCAACGTGCATGCTCTACTTTTCCGCCTACATTCATTGCTGTTACTGGATTGCGGGTAACTAATACATGCACTCCAATTAACGCACTATACGATTTAACTCGAACTCAATTGCAATGAAAAGATCTCCAAACTATGATACAAGTTAATACATGTATAGTGTGCTAGTTTTGAAAAACTAAACTTTAAAAAAAGATGCAGAAATATACATATTTGACGGTAATCTTTATTAAGCAGTGCTTTTATATAATACACTTCGGTAAAATGTCATCAGAATAATTCAGAAAATGTTCACGACATGAAAATCGCTCATATACCGATGATTTCATAAATATTTTATACTTTATTCAGCTTATATTCGCCTTTGTACCACCGCCTACGATCTGGGGAGGATGGTTGTGTTTTTTCGTCTGCTTGGTTTTTATTGGCGGGCTAACGGCGATTATCGGAGATCTTGCTTCAATATTTGGCTGCCTGATTGGCCTGAAGGATGCTGTAACAGCTATAACATTGGTTGCTTTAGGTAAGTCGTCATTCTCTTTCGTTGTGATTGATCGTGAAATTCTTTCTACGGTCATTCGCACTGTACCTCTGTTCTGGTATGTACATAAGTTTCAGTTCCTTGCGAACGTGAACAGTCTGCCCAGGAACGTACGTTGCGGTGGCTGAACTGTGCTCTGCTAAATTCGATGTGGCTTACTGTCGTGATCCGGAGTGAAAACTACGAACACCACCACCAAGTCCGCATTCTATAGCACATTCGTAAAAATGGACCTTATCTTGTATCCCATTTTTAATATACAGTTATACATGTATACATTATTCACTAAAAGTGTATCATTTTTAAAAGTTTCATAAAAGATAGTTACATAAAGTTCATGGAATTTCATATATGTTTTCTTTTCCAATTTCTGAACATTAAGTTACCAAACCATTAAATGAAATTCTTTCGCTAGAATAATATATTTGAACCTTACTATAGAGATGATTACTTATTTATTTTATTTTCAACAGGAACTAGTTTACCCGATACTTTTGCTAGTCGAACGGCCGCCCTGAACGAGAAAGGAGCAGATATGGCCATTGGAAACGTGACTGGGAGTAATGGTGTGAACGTGTTTCTTGGGTTAGGATTCCCTTGGGTCATGGCAGCTATTTACTGGACATCACAGGTGTGTAAAATTATTATACAAAGTTGCGCTTATAGCAGAATAAGACATTGTCTAGAACCACACTTGATCTAATGACTGCATGAGGTCTCCCGGGCATTACTGTTGTAGGTAGGTTCCAATCCATAGAGTAGCAAAATAGATATTGAACCCTTCCACGAGTGATTGCAAACTGGAACATTGACTTATATAGGTTTTACTTTCTAAAGATAAATGCGTTTTGAACACTTGTATCATAGTTTGGGGACCTTTCTGTTGAAAATCTGTCAGAGTTAAATCGTATACATATACATTGTACATGCACAGTGCGTTAACTGGAGTGCAGGTATTAGTTACCCGCACTCCAGAGCATGCCCATTGATTGGCTCATCTTTGCTTTTGTTTACTTATTGTGGCGGCAGAGAAAGGGAAAGCGACAGAAATTTTATATTCAGATACTCGTTTATTGGTTCCTTTTTTCTGGGGTTTCATATTGAGGTTTCAGGGAACATGTTTTTTATGTTTGACTATGATACAAAAGAGAAAGAACATCATAGGCCACACGCCTACACCTGTAGCAACGAATAAAGTATCAATAAACGTTCTTATATTTATTCTATGGCAATAATATTTCAGTCAATGTTGTGAATATATTTAACAAACTTTTCAGAGCAAACACAAAATCATAAATGTTTGATGTCTGCGTAAAAATAATATGCATATTTTTCCAGGGAAAGTCTTTCGAAGTACCAGCCGGTGACCTTGGTTTTAGCGTGACTATTTTCACAATATGCGCAGTTTTCACGGTGGTTGTACTCATGGGTCGACGCTATATCCCGTTCTTTGGCGGGGAGCTGGGAGGACCTAAGGTTCCGAAAATGGTGACCGGAATTCTCCTGATATTTGTATGGATCTTTTACGTGGTTATGTCGTCTCTACAATCGTACGAGCACATACCAGGGTTCTAAATCAAAACAGACATTAAGACGATAAAAGAACATTCACTTCCAAACCGCGCACTTGAACGTTTACCTTATTAATACAGTGAAATTTAACAAATTGTTTGATTTTAGATGTATAAGAAGTAATGAAACTCATATTACTGAGCTTTATTTAGGATCATAATTATATATATATTTGTTATTAAAAAGGTAACTTTAATTAATCAACCAGCCGATAAAATCGGTTCCGAGTGGGATATTGAAACGGCCTCAACTCGGATGATCATTCCGTCCACTTAACCCTCATTGGGATGTGATATGTAAATAAATGTTACGATATTGTAATGTTATTTTACCTCAAAATGAAGTTCTTTAATTCAGCTATTTTGTTTGACACTGCTGAATGTGTGGTCTTTGTATCATAACAGAGATATCAAATTCATTTCCATCTTCAACCAAGTGATTTGTATGATACCGATCTCAATTTAATGTTAAGTTTACTTAAAAAAAATGAGAATACAACGAATCACAATATCATTTAATAATACAGTAAAACATGTGAATAAAGGCCATCTATGGGAAATCATACGCTGCCTTGAAAGACAGGTGGTCTTTTTTAGGATAAATACTCTAGTTGTACTTTGATCAATGAAGGTTTGTCAGTGATCTTAAATTACAGGGTAGCCTTTATTTGGAGGTGGTCTTTAACAGAAGTTTGACTTAAAACGTTCGATTTTATATCTAATTTCTACATTTGTGTTCGAGTGTTGGCTCAATAAATTAAATGGCAACAAAATTAAAAGATAAACTATTTACATAATTTTCAAGAAAAATATAACTATATTATCTAAGAAATGTTTATATTATCAAAGAAATATGTATAAAAATATATGTTATTTATTCAAAGCAAGTATCTTATTGGTGGGGAAATGGGGAAAGTATTGTAACGATAGATATAACTATCACAAGTCATATTGTAAAGAAAATGATTCGTCCTTCGAACTTTCAAAAGAACCCCAGTGCCTCAGAATTTTGGCCGAGTGCCTGTGGTAGCTTGGAACAGGCTCTGTATAATGTTCGTGTGCGGAAAAGAGAAAAAGATCTTAAATACATGTATCAAAGAGACCTATGTCTTTGAAACGTTCAGGCAGCCAATTTATACATAATAAACAACTTCTTAAATGCATAGGAGAGCCACATTTTAACATGGTAGTTTTTTTTATCAACTGTTTATTCTATATGTTTTGTGCTATGTTAGCCGTTTAATGACTGTTTTTACTGAAGTTTTAAAGGGCTAAAGGGTTTAAAAAGGGTTAGTATTTAAAGTTTTTACATCTAAAATTAACTTTGAATAAGTGAATAACAGGTAGCTACTTATTGAAGCTTTAATTTCTTAGAAGCAATAATTATTTCCGCTTTGAGGGCAGGCTTTGAATGTCTTTTTTTATGAATACTTCTGTTGCAATTATACCTAGCATTATGTACAAAATTGCTTTAACATTTGCCAGCATTAAGTCAGTAGAACAAACACATGTATTTCATATCTTCAATATAAACATTGATACATTTATTCTAAATTTAGTCACTATTTCACTATTTACTTCACCTATTTTGTTTATATTTACTATCATAGGTATTAACTTTCCTTTTTTTTGTTGCTGTTGCTTTTTTCTTTAATGAATTTAGCTGTTTAAATAAATTATTAGATAGGAATTGTTGGAAGTGGTGTATCAAATGGAATAGAGGGGTTTTTGATGGTGAGGGGAAAGAGGGGGTTGGGGCTTGTAGGTGAATAGAAAATAGAAGACAATGTGTGGGTGAGTGGTGATGGAAAATAGTGGGCTTGTGGGAGGGTGGGATGGGAATAGTGTGGGGTCTATGGGGAAAGAATATAATGGGTAGGGTTTGTGGGGGAACGGGGAGGGAATAGATAAAGATTACAACTCATTAGGACAGTCGATCAGATACAAAGAAAACATCTTCATTTAAAAAAAATATTTAAAATACACTTTTTTTTTACATTTCGGTAAATTTACATATCCTTTACAAAATTGATAATTTCCAAAATTTATAAATTTTTCACATGGTAGTATTATTCATATGTTTTGTTTTTTTTGTGCTGTGCAAGTTGTTAAATGAGTATTTGTGTCTTATCTATGAAAAGTTGTTAAAAGGGTTAGTATTTCATTGTTTTTAAAGGCATTACATATCAAGTTATTTATATTGAATTTCATTTTAACACATTGTGCTTGCTCCTATTATATGTCATTATATTATATATTTTACACCCCCTCAAACTTGCTTCTTTAGAAGTGTTTCTTGTTATCAGTTTTGAATTAAATATTTTTCGAGATATTTTATAGATACATTTTTTCCTTGTCAGTATTTTGATAGAATAAATTAGTTAAAATAAATCTCTATATCAAATTGTTATTATATTTGTAAACAATGGAGGTAGTATCACTTCTTATGAAGCTCATTATAAGCGACTATCTTGTGAAAATTTGTGGCCTTCACCTAAAGGTTTTCCTTCTCAATATCCATCAATATTTTAAGTTTCATAAAAATATTTTCAGTACTTTATGTATTCATTAGATCCAGTTTATGTGTTAAATGTGCCATATTTTCAGTCTATTTGTTGCCATAGCAACCATTATATTCAACATAGGAAGAAAAGAAAAAGACAGGCTTAATCTCCAGACTGCTATCTACCTTTATTTCAAGTTTCATAAAACTAAATTTCCAGTACTTTTTGCGTTATCACTGGATCCAGTTTATGTGTTAAATTTGCCATATTTTTAGCAACCAAAATTTTCAACATAAAAGAAAAAGATGTGCAAAATCTCTATAGTGTCTAACTCCATCTATCCATATATCAAGTTTCATTAAACTATTTCAGTACTTTTTTAGTTATCGCGAGATCCAGATTTTGTGGACGGACTGACGGAGGGTAAAACTAAAATCCCCTTCGGTTAGGGGACTAATAAAACTGTTATATTATGCTCTAGAAAGACAAACCTATAAAGTAAGAAAATTCTACAATAACTAAAACATCATGAAGTGCAGAGTATAAGAACTTGTACACTGCACTTCTTAATGAGATCTATCATCCTACAAAGTTTCAAGCCCATAGCTTTTATAGTTTAGGAGAAATGGCGCGGACAAAAAATAAAGGCAATAACTCAAAAAATAAGAAGTGCAGAGTAACGATTCTGGTGCATTGCACTTCAGGTCATTGAAGGAAGCATGCATACCAAATCTGGAGTAAATCTGACATATAGTGACACTAAGTTATGCTCTGGACAAGCCTATGGGGACACCGCCGCCAACAACGACAAAAGTAACCCTTATATGTCCCCTTTTTCAAGGCACACGAAAAGCACATTTCGACTCATAAGTCTTTCTCAGGTAGACCTTTTAACAGGCAATGACAACATTGTCATATGATGTCAAATGTGATACATAATTTGAAGTGCTAATGTAATACATGTATGTCTTCAATGGAAAAAACAACAATATGAAACTTCAGTAACAATTATAAGAACACAACTAACATTATAAAGCAAAATTCTAAGTAACAAAAGAGGATTTTTTTAAAAACAGATTGTAACATGAATGACATGATGTAATGGATGAGGATTATCTGAAGTTTTAGTGATGAAGAAGATGAGTTAGTATTAAAACAAGAGGGCCATGATGGCCCTGGGTCGCTCACCTGAACATAGGTCCCCAGGGCCGGGCCAGTTAAAACCAAAGGGCTTTTATTTGAACAAACTTGGAAGACACCCATTAGAAGATATTTCATGATGTTGAGTTTTTACTATACACAAATAATGAATAACAATGACTTTTGCCCCCCCCCCTCCCCCTGGCAGGGCCAATTTTAACCCAAGGGCTTTTATTTGAACAAACTTGGTAGACACCCATAAGAACATGTTTCATACTAAATATCTTAGCTCTAGCTCTGGGTTCTTTAAAAGAATTTTTACGATATGCATATAGGGAAAATCAATGACCCCCTGGGGCGGGGCCAATTTTGACCACAGGGCTTTTATTTGAACAATCTTGGTAGACACTGATAAGATGTTTCATGCTTAATATCTTAGCTCTAGCTCTTTGGGTTCTTTAAGAGAAGATTTTTTTAAGTTTTTACTATATGCATATAGGTAAAATCAATGACCCCCTGGGGCAGGGCCAATTTTGACCCCAGGGCTTTTATTTGATCAAACTTGGTAAACATCCATTAGAACATGTTTCATGCCAAATATCTAAGCTTAAGCTCTTTGGGTTTTTTAGAAGATTTTTTAAAGTTTTTACTATATGCATATAAGGAAAATCAATGACCCCCTGGGGCGGGGCCAATTTTTACCCCAGGGCTTTTATTTGAACAATCTTGGTAGACACTTATTAGAAGATGTTTCATGCTTAATATCTTAGGTCTAGCTCTTTGGGTTCTTTAAAAGAAGATTTTTTAAAGTTTTTACTATATGCATATAGGAAAAATCAATAACACACTGGGGCGGAGCCAATTTTGACCCCAGGGCTTTTATTTGAACAATCTTGGTAGACACTTATTAGAAGATGTTTCATGCTTAATATCTTAGGTCTAGCTCTTTGGGTTCTTTAAAAGAAGATTTTTTTAAGTTTTTACTATATGCATATATGGAAAATCAATGACCCCCTGGGGCGGGGCCAATTTGACCCCAGGGCTTTTATTTGAACAAACTTGGTAGACATCCATTAGAACATGTTTCATGCCAAATATCTAAGCTCTAGCTCTTTGGGTTTTTTAGAAAAAGATTTTTTTAAGTTTTTACTATATGCATACTAGAACTCCGCGAGTCAGATGTGTCGCCTTGTGAACAATGTAGTTTAGGGGAAATGGCCAGGACAAAAATGAAATATGAAAAATAACAAAGGGCAATAACTAAAAAAATAATACGTGCAGAGCAGCATTTCTGTACACTGCACTTCTTATCAATAAGATCTATCATTCTATGATGTTTCAAGTCCATAGCTTTCATACTTGAGGAGAAATGACCAGGACAAAAATAAAGTAAGAAAATCAACAAAGGGCAATTACTCAAAAAATAAGAAATGCAGAGTATCAGTTCTTATGCACTGCACTTTCTTTTTAATGAGATCTATCATCCTATGAAGTTTCAAGTCCATAGCTTTTATACTTAAGGAGAAATGGCCCGGACAAAATTAAAAAATGAAAATAAACAAAGGCAATAACTCAAAAATAAGAAATGCAGAGTACCAGTTCTTGTGCACTGCACTTCTTCTTAATGAGACCTATCATCCTATGAAGTTTCAAGTCCATAACTTTTATACTTTCGGAGAAATGGCCAGGACAAAAATTAAGTATGAAAATTAACAAAGGGCCATAACTCAAAAATTAAGAAATGCAAAGTACCGATTCTTGTGCACTGCACTTCTTAATAATAATATCTATCATCCTATGAAGTTTCAAGTCCAAAGCTTTTATACTTAAGGAGAAATGGCCCGGACAAAATTAAAAAATGAAAATAAACAAAGGGCAATAACTCAAAAAATAAGAAATGCAGAGTACCAGTTCTTGTGCACTGCACTTCTTCTTAATGAGACCTATCATCCTATGAAGTTTCAAGTCCATGGCTTTTATACATTAGGAGAAATGGCCCGGACAAAAATAAAGTATGAAAATTAACAAAGGGCAATAACTCAAAAATTAGGAAGTGCAGAGTACAGGTTCTTGTGCACTGCATTTCTTCTTAATGAGATCTATCATCCTATGAAGTTTCAAGTCTATAGCTTTTTTAGTTGAAGAGAAATGGCCCGGACAAAATTAAAGTATGAAAATTAACAAAGGGCAATAACTCAAAAAATAAGAACTGCAGAGTACCGGTCCTTGTGCACTGCACTTTGGGTTATTGAAAGAAGCATGCATACCAAGTTTGAAGTCAATCAGACTTATAGTGACTGAGTTATGCTCCGGACAAGCTTTAGCGGACGCCGACACAGACGCCGCCGACAAAAGTAACCCCTATATGTCACCTTTTCAAGGCGACACAATAAGGAAAATCAATGACCCCCTGGGGCGGGGCCAATTTTGACCCCAGGGCTTTTATTTGAACAATCTTGGTAGACACTCATTAGAAGATGTTTCATGCTTAATATCTTAGGTCAAGCTCTTTGGGTTCTTTAAAAGAAGATTTTTTTAAAGTTTTTACTATATGCATATAGGGAAAATCAATGACCCCCTGGGGCGGGGCCAATTTTGACCCCAGGGCTTTTATTTGAACAATCTTGGTAGACACTCACTAGAAGATGTTTCATGCCAAATACCTAAGCTCTAGCTCTTTGGATTTTCTAGAAGATGTTTAAAGTTTTTTCTTTTGGTTGCCATGGCAACCAGAGTTCTGCATGGAATGACATTCTTTGAACAACTTTGTTAAGGCTTCACACAAGGAACATCCCTGTGAAGTTTCATTATGATCTGCCTTATGGTTTCAGAGGAGATGACGTTTGAAAAGTGTGAACGGACAACGTACGACGGACGACGGACGAAGAGTGATCCTAATAGCTCACCCTGAGCATATGCTCAGGTGAGCTAAAAATCTCACAGTTTTCAAATTGATTCTAAGTTCAAATTGGACACAGTTCTGGACCAGATGCTTAACAGTAATAAATAACGTATAAAATAATATGTAGATGTTGATAAATAACATGTATGTTCCAAAAGAAATTGGACCAGGAATCTATCTGGAGTAAGAAGTTACATGTTACCCTTTAATAAAGAAACAATGAAGTTATAGTAAAAATTATTTTACTGCAAAAAAACTTAAACCAGTAATCTGGATGCTGACATCGACCGGCTGAGTATGAGAGTTCTCTGTATACTTTTTAAAGTCAAGATTTATAAATATCTTAAAGCATACATTTGTACTATTTTATTATTCACTTTATCATCATAACAAGAAGATAATCAGTTAACGGCAAAATACAACAATCTTATCAAGAGCTGAAGTCACATAAAAAATTTACATTCTTAATCTATCTGCCTTATCAAAATATGTAGATCTATATTTAACAAAGTGAAATTTATTAATAATGTTTCTTCCTTCTCATGAGTTTTTTCTTCACACCGGATGACTCTTCAGTATCATCTTCCTGTTGTTGTTGTTGTTGTCGATGTTTTCTCTTTTTCCCTACACCTTCTGTCATCTCCATTTTGGCGTGCCGCTGTGCTTCTGACACTCTCTCCGTTAGCAGCATTACCTCTTGTTCCTCAGTCTGATACAGAGGCAATTGCTTGCCGATCAAATGTTCAATTCTCTGATATAATTCAACATCATATTGTGTGACAAAAGTTATAGCCTTCCCAGCACGTCCAGCTCTTGCCGTTCTCCCCACTCTGTGAATGTAATCCTTCGAATGAGTTGGTATATCTAGATTTATCACAACATCCACATGTGGAATATCAAGTCCTCTACTTGCAACATCAGTCGCTATCAATATTGATCTAGACTTACTTTTGAATTTTGTCAAAGCCCCAAGTCTTTTAGCTTGAGTCATCTGTCCATGTAGAGGAATTGCCATAAGTCCTAGATTTCTCAACATCAGAGCCACTCTCTGAGTATTTGCACATGTCGCGCAAAACACCATGAATGAATTACCAGCTAATTCGTTGAGAACATAAACAAGGTAAACGTCTTTGAATTTGACAGGTATAAAGAGATATGACTGCTGAAGTTTTTCTACAGTCTGATACTTTGACGAAACTTCAACTTTCACTGGCTCTTTTAATGAAGCACGTTGCAGCTTAGCTACCTTCTTGGTCATTGTAGCAGAAAATAGGTAGGTCCTTCTTTCTCTTGGTATAACCTGAAAAAGAAATTACGAAATTGCATAAGTATTAAGTCAACTAGTTTAACCTCGACATTTGAGTTATGATTAGAATGGTTCTTGGAGCAATTCATATTTCATACAAGAGCGATCAGTAATCACATGTGTCGCCTCATAATGGCCAATTTCATGTTGGGACAAATTTTGTGACAGACGGACAGACAGACGGACAGTGCACAACTAGACTTGGTACTGATCAATAATGTAAAGTTTGTATAAAATTGCACCAGTAGCTTATGAGGAGTAGTTCGGACAAGCTTTTGCGTATCTGGCAACACACAGAAAAAAACACCTTTTTATCAAAGGGCCATAACTCAGCCAAAAATCATTCAACCGGAAAACCCGTGCAATATGCGCAAGGACTTAAGCTACAGATCAATCCTGTAAAGTTTCAATGAAATTACATAAGTGGTATAAGAGAACTAGTCCGGACAAACTTTAAAAATAAAAATTATTAAAGGTCCATAACTCTGACATAAATCATTGAACCGGAAAATGCTGACAATATGCACAACTAGACTTGGTACTGATCATTCCTGTAAAGTTTGGATGAAATTGCACCAGTAGTTTTAATGAGGAGTAGTCCGGACAAGCTATTGTGTATCTGGCAACACACAGAAAAAAATACCTTTTTATCAAAGGGCCATAACTCGGCCAAAAATCATTCAACCGGAAAACCCTTGCAATATGCGCAAGGACTTGAGCTACAGATCAATCCTGTAAAGTTTCATTGAAATTGCATTAGTGTATAAGAGAAGTAGTCCGGACAAACTTTAAAATTAAAATTATTAAAGGGCCATAACTCTGACAAAAATCATTGAACCGGAAAATGCTGACAATATGCACAACTAGACTTGATACTGATCATTCCTGTAAAGTTTGGATGAAATTGCATCAGTAGTTTATGAGGGGTAGTCCGGACAAGTTTTGTGACGGACGGACGGACAGACGGACAGACAGACAGACGGACAGACGGACAGACAGACGACGGAGAAGTGATCCCTATATGTCGCCACTACTCCGTAGAGGCGACACAAAAATTGACACTTTTGCCACAGTTATTTGAAACTTGAACAATCCAGGGTTGTCTTTAAGATTTTCTGAGAAGGTTTTATTTTACATTTGAGGCCATTATTTTTTGTTTTATCACATAAAACAAAGAGTGCTTCTAAGATTTCAGGTGGACCAAAATATATTTGAGACAACCTGACAACCATGCACGCCAAAGCAAAATTACTGTAACAGTCTTGATAAACAAAAAGAGCTATATTTTTTTCTATCTTTCATTCCTAGGTATTACCTATACAAATCTATTTCTAGTTCATGACACATCATGTCATTGAGACTTACATTTCTTTTCGAGAATTTTCTTGCTCCATTGCAGAAGTTCATGTACAGCTTAGAAAAAAACATATGTCATTTATATAAACAACTTTTACTTTAGAGCTACAATTACAGTCTTTTAGTTCTTGAACAAGTACATTTCATTTTTTGTTGGGTTATAAGTCACATCAGCACTGCCAATATCATGTTGCAACTTTCAAGCTTTGTTAAACCAATGGAAGAAGGCCTGAGCTGCCACCTTGTCCTTCTGTTAACTTGCCAGATAGTGTCAACATATGAAAAATGGAAAGTACTGTGACAGGATTCATACCACAGTAGCAAGGAGCAAGCAATGATGTCGAATGAGTCAACATCTCATCATGACTATGCCTCCCAGAAATTTTAGAATCCCTCTACCTTCATCATGTATAGATGGCAAATGTAACAGTAAAAAAAAAGAAGAAGATTTTTAGGACATGGCACACAAATTCACCAAACCATCAGCATGAAACTAACTCCAAGCTGACTCAGAAAAAAATTTCAAATATTCAAGCATGTTAATGTAATAGACACAAACCTTCAATATTTTGTCCACTTCCTGTTCGAAGTCCATGTTTAAGATTCTGTCTGCCTCGTCCATCACAAGGAACTTTAGGGATCGTAGGTTAAAACCTTTAGTATTTTCGAGATGATCAACAAGTCTACCTGGAGTGGCTACAATAATATGAGGTTTCTTTGCCAACATGAGAGCCTGGTTCATCATATCTATCCCTCCAACAATAACACAGCATTTTATACCTGCAAACAGAAGATCAATAATAAATTGATGTATTTGATAATTAAGCAAAAGTTACTTATTAGATTATCTGCCCTTTAGAAATGCATTCCAAATTTGAAAGTGAAGAAGTATAATTTATATTCTATATTTAAGAATAAAGAATGATATCTATGGTAGCCTTTGAGATATGAACCTTTAAAAATGGTTAACCACAAGAGTACCATTACAATAATAATTAAATTAATTGCAAATATTAAATAAATGAAAATAATTACTAATCAAGCAATTATTTTAAATATATTAAAAATTACATCTATAGTGTTTTTAAATTGATTATGAATGTCAAGACATATTCAATCATAGTCAGGCCTCAAAGTTTTTTGAGGGTCACTCGCCCTAAAAAAATTTACTCGCCCTTCACAAAATGCACTTGCCCTACATTTTGACAGATAGTTTAATAGTTAAAATCAAAAACACATGACTTAAGTTATATATTTACAGGTATATATCGGTCTAATTGGCTTACAATATATATTTAAATTACATTTTATTTATTTATATTATCTTTAACATAGTCTATAATCTTTTATCCTGCTACTGCTTATAATGTCAGCCAAATAGTCTTGCCGGATAAACTTATCTATCTCCAGTCATTACGTCATATGATGACGTCACAAGGTTAGCAGCAAACAAAACTACATATAGACGCTGTTTTATGTGGAAAAGTAAACAAGAGCCACCGCCGGGCGGGGCAATGCTCGACTTTTTACTTTCTCTAAAAGCAAACAAAGAAATGTTTGAACAAAATCTTTAAATATACTAATTTATATATAAATAGAAACACGCAATTATATAAATAGAAAATTCTATAAATAGAAACACGCAATTCTATAAATAGAAACACGCAATTCTATAAATAGAAAATTCTATAACTAGATACACGTGGTGTCACATGGTAATGACACGTGGTGGTGGTGTCATGTGGTAGTGTCATGTGGTGGAGACACATGTTGGTGACACGTGGTAGTGTCACGTGGCAGTCACCTGGCGGAGACACATGGTAGTGTCACATGGTGGTGTCATGATGTGGTAGTGTTGTCACATGGTGGAGACATGTGGTGTCATGTGGTAGTGTCACATGGTGGAGACATGTGGTGGAGGCACGTGATGTCACGTGGTGGTGACATATGGTGTCACTTGGTGGTTTCATGTGTTGTCATGTGGTGGTGTCACATGTTGGTGACAGGTATTTTAAATGTTTGTTCTTTATTTTACATACATGTTATGCATTTATTATACATGTTATGCATTTATTAATATGCAATGTATTTTGCTATGTCCCAAGGATGGATTCCAAAATTTTAATAAATTGAAAAGTGGGCCGAGTTGACCTGTGCAGAGTTAAAATAGGGACAAGCTGACTCGGGGGCGGAGTACGTTTTGGGGCCGAGCTGACCCTGATTCAGAAATATAAAAAATATTGTCAAATGCTGCTGTCGTTAAGGAAGAAGGCTCCAGGTGTTAATCAATTCAGTTAAAATTTATACTTAGCTATAATTTGGATCGGGAGAAACTTACCATTCCGTGCTGGGCCAGTTTGATCAACTTTTTTCTCGATCGACACTAACTTACACTCACAAATTTTACATGTGAGCGTGAGAGTTGATTTGTCATGGCCTTATAATTTTACATTATACAAGATTATACCCTCCTTTTTTGTTTACTTCTAAAACCCATTGATAGAACTAACTTCAAACCGTATCCTTTTCCTGGAGGATCTTTGTCTTGGCTTTAATGAAAGCAAATGTATTGTTCTGAAATTCAGACTGACTGAATACTGTAATATTCTTACCAATTGTTGACCCAAGAGCCTCAAATTGCTCTGATATCTGAAAAGCCAGTTCTCTTGTTGGTGTCAAAACTAAGGCATACAATCTCTGAGGATTATCTAACAGCGTCTGAAGAATGGGTAAAGCAAATGCGCCCGTCTTTCCCGAACCAGTTTCAGCTAATCCAATGATATCTTTACCAGTCAACGCAACTGGGATGGATTCACGCTGGATCTTCGAAGGTGTTTTCCATTTAAGACTTTCACATGCTTCACATAAGACATCCACGACCCCTAAGTCTTTAAACGTAACCGATTCTTCGAGTTGAGGCTCGGTGTTTTCTTCTTTAACAATTTCTTCATCTTTAATTTCATCACAATCAGCCATTTTTAAAACATGCGTGGTTTGGTTTCCTCCTTGTCTGGTTCCCGACTTACTATCTCCTCTGGTATGACTAAAATGCGCAACGGAGGTACAATATATTCTATTCCATTCTATTTTGCGCAATGGTCGTAATGCAGTAAAACCAAAAATTGCATAAATTTCGAGAGTTGATTGTGAATACCATTTATTGATATAAAAAATCGCCCCAAAAGAATATTTTTTTAAAACAATCTTTGTTTTGTGTGTTTAATCATTTTCTCATCTCTGTTGTACTTGTAAGACGAGGCCACTTTTTTGGCAAAACAGCATGCAATTACAACACTTAAACTAAATGTTATTTAACATATTAATTGAGTATAAAGTTTGCTTTTAAATTAATAAGAATATTTGCAATTCTGATATCTTGAAGGATTATGTGATAGTGAAATGCGCAACGGATATTTTACCAATTAATATCTCAAATAATCAAGGTATATATAATGTATCTCTTTTAATGGATAAGATGGAGATAACCTTTATAATTAAATTTCTAATTTTAATTATTTATTATGATATTATTTAATTTTTATGGTTATTTGAAGGCCTTGTTGAAAATAATATTTTCACATTATACAATGTATATATAGGAAGAGGAAGACCACATCAGGTGCCCCGTGCATTATTTCAGGCACGAACTTGCACTGAGTAGAAGCATCTACGGTCTGCAAGCTAGATAGCTTCTAAACATTAAATAACCAATAGTCCATGGCTGGATAGCGGGTAGGGGCAAGTGTTTTGTAGTCAACAAGTTTAACGAAGGTTTGTAAACCCGGTTTCTCTCTGTTCTTTCCACAAAATACACAAGTCTTATTGATTTAATTTGATAAAATGGATTTAAATACTTTAAATACAGTATATTAAGACAATACAGATATTATAAATACCAAAGTTTCACTATTCCCATATTTTGCTTTCATGTGATTTTGTTTAATGTTTAAGGTTTTTCATGACTGTTTGAGAGTGGCATGTGTTTATAATATTATGTTGTTAAGGTATCCCATCCATGTTTGGTATCTGCAATGACTCACTTTGCGTGGGATATTGCGGATACTTATCATGTATGTAAAGACAATCATTTGTAATTAGATTTCACTTATATATGTATATATTTGCTAAGTTTATCTTTTAAAAAACTGGTTCCTACTGCTTAACAGTAGGATTTTTATTTGTAAATATCATGAATAAATTTATGATAAGGACTTTGCCAGTTTTCATTTCTGTTACACCTAAAAAGAGATGAAAAAAAAACGATTAAAATTATGTCACTCCCAGTTACAACTTATTAGGACTTTTAACTGTTAATGAGGAGAAATAAGCCTAATTACGACTTTATATCCCTTGTAAGGAGTTTTAAAATCCTTATTAGGAGTAATAATTAGAACTTTGTATGTCCTAATTAGGAGTTGAGAAATAAAATCTTAATTGGGACTTCGTAAAATTAAGGACTTTGTATATCCTAAATATGATTTAAGACTGTAAGTGCTAATTAGAGACTTTAATTTAAAGGCTTAATTTGGAGAAAAGAAATACTTATTGGATTATTGTTAGTTCTAATTAAGTTTTTAATACAAGGTACTTATTAGGATTTTATTTATCCTAATCAATTTTTAAGCATTCTCATTAAGACATACACAATCATATAAGTAAATAATTTCCCCTAAAACGGCTTTGAGAGCATCAAAGTTCTTTTAGAACTTTCATTTCTCATAATTAGGAGCAGCAAAGTTCTAATTAGGTTATTCTAATTAGTAGTTGGGTTGATATGTACTGGGTTGATATTTGGCAAGCGCGATGACTGTTTATGTGTATAACACAAAATCCCTCTATTTATTTCAAAATTAAAATATTTGGACCTGACAAAGCTAACCATTTTCACGGATTATTTAGAAGTTCGCTCAAAACATTTTATGAACTGGTGATACGAGTCCACAATTACCTGAAAGTTTCCCCAATCGTCAATGGACAGTAAGTTTCAAGCAAAGAGTCTGTCTTTTTATGGCCATCGAGTAGTGAGTGGTTGAGCTGTACAGGTTCAGAATTTGCGTAGCTTGTAAAACAATGAATAAGTCAAGACAAGTGTTGTGTTGTAAATGGGCTTTTATTAAAGCCATAAACAAAATTTATTACAAACATGTAATATTGACTAAATTAAAGAAACATATTAATGTAAACAATTTGTTTTATCTGGGAAAAAATTAGAAATTCCGCCATAATACAACCATGAAATATTGACTAACACAAAATAAATGTAAACAATTATACTTCTTACTGAGAATTTAGAAATTCCGATAACAACATGTAATGTTGACTAATTAAAGAAATATGAACTATAAAGTGTCATATTGACTAGACTAGTATAAAACATAATAAAATGGGAACAACAAGAAATTCCACCCGAGGCAGTAAACAAAAGAATTATCAAAACTACAAACTATGTAATATTAACTAGTTTATGTAAAATTGACTAGATTAAAAGAAAACATGTAAATTATGGCCTAGTAATAAAAGTTATTATGCAGAAACAGTATCACATAAATAAGTAGATGTTTTGCTTAAAAGTACTAATTAAAAGTTTTGCTTAACAATACTTATTGAAGACTTAATAATTATAAGAACCTGTCTTTATATACTCACTCATCGTGAGTAAAACAATTATTCACTTATCCCATGTTATAATCTTACTAGAAAAAAAAAAACAAAAGCAACAAAATAGGATTTAGGCATTGTATTTGACAACTTTCAATCGAGTGTAATGTAAAAATACCACCCGAGTTTATAACCTACCTGGAGTAATCATTAATCTATCACTGCAACACACTGGCATCACTGGCACCGGTAATACAGTGTGAAATAGTAGCTAGCCGAAACAGCCGGTGGTGATGTGGCTTATAATTTACATAAAATGCTATTTTATAATAAACCGGTGACGTTTTGTATTGAGTTTACTGTATTATTTCTGGCTAGCCGATTCAGCCAGAACCGAAATGTGTTATTCAGTAGAGCCAGGACCTAGTACAGCCAGAAGTTTTCCGGCTCTCTGGCTAGTAGTATTATAGTATTTTAGCTAAAACGTAATAAACAACTTACTTTCATTAGAAATAAATTGCAAATAACAAGCTATGATACAGGTAATGATTAATAACCCATCAGTTTTCTGTTTTATTTATAAACAATCACTTAGTTTTCACTGACTTATGATGCAGATATATACTTTTTACCTCCCAGTTTGGTTATTTCGATACAAATATGTACATGCCATGTTTGTTATTATGTAACATTTGTCATAAAATGCCCTATTTCATTCAACCTAAGTGTTGTGTTTTATCGCATACCAAACAAGTTCGTCTTGCCAGTTATAATTGCTTGACCTGGACAATACATAAAAAATCCTCTCCTCACAAGCTACTATGCTCATGCAAGGCTTAGATATTTGGTATGTGGCAATACCGTTACATACAATTGATATTCATTTCCCTGGGGGTCGAATTGTCATGACCATGGGTTCACTTCGTTTACATTGATTTACTTGCGGAATAACGTTTTATGTCTGACGCTTTATGGTGTTAATATATTTGGCACATTTAATTACCTAGTGCCCATAGCCCGGGTTAAGCCCCACGACTAGGGAACATTTTTTTTGCCTAGACAAGTATATGAAAATATATGGCCCACACGTAGAGAATATTTTGCATGTGTCATTGCCCAGTGGTCTTCTTCATCATTTACACAAAAAACTTCCTTGTTATTAGTGGCCTTAAATATTTGCCATCAGACTTATGATCAATGTTCAAAATAAGTACAAATGTACTTGTAGCTATAAACTAACTCTCAAATTTGTCAATTTAAAGATGACGTCTTAATAAAAGATAAACATAACTTCAAGAAATGAATTTATTCATTTATCTAGCACAAAAAATACTTTTCCGTCGTTTTTCTTCTTCCTTTAGAACATTCATACATGTATTGTGGGGAAAAGGTAATTGTCGAATGAGCATAATTTATCAAAATATTGTGATGTAAAAGATAAGGAGCTGATGTAAAGGGTGAAAATTCGATATCAGGGTTTTTAATGACATTTCCGTTCAAACACTATATTGTTTGTTTGGAACCTTTATCTGACATTTTAGACTTTTTCAAAATATAATTTGTTGCCTTAAAGGTGTTGACCGAAAGTTTCGGTGTCAAGCCAGTGGCGCTTGGCCTGAATTGTTAAGTAAACCTCTTGGCCCGGCAAAAAGTATTTGCTTTAACCATTACTTGCCAAATATCAACCTGCCGACTGCTTCTTGCATCGGTCGATTTTCTGTGTAAAGACGTGCTAGATGTCCACAGGAAATTGTAATGTTTTTAAATAATGATCGTTTTACTGTGGACAAACTTATTTATTCGATAAACATTACAGTCAAGTACAGCCAACTTTATACAGTATATGAATTTTTTGCTCGTTGTATAACGCATATTTATTCCCAGTGACACTGGCACTAGAACCTTGCAGTACTTATAATTTTGAAGGAACTACAAACACGATGCTGATGCAGCGGACTTAATGCAGGTTCAGTCAAAGTTTACCATGTGAACGTTTCTGTCATTGATTTTACCGAGTACTAAGTATCTTTATCACTCTTTTGTTGACTGAGTTTTGCTTCTCACTCACAAAATGGAATTTATCACATACCCACGTCTTTTGCGTTATGTAAACGAAGCTTTAAAGGCGTGTATAAATGTTAGTGTTACACTATAGGCGCGTCTTTATTTTGGGTATGTGATAAATAGAATATTATATTCGTTTAGCTTCATTAATTACTAACTTTATTGAACTCGTTGAATAAAGTAATATTATGTTGTTCAACTCGTTCAATAAATTCAGTATTGAATCTACACTCATTTAATATCCTCTATAACATTATAATGGAACAATTCAAAGTCATCCTTATACACAACAGTTAAATCCTGCAACAGTTTCATGGGAACAGACGAGTAAAATTGATTGAAAAACATTTTCTTCAATTTCCTTCGATTTTCCTTTGTTGATACACGCCTGGCCTTTCGTGCAATGTTCAGAAAATCTGAATAAGTCAGTTTGCCTACCTCATCTTCGTTTATAAGTCTACTCAAGTCCTGATCACCAATAAGACCGCGGATTTTCAGTTTGTGCCATGATCGTTTCAAAGCCTCATTTAGATTTATACAATTTGAAAAATGTGCGCGAAACTTTTTGTCGAAAGGCTGGTATGTCGTGTCTTGTATAGCATCGTCTGCTGCAAACTCACTTCCGTTATGTGTTAGAATGTGTTCTGCTTTGAATAATTTCATCTGACGTACCAGCTCAATAGAATCGGATGAGAACGTCTCAATTTTCCCTATAAAATCGTATTTAACATGACAAGGTTTAGAAACTTCTGTCAAGGTAGCAAAATGTAAGTCATGAGCAATACCAACTCGCCTCCTGTTTTTCTTGCGTTTTCCATCTGTTGAATTTGTCCCCAATGCATAGATCACATATTTTATATATTCTTCAAACGTTAAGTCATGCCCACAAGTAAGACTTGCATTTGACGGATTAGTCCTAGCATATTTTATGGCGGGAATACCTATCAAATTCCAATAGACTGGATTCGGTGCCAGAAGCTTATCTACATAGCCCGATAGCAGACGATCGTAAGGGTTTCTGACAAATAAAAACTTTTTAGATGTGTTTCCATTATATACATTTCCCATTTCACCGTCAAATTTTTCCGAGAAACTTATGCTGTAAGGATTGGTTACATTGTGGAATCGTTTCTGTGTTTTCATCATGAAGAGCCTCTTGAGAAATGTAGTCCCCGCCTTCCAAATCGGACATAATTGAATGCTACCATCAGCCGTTGAGTATTTTAAGTTTAGTCGAACATTGTCTTGGTTATAATCATATCCACGTATGTTACATCGTTTATGCAATTCTTTGGCGCGCATGTATCCATTTGTTTCCTGAAACAAAAAGTTTTATTTTTTTACACAGGTACTTGAAACAAACTTTTTTAATGTTGTTTACGGGTAATATACTATAATAAGACTAATATATAGTATATAGCCCATATAGAAATTAGAAATAGTTTGTTTCCAGTGCCTGCGTTACTTGACACTGTCAATAAATGAACAATTTCGAGTTTTAGCTGTATATTGGCTCATTTTATGATTTATTTAGTTTCTAATTATAAATTCATAATTAAAACAATCTTAAACTACAGTCACCAATATTTAAATATAAAGATAGATTTAATCCAGAAATATTATCAGGTTTACTGTTACTTGATTTTATTAGAATTCCGGTGATTAGCAAAGAAGAGTCTCTGATTTTACTTGAATTTCAGTAATCTATTTATAGATGAATAAGAGGGCATAGGGCTAGGTTGTACTCGGAATTCTATTAATTGTTCACATTCGAGAATGGTATGTAGAATAATATTAGTCCAGTTGTTCTCAGTGCATGTACCGCATGCCGCCTAATATATAACATGAAAGTTTTCGATTCAAAATAAAAGCTACAGTTTTTAAGAAATGTTTACCTCGGTCTTCGCTTGATATATTTCGATGATGTAATTCGTAGTGCTATCTGGAAAAAACAAATGTTAATTTAATATGATAATGCCATTTGATGTATTAACTTTATTTAACACCCCAATTTTCTATCATCCAAAACATTCGAATTTTGTCCCTGGCTAAATGGACATTTCTGAGTATCGGTGCGGCGCACGACACTTTATGTGCAAAAATTGATGCTTGACGTTTTTCAATGAATATGTTTCAAAAATTTGCTTGGCCCGTGTTCATGTTTTAACTAAAGGTTGTTGCGCTAAAACTTTGGCAGTATTACAGTGAATTACATAATTTACATATTTCCTACTGTCTCTTTTTCCGATTATGTTGATTGCCAATCTGGTATGATATCGGAAAGATATATCTATGTCTTTATCAATCAATGTTATTATCGAAAAGGAGACATTTACCCCCCCCCCCCCCCCCCAAAAAAAAAAAAGACAACAACAAAAAACAAACGTAGGAAAGTATTGGATTTCGTAACATAAGTTCATCATAACTTAAATTAATTAAACTGTTTAAATGCGGAAAAAGACAACAGTTTCAATATGCTATAAACATGTGGTGGCGGAAAAAAACTGTATTTGTCCAGATGTTGTATCTTCTCAAATGTTTTAGGTAAAATCATGTTTATATTCCCTTAAAATCTACACAAACTGATTATCCTGTTAAAAAGCTTTACTTTGAAATACTTTGGACTCAGATATAACTGTAGAATTGTCTTCGTTGGTTTCAACTGTTGTCATGTTTTTCGATTATACGGTGTGATTTTTTTTATTATACGGTGTGATGATGTATTGCGACAAGACATGGCATCAAAATTCAGTGTAAGCAATTGTAAGTTATTTTTCCGAATTTTAAAATAGTCAACATGCTATCTTGACCGTCATTGTTGCCAGTATCTACAATAATATTATCACTTACGGTTGGTAATAATGTATGAAACAAAACCAGCCCAGATAATCACAATTACAACCAACAGTTTCCGGAGGAGTCGTTTCCTCTGAGGTCTTAGCATGATTTATGTACCCTGAAATATATGTAATATGATTTATGTACCCTGAAATATATGTTGCATCTCTGTACTCTACATATCCAAGTCTTCCGAACAAATATTTCTTTAAACATTGAATATATCCGGATAGTTATGTTATCAAAATATCTTCGAAAGATGCCATATAAATCCTACACTTAATGTACATTTTAAAGTTCCAACGTACCTTTAGTTCAGACCGTTCTGATAGGCAAAAGAAAGAAACAAAATACTCTTGTAAGTATTATAAGTCCTCGAAAGATAGGAAAAGTCTTGTCTCATTATGTACCATAAACGTTACGTAAGTCTTATCTATTCTAGTCTTTACTTTTATCTTGTATGTCAAAATTAATCTCATTGATTAATATATATATATATTCACCGTTGATGTTTAACGGTACCAGTAAATTTTGAAACTCCAAAACAAAAACTACCTTCATACTGTAATATGCATCGCAGTGTTTAATGGTACCGGACTTCTTCTAAGCAAATCTGCGTCCCTAGATTCTTTTATTTCAAGTCAATGCTTTGGATAGTTAATCTTAATGGAGTCTTACAAAACTAAAGTTCTTCAGTACTTTCGTTTTACTTACTTAATAAACTTTTACCACGTAAACAATTGGTGCAATTCATACCGCTTTAAATTTGTTGCAGACGGTTATCAATTTAAGTGAATCTTTGGAAAATGGTATGCTAACCAGATAGATCCTGGTCAAACAAACCGGATGTGCATGCAAGACCGAAAATATATGCACGTGGCAATCTGACCTAACAACCTGGATGTGCATGTAAGACCGTATATACACGTAACAACCTGACCAAACAACCCGGATGGGCATGTAAGACCGTATATACACGTAACAACCTGACCAAACAACCCGGATGTGCATGCAAGAGCGAATATGAACATGTTGCAAATGATTGGCAGCGCCCCTTCCACTACAATAATATAAAACACACGAATTTTCCAGGTTATTCCTTAATTACCACATTTCTCAACAAAGTGTTTTGTTGTTGTTTTTTTTTCCTTCTTATTTTATACAGATTAAAGTTTTGATAACACCAGACAAATAACAAACAAAAGTCAAGACATCTTATCCTATACCACTCTTTAAAACTATACGTATGGACAATTAAAATACATTAATAAATAGGGACCAAAGAGAGAAATTGCAGTGTCAAAGACCCATAATCATCACTTGCTTATTTTTATCTTAATTTTTGAATTACCTCCCTTAGCAATACTTATATACTAAATCTTAATGGAACTTCGACCATTGAGACTCTAAATTAATAAGTAAGTTTTTGAATTGTCAAACTTAAAAATGCTTGTACGTGTAATTAGAAGAACCTTGATAAAAACCTCGATGCAGTGTCCAACAACCACAGTGCTATCCTTTATGAGCGTTTAAATGGCTATCCAGAGAATGACTTGAAAAGAATGGATAAAATCTGATTAAAGCTACACACAGTGATAGAAACCATGTAATAAGTGACAGTACAGTTTCAATGAACCAAAACGCTAGCTTACTTTGTATATATTTTATAAAATACTTTTAAAAAAATTGTACGATCGGGGAACATCCATAATCTTTAGCGATAGTATTGCTATTGTTTGTTCTTTATTTCCTTTAAAGATCCTGTAACACAAATTTTTTATGGTTTTATATCATAAAGATGATGCTCAAATTAAGATTTATCAATTTTGTAAGTTCCAAAAAGCATTATTTATAGAGATATTACCGAATTTAACATATCATCAAAATAAAGGGAGATAATAAGAAAATATTTTCTATAAAGTCTAAGTCAAATTTTTCAATAAGAAACGAATGGATATATTTTAATGATTATATATAATATTTACAAATATTTGCAGTACATATTTTACATATTTTTCGATGTTTGAAAATTGTTTTATAAGCATAATAATATACATATATATAATTTCACTTAAGTGTGGTATACAACCTCAATTAAAATATACAGGATCTTTAAATGTAAGATTTGTACACGCGCATGTCAATTAAATTTAAATAACTCTTTTCTTTATTTGTTATTATATGCTTCATAATTTTTCTTAGTCCTTAGTCAACTCTTTAAATCGAAGACTTTATAAAACAGAAGTTTGTTATTTACAACAGGGTCTTTCAAATAGAAAGACAAGTACATGCATTTGATTTTAATTTCTTTGCTCTCTGCAGACCCTAGTCTATGCTTAATAAAAGTCCATCCGTCCTTTCAGGCACAAAATGCAGCTTTCGCTGTCGAGTATGGACCCCTGACATATCACCAGTAATTCCCTTAAAGTACAAACTTAAGTGGTGATAATTTACCTCCATGCGATTTCCACGGAGTGTTAGCCAAAGATATGAATTTTGAGCAAAAAGTGGTTCACTGTACGGCGGCCAATGAGAACCTAAATGTACAGTAACCGGAGACAATAAGAGGGAGGTAGCCCTGAAAAGGGCTGTTACGCCAGCAAAAGCCTGCCTTTCAAGCCGTCACCCCCTGTGCGATAAATGAATTCCGAATAGGCGTAACTTTTAATGCCGAGGATTGAATAACGATTAATTATTTCAGTATTTAAAGTCGTTAGTTTGTTGTACGTTCCATAATCTTTCTAATTTTATTTTCAAGCTTTCGATTTTGCTTTCATATTTTAAACATACAATGTATTTGTTTTTGCTCGAAGTTCATCCAGCTTATAGTAATCACTTGCGAGTCATTTTCCAGCAGTTGTGTCATATGAAGGAAACATGATCCTAAACCGAATTGGGCTCGAACTCATGATTCATGGATTTAGAGGCACTAAGCCAATAAGTCACCGCTCCCTTAATTGTTGTCAGTAGATGTCTCCTTTCTAGAATTTTACTTCATTTCTATTAATTGTAAACGGAGTGATATTCAAGTTTGTTTCACTGTTTCTGTGAAGGTAAGATCCACATTACCCTATACCTAACTTTGGATTTAATGGAAGGAAAAGAGATAGAGGATATTTGTTTGTTTGTGTGTAAGATGAAATTTTATTTCATCGAGTGGGCTTTAAAAACAGTATTCTCACGAGTGGCATAGCCACGAGTGAGAATACTGTTTTTAAAGTTCACGAGATGAAATAAAATTACATCTTACACAACAAACAAACAAATTTTCTTTTTATTTTATGCTTAAAAACAAGTTAAAACGAAATTTACGTTAATATTAAAATCTGTTTTCCCCATTTAAAGCCTAAAAAAAGTCGAATTTCTCATTAAATACAAGAAGTCATGGGCTGAAAAATAAGTTCCACAATCAACGTTAAATGGTGGTGATAGTATTCATCTTATTAAAAAAATATGTCTGATCGCTTGTTTAAATAATAAAAACAAACAATTCTAGTAGGAGAAAAAGTCCAACCATCCATCCATATTTCTGTTACTGACTGCGAATTTATATTAGTCCTGGCTATGTTAAATGTAAGCGGCCGCCATTTTTAAAGTTGTGTATTTCACTGGATGAAAATAATTGTGTTTGATTCAGAGGGATATCATTTGGATTTGTTAGTCATACACCTTTTTAAAAGAAAGAAAACTTATTTGAGGATTGTAACAGACAATAAATAAGTGTTGACAGATGTGTAAACATTCAAAAAAGTGGATAGGAAATTGGAAAACTTGGAAGCCTTACGAACGCTGGGTTGTTTTACATATTCTTCGACTGAAAGCTGCCATTGCTTTTTAAGGTTTTCATAAAGCATACGGCAGTTTTTGCTCGTAGGATACTTAAATATTCCCAAATGTCGTCAAGAGCAGTTTTGCATGTGGAAGGAATGTATTTTTCAGACTGTAAAAATGAAACAAAAAAATTAAAGAGACGATATTTGGTGATTGGTAATTTGAATGAATAGAAGTAAGTTACTGTAAGTTTTCTTCTTTTTATTACTTTTTACATATAAGTTATTTATCAATTTCAGGTTTGCTTTTCTTTAAACAGCCTGACATTGTCGGAATAGTCACCAAAAATAAAATTGAGGTACCACATGGGGAAAATCTTAAAAAAGTAGTTTCGTCATTGAAAAGTGTGAAATTATATTTTGATAATTTTCACTGTGAAATTATCAAATATAATTTTCACGGATAAATCAGTAATCCACTGAAAAGCATAAAATAAATATATTTCAGATACGGGCAAGGTTATTTTTTCGCCGATTGCAAATAGGGCTTTAACATAATTTGACGTATTACTGCATGGACATACAAAATGGGTCTAGAAATCATATTGTTGAAAAATAAGAATGAAATACAATAATGTTATCCCCTATATCATTCAAAAACATTTTTTAAAAATATAGTCATTTCATAGAGTTTTCTTGCGAAGCATACCCGGTAAAGTTTTATCATCGGATGCTGTACTGATTTCGAAATAATTTGGTGTATAAATTACTATTTCACAAGCACGTCACTATGAGCCATTTACGTCTAAATTATGGGCACTGACTTTACCCAACAAATAGTTTCATAACTTGGCTAGAAACTATAAAAGCGTTTTTAAGAAAGTACTGTTTGGGAATGAATCACACTAATGATTTTGATGATAATGAATGATATAATTTGAGACAAAAATACCATCCTTCTTTATTGACAATATATTTGTATACAATCATTATTAGATTCTCATAATGATTATTCGTCTGCAGTCTGAAGTATGACACGTATTTACTTCATATTAATACGGTTAGCAAATGAAGTGTCCTTAAAATAATAAATCACTGTACTGTAGTATTGTCTGTCTGTTAAAGGACGATACACTGACAATTTGCTTGTACTACATTTAAAGGCCCATTATGCCCCAGAAATGCTTTTATTCTTATTTTTGGTGTCCTGTTATAACTTCAAAAGAGGCTATCCACTGGCCAATTAGCTCAACCATCTTTTACTCCAGGTAAGTTAAGACAAGTCGTAGAGTTATATTGATTTAGTGATTTGTATGGTCTTTGTTTACATTTCGCTACTTTAATAATAAATAATTTCACAATCACCGGTACTTCCTTCAATTGTTTGTTTGTTTCATTTTACGCCTTTTCCCAACACTATTTCATTCATAAAGGCGGTTAGTTTCCTAACCATCGTTCCTGGAGAGTTACACCAGTACTAGACTACCTTCCTCCGTGCTAAACTACCAAAGCATCTCCCGGGGATCGAACCCACGCCAGAGAGGTAACTGGATTAAAAGTCATCGACTCTAACCCCTCGGTCACTTACTTCATTTGTAAACATCTTAAATGCTCTAAAACCATTATCTTAAACATAATGAAACGTATGTTTGCCTTTTCTAAAGAAGGAAAAAATATTTGTTTTCTGGGGATATAATGTGTTTTAAAAATATGTGCATGAGATTGGTGAAATGGCACATTTTACTTAGACACAGTTAGCTATATAAAGAAAATAAATAAAAATGTGTGTGTAACATTACTACATACATAAAATGCATTCTTTTCTGGTTGTAATATTTGTCGGGAATTAATGAACCTGACATGATTCATATCGTTCCAACTATATTAATGTCTTTATTTGCATGTGTATGTCGGTGTGTGATTATACTATGTTATCAGCATCAGCATCATATACATGTATATATTTATATGCAAAATTATTTCCTTATTTGCATGTGTGTCTGCGATGACATCAGAGTAATGTATGCATGTCGAATTTTCACAATCGACTTTTATAAATCAGAATTTACGGAAACAAAGACGGGAAAATGCAGTTACATTTACCAATATTTGATGACATTACTCTTTCTAGAAATGTGTGTCCCCAACCGCAATTGATGGTGTCCTCACATTTAATTATAAGGCGTAGTCCAGTAGGTGTGTGTGTGTGTGTCTGCGTATGTGCGTGTGTGTGTGTGTGCGCGTGTGTGTTTATGCGTGCGTGCGTGCATGTGTTAAGTGTATATAGTTGCATATAATTGCAAGGTAAAGAAAATTAACACAAAATGTAAAGATATATCCCAACATACAGATTTTATTGAACAAAACGGAAGGGACAAAACTGATAAAAGCGTCAATAGAACAACACATTACGGGTGCAGTGGGGAAATGAAAAAAAAACAACAAATAACAGAGTAGATGACAGAGGGATGATGACATTTTTTTCTAAAAGTTAATGATTTATATGAATAAACAAATAATTTTATTAATTTCTTACAATCACTTTTGTTTTATAAGCAATGTTATGAGTTCAGAGTTTATCTCTAAGCCTCTTATGTTTGAATCACAAAGTAACACACTATACACCAGACAACAACAGTTCGCATGGTTGAGTTGCAGTGTCAGTATTTAATTGTTGTGTTCATTTTTTTTATTAGTTTGTTCACATTTTTCGTCAATTGAAAATCTGGTTTTGTTCAAAGACCATTTGCTGATACTCGGCTATATACCGCACATACATGGCGAGAGCACCGGCCGCCACCGCAGTTGTATGGCTCAAACATCCGTCCTCGAGCACACGTTCTTCTCGCTTAACACGCAAGTTTAGAGACGATTCGGTACCTCTGAATTCTAAAACAATAATAAATGAAAGATTAACTAGGCATTGTATAGTAACGATTCAAGGATTTGTATAATGTATCTTAACAAATTATAAGATATACAAATGATTTGCTTATACTGAAACCAAAATAATAAAATTATTCATTTAGTCAAACATATTATTTACATTTTTACCTTAGTTTTCCAAATAAATAAATAAAAAATAAATAATATTTACAACTTTTGGCCAATAAAAAAACATGTTTATGCAAATACAAGCTTAATATATTGTGCATCACATATACGATTTAGGAATTAAAACACTTTTGTTCAAACAGGTTGTTCAAATTTTAAATAAAATTTAAACTTTAATAGACCTGTGGTGACATTCAGTTCAAGTCTGACCACCATAATTGTGAACTATGGAAACTAAACGTTATACACTGACATCACGCTTCAGACGTCATACTTCTTAATTTGAGCCGCGTCACGACAAAACCAACATAATGGGTTTGCGACCAGCATGGATCCAGACCAGCCTGCGCATCCGCGCAGTCTGCTCAGGATCCATGCTGTTCGCTTACCAAACCTATTACAAGTAGAGAAACTGATAGCGAACAGCATGGATCCTGATCAGACTGCGCGGATGCGCAGGCTGGTCTGGATCCATGCTGGTCGCAAACGCAGATATGTTGGTTTTGTCGTGACGCGGCTCGTTTATGCTTCAAACATCAAGCTTGAGGCTTCAAAGTTCACGCTTCAAAATTCTCAAACTTTCAAACTTCGACTTAGTACACACTAGTCACAAATTTGAGAATGATTTGAATGTTTAAATTGATAGTTACCAGTGGTCTTTTATGGTGAATGATTTGTGCCTTGTCTTATTTTCGGTCAGCGAGGAGCAAGACGAAAACACGAACATACGACAAAGTCAACATTTGTCGTACTTGCGACCCACGGAGCGCATTGCGAAAATACGACGAAGTTTCCAAGTGCTATGTCGTATTTTCCACCCGCGGGGGGCCAGGCGAAAATACAGATGTAAGACCATGTCGAAACTTTGTCGTAATCCTCATGTTTTCGCCCGGCGTTCCGCGGAGTGACAGTACGACATGGCACAAATCAGCCACCATATAGTCTTTCGAAACAATGGAATTTCCATTGTAAATCAGTTGCATAAAATATCTTATCAAATCTGTTAAGTTGTACGTCATATAAATGTTAAGGTGTCATCTTTTTTAGTTATATTGTTACATACGTACATTATTGATTTCTGTTTTTCAAAAAAGTGTAAATATTGTTAATGAATTCACAAGGTGACACTGTTCTCATGTAGATACATGTACTTGTACAAACTCGTGACATAGGTGTACATGATTTTTAAATTCCCCTTTGAATGGTTTATTATTCATTTCTAGACAAGTAATTTGCTAACTTTGGTATTTCTTGAACTAGCAGACAATGGTCAATCGGAACATCTCGGCTATTATCAATAATCTTTTCCAAAGTATGATAAAAGACCGAGATTTGACACTGTTATGAAATACTATAGATCAATTACAAGTTGCGTAAGACTTTGCAATAAATTTTATCTCTTTGGAGCAACATCTGTCTGAAACAACTAAAATCTTTGCCTTCCAAAGGGTGTTGTGTGCAAAGATCACTGATAAATTCTTACCAACGTCACTTTCACGGATTGTTTCCCCTTTGTAACATCCGGACTCATTATCCTGCCAGCTTATTATTGTTTCCAACCATTCAGGCGTGAAAAACCATCTGTATCCCATAGCACCACACAAGGCAGCTGAAAATAGTTCGGTATTTATAATACATTAGGTTAAAGTGTATAAAGCTTATATAGATTACACATATATTGTTTGAATTTTGAAAAATAGAAATAGTTCAAAATTTTAAAATAGTTTTATGAAAGGATTGTGTTTGTGTATTTCTTTAAGAGTGAATGACAAACGCACGAAAGCATTGCTGAACGGCTACAGAGCGTAATAAAATAAAATCATAATATTTTCCAAACGTTTTATTCTACTTTCTTACACTATTCATGCGTATTAAATAATAGAGATATTCTTGGTATAACTATTTTGAGAATCGACCGCAAGATATTAGAAATAACATTATTTTACCTTTAATAAATCTACAAAATATTTCAAATAACGTTATACCCTTTAACTTAAAAACCATTCCAACATGTAGTAGATAGCATACATTAGAAACAATAAAAGTATTAAAATTTGGCCCTTTTTCGGGCGTATTTTATAACCTTCAACAAAAACATGATCTGTTACACGAGACTGACGTTAAATGACATTTTGTTAAAAAACGTTTAATATTTTCTAGTAGCAATCGGATAGAGACACTTCTGAATGTTTTATTCCATTTAATTAGATTAATTGTTGCTATAGGCAGAGTAAGATTTAAAAACGTGCTTATCTCCAATTAAAAAACAAACAAGTCTTTGGTCACTAAATCCTAATTAAGTTTTTTTTTAATTCTTAAACATTAACTCAATAATTCAAAATGATCAAAGTGTTCATAATTACAGAAGTCATTTCCACTTATGGAAAATGTTTTATTAAATACAGAATAATTCATTAATATTCTCCCATCGCAATATAAATGATATCTGACAGAAACTAACACCCTAGAGACGGGGTGACATTGTATTTGTGTTTTGTTTCTCTTCGTCAAACTGAACTATTGAAAATCATATATGAAAGAGATAACCCCGTGAGACTACCCAACCTAGCGACAATAAAGTTATCAGCTTATAGAACCAGGATAGTTTGTGCGTTCTTTTGAATAATTAATTGCAGCATTTTGCTATGTTTATCAATATTAGCCCTCAATCTGCTGAATGGACTTGTCCAGCTTTGAATTTGGAACAGTCCATTCAAAGTTTAAGGGATTTCAATACCAACATATATAAATTGAGCTACCAACAGTATAGAGCCTGGTCAGACAGAAAGGCGATGGCTAATTACTTACGGTGGTTCCAGCAGATTAAGGGTTAATGCAGACGAAAATACAGAATATACAAGGTCGAAGAAAGGAAAAGGTTAAAGGCACATTATGCGTCAGACATCCATATTTATATAATTCTTCAGAAATGTCAAACATTGTTTTTTGATGTTTAAATAATTGGTTAAGAGCATGTAATATGCTTAAGAGCTAAAGAAAGTAGCGTTGATATTGTGCTGTAATATGTCGTAAAGGCAGCAAAATGTTAACTGAGTAGTATTTTGACTTTCATACAATAAACATATTCACTATTATAATACCAATTGCCAACAAAGCAAAGATAGTTCATCTTTATGGCAAATGAGTATTTTTAAAACTGTAACAAGATGCCAAACATTTGAAGTTTTTGTGAAATAAAATGATAGCATTTCTGAGGTGTAATGGGCCTTTAACAAGTGTATGAATAAATGATGTCATTTTATTGCTGCGAACGTATATATGCATGGCTAATTCACCTCCTTATTGAATTTGAAGTCCGGAAGGAAAACTTATTGTTACCATGTATTTTGTTATGGTTTCTTACGTATTATATGACAATATTTAAATGGATTACTATCGAATTTCAGCCAATGATCTCAGAGAAGCAACAAAAGATCGGCAACCGAACGAGACAAAATTTAATATTGTACCTTGTTCCATGAACAGGTCCCTTCTCAGTTCGGGGAAATTATTCTTTTCTATTTGTAAAGCCTCTAGGTAAACGGAGGCACAGAAGGTTTTTGCAAGGTCAGCCGGAGGTGGTTGATTCAATAGTGTTCGTTGTTTGTTCATTTCTTCCTGGCATCCCATCTGCAAAATAAAATTGTCTTATATATCAGCATGCAGTATGTTTTGTCTATTTAAACCTTATATACCCCGTTAAAAATACTTGTCCATCTTTACAAAAAAACAACCACAACAACAAAACTGGACATTTATTTTTCATTTTGTAAGGCAAATTTAGTAATAAAACCTGGCTGAATAGCGAACTGTGCAGGGCATGATGTGACAGCACAGATGTGCTGGTTGATCTTCGTCTAAACTGGTCGCATGGGTCTAACCTGGTCGCATGGGTTGATAATGTAGCCACCCAGCAGGCTATTATACTAGGTTCAAACACTTCTAAATATTACAAATATAACAACCACGATAGCTTTTACAGCTGAATTCTTAATATTGTACCTAATATTTGTAATACCAGGTAAAATCGTTTTAGATTTAAATGATAAAATGTTACAGATTTATTAAATAGATCTAAAGGTTATAATATTATGAGCATAATAAGTATCGTTTTATAAACATAATAAAATAGATGTACATGTACCTCCTTTTTGCCTGTACATTTATATGATAACTATCAAGTTATCATTTAAATTTTAAGTAACTAAGAAACGTAATGTACTTGAAATTTCTCCTCCTTTCGGTTCTAATTAGAAATGGAACTCTTGTGTGGACACAGTCTATAAGCAGATTTAGACACAACCCTAGCAAAATATCGTAGTTACAGAAACAGTCTAAGTAGATATAGACTAAACCCAAAATGTAGTGAGTTGTGGCAGACCCAGCCTAAGCGAGTTATTGATACCAATATAGCGAGATATAAGCGAGTTATTGATACCAATATAGCGAGATATAAGCGAGTTATTGATACCAATATAGCGAGATATAAGCGAGCTATTGATACCAATATAGCGAGATATAAGCGAGTTATTGATAACAATATAGCGAGATATAAGCGAGTTATTGATACCAATATAGCGAGATATAAGCGAGTTATAGACACAGCCTAAGTAAGTTATAGGACCAAACCTCAAGAGTGTTTTGATAATCATTATTAAACTGCTGATCTTCTTCAGAAAAAAAGTTAAACGATTAATGTAACATCAAATGCATTTTCTCAGTGGGATTCGCAAGACACAAATCTGTCCCTAGCTTTCAGCTTTTAAGGTTTAAGTGGAGATAAGATAGTATCGTTTGCTATCACGTGACATCTAGCCATATAATCATGGTATTGAATTGATTCCCGGGGGTAAACCACTGTCGCATACAAATATTCTCTGTGACAACTCGATCATTTAATATGAAAAACAGTTACCACATCTGTGAAAACGCACTGACTTGTGTCAGTCGAAAATGGAATCGTTTAAGGACCTTTTTGTCCTGGGGAGGGATATAAACTTAAAGGCACGTTATGCCTCAGAAATGCTTTTATTTCTATTTTTCAAAAACTTTTTAAATTTTGTTGTACTTTAATAGTATCTAAAAAGTTACACATTCGCCAATTACCTGTGCCATCTTTTTCATATTTCGTTGTGTGTGTGTGTGTTTGTGTGTTTTTGGCAATACGTACAGTTTTAATAAATGTATTTGAATGGAGGTCAAAATACTACTTCGTTTACATTTTACTTCTTTTATGACAAATTTTTTCAGATTTATCACTTCTTTCTTCACGTAACAAGCATCTAACATTCTTTAAAACCATTATTTAAACATTTGCCCTTTCTAAAAAAGTAAAATGAAATTCTGTGGCATAATGTGTCTTTAAGAATTCACTGATAATTAATCCTTTAAATGATTGAAATATTTTCGTATTTTCCGTCACTTACACATTTTAGTTTAAATAGTGTTATATCGAAAATTTGATTATTTCAGTAGAATTAGGAACAAAACTCTAATTATACGAGATGGACATAATTTTTCTTATTTAATTATACTAACTTCTTAGTGAATTATACATTATACATAATGTAAAAAGAGCGTCGTAACAACATAAGATTATTGGATTTGTACGCGAAAAAGAAACAAAATAGCCTATTTTATGTTGTTCTTAGAATAAGCAGTTTCCTTAATTCTTGCTTCTGTAAAATGAAATGCCACCTGACCACTGTCTCCACTGTTCGTTATTCAGTCAGTACTTTCAGTCAGAAATTTACCCTCTAAAAATGATGGATGCTTTTGTCCAGTTAAAAAAAAAGTGATTTACAAAATTTAGCATGGCAAAGGTTAACAAATGATGTCAGAAGAGATCACGGGGTATACTGCATGAATTAGTCTATAATACTTGCCTGATATGCGATCATTATATAGAAGATTTCGTGCGTTAAAGAATAGCTGTTGTATCCCATCTGGGTCATCTTTGTCCAGCATTGTGATGATATGTGACATTTGGCTTTTGTGTTTGGCCTGAAATGCAGAGCAACATATTACCAGCATGAATTCATTATCAACATTCATTGAAATATCGCTATATCAATTGAAAAAGAATGACAATGAATTGATAGGGAAGACAACAATAGCAACAAGAAATTGTTGATACAGAGTCTATATATTTTTCGGCAGTTCATCAGTTATGTGATAAATATTTATTTGTTGAATATATTCGTGGATATATAGCTTAAACTATACTAATATTATACCTAATCCTTTAAATAATAATAATAAAAAAAAAGAATAAAAAAGTAAACAGTAACATCAAAAAAGGGATTTTGGTCTTTTTCATTATTATGATTTTGACGAGGTAAACATTTTAATAAAAAGAAAGATCTTTCCAAATTGCCGATATATTCGTTATATAATCTCAATTGTTGCAGCTATCGATAAACAAATATTTTGTTTTATACATATACATGTAAATTAAAGTTCAAAACAACAAAAAAGGTCTCCTATTGAAACATGGCATGCCATAACAGGAATGGATGCCATTGGGCTGCAATTAACTACTAAGGCATGAATTACGAACGTTCCATTATATATGATAGAGATATATATTATATATAACCTCGCGCATTGCCTCATATATATTCTTTGGTTACCATAAGAGATAAAAAATCCTCCGGGAAAGTCTTTGCTTGCAATCGAGATACCAAATCTTCATAAGACCTAGATAAAAGTGGAAATAATGTAACCGAACCACAAAAGAGAAATGAAAAGAAAGATTACCAACACTTTTTATTATATAACCCCCAAACAAGAACCCTGGACAGCTTTTATCAAAGAAAACTCTATTTCCAGGCCACCAAGAGTTGAAAATGTGAAAATGTTGACATTTTCTTTTATTTATCAGTATATTTATAAATATGTTATATGAAGATATATGTGAACAATCTTAACGATTACTTTAAAAGGTAATTAACCAAACAAGGATTTCATGAACTTCATTACGATTGTGCGTAAGATAATTTATAAATTAATTAATAAATTTATTTATTAATTAACAAAACGAATAAAAATAAATAAAAAAAAAAACAACAAAAAAAAAAAAACGAATAAAAAATAAATACATATAAATAAATAAATAAATAAATAAATAAATAAATAAATAAATAAATAAATAAATAAATAAATAAATAAATAAATAAATAAATAAATAAAAAGTAATTAAAAGGTAATTAAAATTAATTACTTAAAGGGAAAGACAAGGTTAGAATAGAAACTTGATTTCAGAAAAAGAATACTATAAATAATAAATCTGCAAATTTTCTGCCGCCAAATAATAATATTAAACGAATGATATCAAAATTTAAATCGCTAAATCACCGATTTCTACAAATCAGTAAGCGCGGCCATGTTTGTGTATTGGCCGTATAAAAACAGGTGCGCGTGATGTCATTTTTCCCCACATCTTTAGATTCATGATAAATCTAGTTGAATCGTAAGGAAATATTAATATAATAAAGTATTGACCAGACAATTTAATTTTCACCGGAGGTGTAGAGGAGATTTTTTTATGGTTCAAAATACGCAACAATATCAAAAAAAAAAAAAAAATAAATAAAGAAAGAAACGTACGGCTAGCCAAAAGTTCTAGCCGTACGTAAGTCACGAACGACTAGCCAGGACGCACTGTATTGTCTAGCCCATCTAGTCTAGCCGTACGGCACTTTTCAAAATTATATGGAAGTCGAACGTTATAAAATTCTTGATTTTCATACTTATCATTTGTTGTTTTATTTGTATGAATTATTAAATTATTTTTGTTAATTTTAAGCACATGGATCGAATAAAAAATGATCGGAGTGGAATAAATAGATAAAAAGAACATTGAATGAAAAAAAAAAACAAAAACGGTGAAATGCAAAAATAATTGTATAATTTTCAAAACAGTAGATAAATATCGAACATAAAAGCACAGTCAATCAATTAATTAGCCTTAATTAAAACCTATCCAGTGACTGACAATAGAATTTTAGAATGCCTTTCACGGAACATGCAAACTTTCCTTGATGGACAAACTTCATATACAGTACCGTCGGTAATTGTCGCATTATCAAGAGCCTAACAACAATCATTTTCAGTGTTTTGTTGTTTTCTTTTTCGTATTAAATGTGTCGAAAATTAAAATTAATGAAACACAAAAAAGGATTATTATCAAAATTTTGAAACTATTTCAATTGGTGTAAATGCAAGCAAAGGCTATTTTTTCTCGACATCTTGCGATGACAAAGATCGATATATATATAGCGATCAAGGCGATTAATCTCTAAAAAAGTTAACATCCGAAGACAATTAATGCTGTTTCTTGGTTAAAATCCTTGCTTAAAGTCATAATATAATATTATGCATTTTCGACTTCCATAAAATTTTGAAAAGTGCCGTACGGCTAGCCAATATACAGTGTGTCCTTGCTAGTCGTACGTGACTCACGTACGGCTAAAACTTTTGGCTAGCCGTACGGGCCCGTACGCTTGCCACATCCATTATAAACCCTACTAAAACGTGTTCTTAATAGTACATATAATTAAATTTTTGCAGTTTGATTCTGACTTTCAAATTTAAAGGTGTGAACATATGTTATAATTGATGTACGCATTTCAAAAATATAAGCAACTCTTTTGAAAAGTAAATTGTTAACATGTCTGTCAACGTATGATGCTGGGCATCGTTATCGTAGCCTAATATTAACTGCAGGCAAATAATTTTAATTGGCTGCTCAAAAATCTAATTTGCATAATTAATTCACACAATTGCTGGTTCTTACTACTTATGTCTAATACTGCGCATTGTCCATTTTAATTGTTCCTAATTTGCACCAAATATTCCTGTCACACTGTGTACCTGACGATTTTTATTGCTCCTTGTATGCCCTCTGTGCCGACAGACCTTCTGATCATGCACAATGTTGCCCTGATTGGTTAATCACCCTTGTCATATATTCTAATGACGAAAATAGACATCTATTTTTTTACGCTTCATCAGTGAACTGAATGACCTTAGGGGGAATTAGGTTCCACACCTGTCAGTAAATTACAGCACGTCATAAAATAGCAACACATTTTTTTTCAGTTACCAATAAATCATTTTAAATATTAAGTAGATTTATGTTTTTTTTTGTTTTATTGGATTAAATTTACGGTAGTAGAGAATGCGTATCTGTCGGGGAAAGGAATTTGGTAAGTAGATAACGTGGAAAAAAGCTTTAGGGAACTGGATAAACCCGAAAATAAGCGTAATTATAGGGGAATGGGCAACCTGTTGCTGTTGGTACCAGTTTTGACTGGGTGCCTAAATAACCTAACGGACAGTTTTTGTTTTCATACGATATTAGTCTGGCTGCCGATTTTCCTGCGCCATTCTCATTTTTTAGCGTCAATGGCGGAAAATCGCGTCCTCAGCATATTGGATTTAAGTTGATATTTGACCTGAAAAAAAGATACGCACGACCGGCGATGTTACCCTATTTTTGGACAGCTTGTCCTAGCGAAAATTAAGTACAAAATAAAAGGATATATCGTCAATTTGAAGAAAGTTTTTTTCATAGTACCCAAGATTAAATTTATTGTTTATCTTTGAAAAATTAAGCAGTCATTGCTTAAATCATGTGGTGGGATCATCACAAGCTTGAATATCGGACAAATGATAATTAATGTCGCGGCGTCTTCAATTAATTAATTAAAGCAATTCAGTTTCCATATTGATGTTTTCATAAAAAATATATAATGTACGCAATAAAATTAATAAGTTTTCTTCAATCAAGATATATTTCAGTTGTACCAGCGTGTACACCTATACCGGAAGTGGGTATAACACGTCACAATCTCGGTCTCGTCTGTCTCGCGAGAATGACAGAAGCCAAAATGGCGGCGCCCATGAACTTATTTCTCAAGTTAAAAATAGTGTCTTAAAACACGAATTTCTCTCTTATAGGGTTGATGTCAATAGGAAAACTGTCATGGTTCCTCTTTTTAAATGATGAATATTTATATTAGACAGACATCAATCCATCCATTCCTATTCCTTTAAGTAATTAATTAATTAATAAGTAATCTAAAATTCTACAAAATGATCAAATGACTTTATCAATGTAAGTATAAGACTGTTTTCATACGTTTATAGTACATAGGATCTGATGCTTCAACATAGGTCAATGCTTTATCGCTGATATCTGTAGCTAGTGTCTGAAGGTCGCGGATTACTTTTATTGTGGCGCCATCTATTGGCCATGACTCTATGTCATTTTCGATGTGGTATAGAAGTACTTTTAATGTACCTGAAATGAAAAAAGGAAAAATAAACAAAACGATAAGGTGGCAATCAATGAAGTAAGAAAAGATTTCAACTCAGCCAAAACTGAAAAATTTAATTAGAAAAACTGTTAAAACTTTTAAAACATTGAACATCAAAGATTATGGACAAATGTAATTGTAATGAATTTTCTAAAATTGTCAATAGATTATGAATATAATGTAATGGTGGCCTACTCCAATAAATAAAAGCTGTATTCCTAAATGTATTGGCTTTCATTTCAATAGAAATAAAGTTCTATGCAGTTAGCTAAAGCATGAAATCGCAACGGGCGTTTCTCTAATGTGATTAAAGCTTTCGTTCTACTCACAATTTTGTATCTGTATTGAATACAGTAATCAAAGCAGTTTTCAAGAGTTAAAAATTAATTGAGACAAATAATTTTGTTCTTGTTCAGAACGGCAGTTTTCCAAATCAAATTTCATTCGTAATTTCTTTACTGCAAACCCAACTACTACCGATTGCATATGTTTTCAAAACATCACTTCTTCATGTTTCTATGACAATATTATATGTTTCTATGACACTATTATAATTATGTTCCGATGACATCATTATACTTTTCGATGACATCATTATTTGTTTCCAGGGCATAACTATATTTCATCATGAAATCGCTATATGTTTCTTTGACATCACTTTACGTTTCCGTGTCAACACAATATGTTTCAACGAGATCACTGAATGTTTTCATGACATTACTTCTACGCTCATTCAAATCAAACAGAAATATTAATGCACCAGTAAAATATGCAGTTAAAATAAATAATAAGATGATAGTTGCATGGCATTGCACAAAAAATTTATATTTGTACCAAATAAAAACTTCGAAATGTCAATATACAGATTCTTATCACATAAGATATGTCAATGTTATAGAGTTTGGCATGTTATGATATGATGTTATAGGTAATAATTTGCAGCTGACTTGAAACACGAAACCATACTGAAAAAGTACGATCTCGTAGTTTTTTTATATTTATATCATCTTAAATAACTTCGTGCATTCGCCTACCATTTGTTCATATTACAGTAACGTAAACTTGTTATAGACGTCATCAAAGTTCCATTATGCCCATCCAATGGTGTTTGGGCAGTGTACAGGTAAAAAATCAAAATAATTTGTTATTTTTCCATAATTGTGTTCAATTTTATACTTTGCTAAGAAAAAATAATCAATAATTCACGTGACCAACGGAAACGTTTTAAAAATATCGGTAACGTGCAATTCTTAAAAAGAGTGGGGACAGTCTTTTTATAATTAAAGTCGTTTTTATATTGTATCGTTAAAATTTTCAATTATCAATTATTGGTCAATCACAATTCTAATTGTCAATCGTTTGACACATATTACTTATTCAACTCAATTTGACATTAAAAAATATGAGAATAATGTCACTTTAAACTAAAACATGGAAATTATTTGAATCATTCTTCCGTCTACGCGTGATTTATACCATTTGTAAAAATCGCCAATTCATTATGTATATTCATTTGTGCGATTTAGTTAACACGATATTTAAAATTGCTCAATATTTCAGCGGTATATCGAATTTTATGCGAAAACTTTTTACATACGTGTGAGTGAGTATATGTTTTGATATATACATTACTTATAGATGTATTAGAATTTCCGTAAACCCGAGAACCCCAGACTGTTTTTTAGAGATATGTGATAATTGATTTAGCATCCGTATAAAGAAAATCCTCGTCATATGATATCGTATTAAAGAACCTCACAACCTCTTGAAACGAACTGGATTTAATTAGAGAAGCCTGGTGAGAAATATGCAACTGAAATTAGAGTCTTCATATTAGTAATGTTGCTAATGTATGGACACTGACCAGTCTTAATGCTAGAGGTATTACAGAAATAGGTAGATTATATTTCAATCGATGACCTGTCTTGTTTTTGCTGTTGTTTTTTGTTTGTTTTAGATGCTGTTTTCGTAAGTGTTGTTTTATTTGGTTTCTTTTCCACTTTCATTATAAACACTAATCTGAAATCATAATAACACATACATGTATGCCTATAATACTAAAACTAATAATAATAGTAATGATAGAGATTTGTCAACACTACTCGAAACACTTATACTTTATTTGTATGTGTCACAGATTGCTAATACATGTACTTGTACGCATGTGTCACAGATTGTTCTTACTTGTAGAGACGTTTGTTTCACAGATTGTTGCTACTTGTGGTGCCGGATGTATCACAGATTGTAACTACATATAGAGCTGTATGTGTCACAGATTGTAACTACATATAGAGCTGTATGTGTCACAGATTGTAACTACATATAGAGATGTATGTGTCACAGATTGTAACTACATATAGATCTGTATGTGTCACAGATTGTAACTACATATAGAGATGTATGTGTCACAGATTGTTACTACATATAGAGATGTATGTGTCACAGATTGTAACTACATATAGAGATGTATGTGTCACAGATTGTTACTACATATAGAGATGTATGTGTCACAGATTGTAACTACATATAGAGCTATATGTGTCACAGATTGTAACTACATATAGAGATGTATCTGTCACAGATTGTTACTACATATAGAGATGTATGTGTCACCGATTGTTACTACATATAGAGATGTATGTGTCACCGATTGTAACTACATATAGAGATGTATGTGTCACAGATTGTAACTACATATAGAGATGTATGTGTCACAGATTGTTACTACATATAGAGATGTATGTGTCACAGATTGTAACTACATATAGAGCTGTATGTGTCACAGATTGTAACTACATAGAGAGATGTATATGTATCACAGATTGTAACTACATATAGAGCTGTATGTATCACAGATTGTAACTACATATAGATCTGTATGTGTCACAGATTGTAACTACATATAGAGCTGTATGTGTCACAGATTGTAACTACATATAGAGCTGTATGTATCACAGATTGTAACTACATATAGGGCTGTATGTGTCACAGATTGTAACTACATATAGAGCTGTATGTGTCACAGATTGTTACTACTTACGGAACCATATGTATCACAGATTGTAACTACTTGTTAACTGCTTGTGTATCAGATTGTTACTACATGTAGAACCGTATTTATCATAGATTGTAACTACATTTTAGAGACGTTTGTTTAAGAGATTGTTACTACTTAGTGTTGCGGAACCGTATGTGTAAAAGGTTGTAACTTCTTGTGGAGCCGTTTGTGTCACAAATTGTTACTAGTTTTGAGTCCCTTAAGTCACAGATGGTTACTTCTTGTAAAACCGTATGTGTCACAGATTGTTGCCGTATCTGTCACAGGTAGGATATAATACTCGTGATGTACATGTTTGTATACGTATTTTATCATTCATGACCATTTACTGACGAAATTTGCTAATATATAAATAAATATCTAAAACTTTGTAGTAAAGAATAAAATTAGTGAAAAGCTGATTCTTAATGGTGCCCTTTATGGCCCGTAATCATTATTTACTTTTGGGTAATGTCAAATTCAAACAGCAATAGTCGTACAGAGTTCTGTCATTTTCATGGCTGATTTCTAGAGGAACGTCTCGGTTAGTATCGTAGAAATTCTATTGAAGATAAAACGCATTTAATACACTTGTTACTATATATAGTAACAAAATTGCCAATGATTTCAACTGATTATGAGTGTCACGTGACCTATTGAAGACTACTTATGTGTCATATCTATGATTTAATAAGACCTGATTTGATGGATTCAGCACGACAAATAAATATTTTTATAATATCCAAGGCACAGACAAAACAAATGGCCATCTACTCTCAAGTACAGAACTAAAAAATATGTCAAAACCTACTACAATGTTATCAACAGAAGCCAACAATTTTAAAGCGGATTTTATATTTTAAATCTTCATGTAAGAATGGGTTCACATTGTACATTGTTTAAATGTTCAGTCTGTACAAAATATGCACGTGACCAAAAATAGAACTATTATAATTATACAAGATATCTATGTTAATATTATTATAACAACAACATCAATTTAAAGTTTACATATTTATTTTCCGGAAGTATTATGAGTATTGTTAAGTATTGTAAGATAGTATTGTTTATAATCACTGACTTTAATTTCAACATATTACTGTAATAACTCGTTAATATAAAATGCTTATTAACAAATAAAAACTACATTCATAATCTTTTATAACACATTATGCTTTATTTAAAAATTTACTTTACGGTATATAAATTCTAACTTTTAACATACCACTTCAAAGTTTTGCCATTGTTCTTAACATACAATACACTATAGCTTAAGAACAAAACATTTAGCGTCTCAGTATCATCTAAAATAATCAAAATATTTGTTTACAAGACAAGGTTTATTTTATTCGTTCGTTCGTTCGTTCGTTCGTTCGTTCGTTCGTTCGTTCATTCATTCATTCATTCATTCATTATATTTATTTATTTATTTATTTATTTATTTATTTATTTATTTATTTATTTATTTATTTATTTATTTATTTATTTATTTATTTATTTATTTATTTATTTATTTATTTATATATTAACACATATTGCCTATCACAGAGGCCAAAAAGCCTCAAAACATAAAGATTAAAGATTTTGCATAGATCATTTGATGCATTTTTAAAATATAAAAAAAAGAAAACAGAAAATCTGCAAAAGTTAATAATGAAATATATTCAGACTTAATAGAAAATCATTTTTCGAATGAGTTACAGCCCGATTTAATTTTTGACCATTGTGCACAATGAAGATATTTATTCTGGAGTGAGGAAATGATCTCAAATTTTGCGAACACGTATGGTTATTTAAGAGTATACAATATTGTTTAACACTGTGACGCCGTTATATGTCGCAACGCCGCTAAATGTCGCACTTGCCGCTAAATGTCGCACCATTTCCGCAAAATGTCGCACCATTTCCGCTAAATGTCGCAACCGCCGCTAAATGTCGCAAAATCATTTTCCGTTACTGTAAATCCGGTATTTTTCGCGATGTTTTAATTTTCGCTTTTATTCGCGAATCGGCCGCGTCGCGAATTCATGATGCCGCGTAAATTTTATATCATAACATACATTATAAAAGATAAATCTGATGATATTTTTTTTCGAATTGTGTTAAAGTGAATACATTTTAATGAATACAATTACTGAATGCAAATAATTTATATGTGCAATGTTTTATATACATCATAATTAACATATGTAGGTTAAAGATTTTTCCCATATCTTTTTCCTCATGAATACATGCATGTAAAACACAAAAAAGAGACAATATCCACAAATTTTGCACTTTACAGACAAATGTGAACACATATTGTTTAGATGACAATTGATTAACGGTAAAACAGTGATCAACGGACAACTTTTATACGGTAGATTAAGTATTATAAACAAGTATATAACACCTTCTTACAAACATTTAACGTTTTATCAAACACGTTATTTGCAAACAAAAAACAAATTTGACAAATGATTAGAAAAACCGTTCATAATAAGTCAATTACAATGTTGTATACAAAATAAATAAATAAAAACCGTCTCTTGTTAACACCAGTAACATTTACCTTGCATAAGAGCGCACAGTATAAGATAACTTCAACCTACCCTGTTTTATTGCGAAAATAAAATTCAAATAAACGCGAATATAAATTTCTGACCCTGCCATCGCGAATTCATGAATACGCGAAATAATCCGGGGTCGCATAATAAAGAATGTCGCAATGGTAACGTTAAATGTCGCACGAATTTCCCCTACTGTTAAATGTCGCAACACTACCGTTAAATGTCGCAAGATGTAATTCTATGTTGAACTCGAGTTTTATTGTTGAATTATATCAATTAAATCTGCCTAATCAAGACGAATTATGTCTGTTTGAAAGCGAGTGATTTTATTATAATATGGAAATGCGCTGCAAATTATACAACGATATTATGAATAAATGTATATTGTTCTGCGTTCGATTTTTACCTGATCTTATACAAGAACGTATTGATCATTATACAATTGTCTACCATTTGTATGAAACTGCAAAATTAACATTGTTCTGTAAATAGTTTTGTGCAAACTTGTCTGTAAAATTGGATTGAGAGCCAGCCTAACGGCCTGGCTGCCTGAGTTGGCAGAATGATGTGGCCTAGTAGGCTGAGGAAGCAAATCGTCTCGCAGGCGGAAGAGGAAGATTAAAGTGCTTGACGACATGGGCCTTGGGAGTTTGCATAATGCCCTAGAAGCCTAACATCGGCAGCCTAGCATCCTAAGGAGACAACCTTGTATGTGTTAGATAGAATCTGGTACAGAAGTTAACTTAGATAAACAAAATCAGTTTTGAAAGCTTAAAAAATGTTATTTGCACAAACAGTTTATGCTTCTATTATATTTGCGTGTTTTTATTCAGAAAGTCAGTGCTCATTCATATTGTTTCTTCAATAAATATAAAAATGTTTTCTTTACGCATCTGTTCCATGTTTAATTTTGAACCATATGCTTTGTATTTATGGTCATTTGAACTTTACTACATATGTATCACGTTCTCGACAGGCACATTAGGACACGATAAGAAATCAAAAAGTTCTAATCATACTCGTGACAAAAAAACTACGAGCATCATTTGAAGTGGTTACATATATAATTAATATCGTCGTTACACATTTATAATGTATGTCTTGTTTTTCGAAAAATGTCAGATTAAATTTTATTGAAATATTTAGTTATGAAACGGAACATATTAAGATTTTCATTACAGTAAAAGTAATCATGTGACAATAAAATAAAATAAAAAGCCTAGATTCGGCTAGCTGTATTCAACCAAATAGCAAGGCCAATATGAGCATAACTAATTATTGGTATTCTTATTAAATGATATTTTCCGAGAATCTATCATAGTTTAAAGCGACTTGACGAGTAAAATATCACTTGCCATAATGTCCAAGCGTAAATAGTGTTTGACAAATGGTAAAATGTACTAAATTTTCTGTACGTTTTCTAATTTTGACATCTGCTTACTCAACTGCCGGCATATGTATATGAAAGTGTTCATCCGTGCTGTTCTACAGAAATTTGAAACTTCGACGGGAGCGATAGCGACAGGAGAATGTTTCTAATTTCTGTAGAATACTAACATACTTAGTGTCAAGCTTTATTTGGCCTCATTATTATTCACTTAATTACGTCACTACGCGGTTCTATAAAGTAGTATGAAAAATAGTAGGCGACTATAAACGGAATTCGAGATAGTATCGACTTTTGTTCTTCTATGAAAATTAACGCACACAAGTTTTAAGAAATACAGCGTTTTCATTGGATGACAAATAAAGCTGGACACTAAAATATGTTAGTATTCATCCGTAGCTGTTCTACAGAAATTAGAAACATTTTCCTGTCGCTATCGCTCCCGTCGAAGTTTCTAATTTCTGTAGAAAAGCGCGGATGAACACTAAGTATATATACATAATATCTGCTTATCGTGAAATTCGCTCTTATCTTACACCCGACCGCGGATCGGCAAACCTGTGAGGAACACTAAATGATCAAGGAGTACTACACGAATGCTAAATGCAAGATTTCAAAATGGCCCAAAACACTTCCCATTTCGAATAAGACCAAGCTTGTCTGTCGATTTTCGTGTTCACCGTGCATTTCATACTGTGCATGTTTTTCACGTATTTGCCGTTTCTGTGAAAATGAAATTTTTGCCTTGATATTCAATCAATATTTCAAGTTTGAATGAATATTTGTGATGGTTTTGGGGAAAAATATAAAAAGGGAGATAATTAAGCAAAAATGCCTTTCAAGATCATCTTAATTCCTTTAGAAATGCATTTAACTTTTACATGTATATGAAATAAGTATTTTATGTTTTAAGTGAATATGTTTGAACTTTTTTAGCAATTAACCGTAACCAAAAGGTTTATCAAGGCGAAAACATAATCGAAAACTTAACCAAAAAGGTTAACCAGCGCCGAAAAGTTAAGCTTTTCATTAATGAAAAAAAATCATTTCTCAAATTAGGTTAGCAGTCATTTGGTCACGGAGGCCCCTCATACCTTTCGATATAAATGCAAATATTGTGTTAAACAAATAGCTGAAAGTAATGACATATGATATACAATCATATCAAACATCAAACACATATCAGTTTCCACCGCCTAATTCCCTTAATTGTGCCAACATTTTAACAAGTCATAAATGATTGCATTTGGAAGCCCGTTGAACATTTCAAAAAAACCAAAGTTAATCATTTTTATGGTGTTCTTATAACAGATTTACATGTCTACGTCCCCGCGAGGGGTTTGACATTATCAGACGATAGATAACAACCGCATGTACATTGATTATAGTAAGAATTTACAGCAACCTGATTAATAAAATCAGCTCCTAACTAACGATACGCTACATAAACATAAGATATGAACTTTTAACATGTTGAAATTAACAGTACATTGTAGTCTATTAAATTTAAATGCATTGCCTGCGGTTGTATTAACAAACATATTAGCGAAACAAAGTAACCACAATTAAATGATATCATATTTGACATTATAATTTGTCATAAGCATCAGCTTAATTGTTATGTCACTGGTTTACTGTATGAAAATTGTTTGGTCTTTGGGCCCCGGATCAGCGGGTTTGAGTGCTATACACGGTTCAAGTTTATGAGAATAAAACTGCCTGACGAAATATATACATGTGCAGTGATTTATAGTTAAACTTTTATACGGAAGCCAAGGAATGACATAAAAATGGGTATTGACATAAGTTTGTATCGGGCAAGAATTGGATGCTTCCTAACGTCTCGCAAAAGTAAACACCAAAGAAAGGTAACATACACACCTTACCAATCTGGAAGTGATATTCACTACACTGCTGCATTGATTGGATTACTGTTTATCGTTATATTTATCTTCATTTGGGGTCTAATTGCGGGGCATTATCACTTCGTTGAATGTTTTGCTGTGAAAAGTCTTAACATATATTCTTCAGCTCCAACGACACCTTATATGCATTTATCTATAACTTTGTGTGATAGCCATGATACGTATGGTGCACTTTATGCTACATTTAGTTCAAGAGTTCTTCTACTCTCTGCTGACGTTGAACTCAATCCTGGGCCCACCGAAGATACAAAAATGATTTTGCAAGCACTTGAGAAAAATACTGCAGAACTAACCTCAATTAAAAAAGAAGTATTAGGTGTAAGATCAGAGCTTGTTTGTCTTAAATCTGAATTAAACACTGTAAAGTCAAAAGTGATTAATATTGAGCAGAAACAAAGTGAATTTCAGGTTAATATTGATGATATTGAGAAAAGATTATCTGATATGGAATATCACAATGATGTTTTGAGTAGTGATATAAGTGCTTTGTCTCTACAAGAGGACAGCCATTTTGATCGGTTTGAAAGAATTGAAACTCGTCTTAACAATTTTGAATCTGAAAAGCTGAAATGTTCATTAAGGGTCTTCGGGCTAGATGAATGTGAAGATCTTGATTATCCATTGGAGCATTTAGTATATAGAAAGTTTAATGAAGCAAAGCCAAATATAATTAGTAACCCCAGTCATATTGCTTCGGCAAGACGTGTTGGAAAAGGCGATGTGAAAAATAATAGGATGGTCATTGTTACATTTACACTGCCAGAAGTTAAATTCGACCTGTTTAAGTACCGCACGGAACTAAGAAACTGTGGCATTAGGATATCAAATGATTTGAGTTTCTCCCAAAGGCAACAATTGAAGGAACTTAATCAAAGAGGATGGTCGGGATACTTTAAAAACGGTACTCTGATTAAACGTGCTAAGATTGTTAAACGTGTCTATAAAAGTGCTGTTAGACCCTCAGATAGACTTGTGACCGATGTAAGTACACCCATGGAAACGATACAGGAGATTGACGATTCTGATGATGGAGTTCACGGACCACCATAGGATAGCGGCCAAGGCCCATTATTGTTGACATTAGCAACTTGGAATATTGAAGGACTTTATAATAAGCTTAATTTATATGATTTGTCTGATTTTGTATCAAAATGTGATATTCTTAGTCTACAGGAAACTTGGGACTTAAATAGTGATTATTATTATAGTACTTTTAAAGACCATGATTTCTTCTTTTGTACGGCAAAGAAATCTATAAGCGGTGGCCGTCATTTAGGTGGTGTAACTGTTTTTGTAAGAAACTCTATCACAAATTTAATTAAACAGGTGTGCCAAGAGTTTGAATATGGTATCATTTTGATAATAGACAAGTCCTTGTTTGGAACAAATGAAAATATACTTTTTGCTTCGCTCTATGTTCCACCTGAGGGTTCACCTGTGTATAGTAATATGTCTAATAGTGTATTTCAAATATTTGAAGATTTATTAATAGAATATAATCTTATTAACCTTAACTTAATAATTTGTGGTGACCTAAATGCACGCACGGGTTGTGATTCTGATTTTCCAATTATTGAAAAGCCAGTGTCTGTATTGCTTGACTATGTAGATATTTTAGAAAATACAATTGATCAACAAAGAGAATCAGATGATATTATTGTTAATAAGAGGGGTAAAGAATTATTAAATTTTTGTAAAGCCTACAGTATCTTTATTGCAAATGGTAGATTTGGACCATTGTCTTCTAAATGTACTTTTGCTAATAGAAATGGAAGTAGTGTTATCGATTATTTTATCCTCTCAAGAACTCTTTTTGATAGCATTATAAACACACAAGTGGTTGAAACTTCTGAAAGTTCCCATTTTCCTGTCCAAATATTAATAAAGATTGTGCCCATTTGTAATATAAAAAAGGGCAATAACTCTTCAGTGATTAAAGATAAGACCTATATAAATTCAAATAATCATACCCAATTTCTTGATATGTTATCTAAAGATATTATAAACGGTACTTTTGAAGAATTTGAGAGCAGTATTGCTGATTATACACAGGATATTAATGTTATACTTGAAACTTTTGAGAATGCTGTACTAGAAAGTAGCAAACCTTTTAAAAAAGTCTTAACTTTCCGTAAAAATATTTCTAATAAAATATGGTTTGATAGAGACTGTTTAAAGGCGAAATTAAATTCACGTAAAGCCCTTAGAAGTTTTCAGAATAATAGTACAAATAGTAATTTAAATAACTATTTAGACTTGAAATCTATTTATAAAAATATGTGTAAAACAAAACGTTTTCTGTGTAATACAAAATGTTTTAAACAA